GAATGAATCACTGCGTGTCGCATTATTCACACGAAGTTTTACGGTGTAACGAGCCTCGATGATTTCGCTGAGGCCGCTCAAGTCCAGGGAGAGGTAGAATCAACAATTTTATCGCGAAAAAGAGCGCGGGGACTCATACCGACGCCGACAACATCGCATTTCAATGGTTTGTTTACGGGCGACGGCGAGCTTCTTGCCCACACTCCATCGCGCTTGCGCGGCGATGGTGGTGTCCGCTAGGGGCGCTCCGGTTTGTTTGTGAACATGAGGTCGTCTATAAATACAACGCACTTTCAAATAAGTACAAGTACTTCTTAACACAATCTTTCATGATGCCCTTTCATTCACCTATGCCATGTTTTTTTTTGTTTTTTTTTCTTTTCAATTGGAGTGCATTACTCCAATCGGTGGTGCATCAGTTATTTTCAGAAATGGCGGCGAATATTGGATGAAGTCAAGTGGCCACAGAATCGTTGTTTTACCCTCGCTGAAAAGCTATACACAATCAACTTATAAAGCATTTATTTCAATAGGTCTTGTAGCCGCCATTACTTCATTCAAAGAAATTACCAGAGGACGTCTGATAGCGCATTTTCACATGTCGATACGCCAATTTCTTGTCTTCAAATTTGGGGAATGTGCTTTGAAATCAGGAGTTGTACTTTCATCGGAACGTACCAGAAAAAAAAAATACTTCAAGCAAAGTACAAGTACATACTCAGAGAACGTGCTTAAAGTAAAGTAAAAGTTTTCTAAATTTAATTAAAATAGTGTGCCCCAAAAAACAATGTTTTTTTGTTTTTTTTTGGACTGCAAAAATAGATTACATTGCCGAACGCTGTTTCTCCGCCCTAAGGACCTGGTTCGGACCTCTAGCGCTATTTTTGGGCGGAGAATAAGCGTTCGGCGATGCCTAGTGTATTTTTGCGGTAAAACAAGCACTTCTGCATTTGAGAAAAAACACTTGAATTGCGTTCATTTGGCCCTCAGAATAACAGATATCACAAATATATTTCAATGCGACGCGCCGGAGAGTCATAAGAGCAGTTTCAAAACAGGTCTGAAGCCCCGCCTCCCTAGCCTTGGGCAGCCAAAAGATCCGTCGATGACGTCACGTACAGCGACTGTCTTTCGCGTTTGGGTATTCGGGTTCATGGGGTAAAAATACAACACAATTCACTTCTTACTAATTTTTTTAAGGAGCTTCGTAGCTTCCCTTTAATTAGATTTTGGAGAACAATTTGTTTTGCTCGCAAACTGTAAAACCTCTCCGGAACACTCCATGTTTGAACGGGACCCTTGTCAGTGTTGATCCGGTTCCCAAAATAATTGCCATTAATCAATTGCGTCGCTGTGCCGTCCTGCTGTCAGCGGTAGCACTAAAATGACGTCGCGAGATTGTCAGTCGCCTGCTGAATCTCCTTTCGGTCTCGTTCCCGCCAAATTTACCGCTTCGGAATGCGGGTTGCCTGAATTTAGAGAGAAGGGAAAACGAAAAGAAGAGCAGCAACAAAATATTGGCTGTAGAACCACTCCTTTTTTGTCTTATTCGGCTCTTCCACGTGCCGACGAAACGGTCCCATTTGAAAGGGGTGGTAATGGCGAACCCCCATAGTGCGCTCGGAAAGTCCCAGTGAAGTCCTTCGTTAGAGGGGGGCGAGTCTCTCTTTTACCCGAAAGGAAATGAAAACAAACCGCCGCCAGACCTCCGAATGCGTCTGCTTTCGTTCCACGAACTGCGCCGGGACAACCGTCACGGGAGCCATAACTTCCAAACGAATGTCGTCTGCTAGCGGTTTTCTTTGCCGCTTTTTGCTTTCGTTCATTTTCCAACCTCCCTTCTGCAGACGATGGATGTATATATCTCTATCTCTTCGGTTGCCGTCTTTCTTTTGAAAGATGGGCTATTTGACTTCGCCTTTGATTCGCAAGGCACGAGCGATGACCGGTGTTATTTTGAACAAAAACATATTATGTTCAAAAATCGTGGCATAAGCTGAACCGGGTATTATAAACTATCGGCAGGTGTGTATTTCTTTGCATATAAACAGTTAGCGTTTGATCTACCTAATTTTACGGGTGGTTTTCTCGAAGCGAAAACGTTCTTGTCTGCTGTCCAAGTCTGCAAGTAGACCTCATTAGCTTTTAACGGGACAAGGGCTGCCGTGGGTAGTCTACTGCTTAAATGCTTAAGATCACAACCGATTGTAGCGCCCGTCCAACAAGAAACGGGAGCCAAAGGGCCTATGCAATGCGAGCGCCTTGCATGGGCGGCTGCACGAACAGGAAAGGGAACGTCTGCCACGAGGGGGCCATAGCCAAAGCTTGCGCGACCATAGCACCATCTCCCGCCAGCCACGACAAGCGTGGGGTTGGTGGGTAGTTTCTCTAAACGCCCGTAGATGTCTCTAACGGTGGAGGCGCCAAATTTAAAGTGCCCGTAAGCGCAGATGGACTGATGGGTGAGATTATAGTGTTACCGGTAATAGTTCACTTGTGAAGTTTCGCAAGCACAAACTAGGACAATAATTTTATTTTTGATTTCATTTTGGCTGGTACTCTTCTCATTTTCTCCTTTACATTGTGTAAGTGATTAAATTTTATTTTTGTTTTGCATTAGATCGCTATAATTAGAGCTCCGCATATCCGCGGATATTTGCAGTCAACTGGTGGATGCGGATAAAAATGAATCAGATCTGGCGTAGTGCGGATAGGATGCGGATATCCGGGCTTCCGGATCCTTACCGCCCCCGCCCATTTCGATCTGGACGAGCTTCGTACCGGCACGCGTTCGTGTAATCACTACTGCGTGATGCAGGCTAAACACCCACGTTAGCGGTTGTACTGCACTGTCACCCGTTGAAGCGTACCAACGTCAAGGCTGTAGAAAGATACAAAGCAAAACAATTGTTTTTAGAGTGTAGAGTGAAGAAATGAGTGATACTGAAGTGGGTCATCCAATATTTTTCTGGAGCAAATTACTCTTTTCGAGTAAAGGTGCCAATCTTTATTTATTTTATTCAGAACACCCCTAAATGCCCTCCAAGCGAGGGTATTTCACACGTGTTTTCTCTTTCGGGAAGAAAATTGTTCTTTGCGCCAGCAATAACCTTCTCACATAAAAGATCGCTTTAGAGTGTTCTATCTTGGCTAAAAAAAAATGCTTTCCATAGAAAAAAGGTAAAGAATGCAGGGGTATCAATGGTCTTGGGAAAGCGTGCTCTTGTTTGGCAGGGAAAGCGTGGAAAACGTTCTTCGGGCAAAGAAAACCCAAAAACGCATAAAAGCCACAAGAAAATAGAAGCCTCGTGGACGAGTGAAATGTTGCGTGTGTGTGCGTTTTCTGTCTTTTTTTAACGCATTTGGCAAATTGCTGTATGTGGTTCGAAGAACACGGTTGCGGGTTCGTGTTTAAAACTGGAACTGATAGCGAGGTGTTGCGGTCACTCACCCAGCGGTGAATGACCGCGCCTTTTCCTTCCCAATTGGTATTTCTTTTTTGTTTGAGCTAATTAAAACGACACAATAGTATTAGTCTCCTTGATTAATCTTCATGTTTAAAAATACGCGCTTGCTTGAAGTGAATGTTACAAAGCAAAACGAGTAAAAAAAAAATAGAATGTCATTCCTTTTGAGCGGATCTTCTGGGCGGTACGTGATGGCAGACTCCCAGGACGATCTCATAACTGCGATCATCTTTCCAGCGACGTCAAGTGCCTCTTGAAGGATGATCGCTTATAATATAGATACGATACTGTTTTCAGCGCAGGGCTCTATCCATAATCATGAAGCCTCTACCCAGATTTTATAAAAAAGAAAGCTTTGGAACCACATCTAGGAAAATTATGAAAAAAATGACAACAAATAAACGCCTTGAATTCAATTGGAAGGCCGACTAGACAAACTGCGAGGGCTTATGTAATTACAACAATACGGTTATGCGAATATTCGAATAGTAGTTTTGAATAATACGCTATTCGATATTCGCTTCGAGATGGGCTCCGATATTCGTACCTTTCGAAGTGTTGATCGCGGCGGGTTAGCCCCGTTGAGTGCGCTTCTCCCCGAGATGGAGTGCACTGCGAAGAAGCCACACTCGCGGAGCTCGCGGGCTCCGCGGGTGTTGCTTCCCCGCAGTGCACAGGTGCTTGGTAAGAAGCGCACTCAACGGGGCTAACCGGCCGCGATTATGCAAGAGTACACGCTTGGCAACGATGTCTTGACAACCCGTCTTCATCATTTGTGCTTGCTCTTTTTTCTTTCTCAAGTTTTGAAGTGAAGAAAGAATGTTAGCAAGCAGATTTAGAGATCACCTCGATTGCGATAGCCGCAACAATTATTTCTCGTTTACATGCCACACTTTGTACATTTGTATTAAAATTAACTGAGCTTAGAAATGAACAAGAGGAAGCTCAGGAACAGCCTTCACGAGTTTAACTCTGTTTTTGTTTAAGCATGGTACAGTAGTGAAAGGCTTGAAAGTTATATTTAATGTTTGGTTCAATAATATTAAGCCCAAAACACTATTCGCTTTAAACTCTAAATCTACCATTTGCACATGATTATGCGGCAATAAAAAAAAGTAAAAAGCAAGCAGTACAATGAGCACCAACAGAGTTCACGCACCAAACATACACCTTGTCCTTGTGTTTTTTTGCTTTGCCCAAGTCTGAGCTCAAGCTCAGATGGATATAGCACTGACTAATTCCTTGTGTCGGGTGTTAACTCGCGCCACCTAGCGTGGATGTGATCCACCATTCTTTGTGTCTGGCAATGTATGTACCAGATGCCCTCTCAGGAGTGCCAACCCTGTTTTAAAAGTGTTTTGGTCCAACTTACTGGCTGACGGACCGTGCTCAATCGGTCCCATTAGTCCCGAGTTTCTTTTGTCCGAATGGATGGATGGTACCGCCTAACCCCTTGTATCCGGTGGTAGCTTGCGCCCCCTAGTAATCCGCCAAGCACGTGTGTTTAACGTCGCCTTCCCTCCCGTGCTGCAGGCCCCGGGGCCACGGTCGGCGTCGGCGGGTGCGGCGCGGAAGGGCGCGCCGATGCTGGTCCACGCGGGGCCATGGAGGGCCAGGGCCAAGCCACGAGCCCCCTGGAGGCGCGCTTCTCCCCGGGGAGCCTCGCTGTGCCGCCCTCCCACTGCCCGCTGCAGCAGCACTACGCCCGGTTGCTCCTGCAGCAGCAGCAGCAGGCGGCGTCCCACCCCGCGGGGGCAGCCCGTACGTCTGCTCTTCTTCCACTACAGATGGATGAATGCATTGCCGTTGTTCCCTTTGAATAGGGTGGTGACTTGCGCCATCTAGCCAAGTAGTGTCTTTAGCCCTCACGACACGAAAACAGACTGGTGTCATCTATCGGGTAGCACTGGAACCGCATATGGCTAGACCGCACGTTCTGCAGCATCATCGAGATCAAATTTACGCGCCACCTACGAGAAACGGTTGCTCATAACATTGTCGAAATTATTTTATCCTCACTGGGAAAGGGTGATGATGCATAAAATACACACAGATCTGAAGGGTCAAGACAGCAAGCCTGACACAACAGATCTAATTTCGCCCTTCCACCCCATCTAACCTTCCATCTCGCATCCCTGCCAGGTAAGGTGACTCTATTCAAGCTATCTTGGTCTACCTTTCCTCTTAACAAGCATATTCTACTATTACTGGCAGTCACAAGCAGTTGCCATTCAGTTGATCGCACTTAAACATAAGACTGGATCGCACACTTGCGAGTGCTTACAATCCCTTACGATGCGAGAACACACTCGGGATTTCCGTATATTTCCCTTTTTTTGTTCCCCACATTATTCTTGCCTTTTTGGCTCGAGAAAGTCCTGACAACGTTATGATCGAACGACCATTTCTCGTGGGTAGTGCACGCGTTTCATCTCGTAAACACTGCACAGACCTTTGTTCTTGTAAAATTCAGTTCCAGGGCCGCCTCATAGGGGGCAACAGTGTCTTCAAAGCCGGTTATGTTATGGTCGGTCGTAGATGATTGTGTGCAAACCAGGATTCAAATGCATGAACCTGCCTTTATGCGACCTACACTGGTGAATGGGGAGCTGATGTTGCTTGTGTTTCCACATCTGACGCTCCAGTGTTCCCATACCTGAGTGCCCTTGGCGGTGCCGGCGGCAGTGTCACCGGCTCTGCCAGTCCCCTGGGGCCCCTGGGGGGCTTCCGGGCCCCCCACACCTCCCCCAACATGACTGCAATGAGGCAGTTCTGGCCCCCCACACCCCCTCCCGACGGTGAGTGCCCTGTGCCGCCCTGTGCCTGCGTTACGGTCTGACGAAACAGCATGATTGAATGGACGGATGCGAACGGCTGTACCCTTTATATCGGGCGGTAGCTTGCGCCACCTAGTGGGGTTCCTGTGGTGAGGTTGCCAGACCATGGCGGCCAGAGCAACTGTTTCCATGGCTTTTTGCTTCCCCGGTGCATAGGTTTGAACCCTCGGCAGTTTTTTGCTTTAGGAACTCCCTGGGATTTGATTGTAGACCCTGCTCTTTATTTGTTTTTGTAAGGCCGTTCAATGCTCGAAAGGGCACTAAAGTGGATTTTGAGTTTGTCTTTTTGAGGCGATAACTTGTTGTACGCTACCGAGGGTCCTGAAAAAGAAAATAATTATGAGGATGTGAACCCTTACTTTTCTTAAATATGTAACCAAACATTGCAACGTGCCCCTTTCTTTTTCTAGATATATCGCAGAAAAAGGGGCACATTGCAGCATTTGGTCGTGTTTTTATAGGAAAAAAAGCCACACGTGATCATAACTTTGGGTTTTCTAGGTTGCTTAGGGGGCTTAGATTGAGTTTTCACCAAACATGATAATCTTAATCTAAAAGAACAAAACTAAAAGACTTAAATTATAGCTCTTACGTTCAGGAATAAATAAACACGATCAACTCAGTTTGCTAATGACAATCACACGCTTTTATTTTGAACGGATCATTATATTTTTAGTTCCAAAGGTCAGATTCCAGTGAGCAGTCTAAGATCAGCCATCAAAGAGCGCGATGCATCTTGGGAGCTAAACCAATTGACGTCACAGACGTAACGTCAATCGGTCCAGCACGGGCAAAGCTGCTTGGGGGTCGGCGCAGTCATGAGCTCCGCTGCTTGGCGTCGTCAACGCGTTACAACCTGGCCTTCTTTAGTTGCCCCTCCCTTCTCACCACGAGAGTTCAATAGGCCAGGAGCAAAGGGAAATAGTTTGACAGGGTTCGCGCGCACGCAGCTTGCCGCCGTACTTCCAAGGAGGGGCGCTGCTTTTAAGCACATAGTGACGTAACGACACCCGGTTTATTCCTTTTAAATGACGTTTTGGCATCTTATTTAGCAAAAAATTGGTGTCTCCGTGGTGTGGCCAGAACGTGGTTGGCATTTAGACAATAAAATAGGCGCTGGAATTTTGTTGCAGTGTCCCTTTAATAACAGTGCCGAAATGATGACGACGAAACCGTTTCTCTGCAGCCGGCTTACCTGCCTCCCTTGCAGGCTACGGCCGCTACGGTGGCAGCTACTACTCCCTCTTCCCCCCCGTGGGGTCACTGGGCTCCCCGCCCGACCCCTTCGGCAATCCCGGCAACTTCTTTCCACGGCTGGCTCACACCGCGTCCCATTATCCCTCCTCCATCCTCGATGCACACAGGGGTAAGTTTTTCTTCTTTTTTTTTTTTTTTGATACGGAATTCTTTTTTTAAGTAGCCTGAGTCAGATTTTGCAAGTATGGCGTTGCATGCGTGGGTGTTGGGTGATGGTGTAATGTGATATCTTGCTACACTGCGACTTGATGCCGAGACACATTTCGTGACCTTACGGTGTCATCTGACACTGTTGTGTGATGTTGGATGTCGCACGACCTGCGGTTTCGTCAAGTAAGTGATGCCACGACTTGACACCGGTACGTTACATGGCCTCTTCGCTCGACACGTGAGGGCAACGATTAGGTAATTGGAGTGCGCCAATTAAAAAAATGTCACGAAAGCCGAGCATTTTTCGTATGCTGCAATTCTGCGCGTGACGGTTTGACCGGCAGATCAAGATACAGCTGCAAATTTTTTATTCTTACAAGATTTGATTAAATCAACCGTGTTCACACGGCAGTGGCTGAAAGCGCAACTATGGCGGCGACATTCTCTAAAGCAGAACAGCAAGGGTAGCCAAGGGGGAGAGAGGAGAAACTCGGCGTAGAAGGGCAGGGAACAAACGAAAGTGGAAAGTGCAAGGTGCTTGTTGGTGGTCATAAGGCCTGCTGAAATACCACCGAGAGGTAAGCTGGCTCTGAAATGTAGCTCATCCTGTTTTTCAACCAAATTATTTTTGTTTTTCCGAGACAGATTGTAGCACTGGTTAAGCATGAGAGCTGGCAGAGCCTTGATGTCTGAAAGCCGCAGGGCTGGGTATATGCTTGCCATGGGTCGGGATGGGTGGGCTCTTAACAGAAACCGTTCGGGCGTGCAGATGCTGCTTTCCTCTCGCCCAACCTGGGTTCTCCGCTGTCTCACTACGCGGCCGCTCTGTCACCCCTGGCCACCTCATCCCTACTGTCGCCACCCACATCAAACGCCGGGCCGACGTCCATTGACGTAGGGCTCGTGTCGGCCAAGCCCCGAGAGGACTTGACGGTCCTCACCAAGAGTCACTCGGACACCCTCCTCACCACAGTCACCCCCATGATGACCACATCGAACCAAAGGTAGGCTGCAGTGCTCTTGACAATTCGGAACTTGTGTCACTCGTAGTTGACGCAGGGCATTTTTGAACCCTATTGATGCGCACACTACGAAGGGCCGAGGTTCTGCAGTGGAGTAGTCTGACTCCCTACATTGGCAATGTGGCAGTTATTTGACTCATACAGTGTAGTGTCGAAGATGAAGTACTACTACTGCCTAAATTGGTGACCCATGTCAGCACGTTCTGCGACCTAGAGTTTTAGAAGAGGGTCTTTCAGCCCCTGGAGAATGACTGCTGAAGCCATAGACCATGTGTTCCCACTGTAGTTTTTTGGAGGTTTAGAGTAGCAGGACTAGCTCTCCCCGCCAAGCCCACCGCCCTTTCTGCACTAGCAATTCGAACACAGGAAAGGAGAAAATCTCCAATCCTGGCAAGCGGAGTGCTTCATAGGAGGAAGTTGTCTTGCTATTTTGGATTTGCAACAGACTATAGCTGTGTCGCACTCTGAACATCTTTGCCGACAGCGCCGTAGAGTGTATCACTGTAATGCCTCATTCTGGGGTACCAATATGGGTGCCGTTATTGACTCATTGTAGCACTGCATACATTTTAATCAAGGTGTACAATAACTTCTCTTTGTGACAATGTTGGGACATAGTTGATACACCAACAGGGTGTCTACCAACCTGGAATCGTCAGGGAATTTTCAAAGCATCCAGAAAAGAGGGGGGCATTGTCGGGGAAATCGTCAGAAAATTGGTGAAGGTGTAATGGCATGCAACGAGGCGGGAGAGTCTAGTGTACAGTGGCGTGAATGGTTTTCGTGCTGAGTAACGGTCGTCCAACGCATTACTAGCCCTCTAGGCCACCACCGTTTCTCTGGATTAAACAGAAACAGCCCGAACAATGGCTGCAACCGCATCCTTTGCATATTTTTTTCTTTGAATGGTCGGAAAATTTAATTGAAATATTCGAGGAAAATTTGGAAAAGTCGGGGAATTTGGGGGAAGCAACTCGGTAGGCACCCTGATTAAGCTATTGGCATGTTGCAGCTGCGCAACATTGGCTAATCAGGGTGCCATCATAGTTGTCGATATTGGCCCCTTGCCCATGCCCGTCGATTGTAATCAAGGTGCTTTCTTTGCCCTCTCTTTCCACAAACTTTTAGCAGCAGAACTTCTACGAAGCCCGTTTCCGTGACAACGTACGGCCGTGAACGCAGTTCCTCCCGCTCTCGGAAGTCCGGTGCCCAGAAGGGCTCTGCCAAGACACCGCCGGATGCATTGACGCGGACCGGCATCGCCACGCCTTCGACGGGGGTCGAAAAGTGCTCCCACTGCAACTGGACGTCGGACGGCGTGGGCGGCACCACATGGACGCAGGACACTGCCTCCACTCCGAGTTCCGAATTCCTCACGGCCGTCGCGGCTGTGACCAGTTCCGGTTCGGCGGAGCCTCTCGTGTCCGTGGGAACGACGCAGTGCTGCGGTCCATCGGATCAGGTCACTTCTACGGGTGAGCAGGGTTGTCGAGTGTTGCTGCCCAGTCTTGAAGAGACTTGCCCATTAATTTAGAGTGGGACGGTCGCTGATTTGCCTCAAAATTTGTTCAACACATTCACATTAGTAACCCAAATTACAAGTCACAATAATTTCTCGCACAAAGTTATTGAATTTCCGAATCTGGTTAAAGCTGCTCTACGCTGGCAACACTGAAAGTGTGACATCTGATGTAAGGGGGGGGGGGGGGGGGGGTGGTGGGTTGTACGGCTTGCTGTTTACAGGCTTGAAAAAGTTTGATGGTGTGAAATGAATGCTGGAGAAACTCATGCCAGCAAACCTGGAAAAGTAAAATTGTGAAATACCGTGTTTTCTAGATTGTCTGCTTGACTTGCAAGTTTTGCAACTTGCGTCGTCACCCCACTGGAGAGCGAGGGAAAATTTGAATGTTGGTTTTGGCATAATCTTTATTTGCTGTTTTCTCACTAGTATTTTGAATTTAGAGATAATAAAAATCATGCTGGGAAGAGTAAAGCTTGAGTATGTCGAAATTGTGTTTCCCGTAAAATTCCGTAACGGCGCCCCCCCCAAGAGATCGCCCATCCCGTTTTTCCAGCTAATTATTCGTAACATAAAAATTGTGAAACATCACCCACCACCCGATTCCCGTCAGATATCACGCGATGTCTGATCGGAATATCATCAACTGCGCAATCTGCGGTACCAGTGTGACAAGCGAGTTTGCAGTGGGTTCTTGCGTTTTGGTCTGTGATCTGCATGCACGATATCGGTTCCCGTGGCACGTTAATTTGTAGCCAGTTTCTGTGTGTTTATCACACCATGAAACATGGATCTGTGGCATCCGCAATCTGCGGTATCCTTTCTTGTGACACAGGAGTTTGTAGCGGATTCCCGTGTGTTCATAGCGTTGTGAAACGCAAATTTGGCGAATTCGTCGTGTCTGCAATCTGCGGTATCAGATCCTGTGTCACGTGGTTTGTAGCGGGTGTCCCTGTGTTTATCATTAATTTTACAGCGAAGCTGTTATGCGCGAGAATCTGAAAAAAAAATGTGTCCTTGGGTGTTGACAGAGAACTCCCCATTGGTCGTGGCAAGTATGAATAAATAAAAATAAAAAATGGGGCAACCAGCATGAGTCAGCCTTCCTTGGCATTATTAGATAGCGAGGTCCTGATTTCTTGTTATCATCTTTTGGCATCGTCCTAGAGGTCGTCCTTGAGGTCGTCCTATGCGTTGTCCTAGAGGTCGTCCTAGAATTCATCCTTTAGGTCGTCCTAAGCGTCGTCCTAGAAGTCATCCTCGATGTTGTCCTAGAAGTCATCCTTGAGGTCGTGCAAAAGGTCGTCCTTTAGGCGTCGTCCTAGAAATCGTCCTTGAGGTCATCCTAGATGTCGTCCTTGAGGTCGTCCCAGAAGTCGTCTTCGAGGTCGTCCTAGAAGTTGTCCTTGAGGTCGTCCTAGGCGTTGTCCTTGAGGTTGTCCTAGGCGTTGCCCTCGAGGTTGTCCTAGATGTCATCCTCTGGGCATCGTCCTCGAGGTCGTCCTAGAAGTCGTCCTAGACGCCGTCCTCTAGGCGTCGTCCTTGAGGTCGTCCTAGATGTCGTCCTCTAGGCATCATCTTAACTGTCGTAAAAATAACAGCTTCGATGGTCCTCCATCTTCACGTGAAGTGGAAGAGCTCTACAAATTTTTGGATGAAGTTTTGCTGTCTCATCACCAAAGGTAGCCCACCTGATGTTTTTCATCATTTATCTCTATTTTGGGTGGGCGCCCTTACGGGATTTTACGGTAGTTTGGGTAGCTCGAAAAACTCCCAGAGCCCCCTTTCAGAGCTACACAGAGCAAGGTGCAGCATTTGGGCTCTTAGGTTCTGCATTGGAAACGTTTTGCAGTGTCGCTTCATAACTTGTAACTTTAGTTGCCTCGCTTCAAGTTTCAATATCTCATCTTGAATAATGAATAGGCAAAAGACACTCATAAAGAAAGAAAGGGGCACATTATGGATCTCTTTCTTGTTACTGTTTACTGAAGTCAATCTGTTACATATAAGTACATAGCTTGTTGTTTAGCCAAGCTAAGCTTTTATTCAGGCAGGTACAAAATGAACCAACCTTTGAACAAACATGTCTTTTCTGTTGCAGTTCCATCACCTTCGTCACAGCCCACTTCCCTCCTCTCCCCAACGGGACCACCAGTTGTCAGCTCCTCCACCCCAGATGTCAACCCCGTGCCAGAAAACCCAAGACGGGAAAGCTCTCCCGACTCGCCAACACTTGCCACCGCGTCCGAAGAACCGCCCTCGGTCGTCGCCAGCAAGTCTCCTTTCATTCCCGACGATGAACGCTCGGATGAAGATCGTGCCGACGAAGAGCCGGCGGATGAAAAGCAGGTAGACGATGATTGCGTCGTCAAAGGCTGCTCCGACGAAGACCATTCTGACAAAGCAGATGTTCAGGAAGGGCCCTCGCTCGTGGCAAGTCCGACCAATCTCTCGCCGTGCTCGTCTACGACCGACGACAGGCGCTCGATCGCCGTGGCGTCCGTTAGCCCGGTCGTCATCGTCAAGCCGGCGTGCGCAACAGAACTTGCTGCACAGCCGGCCATAGCTGAGGTGCCCGCGCCGAAGTTTGCCATTTCACAAGGAGCCACCAAAAACATGCCGGCATCTAACGTCGGGGTGGGGCCGCCGAAATTGTCAAACATGAATATCGGCGTGCAGCCGCAGCTTCTCACAACAAACGTCGGCGTGGGACCAGCTAAGATCCAAGTGGTGAACGTCGGTGCCGGTCAGGCCAGGTTGGCGGCCGCAAATGTTGGCGGACAGCTTAAGTTGCCAACGTCGAACCTCCCCGGCGCGCAGCCGAGGTCGTACGTCGTAGGAGTCGTCGGGCAGCCCAAGCTGTTGCCAGCGAACGCCGGCGCGGGCCCATTGAAGCTTTCGTCGCCCAAAAAGGAGCGTGACGAGGCCGGCGTACGGTCTGACTGCCGGTTCGGCACCGTTGCCAAGCTGGAGCCGAGGGACTTGGAGCGGTCGCCGTCTTGTGCGGTGAAGGCGTCGCAGCTGCTGCCGCTGAGCAAAGGCGCGGTGATGCTGTCAGTGCAGCAGACCAAGGTGGTGGCGTCGACGCGGGTGCGCGGCAAGAGCGGCGGCGTGTCTGTCGGGATCGCCAAGGCCTCATCCAAGGCCACCTCGGTCTTCTCCGCGCCGCTTCGCTGCAGCAGCGCCGGCACGGGGTCACCCAGGGTGCAGGAGGTGGCACCGGTTAACCTCAAGGTGAGGATGACCTCTCATCATCGGGGAGAATGCTGGTAACCGCTTCGTCTTCGTTGTCGGGTGGCAGATTTTGAACGTAGCACCCAGTGGGCGTTGACTGGCAGCTTTTGGGCGTAATGCGGAGAGCAAGTCGTCTGCTTTTTGTGCAGGAGTTGAGTTGACATCAGAACGAAACCGAGCTCTAATTGGCTTTGATTGAAAGGATAGGAGGTAGAGCTCAATGCTTGATGCCTTGAGGTCAACCCACTATTTTTTTCAATTGACCAATGAGAGCTTGGCATTCTGACATCATCGCATCCCCTGTGCAAGAAGCAGACCAACTTGTGCTTTGCTTAGCCAGGAGGGCTAAAGGATGGTTCACACATTTGTTGAACTTGAGCATGATAGAGCGCATCGTACACGATTTTGACTGCTTCTGATGAGAGGACACGCTGGTACCATCTATAGCGTAACCCTGGTAATCTTGGTCCGCGCACAACTAGACAGAAGGTTTTGGAGTATTTGTGAGGTTGAGCATGCCCACTAGTTATGAAAGATGGTCGCTCATTACCCTGTCTGAATTAAATCGAGCCCCCAATAAAAGAATGGTGCATAAAATATTTTAAAAATTTGTATGCAGTTTAGAACGGGAAAATGTACAAGCAGACAATGTATCCATGAGGTTCTGCTGTGCTTGGCTTCTTACGTCCCTTCCCACCGTTCTGCCTGTCAGTCGATGTAGTTACTGAATTAATACTGTAAAGGTTCCACAGATTGCACAAGCTATCTCGTGCTTCTACTTTCCTGCAGGGCATGCGGAGGTCCACCATTATCATTTGCCGAAGGAGGGCAGCAAATGACAAGGCGCCGATGGCGTTTTCTCTTGGAAATTCGATTTTGTGTCGAGATTCAGTTGTTGTCAGGACCGTGTAAATGATTGTGGTTGGCTGTTCCAATGCTCTGCTGTAGAGGCATGAGCTTTTTTAATTAAAAGCTTGCACTATCCGTTGGATGTCGCATTTTACAGTAAATAATTCAATGGCGCTTGTGGTCCAATATCACTCCGTCTGCTTTCCACAGGTTGCGAGGACAACGACTGGCACCTGTGACGGAGTCGTGGGGCACAAAACGGATAGCACGACGGGCCAGAGCGTCCTAGTCCCCACGTGCGTTGCCGTGGCAACCAGACGAGCCAATAACAACAACAATCTCAACAACCCGGTCACGAGTGGCGACGGAGGCAAAATGGCCTGCCTGGTCGAAGAGAAGTGCGACACCACCATGTCGATGGTGCCCGCTCTCAGCATGCTGAATGCTGCCAGTCAGCCGATACCCGTCGGCATCGCCGTGGCACAGCAGCGGCAGGATCACACCATCACGTGCAGTGAGTCGGCATTTCTTTTTTTTTTTTTTATTCTCTTAGCCCTGCTGTCTACACAGCTTGTTCAATGCCGTTTTCCTTTCCGTGGCAAAAAGAAAAAGGTGGTTTTGATTTGCCCAATGTCATATTTTCTTTTGGGCGTGATTTGGATTTTTTTAAATAGAGTTAAAATCCAGTTAAACTCCCGCTGGAAGCGCTTCGCTCGAAAAACGGGTCAAACAAAATTTCACGTGCAAAGTATGAAAGGGACGAGAGTTCTGCTTTAAATTTTTATGTACCGACATGCAGCGGTGGGTTTATTGATCAGACTTGAAGAGGGGAGGGGGGGTCTGCAGAGAGATCTGACTTCATGGACGGATGTTATGTCACGGGCAAAGCAATGGCCAGATCTGTTTTGTTGACCTAATGTTTGCCAGTTCACCAAAAGCTAAACACTTCTTCCTAAAAAAGGTTGATGTATATATGTTGTTTTCTTTGCAAAAAAAGTTACTCTTAGGGGGGTGGTTGCTACTCCTGTACCCCCGCCCCCCCCCCCCCCCCCCCCTTCAAGTCCACCCCTGCTGACATGCTCTTATATCCACACGTCGCAGTTGCATGCTTTTAGCGAACACGTGATGCAGCACGAACTGTAGACTGGCAGTTTTGGAAGCTTTGAACTTGAGCCTTGACAGGCTCAAGTTCAAAGCTGACAGGCTCAAGTTCAAAGAATGTGCATTGACAGGCAAGACAAGTCTTTCGGCGAATGCAGCAGAACAGAGCCACATCACGGCGGTCAGCTGTTCGACAGTCATCCTGGCCACGGGGGCCGCAGACCGGGGCCCGCGAATGTGGTGAGCATGCTTTTTGTTTTGGGTTTCTTTAGTTTGTTGGCCATCTCAACGGCCTCTGTGTCATTGAGGCTGCATTACATCAAAAATATTTGCAGTTGTATTTTGATCTGTTGACCAAACCGTCACATGCGGAATTAGATTAGTGGACACCAACTCCAGTTTCAGACCTCCAGGCACGCGTCGACGGGGTTAGCGTCACCATGTCCTCCTTTTGTACCATTTATTTTTATTTTTTTTAACTTTTTGCAGCTGGGAAATTTTTGCTCAAGTGTGTCAAAATCCTTTCCCCTACCTCTTTTCCTTTTTTTTTTTTTTAAGATTGCATTGTATGATTGGCAGAGCCCACATTGTAGGTGATTAGAAGCCGGCCAACTATCTTTGAAAGTGGCCCACTTCACTTTTCTAAGCTAAAACACAGTTAGCTTCATTAAGAAGGCAGCCCTGCATTACAGAAGGAAACTAAGGATCCGATTTATAATGTAGAATGCATTCTAACGGAAGCACGGTTGGTATTTGTGTTGCGTTGCCGTAGCCCTACCGTGCCGACAGAGAACAGTATGACACAGGAGCGACGTCATCAGCTAAATTTACAGAGACATTACCATGGGTCACGTGAGCATGTGACATTCTTCCGACCATGCCAGGGTCACGGTGTCACGCGACGTCATGATCACGTCATGGTTTGACACTCGGACATCTCGTGACATCATCCAGATTTCTATATATGTTGCTCATACATTCTGCTTACAAGACGTCTAGGGCGATAAACCAAAGGAGCACTTGAATTTGCGAATTTACTTGTACAGTAAAACCTCGTTATAACAAAATGGGATATAACAAACTAATGGATATAACAAAGCAATCATAATTCCCCTTGCTTGCTTATAGTGGGAAGAGATGGACATTGGCTATAACAAACTAATGGTTATAACGAAATAATTACGACCGCTCCTTCAACTTTGTTATAACGAGGTTTTACTGTAATCTTTTTGTGTTTACTTCTACTTTTTCGTAAAATTAAGAGTAACAATTTTATTACAAGAATTTATGGTCCCTCCTTCTCGTTTGATACCCTTAAGGTTTGGGAGAGGAGGAGGACTCTTGAGAGGATTGTCTGTCCAGCTGAAATCCGAGGTTGTAAATCGGGTCTTGACCTTACTTTTATGTTTTCTCCAGCGATTCCAGACAGCCCCATCAGGGAATGGCGGAAACTACAACAACCTGTCTCGTGACAGCCGGTGTGTACACGTTGCTGATTATTGTTCGGTCGACGGTTGTTTCTGCTCAATAGACGGAAACAAAGTCATTTCTAAGTTTTACGTTAAGTTGAAAGGGTAGTCAATGAAAAAGAAAAAGTGCCGATTCAATAACTCTACGAATAAAGTTGGGCAGGTGCCGAGAGTACTATGCATGGCTTGCATGTGACATTATTGTACCTGTGCTGGTAATCATGTCTGCTTGTTCTTGCTGGAAAAGAAAAAAATATTGGCAGTGCAAAATATGTGTTGCAGAAGGTATGCACTCGGCAGCGATGTTACCACAATGGTAGCTGATGTGACATCAATGCAAGCCATGTATTTGCGAGAAGTTATAGTCTACCTTGAAATGGCGTCTGCTGTCCCCATTGGACGTGGGAAATATAGCCAGATTAGCGGTTGTATGCTACGGGTTAAGATAGGAATGTCCATTCTAAACCCAGTGCAGAAGTGATGCGTATCATTTCAAATAAACTTCCTTCATGATGTTCAACGATCACTAAGTAGTCCAACTTACCCCCTTGCAACCAGTTCTTGCTCTCCGTCCCTCGTGTCTTTTCGCGCCGTTTCCCATAACGCAAAAGGAGAGCTGCGGACCGACGTCTCTTTTCTTGCGTCGCACGACCCAGGTCCGACGCACGCCACGTGGGACTCGGCGTCGGATTCGTTGGCGCTCCGGCCGGCCGCAGCGACTCTGCCTTGGCTCACGGCGTCACCCGCGGCGGTCTCGCCTTCCGTGGTGACTGCCCCGACTCTGTGGCTTGGGCAGGACAGCTCGCCGTCCCCGCTGGCGTCGCCCGGTGGCTTCCAGCTGGCGCGGGACGCCCTCACGGGGCAGCTGTACCTCGTGCCGGCACCAGCCACGACGAGCTGGACTCTGGCCAACGCGGCGGCCTCGGCCACGGCGAGCCCGGTGCAGCAGATCCTGACAACACAGCAGCACACGACGTTCCAGCAGATCATGCCCCAGCACGACCAGTGGCGCGGGGTGAGCGGGGTGGCGAAGGTGGGGGAGCGTTCGAAAGGGGAGGCTGGAGAAACTTGGGAATCTTTCTTCGTCGTAAGGACAGTGTTTAAATTGAATCGTAGGGTTGTTCAGGTCATCCAGAAGTAATGGTGTTATTATCTTTATCTTATTTCTGGATGACTGTCTTTATTTGTTCCTCCCATGTACACTAGTGGTCCTAAAGCGTTCTACGTACAATACCATTGTCCGCTTTCACACATCCTACGGATTGAGTTTTAATGCCGAAAGTGTTCTTCATTTTAAAATTATTCTGACTGTACAATCATTTGATATCTTTGAACCTAATTACAAAATTCGCCATTCACGTGTGTCTCTTACCTTGGGGCATTTCTTAAAAAAACATATGCAAAGGAAAGAAATAATTTTTTTTTTAACAGCCTGGATGGGAAAAAGATGTCATCAAATGAATTTACAATGAAAGAAAACAATTTTTAGAGCTATATTTAATAGTGATGGATTGAATCTGCCAAACTTAAAATTTGACAAGGTTTGGCACATGCCTAACTTTTGAAGGAACGTTCGGCAAAGATTTGACAAACATTCTATAAAAATTCGCCAAACGTCTGCGCACGCGCGAGAACACAACGGCAAAGTTTGGCAAAACTTTGGCTTTGCTGATTCGGTGCCAAATTTTCGATTTGGCAAAAGCTCGGCCCATCACTAATATTTACGGCGCGAAACGATCTTGTAGTCGGCACCCGCGGGAGCTGCCACTAGTCACGTGGTAGATCTGCGTGTCGTCGTGCTGCGCGGCTGCCGCCGCCGCAAGTTACACCGGAGCCGTTAAGTGCCGTCACTGAAGTCCCCGCAACTCCCACGCTGCCGCCGCATGCTGAGCGTGGCGCACCACCATCTGAACGCGTTTCTCCATGCCGCTGCCAGAAGAGAACACTACGACACGCCACCGCCGTCAATTTCTGGCCGACGCACAGGTCTATCACGTAGTGCTTGCACTCTTTCAGGAGCTTCTTATGGGCTCTAAAAGTTACTTATTAATCTTCGTTTTTGTGTTGCACTTAAAACAAGGAATAATAAGTAACTTCTAGAGCCCAGAGGAAGCTCCCAAAAAGCGCAAGCACCACATGACTATAGTGGCCACATTTCCGCTGGCCCCCGTGGGCTCCAAGTACAAATTCGTTTCGTGCCGTCAATAGAGCTTAAAAATATTTTTTTTTGTAAATTTATTTGATGACATCTTCTTTGCATCCAGGTTGTTAAAAAACATTCATTTTCCTTTGCATATACACTGGCTAGAGGTTGAACTTTTGAACTAATCATGTGATCGGAATGAAATTTGCATGGGAGATTTAACTTCAGTTGTAGGTGTACTGTGCAAACTTTCAGCTCTCTAGGACAACTTTACATACCTGCATAAAAAGATATGTCACTCTTCGTTAAGAAATCTATGATATGCAAATAAAGCTATTAAGCACTGTTTTGACTGCTTGAATATAAAGTGGGAAATATGGAACCTCGGGCTATCTAGTTTTAATAACTGAAATGTAAATATTTCAGGAACAGGTATTACCTCAAAATATAAGATGCATATCTGTCCTATGTCAATTTTTGAAAACATAGCTTTTTCTCAATGATGACTTTAATTTAAAACAAAATTAAATAGATAGCCCGATTCCCCAGTAAATTTCAGTTCAGAAGCATCTTGATTGTGGTATCAAAATAATTTTACCTTCGAACAAAAGATTCCTTTGCATGAAATTTGCAGAAAAAAGCGGAACTGAGAAAACTGCATTCAACATTGAACTTTTTAACTTTGTTACTGCATCACAATGTGTTGAAAATATTTAATATCAATGTAACTATTTGGCACATGGTTATGAAATTTGGTGTAAGGGTGTATAATTAGTTTCTGAAACCAAAAACCTCAAAATTGAAAACTGAATTTTTTCAAAAAATTTTGAAACTTAGGCCCATGTCCCGCCTTTACATGGCTAGACGGGTTCCCGAAAGACTTCAAAAATTTTGGGCATTCCTAACTCGAACGACAACCAATGGCCAGCTCTGAGACCCATGCGCCGTTTTCGCCGTCCCCGTGCGCAGAACCTTGGGGAACTGACGCTGACTGCTAAGCCCACGGCGACAACGGCGATGTTCGAGGCGATCCCACCAAAGCTGGAGATCCTGGAGGCGGCAAAGGACCTATCCGTGTCCGGGGCCACGTTTGCCTACTCGGCGATGCCCGGAACGGTGGCGACTCCGCCGGCCCCCTCTGTCGTATCCTACCTGTACGACCCCTCGGCCGTCGTGCACCACCTTGCCCACCAGGTGGCGACGGGCACCAGCACCTCGATGGTTGCCACGGCGCTCTCGTCTGCATCGTCGGGCAAGGTCTCTCAGGTCGGTTTCGATCATACCGTTGTAAGGCATCGAAAAGAATGAAGGTTATACCTTTGTTTTGGACACTTTGGTTGTGCAGTTTGCAATGGTGATGTGTAGTGCAAAGATATACAGCTAGAGTAATGCCAACGCGTATCACCAACATTCATCGTTAGACTGTGAAGTATGGTTTTCCTGAACACATCATAGAGCAATGACATATACCAGAATCAGTGGTACAGTCATTTGAATCTGTCAGGCAGAAATAGCCAGGCACTATAATGCCAACTTAGGGCTGACATTTGCACTAGGCCTTATTAAAATAAAGTATATGCAGTCCAGAGATCGACAGACACTATAATGCCAATATATTGCCAACATTTTAAAGCAGTAGTTTTATAGGTCCAACCGACCTCAGGAGCCGCGTAAGCACGAAATGTGTAGGTCGGCCGGTCTGTAGCCACTAAACAGTCTACCGTAAAATCCCGAGAGATAGCCCACCCAACACCAAGAGCAAATCAGCTGAAAATATGGAATGGGATAACTGTTGGTGTACATTCAAGAAAAGTTTGAAAAAAAAAAAAAAAAGAAATTGTTATTTTTAGGTTGTGTCCTTTCCAAGCTTGTAATGGTGGCAAGGGGCAATGAAGCAAAGATGGCTGTACTTCCCAGTCAGCAACGTTCGCTTATATCCCGCCATGGCGATAACTAGCTGCATTTACGCCGAGGCCATCATTGATCCGAACACTACTATTACTAGGAGCGGGCTGTCTTTCAGTGTTTAAGAAAACATAGCGAATCATGCCAAAAATAGGGATGGGCCATCTTTTGGGGGTGCGGCATCTCTTGGGATTTTACGGTAGAAAAAAAAAAAAAAAAGGAAAATGGTGCTAGGGATTGAACACCGGTAACCAGCATGGGAGCAGAGTTCTCTGGGTACTGAACTACGGACCCAGCACGTAGGAACAAGAGGAACAGAAGCAGGTGGTGTAAGAAAGCACGTGGAGTGGAGAGGGGTAGAAAGGGTGCCCCAGAAAATGCAGCGCAAAGGCTTTGTATTCAGGTGGTGCTGAAGAGAAGTGCACACAGTGTAACAAAAAAAAACAAGTGTGACGTAATATGTTTTTATACAAACTTCTGCCCTAGGCACCACCCGAACTAAGAGCACTACCCACCTTACAAAGCTGCTGCATTTAAATGCACTTGGCTGAATAACCAAACAGGGAGCCAATTTTATTGTTACAATCAAAGTATGGTTTTCCAGGGTGCATTATAGAGTGAGGACGTACCTTCCAATCAGAGGCACAGCTGTTTGGGCAGTCATGCCCTCATCTAGTGCTTTTGACTGGGCCCTCATTTTATATTGAACCAGTATTGTGTCCAGAGGAATCCGGCTTATTATTGAGCTGTATGTAACCTTCGCAATCTATGAATTATCCCTGGAAAACTTTGCTTATTGCCGATGCCAGCACTAGGGTGGCGTTACAACTCCAAAGTTGGCACTAGGTTGGTGTTACAATGTAAATGTTGGCCTATGTTGGCATTACCTGGCTATCTGTCTGGAATATTAAAATAACTGTGCCTCTCTCTGACGCAGACTACAGCGTATGCCCAACTATACCTTGCCTCTTGCGGCAAATGTTGGGGATATGTCATAGTTACAGTGGCTGTCGATTCCTTCACTGCTTGCATTAATTTGATAAGGCCTGGTGCCAAGGTCAATACTAGGTTGGCACTACTGTGCCTGGCATATCTCTGCCTGTCACATTCAAGCAACTCTGCCTCTGATTGTGGGGTATGTCCTTGTTCTGTGCCCTGGTAAACAATACTTCCTCTTTAACGACACATGTTGGTGCTATGTCGGCATGACAGTGACTGCCAATCTCTGTGAGGCACATTTACATTTCTGTGCCGAGCTCTCCCTGCTTACACTAGCATCAGCAGGTGTCTGCCAGGCCCTGCCCGACATCTGCTAAGTCCTGTGTTTTTGTTTCCAGGGGACGTCCCCACTGCTGTCCAACAGCCCTTGCCTTCCCCAGCCCCTGGTCGAACAGGGGGTTCAAGCATCGTGTGACACGGACAACACGACGGAAGAGAGCGATGACGACGTTGTACGCGTCTCCCACGGTTCTGTGTTGGAAGCCAAGGCGGGTGGCCATGTCATGTCAGTGACCACGGCCATACAGGTGTGCCATTTGACTGTTCCTGGCCAATCAGAAGTTAGCTTTTTTGAAACATGTTCAAACCGGTAGGCAGTGGTGCAAATGGTTTGTGTCATATAACGAGGTCATAGACCCATGTCTTTGTTGTATGACGCATTGATTACAGCACTTTGTTGCAATAACTACATGATTGCAATGGGTCGCAGGAAGGCTATTCGAGCAACATGGCATGGCCTCACAGTGCCTTCAGCTAACTGGCAACAAGGAATGAATGACATAATTTCACTAACTTGTACGAGTTCCATGCTTTATATGTTGTCAAGGCTAGTTTATTTCTTCAGCCTTGCACTACTGCATGGGCACGCCATCTTGTGTTTCATTTGCATGTGCTGTCTTGTGAAGAAGATTTCAAACTAAGCTGCATGCTTGTGCAAGTAATTAAGGCAGCATTGGAGCTCTGCAGGAACTATGCTAACCTTGACAATGTGGCGCAAAAAAGTTGACACAGAGGACAAGTGCCGTACAGGCTTGGCTTGGCCATAGCAAGCCATAACAAGTTGATTTATAAAGGAGTCTCCTTGCTGTTCTGTTTTTCGGCTATCAGGAGTATATAGCTAGCAGATGGTTTGCAATTGTCTGAAGGTGTCGTGCCGTTGTGGTCAGATGGCAGGTGCCACGTAATAATGGTGCACTTGTCCACTCACTGAGGAAAACATGTGAGCATTCTTTGCCTCTACCGTCATATAACTGTTAGGACTTCGGCAAGCTAAATGGGCATATAACTGTTAGGACTTCGGCAAGCTAAATGGGCACTTTGTCATTTGATTGAAGCTGCCTTGAAGTTAATGCAACCAAAGCTATATAGAAAGTGTCATGTCTCATCCTTAGGTGTGATAATTTAGGGTCATATCACAGTGAGCTTCTGGAAAAAGCCACGTGACTATAGCGACCATGGAAGAGTAGAGTGTATGATATGGTTAGCCTGAACATTTGGCCGCTCATTATTGTAACATGGCAATGATATCTTGAGGGAGCATTTTGAGTCACACGACCCTACGTTGTAATCCACAGGTCGACATGGACTGCCAGACGACGTCGGACGAAAACGAGCCAGACGAACACATTCCCCCGCCTCTGCACGCCGTGCAGATGTCCGATTCGGCCAACCAGACGGACGACCTGCCCCCCTTGCAGACGACACCACCGCCGTCTCTGCAACAGCCGTCACCGCAGATGACGCCGAAGCGGTCGTACGGACCTGACCCCGATTCAGAACAGCACGGCATTCAAACAGTGCCGCCGTTCACTCCACATCAGAGCACCAAGGCCAACGAGACGTCGGACAGTGAGATTGACGACTCTGTACCCGTCCTCCTGACGCAGACGACACGAGGCGTGCAAGAGTTTATCGACCACCACGGACTAGACCTTCTCGTCGACAGCATAGAAGAGTTTGCAGCGTCAGGTCGCGAGACTACCGGAGCCAACGGCAACGCCACCGGCGACGTCATGCCACGGCTCGAGAAGTCCGCCGCTCCAACGGAATGCGCCGCCTCGCTCGACTCGGTGGCAGACGACTCCGTGGCGGACGTTCCAGAAAAAGGGAGCCCACCGGATCTCAGCGCGCAGTCGCCTTCCTCCCGGCCCGAAGAGTGGTTCAGCCGGCGGAGCTTCAGTCCGGCAACATCCCCGAAGGCTCCGGTTTCGCCTCCGACGCTGGAGGCTAATTCGGACTCTGCCGGCAGCTCCAAGGTGTGTCTGTTCGACTCCCTCCGGATCGTGACGGATTCGACGGACTCGTTCGATGCCAGAGAGGGAGTCGACGATGCCCAGCAGCAACCCTCATCGTTTCTGGGCGCCGCCGGATCGTGTCTGGCGAGTCCGCCGCTCATCTTCGAATCGGTGAAGGAGTTGCCGTCGTCGGCGCGGGACTCGAGCGCATCATCTCCGGCGTGCTCAAGGTTTGCCGGTAGTTCGCCGCCCAGATTTGTCGGCAACTTGACGCCGAGATTCGCCGGCAATTCTATGCCAAGATTCGCCGGCGATTCGCCAGCAGGCGTTGCCACAAACTTCGGAAGCTTCGGAGGTCTAAAACGGTCAAAGACTCCGGCACGCGGGTGTGACGACGCCTTCGACAGGCTGGTCGCGTCGCCGAACACGAACGACGGGTACGCGACAACGTACGACGGGGCGTGCACGGGTGGACTCGGACTTCTGTGCGCGCTGGCAGAGCAGCGTATCTTGGAAGAGACCAGGAAGACGGCCGCGGAGGAGACAGCACGGTTGGTTGCGGAACGACCTGCAGAAGCTGGGACTTTGTTTGCGGGGGCTCGGGGGGCAGAACAAAGGCCGCCTTCACCGGAGGCGACGGATGATCTCACGGAGGAGGAGATGAAGGCGCAGCTGGAAGAGCTGAAGCGGAAGTACCGCGAGAAGCAACGTCAGGTGGCGAAACTCAAGCCTCCTGCAGCGTGAGTACCGTCTGATGCATGCACTACCCGTACCTACCCCTCTGAGGTAACGTTTTTGGATCTTTGAAACAATGACACCAGGCTGGATCTGACCTGTGCCCTGATTTGAACTGCGTCATTGAGCAGTGGCACTAAATTTGATCCGACATTTAACCGAGTACAAGAGCTTTCATATGTGGGTTGCAGCATCTTGCCTAATTCCTGCATTTTTTTTGTTAACTGACTGTGATGAGATCTCGGGCGTGCGGAAGAGGTGTTTTACTTGAACACCTTATTTTTCATAATGAACAAAAACCTCGAGAATGTGCACGACAGAGTCTGAGAGCCTATTGTGTGTGTTCTCCTTAATCCTGGGGTCTCGCTCATTATCGCTGGGTTTCACCAATTTGCTTGCATCTACACATTTGTTTGAGTGTTGTGGTTCTGAGTTTTTAATCTGTGCACACCGTCGGCCAAGTCTCAAGTCACTTTGAAGTACCCTTAGGACGATTTTCGTTCGGAAGGTTTCACATGATCACTGCGATGTTTGTAGAATATTAATTAGATGATCTTGCACCTTTGCTATGACCGGCAGAGCTAGTTTTTACAGCGGAGCTGTTAAGGCCTGCGTTCCCCAGGATCGTGTCCGTGTATGTCGACACAAACCTACCTGGACAGCCACCGCCATCTATAAGCGACGGTGGCAAGCACACAACCAGTATGGCTTCCGCCGTCGCTCGTAGATGGCGGCAAGCTTTCCACCTATAATAGAAGAATGGATAGTTGGGCGCGTTGGTGGGAATTCATTGTAGGAAACAGCGCAAAAAACAGACGACGACGAAGAAGAAGCACACAGTGTATCGAGTACAGCTCCGCTGGTCTTCCTTCTTCACAAGAGTGGAAAGGCTGAACGATTTTTTTTAATGGTTTAGCCACTCGCCTTTTATATCATTTCGCTAAATGTTTCTCTGCATTTCGCGTCTCAATAACAGCAATTTATCCGTCTTGTACCACTCTTGCTTACCATGGAACTTGTTTAGCGTCCATGTATGGCAGACAAACTTTGTAGCTAAGGCCCGCTTCAAGCGGGGCAATTTCGCCCAGCAACTTGACGTCGCAACACCAGCAACACAGGCCGGCCGCATTCACAAGCAGCAACCGAATTGCTAGGACTTGCCATCATCATTATGAAATTTTATTTTTGTTGCACTTTTTAGACGCACAGCTACGCGCTAAAAACGTGTTCTCATATCTTTGAATGGCGTTGAGAATACTAACTCATCTTTCTGGAAAGGCTTATTTCCAAAACCGATCCATTTCAAACCAGAACTACCTAAGTCTTTAGCTGTCATCATCACCACGACGAGGTGTCACGTGAAAATATTGCGTCCCTGATTGGCTGCTGCCACTTCAAACGTCTCCAAGTTGTTCAAGTTGCCCGTCCGTTTCGAGCCGGACCCGATCTCAGCAATTTGTTTTGATCTAGGGAAAGCTAGGGAACAACCCGCCAGGAACTCCGAAATTGCTCGAAAAGTTGCCCCGTCTGAAGCGGGCCTAAAGCTAATGGAACAGTACTACTTGTGTCCGAGGGGACAGCGTTTGTAATTAATGTACAACACACATTTGTCAAAACAAATTGGCTTAGCTTTCTCTACAACCAGAAAACTTTGACTGTCCCTCTTCGGAAATGGCCATTGTGCATCAAAGATTGGAAAGTAAACAACCGCATGCATTTGTCGTTCCGTTCTTTCCCTTTTAGAGGCCGGTTCACATGTCCATCTCCGTGCCGGGATAACACAGTCAGTACCAACATTATTAAACCAACTCAGTTCTGGAACTCCGCTCTGGAGGGGGGGTCCCTTTGCGTGGCGCCTGTTAGAGGGCGCGCGCTCCACATTAATACTCGCTATTATCATCATTGACGGCGCGCTTGTGGCCGTTGCCGTAGAGATCGTACATGGCTGTTGCATCTGGCCTACTGAGCTTACGGATGTTCGTGGCGCTTTTTCTGACAGTAGAAGACGACTTTCAAATTGTTTCTGCTGCAGTTGGTAGTCATCGGCACATCTACTATTACAGTATGTACAAACTTACCCTGATTGTAGCCACCGGATTCTGGCGCCGACGAATTTGGGTTGTTCGAAACGCTTCGCGCTGTCTGCACAGCTAAGGCAGCAGCATTTTACAATAATGCAAACCGTATGCCAAAACGGTCGTAGCGCTTTTCATGCTCAAATTGTAATTTTTATAGGCGAAAGGGCAAAAATTAACAAAAAAACCATGCTGAACCTCGAGAGGAGTCGGGACTCGCAAGCAGCCGCGGAGCAGTAGCAGACGAAAACGCGTGGAATAATGTGCCGGCAGCGCCACCTAGCTGCAAAAAAATCGGACACGGTTTCGGACCCCCTCCAATGTACAGCGTCTATGGGAAGTTCCATAACTGAGTTGATCTAGTAACATTGGTCAGTACGGCACATCAGCGCTCGATCTCGAGGAACGCTGATCCCTCTCGACTGACGGTTGAGGAACCCTTCCCGGTCTCTGCATTGATGCAATAAAGCAATGCAGAAGCTACGGACCCTCTAAACAATAATTCACATACTAGAGAGGGATTGGCTCATAGTTATGTATCAGTGAGGGGCTCAAACCTTCCAATAAAATGCCTGAGTGGGAAAAACATCTTACGTAGAGGTGGAGATGGTCCAGGAAATTCGAGAGATTGGGGAATCCATTAGGGTATTCTGGATAGCCTGGAAGTTCCTAGGAACCCTATTTGAGAACCCATAAGCGCCGAGTCAATGCTGCGCGGTGTATGTGTGATCGAGCCCTTAAGGTGTGAATGAACAAAAAGCCGCCAGCTGTGGCAGCTTTTGTTCAACTTATTACGTTCTGCTCAATGTTTTCGTTTCCTTGCAGCCAAGCCGCAGAGAGAGACACGAAGGGGTCGCCGGTCTCCGCCCGTCAGAAGAAGCGGCGTCACTCGACATCGGCGATGTCCAGGTCGTCCTTGTCGTTCGAGTCTATGCAACGGGACGAGAAGCCTCTCGAGGCCAGTCCCGCCAAGAAGAAAGTGCGGGCGCCGAGCTGTGGGGAGCCCCGACTCAAGTCTCCCAAGCACTGCGCTTCCGCCCGCCACGAGGGACCAGAAAGCAGCCTGGTTGTGAGAGGTCGGAAAAAATTAATTTTGTACCGTTACCGCCGGAGGACCTGTCTCAAAGGGACCACGAAGCAACTTCGTGGTCTTTTTTCATTTTTTTTCTGGCTGTCTTAGTGGGACCGTGAGCAAACTATGGCTGGACGGAGACCCCAAAGCTACTTTGATTCACAAGAAGACTATAAAGCAATTTCATGGTTCATAAGGGAATCATGAGGCAGCCTCAAAATTGTCTTCTTTAGTTGTGCCCACCACTGCTGAGGTGGACCGCGAACTAACTTTGGTTCCGGTTGCGTAATCCAGAGGTGCCGGAACTATTCGGTAGATAGGGGGGCGACGGTGGTGGTGGTGGGTGGGGGGGAGGGGAGGGGGTTTTTCCGCCCCCTGCTCTCTCCCACTTCGATGCCACTGCTAATTCGCCCGCGTCTGCCATAAAGGCATCACGAACAAACTTCATCGTTGAAGGTATTGCAAGAGTAGTCGAAGCCAACAGGAAGAGCTCTAAAATTAATTTCCTAGAAGCATCAGAGTTCACTGGCTTTAGTTTTCACTCATTTTCTAACACTTCATTTAAAAAAAAAAAGATTGGACACTGCAGTGATTTTTGCATTAGAAGATGAAAATATCACTTTTAGAAAAAAAAATTAAAATTTGTTTTAGGATTTCTTTTTTTTTTTTTTAATAACATTTTTGTTTTAATTACAGCAGGTGACAGCACTAAGGAGGCGGAGACCAAACGCCACCCGCAGAGCGTGCCGGTCCTAACGATCAAGATCAACAACAACAATGATCCATACCAGACGTCGGCCGATAGGAGGGACGACGCCGAATCCTCGGGTACTGGTTCTTTCCGAATCGGCCTAGACCCATCGCTTCACCTGTGCTTATGAGCAGTGTCGCCAAGGCCAACTTTCATGGTCCCTTTAATAGTTCCATGGGCCCTTTAATAGTTTCATGGTCTTTTTAATGCTTTCATAGGCACCTTAGTGGATAACCGTGAACTTAAGAGCGCCGTCGCCGGGGCCGATTTTTTTGGTTCATTTATTTGTTTCGTGCTTCTTTTAATGAATTAATGGAAGCATGAACTTACATGCAGAAATGCTGAGGCTCACTTTAATGGTCCTTCTAATTGTTTTATGGTCCCTTTAATAGAACCACGAACTTGCATGCACGATTGCTGAGACTGACTTTAAAGGGATGCTGAACCGAAATTTGGAGCTCACAAAACAAGGCTGGAGCGATAGCAGGACGCTGCAAAACCCAAGAACATCACTCACACAGCAATATCTCGAACGGATGGCCGTATTTTTGGAAAGGAGGTGCGCAATTGATCACTGGTGACGAGGCCGATGAGGCATGTGACGTCCCCTCGAGCTGGTGAACTGAAGCGAGGAGGGGATAAGCCGAGACCAATTTCCCTTGTTCTCAACCCTTCCAGGAGGATTGTGATGCCATAGTCCTCACTTGATCCCGCCCATCTTTTCCAAAAATACGGCCATCCATTTGAGACATCAATGTTTGAGTGATGCATTGGCCACAACGCATCTGTGGCCTTATTTTGCGAAGTACAAATTTCGGTTCAGCATCCCTTTAATGGTCCTTCTAATTGTTTTATGGTCCCTTTAATAGAACCATGACATTACGTGCTGAATTGCTGAGGCTGACTTTAATTGTCCTTTTAATTGTTCCGTAGCTCCTTTAATGAAACCATGAACTTATGGGCAGCATTGCAGAAACTGACTTTTATGGTCCCTTTATTAGTTCCATGGGCCCTTTACTGAAACCTTGAACTTGCATGCAGAATCGCTGAGGCTGACTTTAATGGTCCGTTTAATTGTTCATGGCTCTTTTAATAGAACCAAGAACTTACAAGTTGCATAAATGAGGCCGGTTCTCATGATCTGTTTAATTGTTTCATGGTTCCTTTAATAAAATCATGAATTCACGGGCAGCATAGCTGAGGCCGACTTCAATAGTACCTTTAATTGTTTCATGGTTCCTTTAATAGCACTATGAACTTATGAGCACCATCACTGAGGCAGTCTTTAATGGTCCTTTTAATCAATTTAGGGTCCTTTTAATAGTCTATGAACTTGCAGCGATGCTGGGGCAGATTTGTATGATTCCTTTATCTTCGGAAAGTCAAGGTTTTGGAGGGGCCTTAACTTTGTCTGTTCTCCTGAAATTGCTTTCAGAACGCACAGACTCCAGCGGTAATCCACTTGCGAAGAAGCGTCGCAAGTCTAGCGCCGAATCCAGTCAACCATCCTATGGTAAGTGGAGAAACAGTCTTCATTTTTGTGTTCTCAATATAGACGAAGTTCTACAGGCATTTAGTGCACACGTAACATTGTCATTGTCTTTATAACAACTGCTGTTTCGATTGTTTTCAACATCCCCTAAACATTTTGTTACTTGATGATAGGTCTCTCTATAACTTTTTAGACATTTAGTTACATACCTATTGTATTTTCGTATGTAAGCCACAAAACATGTTTGCAGTTTCGAAATTTAGAAGCCAGCTTATTTGTCCCTAAAATTATATATCTTCCGGAACTTTTTCTCGCAAAAAAGTTCCAAAAACGAATGTGCACCCTTTGCGCTTTTTAATGTTCACGTTATTCGCCAAATTTTATGGTGGCGTGTTTTAAGGAGACAACTTTTATACACTCCAATTCATTGCTGACAAACTATTCCTCTCAAAAGCATGTAACCATTTAATGTAGTGTAAGGCTGACCAATTATGGATAGTGATTCAGTTAGCATTGTGAAGTACCGATGCAACAGATACGTTCAGCACCTATAAGTGGGCTGTATTGTATAAGTAAGGCACCGGCTCGTGCTTTCTGTCAGCAGTCTGTTCGTCCAAACACCCGGATGCAAGCCAGAACAAAGAGAAGGCAAGCAAGCCATCGCTGGAAGCACAGCACACCAAGAAGAACCCAAAGGCCAACACCAAAACAAAGGTACGCTCATGACTGTATGTTGTGAAACAGGGTTAGTTCAAGTGCAAACTATCTAGGGCCCTATAGTTTTTCTGTACAAAGTCGGTTTCTCCATTGTACATATTCAACCGCAGTAACTGTTTCCAAGGCACTCTTTTAAACACTCAATTGAGCAAACAGCATTGTTTACTCCTTTATTTATTTATTCTTTTTTCTTTCCTGGAAGTATTTTTTTAATGCATAGCTGAGCACCTAACAAGAACATTCATGGCACACCCATTCTCACGTTTCAACTGGTTTCATATGGCACATACCGCACGGTGTAGCCAGCGCTATTGCGACACGCTTTTACTCGAAGGTAAGGACAGATGACAAGCACAAAATTTGATCAGTCAGGTCGGTGCCTCTAAGGAGCACATTTTATCACGCCATAGCAGTTCTAACGGCAGCCTTCCCATTCCAAAAGAAAAAATGGGAACTGCTTCTTTTTGACGACTACGTGGCCATCCTTCATAGCCACGCAAATGTCACGGATACTATATCAGAATCAGTCTTATTCAGACAACCAACGAGTAGTACAGTTGCTTAGGGGGGGCCGTCACAAAAGGCAAACGTCACGTCATCAGGCGTGCATTGCTACAGGCATCCTTGCCTCTCTCCCCGGTCACATCATTCAGCAAGCCTAGGCAAAGAAAATGTTCAACAGAGAAAATTAAAAACAAATGACAGAGACAAACCAAACATAAAGTCGGAGGATGCTTAAGCTTCACCTTTAAGAGTGGAACAGCGTTACCGGATCCTTGGCCCGCTTGTGGCGCATCGCCTCTGCATGCCGAGTCTTCTTCTCGGCCTTCTCGGCTTCAGCCTTACGTGGCCGACCCCGTCACCGAGCAGGGGCGGGCATAGATACGGCATCTGCACTCATAGAAGACGACGACTAATAAGATCACCCTGCACGGGTAGACGGGACCACATGCATCGCACGCGTGTTCTCTCTCGGTGACCCCGCGGTGAGGTACGCATTCCCCACAGATGAACAAAGAGGGCAGGATCGCAGCGCCACTGGGCGGACTCGGCGACGGAGGGAAACTTTCCGCTCCTCAGCGACGAATGGAAATTGTACACTCCTCCAGACAGACGAGCCTAGGTCATGTGGCTGTGACGTCATGAGCCTATCGACCCATCAGGATTTTCGCGTCACGTCGACTTTTCTGGCACGACATAGAGGCCGGCGCACCAAAGCTCCTTGACGCTATCGCGTTAAAAATATGCATCAACATTTAAAAGAACTCTGCATGATCGAAAGCAAGGAAATGATATTCACATGGTCACTCATGAAGCAGCAAGACAGCATGCATCCATCTCTTCAAACCTGCGTAAATACGGCAGAGAAAGCGGCACCAGGCAATAAATTCGCACCTACCGTAATATCCCGAGAGATAGCCCACCTAAAGTTGATAGCAAATCGAATGAACATAAGGGAAAGCTAACTTTTGTTGTGCCTGGTCGGTTCGCACCTGTAAGCGCAAAAGCACATAGCTCGCCTTGTGGGGCTGGCAGACCGCCAAGCCAGCATACACGCACGGGGATACGGGGATACGCAGCAAAAAAGCAATTGAAAACATAAAACTGTAAAAAAAGAAAAAAAAGGTGGAGGATGGATGGCAAATGCAAGGGGAAGGGCACGCGCCTGTGGGGAGGGCAGGCAGTGCTTGCTGTTGGAATCAAAGCTTGTGCTCTTTCCCCAAACACCGCTGAAGCTGCGCTGAAGCTGCGAGACTTCTTGGCCCCAAAATAAAATATATAAGCAAAAAAAAAGTCGTTGTCAGGTTGAGTGTGTTGACAAAGGTTGAGCTAGAGTCACTGTATGGGTTGAGCAATCACGCTTTGAGCGCCTTATCTTTGTTTACCTTTTTCTTTCCCCATTTTTGCTTTGTGTTTTTTTTTCCCTTCTTTTTTGACCTTTCTTTTTTTTTTTTTTTGCTGCCTGAATTTAGTGAGGTTTCTTTTTTGTTGCTTGCTTAACTTTATTCTATGGATAAGGTTTTTTTCTTATATACCTCGCCTTTTCCGTTGTTTTTTTTTTTATTATTTTCGTGTTTTGTTGTTGGCGCTGTGTGAAGGTCGTGGCCAGGCTAAATGATCGCAAACACGGTCGTCGCTTAAACGCAGCGGGGTTTGTGATCTTCACCAACTAAACTCTACTGTATTTAGTGGCTCTTAGAGGCTCTATTTGATAAGGTCTGGTTTGTTGCAGCCTTCGGTATTAGTAGGGACGCGCAAAAATTTCAACTGGAGCTTAAGTTAACATATTTTTGTATTTCGAATTATCAATACATCGAACTATTTTACAATCCCCTTTGAATTCAATATATCCGGGTTCGACTGTACCGCAGTGTGACAATCGCACTCCCTAGTTCCTAGGTGATCCACTTCCATATAAAGGTGCTAGCTTGCCACTTCCTGACGTGGAAGTATGAAGTATGGCTCTTAGTGCGACAATCATCCGGACGACAGCCATTTTGATAGGAACTAGGGTGCTGCCTATAGGCCATGAAAATAGTTGGAGGAAGAGAGGCACAATTAAGCCTTGTCCTCAAGGTGGTATTTCTCCGACTCGCGTGACGAGGCGTTTTTGTTCTCTGCGCGCTGCGACCAGGACGCAGCCGCGAAGTCGTTCCCGGAGGACGACATCTGGTGCGTGCGGCGAAGCGAACGCATCTTCCTCCTGGACGCGGGTGTGGTGAAGTCCTCCACCCTCTCGACCACGCCCGAGCGCCAGGACGCCACCACGTCTGCGGGTGGCGGCTCGGCTCGCGGCGGCAAGGCCGCTGACAAGGCCACAGACAAGGTAAGCTTCGTTACGTCCAGCCCTGTTCGGATTTTTGATTCCTCCGCCGTGCCAGCGAAGCTTCATGGCTTCGTTGTCTTACTGAAAGTTACGGAGGGACTCTTTAAGTCGGCGATGTCTACATTCCAAGTATCTCTCGCTGTTCCAAAATACCACATCTGTTGTCTCTTCCGGCGCCATTTCAAAATTTGGGTCGTCTTTGCATTGTGACCCAGTGATTGTATCGTAATCATTCTTCGAATTGGTTTGTGAAATCTCTTTTGGATCTTATGATTAGATTTTATGACTGAATTCAGTTCTATGACTAAATGCGGTGTGTTCGTAGAAGTCACCTTTTTGTCTAGACTTCACGCCACTGCGCAGGATTTACATGCTATTGGCTGTAAGGGTCCTCAATTAAATCATGATTCAGTCTTCTTTTTTCACAAAATTATGTTTTGGCTACATGTTATCATTTGTAAGGTTCCTCAAGTAAATCGTAGTTCAATCTTTTTTTTTTTTTTTTCACAAAATCATGGTTTTGTTTTTATGCTTTTTGGGTTAATAAAGCTCTTTAAGACATTAGGCTCTCGACATAATTTTCCACATGTATGGGTGTACTGCGACTTGCCTTTTTTGTTTCGTCCAGTGCAAGTTCCAAGTTGTTAGAGCTAAAACTTGCTAATATATGTAGGGCCACACACGGCCTAGATTGATGAGATGTTGTCTTTGGTGCCTACCGTAATATCCCGAGTCATCGCCCATCCCCGAGCCATCGCCCACCCCATTTTTTGGGCCAATATCGATTTCCAAAAAAACACCGAGTCATCGCCCACCCCTTCAAATACCCCAGCGCGGACTCTGCGATCCGCGAACACTCATCCTACCCGAATGACGCGGCCGCGGTCCTTACAGTTCAAGGACGTCCGTGACAAAGTAAAACAAAGGAGGGAAAGACACTTCTTTTTGTTTACCTCCGTGAGCGACCCCAAAGTGGTCGTGTATCCGTGCGAAAAGAAAACGATGGAGATAACAAAATAAGAGTTTGTTAATTTAACCGCGGAGTGTTAGGTCAAAGTCTGTCTCCGCCGAAGTAAGGTCACCGCGAACCCGCTCCTTCTTCCCGCCCGTCGCGACCGCGGTTGTGCAATATTTTAGGCAAAGCCAACGCGTAAATAAAGCTTTGCTGGAACGCCCTACACAGACGTTTGCAGAAAGTCCCAACCGTGCATTGATAGCCCGCCGTGCACGGACGCACGTATGTACGCACCAAACAAGAAAGTTGCGCAAGAGCTTGCAATTGACAAGGCGCCCGACTTGGCCCGACGCCAAAGTATTTACCAACGCGACCGCTGGCTTTCCCGCTTTCCCATTGCTCTTGGTCGCTTCTTTGGTCCGCTCGCTCGCTCGCTCGTTGCGCCTGGTCGGTTTTTTCTATTTTCTTGTAGACTTTTCTTTCTTTTATTTTTTTTTACTAACTAGGAGAACATAGTGGTGACATTCACGGAACAAACGTTCGCGCTATATGCAGATCGGCGGTGTTTCTAGCGCGTATGCAAGCAACGGACTTCGCTATAGTAAAATATTCTTTCGTGAGCATTTTTTTTTTCTATAAAACAATGAACCTAAATCGAGTTTTGAGTTTGATGTATCTCTTGTGCATCAGCGCTAGATACGCAGAGAAAATAGGCGGTTTTTTCCGCTTTTTTTCAAGTGTTTGTGCTCACCCACCGAGACATGGCCCACCCCACTTTTTTAATGAATTTCAGGTGGTAGGGGGGTGGGCGATGACTCGGGATATTACGGTAGTCATGTACCCTAACCCGTGACCGTAATGTGATAATTGCCATTAGTGGCTTTTTAAATAAGTACTGTTGTGCTATAACGGTTGTGATAACTCGGCACTTCTGCAAATATTATATTCTTCCACTTCGGGTCACACGCCTTTCGTCGTTTGACCCTGTGATATGACCTTCTATGAAATTACTTCTTCACAGGACATTAAATTGACATCCTGGAGGACTTGAGAGTAATTTCTCAAGCTCTCGGATTCCCTTGAACATTTAAGCAAAGCGTTTTTTTAAGTTTTGTCAAAACCAAAGCTATAGCTGAGGCATACACAAGAGCCTCTTCACAAACCAGATGCTCCAACCTTTCCCTTTTGTCCTTCAATAGAAGTTTGTAAGCTTATTAACCGTCTTGATTGCGAGAATGTTAAGTAGGGGGCCGAGCATCTTGGCCGTCAGTCGGTGTAACCAGAGGTACGTTGGGATCGAGACTCCCAAGAGTTTCCGGTTTTGTCTGTCGAGCGCCGATTGCTCCGCCGAGTGGTTTCACGAGAGCAGTGCGTGGCGAAGCGGGGAGTGGTGCTCAAAGGGATTGTGTGTCCTGCCTTTTCACCCAGACGCCCCCGGCTGCGGTCCCTAAGACCAGCTCCAAGAGCGTTCCCCAACCGGAGCGCCCCGTTTTGTCGGCGGCCAAGCCGGCGCCATCGGCACCCTCGGTTCGAACCATCCCCCTCTCTCTTTTTGGTTTTTGACCCTTTTTGCTTTTTTACCCTCCCCTGTGCCCCCTTCCCTTTTGGCTTTTTTCTTTTTGTTTTTGGGTGCCAGTCACTAGCCTGACCGGCGTTGTCCGCAGGCTTCTCACACTGTTTGCGAAGGGGTGCAGTGAAATGGTTCAGATCATTGCCGCCTTCTTGAAGTTTAACACGAGGTTAAGCATCTCCTTGCTGCTTGACATGACATTATCGTTGTATCAATAACATTAGCATTGCAATGTTAACATTGAAATTGTAATATTGGCATAAATGTTACAATAAAAGCATTTTGTAGAGTTCACATTTTCATTGTAAAGTTGACATCAATATTGCTATGTTAACATGAATGTTATAATGTTAGTGTTAACATTGAAATGTTAACATTGAAATGTTAACATTCACTTTGCTATGCTTTAAAGGCGAGGCTAATTCGTTGCAATTTCCTCTTGGACAAGGTAATTTTGACGGTTGACTTGCTAACAACTGCAGGAATGTGTCTGCAGGGTTCGGCACTTGTTTATTGTGTGTCGCATTGGTCCTGACCTGGGACCAAAACGACACAAGCCTTCTTTTGGTGCAATGTATAGTTTTCACAATATCAAATTTGTCCACCTTTCGTGGAACACCCTGTATATTGATGCCTTGTGACTGTATATTGTCTTCTATACTAGACTGTGTATTGTCTTCTAAACAGATTAAAACGATCGCTTCCTAAGTACTGCATTTCATGCATTATGGAACTTTGAAACTAAAGGTCGCTGCCGATTTGATTACGTCTACATGTTTACTGTATTGGCAGCTGAAATACCAAATACAGTCAAACCCGTTTATAACAAATAGCAGGAAATGCTACGATCAGTTTGATATAGCAAGTAATTCGATATAGCAAAAACCATTTACAGCGAACTTCCATGATAGGTTCGTTGCAAGGCGAGAGCTTCTCTTTTTTTCTCATCTCTTCGCTTCCACCTTGTAACAACTCGCTAAAAAGTTCTTTTGTTTTTCTTTGCGGGGGGCGGAAAGGGACAGGCTAGAAGACGATTGTTTGTGTGTTTTTGGAAGCCTTCCCGGGGGAAAAAGTTTGATATAGCCAATATGTTGTTTGTTATAAAAAGTACTTTTTGCATGCATTTTTATTTAAATTTTCCGTGTGTTTGATATTGACAATATTTCGCTGTACGTGGGTTCATTCTAAACGGGTTTCACTGTAATGCTTACCACAACTTTAATAAAAAAAAGTCTGCAAACATACTCCAAAACCTTCAATGTAGTTAGTTATACAGAGATCGGGAGTGTTCCAGGGCTATTGATAAATGGCACAAGTGAGTTGCCTCATCATAAGGAGTTACGAGCGGTTCCAATGCCATCAATCATGCTCAGACACAAATCTGTGAGCCAATAATTATGGAGAGCTTTCTGTATACTTAAAGTCTGTATGTGCATAAAACAAAGTTGTGGTAGGCCTGCAATGCTGTTGTAAGGATGACAACGTAGCAGAGATCGCGCTCGTTCACAGTGGCTTTATAGATCCTCTTTGAAATTCAGTGCCATCTGGTGATTCGGACAGCAGTTTCACTTTCGACGAACTAGTGGCAGTCATGAAACTGTATTTCATCAGGCACTATCGCTTTCACATGTCAATCCACCGTCAATGCCATACACCGAGATGATAGCAATCAAAATTGCCTGTCTGAATTTCAAAAAGGCTCTATTGCGCTCTATCGTTGTAAAGCCAAACCAAGAACATTTTTGGTACGAGCGTTCGCACTCCGAAGGTTACACAGGATCCTCCGTGTGTTGCAGAAGCGGCCGACCACTCGCCAGGGTCTGGTGTCGGTGCTGCGGAAGTGCGGACGGCGCTCCGCGGGGCTGACGCCCAACAACAGCGACTCTGACGAAAATGACCGCGGGAGTGACTCTGCCGAGAACGTTCCGCTCAGTCAGCTGACAGGCACCGTGCGGAGTCGAAGCAGCTCAGGTATCCTCATTTGTGTGTTCGGTTTGTATAGTCCGACAAGATAAGAACTGAGGGGCGTCTTTTTTGAACGCCTCCAGTGCTTTGAACGCTGTGCTTTGGCTGTGCGTACACGCTCAATGTTCAGGCTTTGCCGAATCGTTGTCGAAGCTAGGAAGCTCAAGCTGGAGGTGGGACAACTGAAGGGCCTCCCTGTCAATCTCGATCTGTCGGTGACCTCCGTCTCATTCTCATTCTATAAGTGACTTCTCTGTCATCCTCATTCTGTCTGTGACCTCCCTGTCGTTCTCATTCTGATAGTGAGCTTCCCGTCGTTTTCATTCTGTGAGTGACCTCTTCGTCATTCTCATTCTGTCAGTGACCTCCCTGTCGACTTTTTCTGAGCATTGGAAGAAATTAGAGCATGTTCATTGTAATTGCCAGCGAGAGATAATAATGTAGGGTTCAGATTGAGTTGGACGTATAAAGAAAACGTGAGCTTGGTTGACTATTTCGCTTTTATAAAATTTTTGATGGGAAAATTTGTTTTCTATTGAGTTTTCTATTTCTTTCTCTTCTCTATCCACAGAGCAACCTCAGCAGTGTTACCTGGCGCCAGACGACCTTCACGACCTGACTCGGGTGGTCATGCTGGAGGACGGGCTCTTCTACACTGGCTACATCAACGAAATCCAGGCCCCCGACGTGTGAGTGCTGAATGTCGGCATGACATTGGCAATTGAACAGCTTTATTGAATGACTGTTGCGTGAAAACGAAATGTAGCATCAGCCGATAGATTTGCTTTCTTGTAATGCTCATGAACAGTCTTTTTTACGCTGGTCTCATCCACCAAATCCAGGCCCCCAACGTGCAAGGGTTGAATGTCGGCACGACGTTGGCAGTTAACCGGCCTTGTTGAATCACTGTCACATGAAAAAGAAGTGTAGCATCGGCCAATAGATTAACCTTTTTACAACGCTCAAGAACAGTCTCTTCTACACTGGCTGCATCAACCAAATCCAGGGCCAAACTTGTAGGGGTTGAACGTCGGCACAACGTTAGCATTTGAGTGGCTTTGTTGAATTAGTGTTGCATGAAAATGAAAAAGTATAGCATAGGCAGGTAAGTTAGCCTTGTTAGAATGCTGAAGGAGTCTTTTCTATTCTGGCTACATCAACGAAATGTAGGTCCCCGACGTCTGAGTGTCAAATGTCGGCACGACGTTGGCAAATTACTGGCATTGTTGAATCAGTGTCGCATGAAAATGAAGTGTAGCATGAGCAAATCGATTAGCCTTTTTACAATGCCCAAGGACAGGTTCTTCTACTCTGACTACAAAAAAAAATTATCCCGACATGTGGGTGTCGAATGTCAGCACAACGTTGGCAATAGACCGGCATTGACCGGTATACATGTATGTGAAGAAGGGTAGTGCAGTTAATCCATTCTAAATTACGAAGTGCAACATAAACTCCTGGTATGATCATGTACCTAGACAGGCTTTTTTATGCTCACTTAAGGAAACCATGAAATTATTTTCACACTTTGGCTAACTAGTGGCAAAAAAAAGACACTTCACATATTTATATAGTTAGACAAGCTAGAGTTTAGACGTTGCAGCCCACAAAACGTGAAATTATACATTTTCTTGCAGCTATGGCATCACCCTGGACGGAGAAAGGGGCAATCGGCCGCACATCTTCTCCCGCGAGGAAATTCTCAAAGAAGCGGTAAGTGCTCAAAGGTTGAAACAGTTGGCGCAAGCGTCAGTTTGTTCGGCCTAGTCGGGTTGTGTTTACGGCTTGTGCGAGTAAAGATCCTAATCTTAGTGAAGCCTAGACTTGCATAAGGGTCCATAGAACATTTTTGTCTTGGTTAGAAAGGGATATGATTATTTGATTGGTTGATAAAAGTGATGTCACTGATGTATGTATGTGTTGAAAGTGATCTAGAATTGGGATCATATGAGAACAAATTGAAAAATGAAAATGATGAAGACTTTGGGCCTCACTTTGTCTGATATCACATCACGAGTTACCGCATTTACTCGCACAATGAACTAACTTTTTTTTCCGGAAAATTGACCTATATTTGAGGAGGGTATTCAGTGTGCAGGTTAAAAGTTTTGCAGTCACACACTTTGTGCGAATGTCATTTTACATGCCAATATGACATGGCAGGGTACTGTGGCCTCCGTCTCCACTGACGGAGCCGTGCCCATGGCTGGTTGTGGGTGCGCCACAGTAATCATGCTCTATAAATTGCTAACCTTTTTAGGGCACTTTTGACGTGCCTTTTGCCGAAGAAAAAGCACCTTTTGAAGCTCACTTAGCACAGAGAGCGACGCGACCGTTCTTAGGCCTAACCACTTTCACGATATCACTGTTCAAAAGCGGATCACAGACGGCGGCGTGTTTGTTGACATCAATGCATTTGATGGATGAAGCACGTCCAGGGTTGGGCAATTCCTCAACCCCAGCTTCGCTGGTCATGTGCGTTTGGTTTTACGGTTGATCACTTTCACAACCACGCAATTACAGCCATTACGAGAGCAGCTTGGCTTGGCTTGACTTGACTTGACCTAACTTGACTTGGCCTGGCCGCTTTGCGGCAAAAGAAAATTGGCGAGCTTGGACGCTACCCGGCTAGCAAACTTGGACACAGTTCTAGACTACCGGAGCCGGAAGCTAAGAGTGCCTTAAAGGGGTCATGAAACGATTTTCCTACTTCTTCCTCCTTAGCTTTAATCCTCAACTCAAATGCAAATTGTGAAATCACGTGGTCGTGACATTCCTTCGGCACCAGTGCGATGACTCCTAGCTTCCACCGTGCTTTTTATGCACACCATAGAACTTGTCATTCCCCAGTGTCAATAAGTTCCGTCAGGGCACTCATTGGCCACGAAGGCAAATCCAAATATTCGTCGACGGATTGATTGTTGACGAGCGCAGACGTCCGAGTGACGCAGTTCTCGTGTCCAATGCGTGAGCTGGGCTCTGCTGACGTCAGTTTGGCGCCGGTGACACGCTTTTGGAACCGCGGATGTATCATAGTGAAAAGGCGGAGAGCTTTCGAAGGCAAGAAGGTACAAAATAGTCCGCTATAGACCTTTCCAATGTTTACAAATCCACAGCTCAGCGTGCAATCTCCACAGCTCAGCACGTGCGTGTGCGTCGCTTCGGAAAGCGAGCAAATCACGCGCGATACGCACAAACACTGAAAATGAAACCGGCCAGCAGCCCTTTTCTGGAAAGGTCTATATTTTCAAATGTTCATACCGAAAAGCTGGCGTTTGACTTTCTAGCCTCTTTCTTTTGGCCAACTAAACAATATTCGATTAGTAAAGTCCCAATTTAAAATCATTCATCCCAACCCAAAATTCGTTTCATGGCCCCTTTAATTAATGTCGAGAGTTGGTCTAGTTGGTATTCGTTGATCATAATGTAAAAACAGTGCAAACAAACACGGACGAAGGAGAAGAAACACGTAGACGGTACAAGCGCTTCGCTTTCTTCTCCTTCATCCGTGTTTGTTTGCGCTGTTTTTACATTAGGATTAAGAGTGCCTTCAATATATGCAAGAAAAAAAAAAAAAAAGTCCAAATATTGATGGCCGTTGTGGGGAGGTGCGTTCATTATGCGAGTAAATACGTTAGGATTTATGTTAGGTTTCTTCTAAAACACAAAGTTGCATAAATCTCTCTTAGATAAGCTTCAAAGATGTTAGGACAGCAAAAGCTCAGCTTATAGCACCCTCAACTATGACAGGATCAGTCAGATCAGGCTTTGTGGCCAGTACAGGACAAGTTGTTAATTACAATATCAGCTTTCAAAAGAAACAATTTTTATAAAATAAGCACATACTATTTTTACTGCATCACCACCCTATATAATAATAAATGCATTATAAACATATTGTCATTTTGTTACAAATAAAAGTTGGATTAATCTTGCAGCACTATTGCAGGTGCTTGATGTACCCATATAATTAATATACTCAGATAGTTTTTTCCTTTTCCTTGTGCAAATATTTGAATTTTCTAATAGTAGTTTAGAATAATATGCTATTCTATATTTACTTTGAGGTTAACTGAATGTTCATACTTTTCGAAGTGTCGATCGCGGCCGGTTAGCCTTGTTGAGTGTGCATCTTACCGAGCATCTGTGCACTGCAAGGAACCAATACCTGCAGAGCTCGCAGGCTCTGCAGGTGTTGCTTCCCCACAGTGCTTCCGAGATATGACGTTATGGCCAAAACATTGCCCAGGTCTATTTTGTTGACCCAATAGTTCCAAAATCTTAATTTTTTGCTGGTGTATATCAATTTTTTGAAAAAGACAAAAATTGACTTTGGAAAACTTATGGGGGGGGGCCCCCCCCTAAGATTTAGAAACAGAAGGGGTGCGGTGCCCCCCTCCACCCAATTTAGTTTCTAAATCTCCCCCTGCTCTCTCCCTCTGGCGGCAGGTGCGAGAGGTAAAGCCACGCTCTTTGCGGGAGCTTCCCGAGGGGCGCCGTGTCTGCGCATACTGGAGCCAGCAGTACCGCTGCCTGTACCCCGGACTGGTGGCCAAAGGTGCGTCTAGGCTGCCTGCTTCTCGGCGAATGGCAAAAAGTTCCCGGCTGCATGCCCAGGCGTCGTGGCCGGCCGATACTGTCGGTCATCATTGGGGCCTATCCACGCGGTAACATTTGGCCTTGTTTAGCTGCGTTGCGGGTGCTTGCGTCAACGCGGCCACGGGTTTTCCCGGCAATGAAGCGACACGGCCCCCGTCGCAACTGCGTTTCCCGGAGTGCGTCTCCGACCGCCGTGCTTGCCCCTTCCTCAAAAGCAGTCCCCCGATTTGTGCCCAACGACGTCGTAAAAGTGTCGTGCCACTCCCTGCCGCAATCCATGCTGTTACTTCTTTTAGGAGACGGGGAGAGCCGACGTTGCAGGAAAGAGGCCCACCATGTTTGTTTCACCGAGCCCGCCAAACACACTCTTGAACCAGCGTAATTGCCAGACATGCTCTCGGACCAGCATAACAAACCGAAACCAAAAATGAATCGAAGCTACAACGCTCGCGGTGGCAATTCTCACGGTGACACTATGGCGAAGGTCGGTGCACCGGATGCCTGTTGCGCTGCACCAACCTTGGACCGTCCGACGCCTACCTTCGACCGTCGGACACCAACCTTCGATCGTCAGCAGACGCCTGTTCGAGCGTTCGGTTGCTCTGCAGCCAGACGGTCGACGGAAACCAGAGCGAACGCGTGGGACGTCGCGGGACTCGCGTCGATTCGCCTTTTTCCGTTGGCGCTCTATGACTGACAGCGAGAGTAGCGAAATCCAACGGCACGACATGCCGTCCCCCGCGACGCAACTTGCCATCCCTTTGGGACCGCTTTCGACGCGTGGGCAGGATGGCGACGGTAAACGCTGCAGTCAGAGGCGCGTTGCAGGCACCTTCTTCAACTAGAACATGTCCTCGGTGACTGATTGACGTGTGCGGTGTTCTTTCTGTGCGTCCTCGAGCGAGCCGAGATCTCTCTGAATGCAGCCACCAGCCCAAATCCATCACCCGGTGGCGCACTCGTCTACGTGGAGTTTGACGACGGTGACTCGGGGAAGATAGCCCTCGAGGACGTTCGTCTGCTTCCCCAGGACTACCCTCCAACAGGTGACGCTGGCCTTTTCTTGCACTATCTTGTCTGCAAACAAAACTGGAAAAAATGCTGAGAATCGTTTGTTGACTCAATGCACTTTCTACGTGATGTCTCGGGGAATTCGATTCATTAATATAGTTTTTTTTATTTTAAAGTAAGCTTTAAAGTATGGTCGTCTGACTCACCGATTAAGTGACATTTATTTTGTGGTAAGCTCCACAGGCATTGACATTTCTGTTTTTGCAGTAAGCTTGTAGCTATTGCAAGCATCGATTTTTATGTTTTTGTAATAAGCTTGTAGCCAGTCGAGGCACGGGAGGCACTGATTGATTTGTGTGTTCTTATACTAGTACCGTAAAATCCCATAAGAACGCCCCCTCAAAATGAAGAGAGGTGAAAAACATGGGGTGGGCTATCTTTGGGGATGCAACAGCAAAATTTTAGCAAAACTAATGATAAACACAACGGCTCTGCCACAAACCACGTGACGCGAGAACTGATACCGCAGACCGCAGCCACGGCAAATGTTCGTTTCACGTTGGGGTAAACACACAAGAATTTCCTACAAACTCCTGTGTCATGGGACAGGAAACCGCAGGTTGCAGACGCAGCAGATTCGCATTTCACGGTGCAAAGGACCCGTGCGCCAAGAACTCGCATCTCACGGGAACGGATACCGCAGTTTGCAGATGCAGCAGATTCAAGTTCCATGGTGCAATAAACACACAGGAGCCTGCTACAAACTTGCCTGTCACGAAAACCGATATCGCATGCGTAGATCGCGGACAAAAACGTGAGAATCGGCTACGAACTCGCGTGTCACGAGAATGAATACCCCGGATGGCAGACACAGCACAATTGCATTTTACAATGCAATATGCACGCAGGAACAACTTGCGTGTTACGGGAGCCGATATCGCGCTTGCAGATCGTGAACAAAAATGCGGGAACCCACTATGGAACTCGCTTGTCAGACAAACTGGTACCACAGATCATGCATTTGATGTGATTCTCGTCAGACATCATGTAACGTCCGACAGGAATTAGGGGGTGGGCAATGTTTTGGAATTATTATGTTACGTATATTTAGCCAGAAAAATGGAATGGGCAATCGCTCGGGGGAGGGTGTCCCTACGGGGTTTCACGGTAACCTTGATTTGCTGGTACAGACATTTTAGATAATGATGTGGTATAGGCACTTCGAGGCAGACTTGTACACGTTACTAAAAAAAGTAAGGAATTACATTTACAAATGCACAAATTTAAATTGTAACTAATTACATTACAATTACCCTTCCATAAAAGTAAGTGACCGTTATACCACTAAAAGTAATTCGTTACTTTTGTGGCATTACTTTCTACCTTACTGTCCTATGGTAAGATACAAAACACTAAAATGTTAAGGCTTGTTCACACTCTTGCAACCGACTAAGACCGAGAGAGACCAGACCGGTTTTTAAGCCTCTTGCGATCTCTTAGGACCAGCTCCGCTGCAGCGCATCCGGTCCTAAGTCGTCGCAAAAGGCTTAAAAACCGGTCTGGTCTCTCTCGGTCTTATTCGGTCGCAAGAGTGTGAACGGCGCTTTATGGAAGCGTTTATTGTTGCCACCAGTCACACTTTTCTGACCTTGAGCTACAGCTGGCTCTTGAAAGTGTCGTCGGACTCTTGCCTCGTTTCTAAGTGAAGATGTTGTTGTGCCGGTCCCGGTTGTCTCGTTTACATCAGGCGGAAGCGAATAAAAAAGACACGACGACGAGCACAAAAGGAAGCGCATTCTCGAAGCGTGAATCTTGAGAGCGACCGCGCGCCGTCAGAAGGTGCAACCAGCCATTTCGGCTGACGCTCCCGCGCCCCGCAAACTTCTGCTGCCGACTGTATAGTTTATTGACACCTACGAATGTCCTCTTGTGCCGATTATAAGGAGCATGTTAGCAGCAGTAGCTTGGACTTTTTGTGCTGCCACATATATCTCGAAGGATTTGAAAAGCCCCAAGCCATCTTCTTCAAACCGCAGTCTTAGGACTATAACCGTACGTGGTCTGCAGAGATAACCAGTGATTTAGATTATCGGAGGTTGCGAAAAGTGTGGACGAGAGACGATGGACGGGCAGTGTAGACTCAAAAGCGGCGTTGTTCCGTAGCAGTTGACCCGAACCCGTCGTTGGGACCGAAGAAGAAGCGGGCTCGACACGCGGACAGCGGCCAAGAGGCCAAAGACACGGACGCCTCGGATGCGGATCGGCCGCGCAAGCTCAAGAAAAGGAAAAAGTCCAAAATCAAGAAAACAAGTTAGTGTCCTTGTCACTTCTCAACTTTCCCTGCATCTGCAATGCTTCATGTGGTTAAAGGGCTGCTCCAACCTGAGAAAATGTGCCTGGTTTGCATCACGATACATGGGTTTTGTTAGAGCTCCGAGTTTTCAAAGTTTATTTTTCATCAAATTCAGGGTGTTCTTGGGGTTTATTTGAGGGCAACTCCAATTCAGGGTTTTTCTGTTTTCTCAGATTTCGAATAAACAGGTTCAGGGGTTACCTTTTAGGATTTATTGGTAGAGACTGAAAGCATGGGACGCTTGGTACAAATCGGGCAGGACACCGATGCCGTCAAGGCATGCGTTTCGTGGAACTTCAATTTCGAAGTAGGACTGATGCGTCAAATTGTACGGCATGCAGAGACACGTCAACAAGATTCGAGCGATCCGGAGTCGGACTCGGAAAGCAGCGAAACCCCCCAGGCGTCGGAAGCCAAGAAGCGTCGTCGCGAGCGGAAACACCGGCGGCACCACAAGCACCACCGGTGCCATCATCGCCACAAGCACCGTAAACGACGACACCAACACCAAGGTATGTGCTGCCGCTTCGACGACCCCCTCTGCGATGCTGTCCTGCTCTGCATTCCGCAACAAATACAAGATAGCCAACCTAGCATCCTGTATTTGCCGCTGTATGCTGCTGTATGCATTTTTTTTAATTAATATTTTTTTTAGCGTGCAATTTTTTCAGTGCATCAGGAATGCTACCAATTAGTAGTCCGCTATAGCAACAATAGCAGATGTTTAAAACACATAGCAATTTCTTTTTTTTTTTTTTATTTCAGCTCGCAAGGTAGCTGCTGTCTTATGTTGTAGACAGGCTATATATTTTTGCTCTATATGATTTCTTTAAGAAAAGGGTGGGCCCTCCTGCTACGTGGTGACAGTTTTTATTGTACAGTCGAGCTTGGTTATATCACACTCGGGTATTTCGAATTATTGTTTATATCAAGCAGTCCAAACATCCCCTTGAAAATCACATGTAATAGTATAGGAGCGTTGTCTTTTTGTATCCAACTCCCATGGCAGGGACACTCAATATAGCGAACAAAGCCCGGCCGCCCGCCTGTTGCTTTTCCCGCGATCCGATCGCGGGTGGCGAGCACATCGCTTGAATTGCGCGGCTGGCAGACCGCCAAGCCAGCATACACGCTGGAAGATACACAGCAAAAGAGCAGTTGTAGAAAAAGAGAGACAATGAACCGTAAAAAAAAAAAAGTGGAGGATGGCAAAAGCAAGAGGAAGGGCACACGCACGCACGTAGGGAGAGCAGGGAGTGCCCGCTGTTGGAACAGTAGCCTGCGCCCTTTCCCTGGACACTGCTGGGGCTGCGCGACTCCATAACCCCAAAATAAAATCAGCAAAAAAGAAATTTTTGCTTTGGTAAGTTCAGTGAGTGTATTAGCAAGTTGAGCGAGTGTGTCCACAGCAATGGTTGTGCAATCACATTTTGAATGGCTTATCTTTCTTTACCTTTTCCTTTTGCCGTTATTGCTGTGCCCATCTTTTTTTGCTGTCTGAATTTAGTGAGCTTTCTTTTTCGTTGCTTGCTTCACTTTTTCCTATGGATCAAGAGCTTTGTTTTATGCACCTCGCTTTTCCATTTTTATTTTTTTATTATTTTCGTGTTTTGTCGTTTATGCTGCATGAAGGTCCCGGCCAGGTGCGCGTGTAAGCGCGGCGGTGCTTGTGGTCTCTGCCAACTACATATGCTCTACTGTATTTAGCTGCTCTTAGACGCTCTATTTGGTAAGCTCCCGTTTGTTGCGACCTTCGGTATTAGCAGAGACGCCAGGAAATTTCAACTCGAGCTTAATTTAACATATTTTTGTATATAAAATTATTAATATATCGAACAATTTTATGATTTCCTTTGAATTCAATATATCCGGGTTCGACTGTAGTCCTATCTAGCCCGGTGGAAATAAGATGAGAGGATAATCATCATAATTGCCTAAATAATTGAGCAGTATTTGGTGAATTACTTTTTTGGCTACCATCCCTTTGCCAACTCTTGCCGACGTCTGCCCACCCTTTACCAATGGCTGCCGTGCTTTGCCGACTCTTGACAACAGCTGCCATACCTAGTTAACCCTTTGCCAACGGGTTTTATACTTTGCCGACCCTTTGCCGATGACTGTCATACCTTGCCGACGGCTGCCATACCTTGCCACGCCGACTCTTGACGACAGCTGTCACACTTAGTCAATCCTCCGCTGACGCCTGCAGTTCTTTTTCGATGGCTGCCATACCTTACCGACTCCTGACGACAGCTGCCATTCATTGGCGACCACACGTTGCCGACCATTTGCCGATGCCTGCCATACCTTGCCAACAGCTGGCATACTTTTCCAATCCTTTGCTGACGGCTGCTCCGTTCTGCAGAAGGCACCGACGAGGGCGAGAAACGTGACCCAGGTGACGACGCGGCGTCCCCGGGGGCAGCGGCAGCGGCAGCCGCCCTCACGAGCTGCTCCTCGGAGCTCTCGAGCAGCGGCTCGCCGACGTACTCGCCGCCGCATGGTGGTGAGAAGCGGTCGGGGCTGACGGTGCGCATTCGGACGTCTTCGACGGAGTTGCAGCCGGAGGGCCAAGAAAGCAGCGACGACGCGTCACAAGACAGCAGCTCGTCCGACGAGGTGGCCGAGAGCGCTGTAAGACGACTCTGGCAATTGTAATACAGTATAGACCACTTACAACGTAACCGCTTATAGTGCAGGACCGGGTATAACGCGGTTTTTTTAAACCACCGGTTCGTCTCCCATAGAACTCCATGTAATTACATACCGCTTAAAATGCAGGCGCGCGAAGGGAAATACCGGTTATAGTGCGGTTTCTGGCACAGCCCGCCGGCCGCGCCGACGACCGGAGCAGCGAGCGCGCTTCCCTGTGCGACACTAGATAACGGCGCTGACGGCGCGAGCCGCAAGCGTTGCGCAAGCGGCACTCGCGGGGCAAGGAGGGTGCTCGAAGAAGCGGGAGAAGCGAAGAGAGAGGCTTCAGTTGCCCTAGCGACGGAGGGACGCACGCACGTGTCGTTCACGTGCGTGCGTCCCTCCGCTGCGTTGGAAACAAACAACCGCAGCGACAGACCAATCGCAGGCCGAGGAGAAGTGTTGGGCGCGTTACATGCTGGTTGCGGGCCGGCTGCTTCTATCCGCAAACACGGCGTCGGTTGTGATCGTCGTCGTAGACGGCGTTCATCTCATCGTTCCGCGTAAAAACGCTATCCTTGACTGTGAATTTTCGTTGTGTGTCGCTATGATAACCCAGCACGTACTAGAAGGGAAGATCCACCTACTTGTGCGGCGATGTCAAGGCGGCGCTCTCAAGACGGCAGAAACGCCCGTGTCGTCGTGTTTGCTTACTTCGACTACAGTGGTGATTTCTAAGCATTTGTGTCCTCGAACATCGCCCGGATTTCTTATTTGGCGCATTTCATGCGTGCGCTCAAGTTCAAGGTATTACTGGCGCGTACCGTGTGAAGGATGCGAATTTTCACGCGTTTTCATCTTCGGAGAAAAGTGATTAGGGTTAGCAATCCTGAACGCTCTCAACGTCCGTCCGCAACCCGCGACGCCGTTAAAAGGCTGCGCCAGGCAAAAGCTGCTCATTTCTTTCAAAATGTGTAACACACTTGAGACAGAACTGTACTAGTCAGGTGAAATAAAGACTTTCCTCAAACTAAGCTTTATTTTTCATCTAACATGAAATAAATTCTTTTCACAAGTGTAAGTTGTCTCATGGCATGTATTTTGGCCTGAAAAATTGATGTTTTGGTTATAGTGCGGTACCGCTTATAGTGCGGATTTTCGCGACTCCCGCGACATACGTTATATGCGGTCTACACTGTAATGCAGTAATATGGTAGTACAAGGGCTGTTCTTTTTTTAGACCTCCGATAAACTGGGTAAAATAAAAGAGGACTGCATTTCTGCGGTGCTTTGCCGCAGACTATGTCGACATCTCTTCTATGAAGGTCATATTCCGCCAATTAAATTGAGACGAGCCTCATTCCTGCACTTGGCCTCCGATCGTAGCACAACGAACCCACCTTGCTTTTCTGTCCCTAGCCTTGCTACTTTGTCCTTAATTTCGTTGAACGCACAATGAAATGACAAAGCAAAGGTGGTAACCTTCTCTAAGGAAAGCATCTATCAGCTTGTGCGACGTCAGGATGATTGCCTATCTCTGGAATGTGATTATGTGGAGAAGTGGTTACAGTGTGTATATATGAAAACACTTATCATCAGTCTTGTTTATTTACCCAGCTCATTAAAGGGACAATGAAGACGATTTTATTTAATTTTTTTAAATGGTGTTTTTATGCTTATTGGGAACATAGCATGCTGCCCAATTTTTTGTAGACATTTGTGATGCATATTTCTGTGCCTACGAAAGAAGTAAAGCAACCGAAACTCAACAATCTCCATTCTCGTTTCTGGGCCTCCGAAAACGGAGGTGACGTAGGGAGTGACGTCAAGTGTGAATAGTTGGTATCGGTAGTATTTAGGAGATCGAGACTCTGGTTACCGCGGTGGGTTATAGCAGCGCGGTGGCGCGGTTGTTTCGTCGAATCTGTCAACATGGACGGCAATGCCGCTCTAGCGAGCGAGTTCAAGCTTCCATTCAATGACCCAACGCGAACGGAACGGGAGTATGTGTGTGGCGGCCTCCGCCATGACCCGACGGAGACGACTGAGACCGCCCAGCCGGTAACGAGCGGCCCGCATGCCGACGTGCCCATAGTTGCTCGTTGGCCGTTTCGCGTCCAGCGTAGCAAAGAAAAAAAACAATTATGCTGTTTTATTTACGGTTTAGTAATCATTTCCGGTCCGATTTATACTTTTCTTGGTTATTCAAGCGGAAATTAGAACAGTATTTCTAAAAATCGCGAACCAAAACGTGACCGAGGGCACGTCTTTCGTTTCGACCAATCGCTGACGCGTCTCTTGTGACGTTACGCTTCTTGGCCCTGCATCGGTCACGTGAGCTCCGCTTCTCCTGGCTTCTCCCGCAACTCTCAAGGCGTCGCCCCAGTCGATCCCGGTAGGATTATTACCGCAACTGTTTACTTGATTGGCGCGGCACAGAAGCGCTGGTTTCGGCTGAAATTTGGGCAGTGTGGCCCGAGACGTGCCTGGAACCCAGTTCAATCACCAAAAAGATGTCTGAAATTGCCTTCATTGTCCCTTTAAAGGCTGAAAAAAAAAAAAAAAATAGCCCACATATATTACTGGAAGTGAGGTGATTGTTGCTTCATTTCACCAAATGTGAGGAAGTCCTGCCAGCAATGTGCCAAAAGTTAAATTTTCTCAGTGCTATTAACTAATAGCTCGGGCATTGCTACACCACATTACTGTGGCAGGCTTGCGCAAATGTTAAAAACTTTAGAATAGATTATCGCTTCGAACAATGTGCCACTTGATTTGATCTTTGTATCGAACTCTCGCAATATTTGGGAGCTCCATAATATTTTTCAAAATGTGCGAGCTGCTTGGCTAGGTGCAACTAGCTTAGTCGAGCGCACCTCTCGATGCGCACTAGTGCACTGCCGAGATGCCCATGGAGCAGGCATCACAATCTCATGCATCTCGCTTTATCGCTGCGCATCCACGTTCTTAGTGCGCGTCCCGTGCTGAAAATATTTCAGGTGATGTGTGCAATCATTTCTTCTGATTCGATTTTTGCAGGAACCCAAGAGGCCAGCCAAGCGAAAAGAGCGTCTCCCGTCGGTGGAGAAAAGCAAAATCGCGGGTAACTATACCGGTATTCCATTTAAGAAGAATCAGGAGCCAGTTCTCATCAAGCCAAATTTTATTCCATGTAGCTGTCATTGTAGCCAGATTTGGTTATCCAAAGCAGCTTGTGCTGAAAGCAGTGCTTTAAGTGCTTATGCTTTTCTCCTGGAGGCATTGGTGGTCATGTGTGCTAGCACATTGCAGCTAAAAACATGCAAAGCCAAAGTTTGTGCTGCAGAGCTCAGGGATTGTCATTCGATCAGTTCATTTCATTTCAACCCGGATGGGCATTTATTTCGTACCAGCATGCAATAGTAAACTCACTGCTGGGCGATGCAAGTTAAAGACCCCAGGTTAGCAGTTGTACTGCACTGGGTAAATTGCCCATCCTCAGCACGAATCCGTGTCGCCACACCTCAAATCCAGAACGGCCTCTTGCGGTGTGAACGTTTAACGTCCGATGTGCTTTTCTTACTTCGCTCCAAGTTCGTCTCACGAGCACCTTGGGAGTCTGTTTTCTCATACTTGCTGGAGATTTTGTGAACGCACATCGACGTGCCTAGGAAGCCATTTTTCACGAGCACCTTTGCTTGCTGGCGCAGCATTCCTACCGGTGCGGCAGCTGTGGCGATGGTCGGGCAAGAGTTTCCGCCGGCCTGGCACTAAAGGCAAGGCCAAGAAGGAGTTCTACAAGGCAATCTGCAGGGGAAAGGAGTCCATACGGGTGAGTACCAGTCGTCTCCAATCGGGCAGCATTCATCGGCAATCCTCGAATCTGCACCATACTCGTCTGCAACTTTCTCTGGCTATGCAGTCAAAGCTGCGCCGGTGCTCGAGACCCTTGAGCGTTGATCGGAGCCGTGCGCGAGCACTCTTCACTTCTTTTGAAATGCCAGAGAAAGTTGTCCACGGGTTATACAAAATGTTCAGTCAGCCCATGTCACGTGCAGCTTCCACCTTGAAGCTGACGGTGCAGCTAAGGCGACAAGTGCTAGCTAGCCTGCACTCCTTGTTCTTTGCTTTGGAACATGCCTTTCCAACACAAAGCCTCATTCGGGAAAACTTGTTTCGAAGCAAAGCCTGCGCGCTGCTATCTTTGTCCACTGGACTGTGCAGCTCGTTGTAAGCATGCACGATGGAACTCTCTTTTGCCAAATATCATACGCCATGCGTGCATCAGCGGCAGAGTGACTCGGCATTTTTTGTCTGGGTGATAAGCACTGGAAAGGTCTATAGCGGGACGTGTATCCCTACGTCAACGGAAGTGTGTCACGGTTCGGCCGGAGACGTTGCGAATGCGATAGAGGCGAGGCCAAATACGAATAATTTACAACCCATTATATTTTTACAAAAGGAAGACAAAGATATAACGGAAAGCAAAGGAGTATGTACACAGTAAAAGGAGAAATAATACACACACACGCTTAAACACATCTACAGTTCCAAGAAATGAAGCTGTTCGGAGTAGGCCTTACAGTTTGAGTTCGTTGCGTCGACGAACCGAAGCAACTTCCCCAAGGCAGCGAAGGCCCTTGTCTCCTAGGCGTCTGAAGGGGAGTGTGTAACTCTCGCCGTGACAGCTTGTGCACAGCAAGGGTCGGGGGCGTCCTGGAGCGTAGCCATGGACCCCATCCGACGCTTCCTCCCGGTCTCAGTCTTTGATTATCCCTGCTTCGCCATCCTTTTTTTTTTTTCCTCTTCTAAAATCGTCTTACATAGCATCGTCTTCTTTTTCTTGCCCCTTCAACTTCCTTTTATGTCATATCTTAGAATCATGACATTGTGAATGATCATTAACTGGTTATTTCGACGCTTACCAGTTGCTTGTGCGACACCCTGTACGTCGATGCCTAAATATCCTAGGGATAGAGCCGGAAAACAGAATGTCCAGGGTGTTTTGAGCCGCTCTAAGTGTTAATTTCTCTTCTGAGTGAATTGTACATAAAATATGTAAGACAGTCACGTGGTTGGTGCAGCTTTGGATCACATGACGTTAGCGTCGGCTCGTGGCGTTGCGCGGCGTCAAAATGTTATGGGACGTCTGTAACATCACGTGACATCATCACGGGGTTGGTGTCGCTCGACATCTGACATGCCGACGACGTCACGTCCACCGAGTTTGGCGGGTGCACAACGGTTTTTTGTATCATTATGCTCCTCTCGTGGAACACGTTAACGCATTCTGCATAAAAAGGCGGAGGTTGCAACCAATATGCCACGTTAAAGACAAGGCATGCGTCACTAGCAGATCCCCCAAACATCGTCACTAGCAGATCCACGCAGCTCCGCCTGGCCTGCGTTAGCGACACCGCTGGCACGTCTTCCAGCGTCCGACGACGAGCGCGACGCTAGCAGACGGTGATGCCAGGACGCACGCGTCTGGACTTTTCTCGAGCTTCAGCTCATTTGCCGCTTGGTGCGGTTCGGGGACCCGCTGCTGACAGCGTCCTGTGTGGGCCTCGTCATGCGGGCGGTGTCAGTGCGGGCGGCAGAGTCCAGTCAACCCCGCCTCCTCCCCGCAGGTGGGGGACTGTGCGGTGTTTCTGTCGACGGGCCGGCCCAACCTGCCGTACATCGGCCGCATCGACACCATGTGGCAGTCCTGGGGGGGCAACATGGTGGTGCGCGTCAAGTGGTTCTACCACCCGGAGGAGACCCGGGGCCTGGCACGGCTCAAGCACCCAAAGGCGAGGATTCGGATTCGTACGCTGTCCCCCTTTCGAACGGGGCGGAAACTGCGGCACGGGCCGTCTCCATACTGGTCCCAGCCGAACATTGCTCCTTGCAATGCGAAGAGCAAGTCGTCCGCTTCTTGCGCAGGGGTTGCTGTGACGTCAGAACGACGCCAGGTTCTGATTGGCTTTGATTGGAAGGATAGGGGGTAGACCTTAATGCTAGATGCCTCAAGGTCTACCCACTAATTTTTTCGATTCACCAATAAGAGCACGGCGTTGTGGCATCGTAGCAACCCCTGTGCAAGAAGCAGACGAACTGGCGCTCTGCATAGCTGCCGCAGTTTCAAGTTGTCTCCTCATAATTTCCAACATTAATCTATTACGAATAATTGATTATGGTAATTATCGACTGGTTTACAATGATTCGTCGGTAAGTATTGATTGTGATAAATTACCATATTCATAAATTAAATTATGATAGTTAATGATGTTTGAAACAAATTTTCTTTCAGTTATAATCATGATATTTTCCGGGCTACAGTTCGCACCGGGTGTATAGTTTGCAGGAAGAAATTTCGGTTGAAAAGAAAGATTTTCCTTAGATAGTCTGCACCTGGTGCCTAGTCTGCATGTAAATAAATTCTTATACACAGCACACATTGATAGAGGGCTGCTTTCGCAGCTCACGGAGAAGCTTGTGTCACAGATCATTAACATACTCTGCTGCTCACAAACTCCGTCACATCTCATCATAACGAACGACCTAGAAAGAAAGCAATGCTCGTGTAGTTCGCATAGACTAGGCTCTTACACACGTGTGGTCCGCAGACTGTAGTCCAGAAAATATGGCGACACATTCTGCACTGAAATGTCTCAGCGTAACTTTTTTTGTGGCATTGCAGGGGGCCCTGTTCCAGTCCCCCCACGCGGACGAGAACGACGTCCAGACCATCTCCCACAAGTGCGAGGTGTTCTCGTGGCAAGAGTACCGGGCGTCGCGCGGCGCTGGCGACGAGAGCACCGCTGATACGTACTACCTGGCGGGGAACTACGACCCCTACGCCAACGTCATCACTGTCGAGCCGTCGTTGGCACCATGATGCGTTGCAAGCCACCTGTGACACACGCCGCATTGCCGCAACACGACGCGCCTCACTTGCAATGTGTTTAGTTGATTGGACGTGCCACGTGTGGAGAGTGACCACCATCAATGGGTCGTTTGTGACGAGATACGTCGCTTCGGGTCACACGGTACCGGCGCGACATCGCGCATTTCTCGGCGGAACACGTCACGCTCGACGAATTGCGTTTTTCGGGGGGGCGGAATCCGTGCAACGCGTCGCCCACGGGGGTGGCTTTCCCTCGGGCCACCTACGAGATCTCACGACGCCGTTGTCGTCCTAGCCGTGTCGTGCATGATGCGTTGTTGCATATCGGCACATCACGCGCGACGCCGCTTCGCGCGACGCCTCGGAGCGGACGTCTCTGGAGAGGGCATATCAGGCATTGCAACACCTCGAAAGGGGCCATGTGTCACGGCGCGTTCGGCTGTCTTCCAAAGATGGGACACGGGGGTTCTCTCCTTTTTCCGTTTTCTCGTTTTAAAGTTGGCTCCACCTCAAAGTCGGGTGACAATAAGACTTTTCCTTCAGAAGCCGAAAACGCGGTTTCAAAGACGCCGGAATTTTTCGACGGCGTGGGACTCTCGGAGATGCTTTACTGCGGCCCCGAGTTTCGGGCAGGCATGTACAGATGTTTGTAAATCTCCCTCACGTGCACATCGGTGTGTCGTACCTTTTTTTTCTTTCTTCGTTTTGTTTGTTTCTTGCCGCGTCCCGAGGCACACGTGAGACCGACGCCCGTTTTTCTCGCCCTCTATGCATTTCCGCACACACCGTGAACACCGGCACAACGTCGGCCTCTCGAGCAAGGGCCAACTTTCACCCGATATACACATATATCGATGATGTAACATGCTCCCGTCTCAAAGTCGCTGTTTGTAAACGCCACCGCAGGCATTTTACTGCAAGAGTTCTCTCACGCACCACCCCGCAGCAACGCGGCGTGCTGGGCGCTTTTCGTGACGTAGTTTCGTCGGTCTGCACAGTCCGTTTTTTCGTCGGCCGTTCTTGGCACAGTGTGTTCTTCCCCCATGCCGTTCTCAGCTCTCTCTCGTAGCAATCAGTGTTGGTACTTTCTCGCTACGTTTTGGGGTTAAGAAGCGCACAATGGCGCATTGTCTGTGCACCTACTGCTTTTATTTTTTGCGTTTAGACCTCCACGTTGCGTTAGAGTGAGGCTACGGACGACGTCACCTTACAAGAGAAATGCTTTTGTCATCGAAGATGCATAATCCGCCGATGCAAGAGTTTTCTGCACGAAGGAATTCGTCGTCCGACGGTAAGGGACGTTGACAAGGCAATTTGCCGCACATTGTCTTTTGCGAGAAAGTGACCGGCGTTGTCGCCGGTCGCTCAAAGTTGCCGTAGTGAACAAAAAGAACGAGGCCTGCTTGCGAGAAATTGCTGCCGTGGGCCCACCCTAAAACTCTCGTCTCAAAGTGTTGGCACGGTCTCGTTGGCGAGAGCGCAAGATTGGGCGACTAGTCGCGATCAACGACTGCTTCGGTGGCGGCGTCTGTGCTGCCATCCTGTTAACCGTTGTTTGTTGTCGTAGGCTGGGCAGTGCCATACCCGGTGACTCGTCAGGAATCAAAATGTGTGTTGCGTCACAAGTAGGGGGCATGCAAATGACGGTTCAAATCGAGTGGCACTGCGCCACACGTAGCCTTCATGGTGCAAGAGAAAACCGTGTAGTACAGGCATTTGGTAAAGCGTCGAAGCGGGCAATGACGCAGCGCCATGAGATTTGAACCGTTAGTCGCACGTCCCTAGTCACAAGTGCTTCGACACGGCGGGTATCCTGTTGCAGATGTGGTCGTTGTCCTTTGCCTCCCGACCTTAGGGCAAGGAGTCGCGACTCCTTCTGGGCAAAAGGAGCTACGTAGCAGCTCCCATCGGGCGACTCCAAACTAAACAGAAGCTGCAGGTGTTACATGGAATCCTGTCGGCAGGATTCTCTGTACAATGCGATACCGACAATTTGTCGCACATGGCCGACAACATAACATCCGTCGGTCAGCATGTCACGTGGGCTGTCACGTGCACGATGGGTCGTGACATCAACGTGTCGCGACAGATCACACATTACACGTTATGCAAGTGAGGCATTCGTTTTTCGTTCACTTCCCGGAACTGTTTTTACCCGCCAGGAGTCGCAACTTTGTAACCTAAGCTTGGCAGGCTCGAACAAACAACTGCACCTTATATTGTGTATGTAAGAAGAGAAGAGTGGAGAGAGACAGAAAGAAAGTCATATGAGTGGCAAAGGCAAGATTAGCTCGAAGCTCCGGAGAGAGTATTCCTTCATATTTTTGTAAACAGTCAAGCAAGTGACGCGTGTGTGTGTGTGCCGCCCACATTGTATATAGCACGGTTGGGCAACAGTAAGTGTTGTTGTTTTTTTCTTCGTGTTACGGAGTATTTGTTTTTTTTGCTTCCCGCTTCCTCTACTTTATGCTCCTTGGGCAATGGGGGCAAGCAAAATAAGAGATGACTGAAACCGACTGTGATTCTTCACCCGTTGTTTGGACGGCTTTGCGTGAACCGTTTGTTGTTGGAAGGCTTGCGGGAAGAAGTTTTAGGATGGAGAGCATGACAATAGAGCGCATGCGCTCGACCCGTGCTACAGAAAGTTGATGTTTGTGCCATACACCTGTTGTCTCTTTTGGGGGCGTGGTGATTGGGCGGGCGAGAGGGGGAAAAGATGTCCCCAGTTGTCCATGTATTAGTGTGCATTTTATTTCTTTTTCTATCTTTTTCTCGGCTGTCTTTTTGTTCACGGGACCTCGTAGAGTTGTTCATCCCCAGTGTGGAGGCCAGCGTTATTATTTGTTTCATCATCCGCATAATTTCGATACTTGGTCGTCGGGGGGCTGCCTAGGAGATGCGAGGGTTCTGGTTTCCGCGCTTTTATTGCTTTTTTTTATTGTTTTTTTTTTAAGCTTGGCGAGGTGCTCGCATGTGGCAACAACGAAACACAGTCATACCACATTGAGGGACACTTCAGGCATGTTTAGGAGCATCGACCCCAAACCCACCGCTGAAGACTACCGCATTCTTTTATATTTGTTGCATATTTGAAACAGTCAAGCGTTTGAGCTCACCATGCTTGAAGTCTTAGCATCGTCTGTCCGTTCTAACCTTAGTAATTTAATTTATGCTCTCGCACGTGTGCTGGAACAGAGTCTTTCCATGCAACACGCGAGTGAAACCGCCATCGACTCGCCATTGTTGTTTTTTTTGTATTGGCTGAAGTGTAGTTTCACGCCACACAGCAATATCGGGCCGGACGACAATCAACGTTGGGACGATATTGGCTCGTCTGCTCCATAATGATATACTCAGTACGTTGAGATAAAGCTTAACTGCTAATGCATCAACATATCCGTCAAACAAAAGAAGCGTTGTTTGCGCACGTCTCCAGAGTCCCATGTCGTTGGTCGAATATTTAGTTTTGAAACCCAGAAACCGTTGAAAAATTGCGCCTCCTCTCCAAGGCAGTCTCCTTTACTTGCTGCTTAAAAAAAAAAAGGCTGGCTGTGGTGTTTTTATTTTTCATGTTTCACATATGCTTTCTGAAAGCGTCACCGTCTCTTTTGTCTGTTTATTATTAAACCAATGTTTGGTTATTGACAATCTCCCAAGGATAGGAATTCCTCCGGTTTTACCACCACCACCATTGTATGTTTTATTTTTCAGGCCGTGGTTCCTCGATGGTCGGTCGGCCGTCTAGTTTGTACAGATCCCATCTTATCTTCTATCCCCCCTCGCATACGTTCACATAAGACCATTGTGACCAATAATGCGTAGTTGCACACCCGCAAAGAATAAAAACGAGGAAGAAAAAACTAAGCCCGCGCAAAACACGTTGTCCTCTTTTTCTTCGCTTCGACCATTGGCGACTTCTGCGAAATCGCCAGCACCTAGCGGCTAGAACAGAAAACTGTCGCAGCTGGTTGGCACGCCAACCTTCTCGAGTGAATCGAACTTCCACAGCACCTGGGGTTCAATTTCAAGGCGAGAGCAAGAGCGTTCTCGGCCTCCGATTGGACCCACAGCTTGCACATAATCAATCGAGACAATATTGAGCTGTTCAAGAGTTTGAAGGCGGGCAATATTTTGCCTAGACCGTCTTATTAACTCCCAAATAGCAAGAAAAGTCTCGCAGCCTATGATGTACCTGTCCTTAATACTCCTTCATCCACCGGTCGATGTCGGCTTGTGTACAGCAGCAGAACAACTTGAGGTTTGCAAAAGAAGCGCGGGTGGTCAACGGCTTCCAAGATGAAATAGCAGACTATCACAATTTCCGTCCGCGTCTGGTATTACTCCGCCGTGGCGCTCAGTTCGTAGCAGACGAACCGCGTTTTTTGCTCGCGTTACCAGACAAACCGTTTTTCAACACTACCTTCACTCACTCCACAACAGGCAACTGTGATCCCGTGGTGACCGAAATTGGACCCCCGGCGGTCTAAAGACGAAGCCATGAAAGTAGGTTCAAAAAAGACTCGATGAAAATCGCCAGTAGTCTATTGCAGGTTTAGAATAGCTGGACAAGTCCCTGTCGCAAAGCTCTCTGCCTGCCATGATTGGTTGTTTCCTACTCTCCAGCGTTTGCACTGCTGAAATGTCAAGAGCAGAGGGCGTTGTGTGAAGAGCCTGTCCTGCTATAGACACATCTAGACACCGCAGCCTAGAGTGAAACCGTGCCCTTCAAGCTTCTGCCGTCCTTGGCTTGTGCTTGCATCTTATGACCGCGAATTCTTGCAGTCACTATTGCGCACAGGAAAGAGCTCAAGTAAGGAGTCTGGCCAAATTGCCCCTTTCTAGATAGCTCTGTGCAGCAGTAGTTGAGATTGATTTGGGCTGACATATGGCCATGCTTTCATGTTTATTGATCACTACTGTGCAATGTGCACCGAACAGGCCACATTACAAGCCGTACTGCACTGGCCAAATTGTCCCTTTTTCGAGAGTTCTGTGGAGCATTGTTGGTGGTCAAAATTTATTCGGGCTGTACTTGTGTGGCCGTGTTTTCCTGCGATCACTGCTGTGCAATGCGCAACCATCAGCCCAAGTCAGCAGTCAATGCCCCTTTCCCGAAAGCTCTGTGCAGCATGTGGCAGAAGGGTTCTGACTGGAACCCTACAGCTACGTTCTTGCACAATCATTACTGTGAGATGCGCAGTAAATAGCCCAAGTTAGTCGTCAAGAAATAGCCAAAGTGGACCTTAATCTATCTCGAGACTTTAGTGCGATGCTTCGAGAGGTGGAGGGCCGGCATCGATTTAAACTGGCATGATGCAGCCGCGCTTGTTGTTGCAACTAGCACATGCCACCTTCGAGTAGAACATCTAACCAGGTTGTAATCTAACATTGAGGTATATCCCCAAGTGCTGTTCTGTGCATGAGGTACAGTGCATGTTAGCATTTTTTCATGGGCAGGTTAGTGTTCAATGCCAATCTTTACCATCTGGGTTTGAACTGAAAGACCTGATAAGAGCCTCTCAACAGTCAGATAAAAATGGGAGAAATCGACAAATCTGGGTATCATCAGCACAGCCCTTAAAAATCCACCAATGTCCGATCGTTTTCAGATTGAACGAACAAACTTCGGAAAGAGTTTCCGGAAAAGTCCCTTAACGCCCGACGACCAAACCCAATACTCTGCAAGGCTTTCCTCCTCACATCTTCCAGCAAAGATGGAAAGAGGGGACTAAAAAAGCCTAGCCCGAGTCCGCATGCGCAGTTCAGATGGTCGGGTGGTTCAGGAGGATCAGCGACGGAACCTTCCAGGACTAAAGTCCAGGACCAGGAAAGGAGAACAAAGTTTGTTTTTCTAACTGCACGGTACATCTTCGCTAGGTGCTTCTTTGGTCAGCGCAATTTCTAATCAACATGAATTGATGTCTTTTTTTTAAATAACTGCTGCCCGTCAGAAGCCTGGATCGAAATGCGTTGGTATGAATATTTGAGGGCGACAAGGAAAAAAAGAGTGAAGAAGCTTCTTTGTACGAACTTCGGCAAATGATAGGCTACAGATAAGCCACAATGTGTAAAGCAAGACTAGTCTATAGACTTGTTTCACAAGGGTGTCGCCACCTTGAAATATTGTCACTTCCAGTATGGGTGAAAGCACTGCTTTGTCGTCGCCTTGCCAATAGAATACATTTAGGATATAAGCGTAACTGACTAAGAAGCTGAACTGACACCAACGAATTCAAGGCCGCTAGTCAATAATGTTGGGGGTTGCTCTTTTGTACCATAGTTCCTTTTTTTTTTTTTTTTCTAGTTAGAGTTTATGGTTTACTTGCCGTGGGCTTAGCAGAGCAGGGGTAGGGCTCCGGGGCAGGGGACGAGGTTGAGGGGAAAAGGGTAGGAGGGAGGAGAAAGCAAGGGAACAGTGGAAAGTGTGAAATGGTCGGCGGCCTTCAAGGCTGGAAGGTCTCGTTACGATGTCTTCAAACGCTGCCTTCAACATTGCATAGCAAGAGCTTTCACAAAGCCTGCCAAATGCTCTTGTCAGCAGCAGCTGAATTGAAAGCAATGCCTGGCACAGGAAAAGAGCAACTATCATACACCTAGCAGATTTTAGAACTTCACGCCGGCTAAGGAAAGGCTCTGGTGTTGTGAAAGATGCAGCGAGGCGTGCATCAAAGAAATTGTCAGTTTTCAAGTTTAATTGCAACGTGTATATAGTGAAGTTTTTAAACGTGTTCTCAAGGGGTTTGTTTAAAATCTACTATCCCACCATTTGCTTTTGGCTGTCGAGGCACCAGAGGAAATTACACAACGCATCTGCAGGCTTCTCTTTTTTAGCCAAGGCACTCCTTTTTATCGTCTCATTTATTTTACAGGCTGTCCCCAAAAAGGAACCACCACATTTACATATTTATAAGATGAAGTAACATCTTCAGTCACCTAAAGAACAACACTCTTTGTCCCATCCAAAACAATTTTAAAAAATCAAACACAGCTTAGGTAAGAGAAATGGAAAACAGAACCCCTCGATTTGTCTATGCATATGTAGACCCCCCCCTCCCGCTGCTTCTACCCATCCATCCCCTCTTGCAAACTTTAAACAAAAGTGGAAAAGGTAACGGCAAGCACACCGACTCTCCTCTCATACATATCCGTCTTGTACTCTCTCTTTGTCCTCCTCGAGGCAACGCCGAAGTAATGCCGGCGTAACACCGATGCGATGCCAGCGCAAGCTAGCTGCGCACCTCTTCGCGTGCCAAGGCACCACCAGCGTCACGACGCCGACGACCTGCCAGCGTCAGAACCGCTGTCCCGGCTGCAGTCCCAAACTTGGCGCAGCCTCGCCATTGGCTGCCGATGTCGTGCCGACGTTCTGCCAATGCCCGCACCTCCCTAGCTGTACGCCGAGATGTCGCCGTGCTGCCACGCCCGGTACAGCCTCCACACCACCATGCCGACGGCGAGCCCGGTCGTGGTGAGGTGGACGACGCGCCGGCGCCGGTCATTCTTCCGCACCAACACGAGCGGATTCGGATTGGCTAGTTCGCTGAGGGGTAGCCGGTCCAGGACGGATTGGTCCTTCTCAATCTGGTAGCCGACGCAGGGGTCGGTGGCCCACGATACGGAGTAGAGGGTGGCGCAGAGGGCACCGGCGGCAGCGAGTGGTGCGGCCACCACTAAGAGGAGGGTGTGGGATGAGGCAGCGGTGGAAGGTGGGCTCAGGAGGAGCGTGGTTGCGAGGGAGCCCACTCCGGTGAGGACGGCAGTTTGGTGCAAACAGTTGCCGAGGGCAATCCACCGGGCAGTCTCCTCGCCAAGCCGCCGGGGTTCGACAATGATGGCGGCGGGTCCGGCCTCGAGCGCTCGATCCAGGTCGGACTCGAACGCCTCGTGAGAGTTCTCGCCCTCGTAGACTTCGTGGATGATGACCCACTCAGGCACGTCGATATATTCGCTGTGAGGACAACGAAAGAACTTTAGAGGTTGGTCCGAAGATGTCTCTTTGCAGCAGATCCCCATCCTTCTACTCCATTCCGCCTTACGATGGGCAGTTGTGGTAGACACTACAAGCCATCCTGTACAACCCAGTGTTGTGAACATGTCACGATTATGTGCCCAGCAGTTCACCCCTTCTGAAAATCATGCAAAACTCATGCAGAATTTTCTTCGATGGCTTGTAACGCCTTCGGCGGTCCACCGCAAGACGAAACGGAGCATGATGTCAGCAAATGGCTACGCTTCTATGCCCCATTTCAAATTAAGTTTGAGCATAGCAGAAACTACAGGAGTGAGCTCTGAGCGTTCGGTGTCTGGCAATGCGCACTCGTGTGGTACAAATGTTCAGAGCAAGATGCTTGTGCCTGCAGCTTCCAACTTTGCTCGCACATGAAGTGAAGCAAACTACTGGCAGTCCCGCACCGCCAAAGTTGGTGTTAGCAGGATGATCTGTACCACCTGGTTAGCCTGACCTTACAAAGGTCTGTTGTCAACAGAGATGGTTAAGTGTGCTGACCATCATCTGTCACTACTATAAATCTGTAGTAGTTGCAAGGTGTTAGCCAAAATGTCAACAGCTCTGATCACAATTCCTGTGAAACATAAAGCAAGAAAAATAAAAAGGTTGCTTTCTAATACAACAAAAGGACCAGACACTTTCCTGTCTGGCTTTGGTATTTGCTCATCAGCTATCAAATGGAGATATCGTGAGACCGCAAAATCGGCAGGCATAACCAAACAATGAACAAAGCATTGGGTTTTATGAGGCAGAAATCTAGTGATCGTCAGTAAATAATTCGTTGCGTACTACCCTCTCGTTTATGAAGCAAAATATTGCTTTTGGAAACCATAAAGTTATGCGAAAGAAATAGTTTCCGAAGTGCGCAAGTGGTTTTTGAACGCCCAAGTTTAGCCAGCTGCGATTCCATGCGAAAGAATTGCTACTTTTTGAAGCTTTTACGAAAGCCACCTGTCACGTCCGGACGTGCAACTGGTCAAGCGACACAAGCTTATCAGACGCGTGAGCTGTTATCGCGAGGACAACAAACTCGCTGTATTTTTGTATTATTTTTTTTTTTTTTTTATCAGACACAGCTTGGTCATTCGTTGTTGTTGTTTTTCGGCACTCCTTTGTCTGACAATAACGGCCAGTTTCATTTTGAAAATCGAAGCATGTAGTCAAAGCGAGCAAAAACAAACGCGCGTCAACAAAATAAGTAAAATTCATTATCGACTAGCTTTGCAAGGTGAAGGTCACGCCGTCTCAACTCAACCGTTACTGTTGCTGAAAGTAAAGCTAAGAAACGAGTATACGTGCACGTACTCCAGGAACATGTTTTTTCGGCACACGTTCAGCGTCGGCGGTAAAAAGAAATCCAAAAATTATGCGGACAAATCTTCCAGAGTTTTGTACGTTGTAACTTGCACGGGAAGCACGCGTCTCGCATCTTTTCTTCTTTCTTTTATTAGTCTTAAAAACAGGACATTAAAACTTTGTAACGTTTATCTAGAACGCGAGCGTCGGCACAAGAACGAAATCCGAGCGATGCGTGACGAAGTGTTGCTATATGCCAGCTGGGAACAGTCGATTCTTATCACAAAGACGAAAATAAGAGCGCCGTTTTGTTTTGATGGGGCAAACGACTCGAGCGATGCCTTCACTGCTGTGTCATTGAAGATTTCAAGCTTATCTGAGAATCGTGGCGCGCCTTTAGACGAGGGCATTTGATAAAAAGCGAGTTGTTTTATAAACGAGCGTCTTTGTGATACTTTTTGTTCGACGCGTTCAGGGATCCCTACGTGCTGTTGGTCGTTATGCGCTTCCCCACAGCCACGGAAAACGGCTTTTCGAAGGGCGGTCAGGACTTGACAGTGGTTCCAGTATCAAAATAGAAGGGGTAAGAGATCGGTTGGAGATTAGTAATGAGGCTCGAGAGGCGAGATCGAGAATTTGGGGGTGAACTTGAATCGAGAAAAACGTACCTCTTCTCCATGGCTGTTTACAAGGGGAGCCTTGTGTGGCAGCTGCGGTGTTTGCCGTAGGCCTCGAGGGGGGGCACCAGCGGCGGTCAGCGGTACGATAATATTTCTGCTAAAATATGAAAATAAAATTAAATTTGTAGTTGTTATATTGAGTCTTATAATAAAAATTACAATTACATTATACAAAAAATACTCATTATACTAACGTTTTAAATTAGGTAATGGCTAGCGTTTTTATCGTTCTTAAGCATATGTTAATATTCCTACTCTCATGTGATATTGCACAAACTTTGTTTCATTTTCTAGAAAATTGTAAAAATTTTAAGTTTTCCTCTAAAAAGCTTTTAGAAGCAAGGCCAACATGTTCTGGCAGATGGCGCAAGTTAACGTTTGATTCAAAGGGGGTGCTTTGTTAGTTCATTGTCCAGGGAATCGTCAATGGACGCCGTTGGTGTTGTTTTCGGTCCTTTCTGCAGCGTTGCTGCTCTTTAATTGGCACTTTTTAATTATCCCCACCTCGCATCCCGCCCGAGCATGACAAGCCCACTAGAGCAATTCGTCGTCAACGTCCAGAATCTATCGTCAAGTGGTGAGTCCCTCAAAAGTGCCTCTCTCAAGTCGTAAAGTCGTAGTCTCGTTGTCCCTTGTATGGTTCAGCAGCCAGAAAGCACTGTTTCTTGATATCAAACACCTGAAGGCAGGTTTTTGGTTCTTTCAGGCAATTTTCCCCAGCTGTACACGCTCATCAACAAAAGTAGCGAGGTGCTGGTTCGGAACGCGTCGCATCTCGAAGACGTCCTGGCCACTTTGGACCTGCAGAAGCACTCCCTCGGAGTTCTGGCCATCCTGTGAGTATCCCACGTTGAGAGCACTCGGGTGTATCGCAAGCGTTTAAACCTATCTACGTATAGTGACTGTATCAACCACTGCGGTCTCAACCTTAAAAGCCGGTGTGTGTGCACCCGAGTGCGTTGCGTTGCATTGGGCGCGTTTAAAGTCCGCTCTCCTTTGTTCCTACTCCGACTCTCCGAGTTTCATACTCCGAGCGCAGTAACTGATTGGAGAATAGCATACAAGAGCGCCACACACTGAAAGTATCGACTAGCCGTATGAATCGCTCCCTACCGCACGGTTGGGACGAACGCGGCATGACTTAAATATTTTGGGTAGAAGTCGAAATTATTGCAAAGATAAATTAATTAATGCCTGCGTACAACGGCAGGGTGTAAAGTAAAAATGATGGTGACGTTATAAAGTTCCTGAAAGTTTTGGAGGCACGCTTTGAGCACATATGCATATAGTTATGTTGGCCGATCTATTTATTGGCCATGCATCCTGTTCAGATTTAAATGAAAGACAACATTCTTGAACTCGCTTGTCGACGCAGGAGACTGTCAAACTTGTCAGAGACGTTACGTGGTTCTGTCTTGCCGCTCGAGACGGAACCCATCGATCTGCTACCGGCACGCCACCGTTCAGTTGGTAGCGCATCAATTTGTTTTCAAGCGAGGCGTGCGAAGAAACCTTTTCCGGAATGCTACCGGTTGTTTCGGATTTCCAATCAAAGCATCTTTGTTTGCTGGGCTAAACATTCTAAAAAACGGCAGTGGACTGACTTCCTTCTCATCTCGACAACTTTTTTGTCGATGTGCTATCGGCACGCTACCGTTCGACAGATGGTGCATTAATTCGTTTTCAGGCGAGATGCACAAACAAACCTTTTCCGAAACTTTAGTTTCTGTCCTGACTCTCGAATCAAATCATTTTTACCGGCTGAATTAAGCACTATTCAACTGAAAGGAGACAGCGGTCTGACTTTTACCCATCGTCTCGACAATGTTTCTGTTGGCGCAGCCGTCTTGTTGTCGACGTGACGTCACGGAGCTCGAAGAAGTCACTTGCGCGCAGGAAAAAACTCGGTGCATGAAGGGCACGCTTGAGTGTGGGTCTACAACGGCTCTCGGAATTATTTCAGGCCACAGTGAAAGAATAATGCACTAAAAGTTAGAAAACATATATGCAGATTGAAAACAGACGACAGCAGTGTGCCAATGTTTTTCTGTCGTCGTAAGCGAGCACAGCATACTCGAGCACGCTGAAATGCATATCTGTGAACCAGGCTTCACACAAACATAGCAGGGGACGCGCAGTCTCGGTCATTTCTTTGCAGACGACGTGTTCGAAAAGGATGTATACGCCTTGTAAAAGTCCCCCTCAGAAATTCAAGATACGGAACTCTTCAGTTTTCCTCAAAGATGCATGCACTCATGTAAAGTAACGCAGACTTTGCGGCAGGAGGGTAAAGGCGGGAGCAGAACACTGCAAATCCCAAGCGCCGACATCGGCAGTCCAGAGAGAAAGAGAGAGACGAAAGAGTGGAGAAAGAAAGCAGACGGAAGGTTACAAGCTTCCGTTTCACTGTGACGAGTTGAACTTGCTCGAGCACTTGTCAGTGTTATTTATGTTCATACAGTGCGGCGATTCCTGTGTTTTTCGGCAAAGTAAGCTTGAAAAGGACAAGGCACAGACCTTACAGGTGATGTTACGCTGCTTCTTTGTGCACAGTGACTGAAGTGCCAAGCCTTTGCGCCAAATTGCGCCGTGAACAAGTTTGTTATATCTTGCGCCAAAATGCCATTTTTGCTAAGAATTGCGCCACACCTGCACTGTGATGGGCTTAAAGTAAAGAAAAAAAAGTTTTATTATTGGTTGGTTTTAATATTCAGAGAAGTAGAAAGAGAGAAAAATTGTACAAATATGAATTTCACAGCGTCTCTACTTATCGTAAAGTTTGTTTCGTCTTAGATCAGGGCACAGTTGAAGGCTCAAACACATACTAACAGCGCAAGTCACAGGACATTCACTGCACTTGATTGGTTTAGCTGATGAAATAACTCGTACAGGAAAATGACGAATGCTATGATGTCACACTTTGATGCTGCAAATCAACCGCTCTGGCCGGTTGATTACTGACATGGTCTAAATTTCCAGACGATGTCGTCGATGTCTGGTACTAACAGTCGTGCGAAAACCTTGCAAAATAGTAGGCTTGCCGATTGCGGCTACTGTGATCAAATGGAACCAGGGTCTTGTGCTCCTGATCAGATCGCTCGATTATCACGTCTACCACATACTTTCATTCCGTGGCTGCTGAGTACCGTGGCACTTGCACCACTCGCATCAACCTTTGCCTCTCACCTGCGTGCACATGTCGAGCTTCACCGCTTTGCACCAGAGTGCTAGGGAGCAGCGCCTGGCTTATTGCGATAGGCACACAAAATATGCTTAGGATTATTGCAGGTCGGACTTCTTTCTCCAAATTGTAAATTAATCTTAAACTCTAATATAAAAAAAAAAACAGCAGAGAAAGAGAGAGAAGAAAACGAGGGACTATATATATTTAAATAAATGCGGTAGTCACGGTATTTCTTGTGCAGCCGTCGATCGAAAGACCAGCGAACTTTGACGTAACTCTCGTTCCTGCGCCGTTAAAGAGCAGTGTCACCTTTAAAGCGCAAGTGTAGGCTTTTAGAATATTTTTGGGTGGGTTGTTTACGCAGTTTATGATATTAGAGTCGAGTTTGGTAGGTTCATTAAACTTATGAGACACATTTTTATTGGTAGATGCATTAGCGGATATGCTTGTCTTGCTGGTGTTTTACAGAAATTATATTTACAGGCTAAACGAACTACCCAGTGTAAAAGGGAGAGGGGAGAAAGAATTTATTACAATGAAATGTTGCGCTAGGATTCACTTTTCAGACATTTTTTTAATACTCATTGTAAGTGAGACTTACTCGGACTACAGCCTTATTTAAGAAGACTCTGTTCCTTTGATACCCTATTTATTCTTACCACAAACGGTAATAAGTAAGACGATCGAGTGTCAAAGGGGAACCCTTGATCACTATCACAAATTACCTCATTGAGATGCTATCACTTTTCCATTGTCAAGTGATGTGCTAACAGATGTTGGCATCTGCTCCAAAAATGTCAGTGGGTGCTCCAAACCAATACTTTACCTGCTACTAAAGGTGAAATGCTGCTTCCATCACCATGTGCATATTAGGGTGTCGCCATCAATATGAGCCCGTCGGGACCTCCAACTGAGACTGCCGACGTCCACTTCTATGCCCCGCCATTCCGAATCGGCCTGAATGCGTGGCACCTTTCCCTCTAGATAATTATATTAACTCTGCTTTCTTGTTCCTCTGATGTGTCAATGGCTGATTGGGATGGATCAAACAATGGCTATACCCTAGTACGCCACAACTCCCTCGTTACTTGTAGGCAGTTTTTGGCGCTGCGAAAGGCATAATTGATGTTGTCGTTCTTTGCTGGTGGATTCTCGTTCAAGCAATAAGATACCATAGGAGTCAAATTAATCCAGCTGTAGGTAGGTTGTCGCACTGTACATGGCAAACGCAATGACCTTGGCACTTATTATTCGTAGGATGACTCCACGTAACTCAGCACCATGCTCGACATTTCGCAAGTTGCCCTCAATGTTTAGTATTTTCACAAAACCATCCTCTTGCCCCTTTAATCACAGATGCGTGAAGTTCAACGTTGTCAACGCCACGGAATTTGAGGCACTGTACGCCCAAGTGCAAGAGTTCATCCTGAACTGCAATGGGGAGCAAGTTCGTTTTGCAACAGACACCTGTGAGTGTTTATCTCTGAAACCAGACCGACGTAAATCCATCCTAGATATATTGGTCCTTCGGAAGTGGTATTGCTGTGTCTGTCGCCTTGAGGCTGCTATGCATGCCGTTCCGCTACGTTTGAAGGTTGAAGTAATTTTCCTGTAAATGGCGCTATTTGAATTAAACCAGGGGCTCTTTGTGCTATTTCTTCAAACACAAAGTTGTAGCCAGAAAGTTAGAGGAGTGCGCCGACAAGACTTTGGCGACAAAAGTATAGTGTCATTGTTGCAAGGGTCCAGTCGGAGCGCTCCGTAAACTTTGACTCCCAACTTCGCATTTGACGAGTCTAAATCCTGTTTAACTGATCTCTTCTGTGCAAACTAACTTACATTTGTCGTTCCAGATTTGAGGAAATATAAAGCTATAGTTTATCGCTCTCTGATTGGCATGCCTGGTAGATTCCTTCTCAGCACTTGCTCTGCTTAAGTGGAAAGAGTAAAGGGCTTTGTGGGAGAAGTTTGTGGTAACCTGCAACAGACCTTGTAGAATGATTCAGACCTTTTTTTTTTTTTTTGTCTTTTCTGCATTGATTGTTTATGCTGCAGTACGCAGACGACCTAACAGACTGTTTACCTCGTCTTTAACGTTTTACCGAGCTCTTAGAAAATGAAACTGCGTGCGACGCGGATGCAGCACTTTTTGCAGGCTGGTTTCGACCCTGCTAAATTTACCCTAACTGCACGATTGTACCAGACTAGGCGACGATGTCGGCCGACGTAATATTGGTTGGTGACAAGTGGCGCCTAGCTTCTGGGCTGTGAACCTTGAGAACAAGATGTTGGGGTCGACGACGATTAGAGTCCACTGTTTCCAGTGTTTATTTTTCTTCAAATTCGGGAGTGTTTTTTCGGGACTTGTTTTTTTCTCCACAAATTCTGGGTATTTCAGTGGCAATTTTTGACGTAGGACAAGACGTCGATGTTTATCGGGCCTTGTGTTATAGAAAACGGGACATTATCGTAGGACTCCTAGACCTTAAAAAAAACATATGCAAAGGAAAAAATAAATTTTTGCACAGCTAAAATAAGAAAAGTTAATCATAAAAAAAAAACTTACCATGAAAAAAAAAATTGCAGCTATATTTACGGTGCGAAACGAGTTTGTAGTAGGCGCGCCTGCGGGAGCCTGCGGAAAAGTGGCAACTAGCAGTCGTGTGCCTGTCCCCTATAGTCATGTGGTGCTTGCAATCATTCGGGAGCTTCCTATGGGCTCTAAAATTTACTTATTAGTCTTACTTCTTTTAACGAAAATATTTTAAAGTTTGAGAAACAGCAAGTATAAAAAAATCAGCCTTCCGTTTTGAGTCAAATAAAAAAAAATTTTGTGTTTTTGGTTGTAAATTTATTTTATGACATATTTTTTCCGTCCAGGCTGTTTAAAAAAATTTCCTTTTCCTTTGCATATGTTTTCAAAAGAACTTCATTATCAGAATTTTTTACCGTTATCATCATCATCATGCGCGTGACCTGATTACTTGGAAAACGTCTATGTACCAAATAAAGAAGGAATCGAGATGAGGGTTATGTTTCCCGAACAAAGAAGTAGCCTCACAGTCGGTCGAGTGCTGCTGTGTTCGAGGTAAGCACAAAATAAAATTTTAGTTTGAGACGGTGTTGTTGTTGTCTTTTTTGCTCCTTGTCTCTGGGTTTTTCCACTATGTTTAGTTTGAGGTTCCTTTCGGATGAAAGTTGGTTTTTCTCTCATTGAAGGACAGCTTCAATTCTGTTTTTTATTTATTTATTTTTTTGGGGGGGGTTTTTTCTCGATTTTGATTGATCCAGCTCGGAAGTCGATTTAAAGGGTTTATCGGTATTTACTGAAAATACAGAGCCCCAATGATGACCAAGTTCAGTTTAAGCTTCAGTGACCCCTCAACTGTTGTGGCCACATACTCTGCATAGCCTAACCAGTGTGATTGTTTTTCAGTTGCGGAACTCTGTCACCTGCTCACGCAGAGCCTGATCGAGAGGCAACAGGTACGCTGGTTTCACCTTGTTCCTGCACGACCTAGCTGTTACTGGACACTCTTAATGGGCAGTGTGCGGCATGGGCGGAATGTATTGTATCCACTTTAAATTTAATCACAAAAATGGGTTTTGTATAATAAGACACTAATTTACCACGAAGGTGCGATTACCATAAAATACTGAGCTTGCGCCATAAGCCTGAGCTTGCGCTATTGCGACATAAGCCTGGACGCTTACGTCGCAATAAGCGTCCAGGCTAGTGGTGCAAAACTATCGATAGTACTGTGGGGACAAAGAAGAAGCAATCCTGGGGGCACGTGCGCATGCGGGCGCAGATTTGGCGCTGGCTCAGTTCAACCCAAGGCGCGAATAAAAACAAATATTGATAGTCGACCATTATGAAACTATCAATAGTTGACTATTGTGAAATGATTGATAGTCAACTATCGTATAGCTATCAATAGTTTCATTAGGTGAAGGAAGAATGCCAAGAGTCCACCCAGGATATATCGTGAAGCTCGGGGAAAAACGCAATTGGTGACTTCCACCTATTTATCAAGAAACAATCTAAAACCTATTGGAAAATGGTAGAAATTCCTCTTAGAAACTATTGCCAATGAACTAATAAAAAACTTAATCAGTGCTATAAAAAAAACTATAAATAACAGATGTTGATAGTGAAGTGTTTAATATTTTTCATAATAAGTTGTCAAAGACTTTGTTTATTTTTCTGTGTTAGATTCTTTTGTTGTAATTGTTGTTTTTTTTTGGGGGGGGGGAAGGAGTTTGCTCTTTGTCTTTTTATAGGCAGACTTTAATCAGAAAAATTAAAATTCCTTTGTCACCCCTGTTAAGTAAGCTATGCGTCGCAGAGATACGAAACCCTGCTTGAATATAATACAAGCGATATGGTAATTGAAAGCAAAATATGGGGACATCACTTTGCACGAATGAAAAGATACGTGTGGCATTTCTTTCCAACTAAACAGGTTTTATAAAAGAAAGGAAACAATTTCGCCTTTTGGATTCGCAAGCTTTTTTTCACTGAAATAATACCTTATTGTCAACAATTTTATTACTTGGGTCACAGAAAACTTTTGTTTTTAGCTTTTATTTTTGATCCAGTTAATGTTATGTTCTGAAACTTATATTGTATTTCAACCATGGAAAAAAATAAAAGCATCACTAACTACCATGTAGGTATGGTATAAGCATTTTATTTGGTAATGTTCAATTTGAAGTGTCCACAACAAAATCTTTTTTTTTTTGTATTTGACTCAAAAAGATTTATTTATACATTATGTGATGGCTTCTGTATTTTCAAGTTGTGTTTTATACTGATGGGTAAATCATTTACAAGCCACCATTGTTCAAATCTGCAAAATAGAAACAAAGAAACACCGGCAACATATCAAGGCAAACAAGCCTAACTGCTTTTGTCAGCAGCTGATTCCCAATTCACAAGAATTCGCTATAAATAATCATCAAAGGAAAAAAAAATTATGATCCCCAGCAGAGTGCCCATTTTCATGTGTCAGTGGTCAAGACTATGAAAGGTAAAATGTGACAATTGAACAATAAAAGAACCACAAACGTGAAACAAACTTGTGAAAACTCCTGATGCTCATTGTCTTCAGCGAGTGTTTTCTCTAGCTCCAAGACAAAGAAAGAAAAAAAACTGTGTATCCTTTTTTTATTTTTACAGATGCAGGCATACTAATGTGAAAAGCCCGATATCTGAACCCCAGGAATATCTGTACGAGAAAAGTAGCAAAACGCCATTTCTGTTTTAGTAATTCTATGAGAATGCAACTTTAGTTTGCTCTTCATTGCATGTTTCACCCGAAATTCCGCGTTGTCTACCCTTACATATCTGTCATCATTCCCGTCTAAAGTTGTGCTTTAATTTTTTTAACACTCTACAGTTTTCTGAAAGCTGACTTTCGATAGTATCAATAGTCAACCAAGAGCCAATTATCGATAGTGCTATCGACTTTCAGCTATCGATAGTACCATCAATATTTCTATCGAGGGTACTATCGATAGTCAACTATCAATAGTACTATTGATAGTTCACTATCAATTCAGTGCAAACCACTTATAACGGTGCGTCATATAACAGTGTACTGCCTATAGCGATCAGTTTCTAGACTAGAAATTACGAGTTTCTAGTCCAGATAAAACGATAGTCGGTTATAACGATTAAATTTTTTGGGTTTTCTCATTATTGTTATACGTGGATTGCACTGTAGTAGTATTTGTTTAAGAAATATATTTAGTACTATTTAAATAGTGTTATTTATATATTTTTGCATCACTAGTCCACGCCCTACCTTGGTAAATTTTTGAAATATGCCGTATTATCCCAAAAGCTAGCCCACCTAAAATTAAGAGCGAATCCGGTGAAAATAAGCTACAGGCAAACTTTTGGCGTGCAATCAAGAAAAGTTATAAAAACACTATTTTTAGATTGTATTCCTGCCAAACTTGTCATCGTGGTGAGGGGCAATGAAGCAAAGACGAATGTTCTTCCCAGTCAGCAGTGTTCGCCTATATCCCTCCATAGCTAGCTAGCCGCATTTACACCGAGGCCACCATTCATTCAAACAAAATCACTGCTAGCAATGTGCTATCTTTCAATGTTAAAAAAAAAAAAAAAAAAAAGGTTACTCAAAGCCAAAAGTAGGGGTGGGTTATCTTTTGGGGGTGGGGCATATTACGGTAAGCAGAAGCATATAGAGCGTCCACCCCAACAAACCTTGGAGCCCACCATGCCTTCCGAGGTATTCCTCTGCGTCAACTGCTGCTCCGTGAAGCCAGTTCAAGGCAGTGATGCCTTGTGTGCACCGTCACGAAACAAGCTTGACGACAGTGGGACGGCTGCTTTAAAAATTAGGGAGTTCCACCAGACCCCTTTGCTGGTCCCATTCCGTCTGATCGAACAAGGGCGTACCCTACAATGTGTGTCTTCTGCTTTTCTGTTGTCAAACGTAATCACGAAAAAAATGTAGAGGTTTTTCGTGATTATGTGGCGCTGATTTGATCTGCCGGCCACCAAACTCCGCTTCGACGCTCGGTTGTCTCACGTCCACGACCGTAACCCGTTCCGACTCCCGTTTCGAACTTTCCCGCAGCCGATGCGCGGCATCCACCTCCTGACGAGGGCGATCAACAAGATCCAGCTGTTTCCGTCCCAGCTAACCTCCATCCATGCAGACATGTGCCAGGTACGAAAGGAACATCTTCTTCCCGTCATTGAGTTTTCCCGGATTTCACGTTTTCTGGCATTCTGGGAGGACCAGTAAAATCTAGCTAGCAAGGCGCCTGGAGCCAGAGCAGAAATTTTACATCTTGGATGTGAAATAAAAGTGAAAGTCGATGCTGAAATTTTATTCGGCAGTTAAAGGAGCTGTGCAACGATTTCAGTGCTGTGCTTCAAATAATTTGGAAGTTGGTGCCTCAACCTTTCCGAAGTAAAGAACAAAAAAACGCTTTTGCCTGCAGGTCCTAGTTTCTATTTTAAAAATTGACAAAGATTGAGCTTTTCGGCATCTCTCAACTCCTTCACCATCTTCCGAGTCACATGCGCCGTGACGTGAATGGGGGACGCGGTTCCGGTGAAGCCCTCTCTCTAGAGCCATCAACGAGCAGCAAGAACTCACCCGCTTGCGACCACATGCTTGCGCAGCGCGATCAACTTGGCGAAAGAAGGAAAGTCACGTTTGGGTCCGGCTCCGCCCCCGTCCCCCTCCGGCTTCTGGCGGCTGTTCGCGGTAGCAGATAGATAGAGCTGACAGTTTTGTTGACCTCGGATAGCTGGCACCACTAAAACTCTGTATCATAAAAGTTTTGTCGATGATACCAGGTTTTTGACACATTTATATTTATGCTGGAACGACAAGACTTATAGAAAAATTGCCTTTTATCGAGCAGGTATTTGCACAACTTCCTATCTTTTTACAAGTCCCCCATTGACGTCATGCCACGTGCTTCTCATGGCCGCCGCTCACTGCTGCAGGTCGGGAAATATTCAAGCTTTTGCATCGCGATTGCGCAACGAAATCGCAACATTCCGAAGGAAGAAGGTGTGTCTTCTGTTCTTTGCAACAAGGTAAACAATGTCAAAAGTAGAAGATGCAAATTTTTTCAACTTTAAAATCATTGCACAGTTCCTTTAACATAATCGAAATGAATTAGCGGGGCTAGAAACCATTGCAAAACCATTGCAAACATCGCAAAAAAAAAAAAAAAATTCATGCCAGCAGGAATGACTGTTTCCAGAGAGGGGGGTCCGGATGTCCTGCCTGACCCCCCTCTTGAATTCTGCATGTGTAAAAATGTGTGTATGTGTGTGTGAGTGGGGGGGGTTCTCAAACATATGATATGCTGACCAATGCTTGACCCACGCCCCCCTCTGAAAATTCCTGCTTCCGCCCCTGACTGTTTATAACGACTAAAGTGATCTTGTTTTGTCAGAACACGGTTTCTCAATACGAGGGCCGAGCTTGGGCACCAGAACTCTCGGTTCCGGCTCGACATTGAGCTGCGACCCGTACTTCGTTTTCATCTATACCGCCAAGTAGAATCTACCTAAGTTTGCATTTTTGCAAGCTCTTAAACAATCCCCCCCCCCCCCCCCACCCCCCGCTGAATTTGTCCCAACTCCTTTTTTGGGTTGCAACCCACGGTTTGGGAAACACTGACCCACGGTTCGTTGACAACAACAGTGACTGTGACAGAGGGTCTTCGACGCGTCTTTGCTGCAGCTTTGCCTGCTGGCGAAGTGCCTGAAGCCGGCGCTGCAGTTCCTGGACGTCGAGATCACAGACATCAGCCGAGAGGTGCGTTGCGCCTTCGTCTGCTATTTGGCCCCTGTTTCTTGCCCGCGATGGCAGCCAACTGTTTTCTGTTGTCCGGTTTCTGCAGAATGACCGCTATGATGCCAAGCACTTTCTGCTGTACTACTACTACGGAGGCATGGTGTATGCGGCACTCAAGAACTACGAGCGGGCTCTCTACTTCTTCGAAGTGGTTTGTCTTCTTTCTTGCAGACCTATTTTGTTTACCACCGTCCTCAGCTTCAGGTGGCAGATTCGAATCCCACTCGAGGTACCCACAGTCTGACGGAGACTTATTGCTGAGAGTTTGGATACTTGTCAAGAGATCCCCAGATGGTCAAACTTTGTCCTCGGTCCTCCGCTGGGGCGTGCCAGATGCCCCCAGCTGGTTTGGCACATAAAACGCCCAATTTGACTTTTGACTCGTACCCAGCTACATAGCCCACACATCTGGTGTGCAAAAAGAAAATAAGGAAGACATTACAACCTGTAACAAGTGAAAAGAAATGTAGAAGAGGCTACACAAAATGGAGTAGCAACTGCGACTGAGACGTGAACACCTTACGGTGGCGTGGCGAGAGCAAAACTATGTTCTCCTGCCTGCCGAAAGCTCTGCCATTCAAGGTGGCAGCAGTCGCATGGAAATGGTCTATACCTGGGTTCCTCGGATTTCGAAAAGTGATTTTCAGAGATTAGTTTTGGTAAAATCCCAGCTCCCAGAAATATGTAGTTGCTCTGAGTGTTTTATGTTGTATTGCAATTTCTCCAAACTTCTGAATGAAATTGCATGCAAGCACACTAAAATCTAATTTTAATTGTGAGCAATATTTGCAAGGAGTCGGTGGGATATGACTTCCATTGCAATACAAAAGACTGAGGTTAGAAAGACTAGAGTGGGCCTCTTCTTGAAGCTGATGCCCCAGCGCTCCACCAAGACTAATGTAAAGTGTCCTGTCTTCCTTATTTTGTCGTCACAACCTCAAATCGGAATATTTCAGATAAACTCAGTGGCAAAAAAAGCTTACCACCAAGTGTATTTTGGATTCTTTCGGTTTTATTTGAAAACAAAGGACCCTACTTAGATCGAGCGTGCACTTTCCTGCATGCTTAGGGTGGCATAGACGTTTGGATATGACGTGAAAGAAGCCATAAAAATCTCTGCTTGCATGTTTAAATTTTCGTTGAGGGTTTTTTTAGTGGCTTGTTATATCTTGTGAAATTTCTCAAGACGTTGCTTTGTTTCAGTGCAAAATAACTGAAAGATTAAATGTCAGATCGAGGCACGCGCATCCAATTCTCGGGTTGCGCAGTCCTATGTGGAGGTGGTGCCACATGTTAATGAAAGCAGTCATGCTTACGTTGGTGTTTTCTTGCACAAACACTTTTCTACTAATAAATTCTTCATTTTTTGATAGTAGAATTTTTCTATAGCTACGACCGACATAAGACGGCTAAGGATCCGGTGCAGTGAAATTGGACTATGCTCCTAATACTTAGGCATTTTGACGATGATGGTGTTGTCAAGATTTTTTCCTTAAAGAAGCTCAGTCACACTACCGATAATTCAAACCAGAATGTCTGGTACATTCGAGCGTGAATTAGTGAGGGTTTAACTGGATTTTTCTGCCCCACATTTTTTAGCACCACTTCGGCAATTTTTTTTTAAATTTTTTATATGCACTAGAAGAATTTGGGAAATGTCGGCAGGCCATAGCCTTGAGAACTTTACTCGAGTTTATGGTGTCGTTGCAGGCCATCACCACAACCAGCATGGCGGTCAGTCACATCATGCTGGAAGCCTACAAGAAGTACATTCTTCTTGCCCTCATCCTGTACGGGAAGGTGAGTGTTGTCCCTGCTGACAGCTTGGCATACAGCTAGGCCTAACCGTGGCTCTGCTTCACTTGGCTAGGCCCAACGTTACTAAACCACTCAGTTGGGGAACTGCCATAGAGACTGCTCTGAAAAAGTGGCCCCGATATGCCACAAGAACCGAGCTAATGGAGAACACAACGCCGCCACTTCTCCCGCAGCGGCCACTCAAGGAACTGCACGTGACTTCCATTTTGGCTTTAATCAGCCATTTTGGCGCCGAAACAGGTACAGCGGAAGAGGTTACAGGGGTGCCGTGCCACCCCCGTCTCCCCAGCGGACACACCGCGACTTACTACCGAGTTAAAATGCACCTAGGTCGGGACGCACTACCTGAAAGCACCGCTGAGGCATGGTTGTACAAAAACAATATTAATTGTGCCGCAAAACCCTGCAAACTAAAGATTTTAAAAACATCAATCTCCCATCATTTTGTACTAAACTCCGATAAATTTCATACAAAAAGACTCTGTTCCTTTTGTTTTCACGCAAAAACATGCTTTCTAGAAGCTAAGGTGGCCACAGTACAGACAAATGATAAAGAGTGGCGCTGTTGTCGTATTTAGCTCGGTCTCGGTGGACGCCAGCGGCCTAAGTTTTGACGGCGAGTTTCCCAACTGAGTGTTCTAGTAACGTTGGCTAGGCCTAACCATAGCTAAGTCCAACTGTGGCAATGGCTAGGCCTAACTTGGCTAGGCTTAACTGTGGCAAGGCCCAACAGTGGAGCATGGCTAGCAGTGTCTGGGAATTTAAAGGAAAGTAATTATGGTTGACGTTCTGCTTCGGGAGCACATCCCTGACTGGTGTGCTCAGCATCTTATTACTGCCCCCGTGTCTGCATCAAATTGATGGCAAAAGAGGTCATAGGAGACGCCGAGGGAATAATATGGATTGTAGCGATCTTGGCGGTTGGTCATGAAAGTGCCGGCATAACAGACGAACGGGAATCAGTGTCGCCGGCGTTGCGGCAGCTCCACCCGTGGTTGCCGGAGTTTTTATTGACTGACTGGCTGCGGACGGTTGCAGCAGAACAAGTGTCTGCTGTATCCACTTCTACCGGTGTGCCACCACCAGTGTGGCGATGGTGTACAGTGTCCTCCTGTTGTAACGTCACCAGGCAGCGCCTTAATGGACGAGATAAGGAAGTCCAAACACGCTACCGAGGCTGCGTTCCAAATCTACTCAAATGGATCCGAGTTGCCCTGGCGGATTATGTCACGTGACAACAAAATTAGAGAAATGCTGGACGTGGATAGGTTCTTGCACGCTAAGGTACAGAGCCTTTACCCTAGAGCGAGATTGAGTGAATTTTGGAACACGGCCTCAGAAACACAATCCAGTCATTGTAATCCTGCTTGCATAAGCAGACGAGCTTAACGTTTCAACCGTTGCTTTCTGCACAGGTGCCGAGCTTGCCCAAGTACACCTCTCAAGTGGTCACAAGATTCATCAGGGTAACTTGCGTCACATCGGAGAAAAATCCTAATTTTTTTAGCTTCTTTAGGCAGAACCGAAAGTAACTGTGCCGGTTTGTGGCTTCGTCCTGCATTGTGCCACAGCCGCTGAGCCAACCGTACCTGGATTTGGCCGCGGCTTACACCTCTAACAATCCGGACGAGGTCAGGGCTGTCCTCACGAAGCACGCCGAGACGTTTTCAAGGGTGGGTATGCCTTCAACGTGGGTTACTTTTTTTTTTTTGCGATGAGTTTTTACGTTACGTGTGGTTCATTGAGGAACTGGAATATGTTGGAATATGTCTGAGCACTTCTTTTCCTTCTTTCGTTTCTTGTGACATAAGTCACCAACTTTGGAGCCAAACTCTCCTTTTTTTTTAATTATAAGCGTGCCTACAATGATATAACTCTGTAACACAATTCTCGCTTTCTGCCGAAATATCGTCTAGAAGCAGCTGCAAAAATTGCAGACCCAGAGAGTTTATGCAGGATGTATGCCTTTTATATTCTGTTGCAACATGAGAAAAGCAGGACAGGCTGCTCCCACAAAGCTCTCCACTCTTTTCCGCTTTGGCAGAGCGAACACTAGAGAGGATGAAACTACCAATCACAGCGAGCAGAGCATTGTAAAAGAAGCTGTCAATATCTTGCCAAAAAAAAAAAAAATGATTTTGCATTGTATGGTGTTTGGTTATCCTTGAATCTGCATATTTTATGTGAAAAAATAATAAGTGCCAGTTATAATCATGTACTTCATTAAAGACTCATTTGAAGACCTCCCAGCAACCCAGAACGGCATAAATTAGAGCCATTTTTGTGTGGGCGGTTCTTCGAATTGTGACAACGCCTGCCATCACATTTATGTTGACAAGTAGGCCTAGTCGTCTCCTTTCGTCACGGTCTTCTGTAGCTTCAATTTCTCACTGAAAGGTATTAACTACATATTACTTTTCTGCTCGGAACATTATTGCCACACATATGTGGTAACATTTGGACGTAACTTTTCCCTTCATGTAATTTTGGGGCACCTTCACGGTTTGTGCACAGGAGTTATTGTGCTTAATATTGTCCTATCCCAACCAAATATGGCATGCATATACTTTAGAATATGTAGAATACAACTATGAAAGTTTTTTTTAGAATATGTAGAATGCAACTATGAAGGTTTAATTAGAATGTATAATTTTTTAAGAAAAATTTAGGAAACTTTTGTAAACCCCCTGAAAAAGGCATTATTGCGATGATAATGCAAAGGTGCAAGCGAGCTGGACAAGGATAAAGATAACTGTCCTTGGGGAACGAGGGGGACAAAGGACAAACACAGATCTCGAAACAGCTTGGTGACTGGTGCGCGACTGAAATTAGGTCTGCCTGGTCTTGGTGTGGACCTAGGGACCTCTCCATTTCCAGTAGAGCACTCTACCGACTGAGCTGACCAGGAGTTAGAATTCAGTAGAGCCCATAGACGTCAGTAGAGCAAATGGGCTCTACTGACGGTCTCCCTGATGGTTTCTTCTGCATGTGCATTGCATCCAGAACATAAAAAAAACAAGCTATGTAAAATCTAACACCAGATTTATAAAGAGGTGATCGAGCGCTATAAACTGGACATTTCAGTTAATTATTGCAAATAAAAAAAAAAAAAAAAATTCCCCTGGCACATGTTTTCTTTAGTTGCAGCAGACTATACCATCTTTTTTTCTTTTTCGCTGATTTGACTTTTTATGGCGCAGGACAACAATACGGGTTTGACGAAGCAGTGCCTGGCATCACTCTACAAGAAGAACATCCAGAGGCTCACAAAGGCAAGTCTAGACGTGCAAAGAACAGAAGTAAAAAATACATAAATGTGATTAGACCTCTCTCTGTTGTCAAGTCAGAACAGCATTGCTTATTTTTAGCAGCATATGGAAGTTGGAAGCATGAAGTCATGGCATTGGGTAAAGCTTTGAGAGGAAGTTTGCAAAATATAATAAAACCTATTGATTTTCAATATTAAAAAAAAAAAAAAATTAAATGTGTGCTATGTGAGTGTTGTGCAAATATCAGAATTTTCTAATAGTAATTTTGAATGACACGCTATTCAATATTTGGTTCGAATAATATGCTATTCAGTATTCACTTCAAGGTGAACTGCGATGTTCATATATTGTACCATAGAATACCACGCATCCGCCCATTCCACATTAAGTGCCCATTCCCAAATTTGTAATATCTGAGGAAATATGCACAGTACATTTATATGTAAAATTGATGACCGGGCAAGCGCCCATCTCCATTCTCTCGCTATTATTTCTAAATTTTGAGTGGGCGCTTGCCCGGTATTTTACGGTAAGTGTTGGTCGTGGTACGTTAGCCTTGTTCAGTGCACTTCTTATTCTTACCGAGCACTGGTGCACTGCCCTAAAAGTAACGCCTGCAGAATTCACTTCCATGGGTGTTGCTTCTCCCCAGTACACTCGTACTTGGTAAGAAGCGCCCTCAACGGGGCTAATTCATCATGTTCACACTTGGAAAAGTACAAGTATCGCAGCTACGTGCAAATATTTATAAATCCCATCGGTTATGTATAGCTGGGCATCTTGTAGGTTTAATTTTATCTCAAATATGTCATTTACTTGGCAACTTAAAAGGGCTCTGAAAAGGATTCTGCAATCATCTGTCCTTGGTCTTAACTGATTCCACGGCCTTGCACATCGTCAAAACTCGTACATTACAATCGCGCGACGCCGATTTCCCTTCTAAAAAGTGACGAAAGGTCGGGACACGCCCCTTTTTGAGCAGATTTTTCCGTTCAAGAAAGGAGTGGCATACCCCAGCAGTGGTGTCAGTGTGATGACAATGGGCGATTGTCGGCCAATCACAAGTCACCTTTCCGAAAGAGGCTGATTGTGATTGGCCGACGAGCACCCATCATCATCGCGCTGACACCGCTGCTGGGGTATGCCACTCCTTTCCTGAGCGGAAAAATTGGCTAAGGAAGTGGTGTGTCCCGACCTTTCATCACATTTTAGGGCGCAGCTCTTAGGCCCCTGTTTCCGGCTTGAGCGGTGTCGGTGTAACTGCGCGGTGCATTACGGGACGCGTGACGTCACTGATGAGGGCATCCGCATCGGCACCGGCATCGTCATCGTCATCGCCACTGATGACATCACTTGTGATGATGACGTCATCAGTGACGTCACTGATGACATCATCGTCGCGTGACCTCATAGGGGTCACGTCACGTGACCCCCGTGAGGTCACGTGACCCTCGTGAGGCGACGGCAACGCCGCTCAAATGGTGGAGTAGCAGACAGGATGGGGTGGTGAGGAGGAGAGAGGAAGGATATACCTTCTCCTCAGTACCCTTCCCCTCCTTCTCCTCAAGAGCTGCGCTCTAATTCGGCGTTACAGGGAGTTGTAAACAGCTTTCATTTTAGAGCGCAGCTCTTAGGCACCCGTTTCCAGCTTGAGCGGCGTCGCCGTCGGCGTAACTGCGCGGTGCATTATGGGTAAATTGCCCGCTAAATCTAGCGGAAAAAATTTCCCCGCTAAGTCTAGCGGAAAAATTTCCCCGCGAAATCTAGTGAAAAAATTTCCCCGCTAAATCTAGCAAATAAATTTCCCTGCTAAATTTAGCGGAAAAATTGCCCCGCTAAATCTAGCGGAAAAATTGCCCCGCCAAATTTAGTGGAAAATTTTCCCCGCTAAATTTAGCGGAAAAATTTCCCCACTAAATCTAGCGGAAATTTTTCTCTGGGGGGTCACGTGACGAACCCTCCCCTTCCCGAGGTCATGTGACACCCCCCAGGTCACGTGACCACCCTTCCCGAAGTCACGTGGGGGTCACGTGACCCCCCCCCCCCCCCCCCCGAGAACACGTGACCCTCAGTACCCTTCCCTCCTCCTCCTCAAGAGCTGCGCTCCAATTCGGCATTACAGAGAGTTGTAAATCGGCGTCGCGTGGTTGTCATTCTTTATTTTTAGGATGCTTAGTCCGTGTAGAATCAGTTGACCATGAACAGACGATCGCAGAATCCTCTTTAGTGCCCCTTTAATGTAGGCACTGAACTTTCTGAGGCCGTATTGGATAAATATTTGCTAGGTAAAAATCAATTTAGCTTAGGAATGGACAAGTAAAAGCTTGGGAGCAACCTTCACGAGTTGAGCTGTGTTTTTGTGTAAGCATGGTGCAGTAGTGAAAGGCGTAGAGAAACTATTCGTTTCGAAAATATTCGGCCAAAACCACTATTTGAACATGACTACTAAATGTCGCAGGTGCCAGAAATTTTATTTTTTTCTTGATTTTATCTCTGGTATCTTGTATGTAGTCCTACTTAATATCAGTGTAAAAATGTACTGAAAACATACTTGCCTTTTTGAAATTTGTGAAATGGCTGAGGGGAGCTAAATGTGGGCAGACACTATTTTTTTAATGTTCTTCACTTTCATCCACACTAGTTTGTTTCTTACATAATTTTGTCACTGATGTTATGTGCTTTTGTCATGACTGTCTCACAGTGGATAACTGTTAACACTGCTTTTATGATTATGAAGAAAATACCAATTGATTATGTTCTTATCTTACTGAAACTAAATTCTGATAACCCAAAACATTTACTAGTAGTGCAATATTCAGCAAAATAGAAGCCTGATGACCCAATGATCTTTTTTCTTCTGTGGTTTGTCTTGGTCTCGGGCACTAGCAGCAATTTGTATTGAAAGGAATTCAACGTTCATAATATTTGTTTGTCGTAATTGCGGACGATGACGCACGCGTCTGCGTCCTGTTCGTTGCAGACGTTCCTGACGTTGTCTCTGACAGACATGGCGAGCCGCGTTCAGTTGTCGGGCCCCGGGGACGCCGAACGGCACATTCTCAACATGGTACGCATGCCAGCATGATTGCTTTTTGAGTCGCGCCTCTTGTCCATGAGCTTGTCTGTCACGAGCTCAAATCTCGCTCCGGCTGGTGTCCGTACGTACGGGCATCGCACCGGTGTTCATCCATGTAAACGCTGGTATGCGACACGCATCAAGAACTCTCAGATTTGCAGTTGTACCGCATTGCCCGAATTAGCCTTCTACTGAATTAGGGTGGCGATGTGGTCTAGTTGGTTCTTGATAACAACCGGGAAAAGGGCGTACAAAAAACTGAGACAAAGTTAAAGGAGAGCACACGGGACAAGCGCTGTCCCATGTGCACTTCTTTTACTTTGTCCCTGTATTTTGTGCGCTGCTTGCCCAGTTGTTGCCCTCCTACAATGCCAGGCGAAGCAGCTGCTTGTCTAAACATGCGCAGAACTAATTTGACATCTGCATTTGTTGCGTGAAGCATTTTTGGATCAGAAATGTCTGTCTAATTTGATCTGGGAGAAATTGTCTTGTGCTGTTCCAGTATCTGGCAAGTCGTGTTTAAGGGTCTTTTGAACCGTAAGCTAGGTGGCACTAGCTGTAGCAGGTGGTGCAATTTTCTGGCAATACTATTCATCCTTCCATTGAACTATTTTGTTCGAAACAATCTTTGTCGTCATAAGTTTGGAGGTGCAACCTCCCCTAATCTTGTCCACCCTGACCGAACTTGAGAATGATAGCGTCAGGTGTAATCTTCCTCCCGTCGGCCTTGCATCTGCAGATCGAGGACGAAGAGATCTTTGCGTCGATCAACCAGAAGGATGGCATGGTCGTGTTCTTGGACAACCCGGAGAAGTATAACACGCCGATCATGTTCAAGAGGCTCGAGGAAGAGGTCGGTCCATTCACGTGTCTTGCACCTATGCGGACGCGAGTCGAATTCAGCCGACGTTAGCCGCCTATGTCCGACTTGCGACTGCGATGCGTGCACCCTCTTCTTTGCAGATGCGCAAGTTCATCCAGCTCAACGAAAAGGTGAAGCAGATGGACCAGGACATCGCCGTCGACCCAAAGTACATCCAAAAGGTATGAAGCGTCGTTAGCAGACGAGCATCGTTTCCCGCGTCGGCCCAAGTTAAAAATGGATTGTCAATCTATATAAGGAGTGAGTGTCGGCTTCGGTTGGCCGAATACCTTGGGAAGTGTCAGACGACTCTAACGGCCAACTTTTTATTTTGTTAGGTGACTGATGAGGCAGTTCTTCTCTGCAAAGCCCTTTGACACCCCTAAGAAATAACTTTCTTTTGTGTGTGTGTGTGTGGAAAGCTTTAGATTATTTGCAAAAATCACCCAAAATTATTTTATTGCATAGGCATTTATTTTGTTCCTCAAAAAATAGGCTGGAAAAAAAAAATAACCAGCACTGAATATTGACTGGCATTGAGACCCCGGGAGTTGCTGGCAGTTACACTCCTCGCAACTTCGCGTTCAGTGTTGCCTTTTCATGCCTTTTGGTATGGCGCCTTTTCATGTTCCTTTGCGATTACAGATTGTCATGCCTTTTTGAGATAAGGCCTTTTTGTATACATTTAAAACCATGCCTTTTCGTGCCCCTTTGTGATCATTCATTGTCGTGCCTCTCATGCCCTTCTGAGGTTATGCTCTCTTAGCGCATCAAATTTAGCGGGGAAACAGAATTGATGTGGGTCAGTTGACATCAATTTTCCCAGGAAATTTAGCGGAGAAACTGAATTGATCTATGCCTCAGGACGTTGGGTGACACAAATCGATTTTCTCACTAAATTTAGCGGGAAAACTGAATATGTGTTTTGGTCACATGATGTCAATTTCCCCGCTAAATTTTGTGTGGAAATGGACGGACAGACAAGATTTTGGGATTGTGGGGAATTCTTTAAAATTTGGCTTCTTGGTATTTTGCAAAGGCCACTCTATACTTTGTTTCACTTTAAGTCCGGATGCAGTTCACACTACGAGCTGAAGGGACCAATCACAGCGTCGAAAGCGCACCATCATGGTGTTAGTCATGTTTCTGTACTTGTTCTATCATCGCTGAACCAATCCTAACCAGAAAAGGCCTAGTAACTTGCAGTTTTGATGCTGGACTTAGGCTGAAACAAAGTATAATACTAGCTACTAGGGCTGTGTGAATATTGCATATGTTCGAATATCGAAGCAAATCATTGCATATTCGATTCAGAGTTTGAATGGTATGGGGCCATTTGGCATCACCGAATATTTTCTAAGTATTCCTAAGTTGGGAGGACTGCAAAGCGTGCCTTAATTTAGTCTGAAAAATACATGCTTAAAAGTACATACTCGAAGTAAGTTCACCAACCGAGGCTGAAACACAAGTAGCAATAAATATGGTAGCAACAAGTCTACTCCCTTTAATCTATTGCGGATTGCATTTCTACTGGCTAACACCAAAGTGCCTGTGCAAACAAGTCTCAGCATTTCTTTTTTTGCTAAGTAAACCGTATCTTTTCTGGCCATGCTTCTTGTTCTTGACCTCGATTCATTATTATGGACAATTTTTCTGGGCAACGGAAATGTTTATAGGAACGAGGCACGACTGTATTCAAATAAGAGTAATTGTGCAGCCCAGCTGGCGAACAATCAAGGTAGAGAAAACTTCTGACCTTGTTGCACTTGTCCTTTATTTTTATTCTTTTCTAGTTTTGAGGGTTTTTTTTATTGGGACTGTATTGATGGCCACAAACAATTTGGTTCACTTCGAAATTATTCTATTTGGTTTCGGAATTATTCGTACAAAGGAACTGTTTGCTTCTTATTTGCTTCGAACTAAAAAAGCGCTATTCGCACATTCCTAATAGCTACACATTTGGAACGTCCTTGCTCGCGCCCGCCCGGAAACCGCAGCCTGTCGCGCACATTACGCGCCGCATCGAACAAACTGTCCACAAACTGGTGCCCGAACTGGCCACGCGTAATGGCGACTGGCTTGCAGCTGCTGCTGCCTTTGGAGGAGCCCCACCTTTTCAACTACTGCCCCCCTGTCCCCTCCCTCTTGACCTTGCCGCACTGGCCGTGTTCGCCCCTGCACCTTTCCGACGATATACAGAGACTCCAAGCAAGAGCCCCCACAGTATGTGTAGTCCACTTTGCCATCATCGAGCACATGCTAATGTTAAGGAAAGAAGCCCACGCTCCAAAATCAGTCGCTTTATCGAAGGCTGCGTCCTAAGCTCGCACGCGTCGGCACCGAGAGCCGGTCTCATAAATTCTATGCGTTTAACGCCACCCTGTACTCCTCCTCACAAATGTTTGCGTCGAAGTCGATGGCAGGGGCATGCAAGTTCGGCTCTGCAAAACGTTTTATTCTTACGCAGGAAGTCGTGCGTAGAGGGCACTCTCTAAAGCCACGCGCTCGCGCCCCCTGCCTTTGCCTGCACCGTAGACGTTTGTCAGATAGAGTACGCGAACACGGCTCGCGGCATAGTTTTGTGTAAATGTCTAAAAAGTGACTTAAAGTTAAGCGTACAAAGTACAACCGAGAGGTTACATACAGCGTGTCCCAAAGCCGAGTTTACGGTGTTTTTTTTTTTACCACAAGACTGAATTAAGCATCGACGAAGTCTCGTTCTCTGCCCCCAATGTAGCGCTGGCGGTACGAACCAGATTTCAAAGTTTCCGCACTAACCGTTTTCTCGTTCAAAAGTTTTGTGCGATTTTCTGAAAATGTCAACGGGGAAATGGGGCCTGTTTTTGGTAGCCGACGCCATGCGACCCCACGTATTTTCTCGTCGAAAATTTCGGAAAACCGCTAGTAACTTTTTAATAAGATGGCAGTGAGCGTTCGGCAATGCGTGATTGAATTTTTGGTAAAAAAAAACAAAAAACTGTAAACTCATTTTTGGGACACCATGTATTTAACCTTGGTGAAAGAAACCTTGTAAATCTTTTGGGTGGAGACACCCTGTACTTCAAGTAAAGCACCTCTAGTCACTGGCAAGGTGGGAGCGGCAGGGTACACCAAAGGCTCGCAAGACGCTGAAGCGTCATCGAAGGTAGGAAGCTGCCTCTGGAGGCGGGACAACTGGAGCTCCTCCCTGTCGTTCTCGTGCTGTAAGCGACTTCAGTGCTTTGGACACAGTGTACTTAAAGGGAAGCCGAAGAGGTTCTTAAAAGAAATGAGTTAGAGCTGAATTGCGGAGTATTTGTATCCTGTGAATCTGGATATCACATTCATTCTCCCCGACGATGTAACAAGATGCGAGACAATACGAAAAACCTCCGACCAGTCGTTACGTCATACTAGGATCTTTCGGCTGTCAAGCGCATGCCGCTCGTGCAGGCAACGCGTGCAATTGCAAGATTGCCAAGTATGTTTCCCCACACCGACACCATTTGTGACATCTTTTCCTGACCTTTTTAGAAATGGCAATAGTCCGCGTGCACGGCTCTGATGGGCGGCGAAGATGTGTGAGAGCGGAGGCTCCGAAAGCTCTAGATATGTCGTGCTCCGGGAAGGAGGGGCTTCGACGGTACTTTGAAAGCGATTTTCTGCAACCTCCGTGCACAAAACTGAAATTTACCGTAATATCCCGAGTCATCGCCCATCCCCGAGCCATCGCCCACCCCATTTTTTGGGCTAATATCGATTTCCGAAAAAACACCCGAGTCATCGCCCACCCCTTCGAATACCCCAGCGCGGACTCTGCGATCCGCGAACACTCATCCTACCCGAATGACGCGGCCGCGGACCTTACAGTTCGAGGACGTCCGTGACAAAGTAAAACGAAGGAGGGAAGGAGGGGTCGCTTACATCCGTGAGCGACCCCAAAGTGGTCGTGTATCCGTGCGAAAAGAAAACGATGGAGATATTAAAATAAGAGTTTGTTAATGTAACCGCGGAGTGTTAGGTCAAAGTCTGTCTCCGCCGAAGGTCACCGCGAACCCGCTCCTTCTTCCCGCCCGTCGCGACCGCGGTTGTGCAATATTTTAGGCAAAGCCAACGCGTAAATAAAGCTTTGCTGGAACGCCCTACACAGACGTTTGCAGAGCGTCCCAACCGTGCATTGATAGCCCGCCGTGCACCGACGCACGTATGTACGCACCAAACAAGAAAGTTGCGCAAGAGCTTGCAATTGACAAGGCGCCCGACTTGGCCCGACGCCAAAGTATTTGCCAACGTGACCGCCGGCTTTCCCGCTTTCCCAGCCTTGCTCTTGGTCGCTTCTTTGGTCCGCTCGCTCGCTCGATGCGCCTGGTCGGTTTTTCTATTTTCTTGTAGACTTTTTTTTTTTTCACTAATTAGGAGAACAGAGTGGTGACATTCTTTCACGGGACAAACGTTCGCGCTATATGCAGATCAACGGTGTTTCTAGCGCGTATGCAAGCAACGGACTTCGCTATAGTAAAATATTCTTTCGTGAGCATTTTTTTTCTATAAAACAATGAAACTAAATCGAATTTTGAGTTTGATGTATCTCTTGTGCATCAGCGCTAGATACGCAGAGAAAAATAGGCGGTTTTTTCCGCTTTTTTTCAAGTGTTTGTGCTCACCCACCGAGACATGGCCCACCCCACTTTTTTTAATGAATTTCAGGTGGTAGGGGGGTGGGCGATGACTCGGGATATTACGGTAATCTCAATATTTGTGATCCCAAGGCCGAATGAAGGCGATTTAAGTGTTTTTCCTGAAATACAGAACCGCTTCAGTTTCCCTTTAAAGTAAAACACCATAAATGCAGTGTTTTTTTTAAAGCAAAGTATGTAAGTACCTTTTAAAGCAATCTTTCACAATCTTGTTCCGTTTCCCTCGTGCAACTTTTTTGTAGTTGTTGGTTTTTTTTAGAATTCTCCGCACATAGTTTTGACGTTGTTTCACGATCCGAATTTAGCGAGACTGAATTCGGGGAGCGCGCTTCAAAGTCGGGAGTTTCACTTTTTTGGAAAGTATTAGGGAAAAAATGAAAGCCGTTTACAACTTCCGGTAACGCCGGATCAGAATGCAGCTCTTGAGGAGGTGGATGGAAGGATACTGAGGGATAGGTGACTCCCTGAGGTCACGTGACTTTGGATGGGGGGGGGGGGGGGAGGGGGGAGTCACGTGACCTTACGGTTACGCCGACGCCGCTCAAGCCGGGAACGGGCGCCTAAGAGCTGCGCTTTAAAAAATACTTCAAGTGAGGTACGAGCAGTCGCTCCTGGAATCTGCTTCGAGTAAAAGTATGAGCGATCGAAAACCTACTCGAAGTAGCACCAAAGGTGCAACTACGGTGCCTGGAGTGCGTCTCCGACCGATGCGTCTGCCGCGTCTTTAAAAGCGGTCCCACGATTTCCACTCGGCAGTGTCGCGGAGGTGTCGTCCCGTTGCTCGCGGTGATCCCGGCGGTGGCACAGCTGCAGGGGTAGGTGTGACAGACACCCGTACTGCTGTAGGTCGCTCTGCAAGCAGACGGTCAACGGAAATCAGAAAGCAGACGTAGGACGACGAACCGGTCGTCCTGCGTCTGCTACGTCGGCTCCCGCGGTGCGATTTGTCGCCACTTTGGGAAAGGTTTTGACGCACGCACAGGCCGAATGGCACGGCAGGCGCACCGGATGAAGACGCAGTCCAGGCTCCCTAGTAGCAAGTGCTTCCTGACACCGGCTTAGTTGGTACGTGCCTGGGAATGTGCGATTGTTTTTTGCTTTTTTTCTCCGACAGTGCGCTGGGCAGCAGGAGGACGATCAGCCGGGCAGCTCGATCGGCAGCAGCAAGATCCCCAACTACTCCATGTGAGGGACGGGACGCGCGGGGTTCAAGGAACAGGAGGAACGCGCCTGCCCCCCACCCACCCCCCACCAAGTTCTGGCACTTTTTGGAAAGCGAAATGAGACAGTCATTAAAGGTTGACGCGGCATTGCGTCCCCTTGGAACGTTTGAGCCGAGCGTCGTCAGTGTGTCTTTTACCCAGTTGGCTTTTACGGCGATAACCGTAATGGCCTCATTACGGTTATCGCCTCAACACGAAATGATGTAGGGCATCTCTGTCGTCGTCACCAAGCGTACTCCAGCCGGTTTCTAAGCTACCAAAACAAATTGCATTTCCTGAATACCCAAGCTTTAGTCTTTACAGTGAGCTATTCATTGTCCCGGGAATGGGAGGGGCTGTGTTCGAAATCTTAAACAAATAGATGTGAGCTACTCCGGCGGGTTGTGTCGCGCGATAGCACAGACAGAGCGACGCTGGACGCAGGTAGGTTTTCAAATGCAAAGCTACAAAACCCTTACCCTGGAGTAGGATCGAGTAAATTTTGGAATACGTCTAAGGATGGACTGCGTTGGCAGGTGGCATGCAACTACAAGTCTGATGAGCACCGGGGTCACCGAAAAGAGGAGGAAGCGAGAAGGAAAATCTCGATTTTGGCTCGGTGGTGTTCAAACAGTCCGGACTGCCGGACGCTTCAACTCTTACGATTTTTGCTGGAGTCTTGTTGCCTCACGATTCCCATTTGGACAGGCCTTTAAACGAAGCATGTCGAGCGTTTTTTTCATGCTTCTCAGTGGATGAGCTCCCAAGCATCCCTTTCCCACTATCAAACTCCTTGTAATCAGTTGGGAATGTGGTTTACGGCCCACTTTGTACCATTTCTATCGTCGCGCTTTAGTGTTGCCAGTAGGAACTCTCGATTTGAAAAACACGAATGAAATTTAAAAATTTTCCAAAAAAGTTTTTATTTTCATGCTATACTTAGGGGACTGGTACAGCCGTGTCTATCGCTGTGTTGAGCCAAATTTTGAGACAAATCTGCGACCATCGCTACACCGATTCTCAACGAAATGCGTCGGCATATAACGTGGGGGTTCCGACTTGATTCCAACCTCGCAACGGTCCAAGAACTGTTGTGTTGAGATCCGATCTTTCCTCCCGGGTATTGGCGATTTCGCTCAAACGGCGGCGTCGCTGCACATCGGTTTCACGTCATCGCGCACGTTGTGCACACTGGGGAAACAAAACCGTGTGCTAATGCCCCAGCGCCAACGTACGAAAGGTGTGCGACAATCGCGGCAGATCACTAGAAGCGTGGGAGAAGACTCTTTCCTTCTTACGTAAGAGGGAAAGTGGACTTAACGAGCGAACGAATGGAGTGTAAGAGCACGACGGGAACTGCGCTGCAACCCCGTGAAACCGGTTCACCAGTTGAAAGCAAAGACGGCTGACTGCACCAGGGCAATAACTGCTGACGCATTTAAAAGAAAGCCTGCTGCGGTTTTCTCAAGATTCGATCGTTGGTCCGCTGCTTGTAAAGCGAGCGCGTTGCCACGTAGCTTCACCAGCAGCCTCAACACGAGTTTGTTTGTAAACTATGCGCGTGACATCTTTCTTCTCTTTTACTACCTCTTCATTAAAACTGCTAGACAGCCACAGTTTGCTGTGATTGGAGTTGCACCGTGTCTGTTGGAGGGCTTCTGTGCAAGCGAGTACATCGCTCTCTGAGCACATGTCGGCGATGGTTTTTCCACGTAAGAAGCAAGGTACATAAGGATGCATTTGGGTTCGGTAAGGTGCTGCATGGCTGTACTGACCGGACTGCTCATTGTATTTCATCGGTTGATCTTCAGTCTTTGTGTCGGTGTGTCTTTTCCCCTGCAAGCTAGTGGCTTGGTGACCGTAGCCACACTGCAACTTGGTTATCTTCGGTGCACGGGCCTACCAGAGGAAGTCGGGCTGGTTGCGAAACATCTGGTTTTAACCATATCGGAGGTTGGTCCTTGAACCATGAGGAACTATAAAACGCCTTAGCAGACGGTGAAGGAACTTTGATGCTCTTAACACGAGCTTCGTTAACAATACTGCACAAACTGCAGACAATTAAAGGTTCTCTCCAAATGTTGCGCAAGAGTGATACTCATGCAGCAGCTAAACAAGTGTGCAAAAAGACTGGATTTCGTTTCGGTGAAAACTGCTGCAGCATTTACTTTATTCACTAATCAAGACCAGCTTTTATGTTGCAGGTTGAAAAAAGATAACAGAGGCACCAATGTAGGCTCTGGCGAGGTTTTGGGTTGAACCTGCGACTTCAACCTAGCTCTGCAAATAATCCTGAATTAAGTTTGTCTAGCCTGAACAGAATTCATTTCAATGAAATACCTCCGACGAAATCTTGAGTCACTTATTTGCCTCAAATTTGGCTAAAAACATTAGTAGACACGGCTGAACTAGTAACCCAGTGTTACCAGCAGAAGAGCTCTGCTGGAAACACTGGAAATGCGACGTCACCCAGTCGGGGAGCGTGGGAAACTTTGAATGTAGGTTTTGGGATGACCCTCATTTGCCAATTTCTCAATGGCCGTTCTAAATTGAGAAATAATAAATAGTATGCTGGGAACAAACAGCCTGGGTATTTCGAAAATACATCTAATTCGGGTAGCTGAAAAGACCGCGGGAGCTCCCCTTTAAGCTAGAGGGAAAGGACGACGTGCCAACTGCGGTATTCAATTCAAATCACGAGCAACACGAACAGGCCTGAGCACTGAAACCTCGCCGCACAACACACAAAAGACTGGCAGCATATGTGTGGAAGATTTTTAATCATACTCTGCAGGAAATCAGGATATATGGTACTCTTCCTCGAATCGACGGAAGTCCTCGTCCGTGAACGCCGTAGGCCTGTCGTCCGACGTAGACGCGCTTGCGTCCGCGCCGGACCTGTGCATCATGGAGTGCAGATTTGCCTGCAAAGCAAAAAAATATTGTAATGAAAATATATGCACGTATAAAGAGAAGTTTGTCCACACTCAACAGTGGAAACCAGTCCTACGACGTGACAATCGCAACTACGGTAGTACTCCAGTGCGAGATGCCGAAAAATTCTAACTAGGATCTCGCTGTGGTCCTAGATGCCTCTCCTATGCGGGGCACAAGTTCGTCTGCTTCTTGAGCAGGGGTTTCGGTGACATCAGTAGGCCGAGCTCCGACTGGCTCCGATTGAAAGGGTAGTGGGTAGACCTCAAGGCAGCTAGCATTGAGGTCTACCCGCTATCCCTCCAAGAGGGCCAATCGGAGCTTGGCATTCTGATGTCGGTGCAACCCCTGCGCAAGAAGCGGACAAACTTATGCTCTGCATAGACAAAGCTATTTACAGCTTACGTCCCTGGTTTTAAGAGTGCACGTCGGTGTTGCCTGACTGCGCTGGGCTGTGAGTTTTCTCATTGCTGGGCTGGGGCGGCCTGCGTAGGTACAATTGCCGACACTGGTGACGACTAAATTGCTGCGTTTTATTGTTTCTTTCGTGTTTTATGACGAATAGAAAAATTTCTCTAGGCTCTTAAAAAAGCATTGTACCGTTTTGGAGAACAAAACCAAACGAATGAAGCTATTTTGGGTGAGTCCGTGCATAACAAAGCAAGTGTAACTGGAATGTTCCTTTCATTTTATGCAGATTCTTTACGACGCCAACTGTCGAAAATATTTGCCACACAAGATGGCTATGAAAGGCATGGGTATCCACCGTTGACAACACGAAATTCAACGAGTCTCATCGATCGAACAACATATTGTACGTACCATATGGTGCCGCATTATCCAAAAAGGGTTTATTTGAGAAAGATCTCAAATAATGCAGCATACCCAATCTACAATGTCAACGACAGTCGCTTCACGGCGATCGGACTGAATCCAGCTTGTTTTAGAACACGTTTTGAAGAGAGCTGCTTCTTTTTTGCACAGCGCCAAAGAGAAGGTACGGACGTGTCGGTTCCGTCCCTTGCCCAAAACCCGATCAAGTATTATTCGCAAAGACTGGGAATATAGCTGGGAAGGCTTTTCTGAGATTAACTCAATAAAAATGATGCTCGAAGAACGACAAACAACCCGTGTTGCGGGCCGCTCAACGTTAGCCTTTCAGAGCGCAGCTCTTAGACGCCCGTTTCCGGCTTGAGCGGCGCGCCGTTGGCATGATTGCACGTTGCATTGTGGGACGTTTCCCATAATGACGTTGTGTGGCATCACGAGGGTTACCCTCGTGAGGATTACAAGGGTTACCTTCACAAGAGTTACAAGGGTTACCCTTGCGAGGGTTACCCTCACAAGGGTTACCCTCGTGATGCCATTATCACAAACGTGTGACGTCATACACATCTAACATTGCCAATGTTCCCGCTGAATATAGGGGTGAAATTTTCCTGCTAAATTTAGCGGAGAAATTTCCCCGCTAAATTTAGTGGGGAAGTAAGAGGGGCATACCCTCCCCTCCTCAAGAGCTGTGCTCCAATTCCGCGTTACAGAAAATCGTAAACGTCTCTAATTTTCTCTTTCGTTTCCCGTGAAGATTGCGCAATCTATGATCCCTGATATTCCCTGGTTCTCAAAGTGGAAGATAACATAAAAAAGATAAGCATCCTGAACAGGGAAATAAAGTGAAGACTTTCAAGAAAGGCCGGCAAACACTGAATGCACAATGCAGGTAAGGAGTCGCGCTGACTGTGTTTCCACGACTCGGGTGGTGGCAGAAATTTTTGGCTGATAGGGGTCGCTCGAGTCGCAAAATGGCGGCGGCTGGATAGTCATTTTTGGAAAGCTCTACAGAAACCTTTTGTCGTTATCATCACCGTGCGAAATTAACCTACTCCACTGCATTCTGTAATGCCATGACTTGCTGATGTTTATGATAAGTAGGGTGTTAAGTTTGTTATGCCAGGTAAGCCCTTTCAACGACAAAGGCGTCCACGCTCAATGAATCCAAACAATACTTGCGAAAACAAATCACAAAATGTAGATTCTGCATTAAATTTGCGCAAGCGGAGATCTCGTCCAGTAATATAGTGCATAGGAAGGACCAACCAGAGGAATGAAAATGCAAAGGGCATGCCACATGCTCACACATTCGATTAATTACTCCAAGGCATGCCGTTTCAACGCTCCACCAAAGAAACGAAGTAACCATCCTCTTTGTGCTCTGTGGCCGAGCATTCAAAGCAGCCAAAGGAGAGGTAGTGAGACCTGGCAGGTATGGCTCGCTTTCGAAAGCTCTGGGGGCCTTGCGCACGTGTGCCAACAACGGCGTGATAACAATGTAAGATTGGAGCACTGACCTTGTCGATGGCGCGGCTGCAACCATGCGACAACTTCTGCAGCGTCTTGAGGTTCTCTTCCGTGTGATCGGTGGCCTGAGCCTTGCGAAGCTCGTCTATTTGAAAAAGGTTGGGGCACACGGTTGGCCAATACCGTCCCGAGGAAGACTGCAGCAGCAAGTACCTTGAGCCAAGTGAAAACGTTGCTTAAAAGGCGCACTAGATGTGGGGCAGCTGGAGGGGATCGTAGGCTTATACTTAGGTGGGGCACTGTCGTCCGCTCACTGCATCTTTCGGGAGACCTGGTCGTACGTGAACCGTCCACCACTGACCTTGGCGAGTTTGTCGGTCTCATCTTTTGCAGAAAGAGAGCTATGCCTTAAAATCTCGTCAGCCAAAGTGCACCATCTCTATGCACATTCGGTAAAAGTTTCAGCTTTCTATGTGCTGGACGAGTGACGACCATGCTCCATCCACCCTTCCCTCCGACCGGAAGCCGAAGCTGAAAGCTGTTGGCACCAATCCTGTGCCTTTAATGGGTCGTGCGACTTCGGCCCGCTTGAACACAAATCTATACCACGAGATCGGTCTTGTACATGATACTCGAAAAAAGCGGAGTTCCGGACTTGGAGCGAAAATAAAGGTTTTCTCTCTCTCTCTCGAAAAAAAAGCAATCGATTACAATTACTCTCGATTAAATGGTATTCAAGTAGATTACTCAATTACTCGAGAAGAAAGGTAATTGGCCTTTGCTTAAGAAAGTAACCGTTAATTCTCAGATTACTTACGATTTTCAAGAATGACAGATTTCTCTGCTGATTTGAGAAAGGGCTTTTTCGTACTGTCCATTACTGGATTAGAATGACCGAGCTGTAAACTACTAGTCTTGAGTCACCAATTTTGGTAACCTTCCTCCCGTCGGAGACTTCATTTAATGTTTTTTTTTGGTAGGAAACTATTTGAAACAAAGGGCACCATTAGAAAAATGATCAAATGATTACAAAATTACTTCAAAAAGTAATTGATTAATCGATTACAAGTAATTTGATTACTTGGAATAAGTGCCGTACAAGTTTGCACGAGAGTTGCATGATTTTTGTTAGGCTACAAACGGCACTTCTTATTTGTAGCCTAGGCTAGGCATTGTGAAATGTGAGCAGGGTATATAGAGAGGCAGGTGTAACTAGAGAGCCTAAGAGAAACCGTAACGGGGTGAAACACTCTAGGGGCTTTAGACACATCAAACACAAAGCTTGATGCAAAAGTTTGTGGTGTGCACCGATTGGACTTCTACAACAAAAGTATGCCATCATCATCGCAAAAGTCCAATCGGTGCCAACTTCTCGTTTGACAAGTCTAGGGCTGCTGAGAAGTATGGAAGTATGGTCGCCTTGCCTTACCGTGACCCAAAGCATAATCTATCTTAAGTTGCAAATAAGTTGTCCTTTAACGTAGGATTTAGTGGAGACACTTGCATCTTCCTCATAAAAGAGAGAGCATTTATGAAGGATAGTTTGCTAAGAGATTTGGCTCCTTTCTGAGGAAGCTTAGATTTAGTGCTGAAGAAGCTAAGACTCAAAATGTCCGCTGTCGCCGAGAATTGCTGAGGAGTTTCCTTTCAAGTTCTTCCTTCTGGCTTTGATTCCCTTCATGCCTTGTTTGAACTTCCATGATTGCTTGAAAGTGTGAGTGAATCCTTGTGAAAATCTGCCAGGGTGGTGACAACCCTATCGGACGTCTATGACTGGAAGCAAGATGTCAACCACGCTCTGCAACACGGTGACTAGGTGATTCAATCATGACTGATGCTTGGGCTAGTGGGTGGAACATGCCTTCAAATTAAGAACAGCATGCACAAAGTGGATCAGCATTGAACTGATGTGCTCTTAATACATGCCTATAATGGCCCTGGTCCTTTTCTCTTCGTTCGGAAGTGCCTTTTTCCGCAGGCCCCTGTGCTTCATCTGTTGCTTCTTGGTCTGTTTGAGGTTGCTCTTTTGTGGAGGGGCATTTTTGCCCGCCTTCTTGGACTTCTGCTTTTCCTTCACTGCGTAGGGGTTGAGAAAAAAAGATTCCAATCAAACCTCTAGAGACCGTCTACTGCTCTGGGACAAGAAGAGCATAGAGACAATCATACCCCTTTCAAAAGCATGCACATAACCACCATGCAGACAGCCACAGTCTGTGCATCGAGATCAAAAAAGCTTGAGAATTGGCTATTGGCGAGGAGATCGAACATTAGGGGGCGCTTTGTGCAACTTGTTTTCTCCAGATCTCGGCATTCACCCAACACAAGGCCCATGAACTTGATTCTTTATGTCATCTTCCTGGATGGAGCACGGTGCACAGCGTAAAGTAAAAAGTGTTCTGCTACGTCCAACGTTACTATAGTCAGTGACGGGATAAGAGTTCAGGTGAACCTCCTCCCACCCCTTTCCACTTTAGCAGAGCGAACACTGGAAAGGATACGACCTCCTTTCCAACGTTCGCTCTGCTGAAGTGAAAAGAGGTGGGAGGAGCTTCTCCCAAACTGTTAACCTGTCGTGCAAAACAGATTATGTCGGTTGTGGAACCGCCACAGACGGGGGTAACCCCCCTCATTTCCTTCAGTCCGCCACCTGTCGTTTGAAGTGCCATTTAGATTTTCATTTCAAAACTGTGTGTTCCATAAGGTATGCTGAAATGCCATCTAGATGCTGTGCTTCAAAACACTGGCATTCCATAGCATCCACTGCAGTTACCATAGCAGCCGTCTTTAAAACGGTGGCGCGTCGAACGACGGGAGCAAAGCCGGGAGGGGGAGGAACTGCTGGTGGAGAAGCAGCGTCTATGGGCAATGGGCAGTTTCGACTGAGCTAATCTAGTGATGTTGGCAGTACTGACGTCACTGGCCTGTCTTAAGACAGAGCCTCCTTTATGGTGTATCACTGGGACGCGTGTTAACCTAGCCGGCCGACCCGTTCGCGGCGACAGGCGGTGGTGGTTTATTACAAAAGTGTTAACCCACCTGGCCCACCCGTACACGCCGCTTCGTCAGGACCGCTAAGCGCTCACAGCATGCCGGAGGCCCAAGCCCCGCCCGCGGAGGAGGCTCTGTTTTAAAACAGGCTAGCGACATTAGTACCACGTTGACTACGTCCTTGTCTTTGTTACCCCCATGGGAGTAGTACTAAAGTTAGCCGCTCGGGCCATGATGAGAACGACAGGGGCTTCAGCTGTTCCGCTCTCCGCTCGAGTTTTCTACCTCCGACGTTTCAGTATCTCGTGAGCAAACGCGGCCAAAGGACGACGGAAGGCAACGAGTACGTACTGACTTATGTGTGTATGTCCTGATTTTTTTTCTTGTTTTAGTGTCGTTTAATGTTAGCATCGCAGCGCATATCACACAATATCAAAATGAAATGTGGATGTGGCGTGCACACATGGTGATCCGTACAAGTGTCACGTGTAAATACGCTTTTTTTTTTTTCTTATGCCAGGGCCTCGGGCCTCGTGATGAAGGACGTTTACACCAACTGTGACGCTATACGGCTATACTATCGTCAGTTATTTGCATTACCTTCTTCCAAGTCGTCGAAAAGATTGAGCGCTCTACGCAACAAGGAGGCCGACATCTTGCTGGTGGTGACTGCGATGGCTCCGAACTATTTTTACGTGCAGCCACCACGACGGTAAAACGTTTTTGCATTCTAACACAAAAATAATATATGAAACCATATTATATCATATTAATTCACACTAAAACGATTATTATTCTTGAAATGACGCAACCTTAAATATGATACAAGTTATTTACCACACTTGTTAGATGGCACAAAACATCACCCAACTAGATTATTTAGGTATTATCTAGGAAACTGTGGAAGGCCGCGCTAAATTTAATTTAAGGCGATCGCGACTTTCGCTTTCACCTGTAACCCCTGTAACCAAACACTTTCTGCAAGCATCCAGAGCCCCTATGGTGAGGGGAAACAGCGGGTAGCTTCGTTGCTGTTCGTTGCCGACCAACCGAAATCTATCGCGAAAGCGGACCGTGCCTTCAGAAGCAAAAGAGTGCACGCGTGCACAGCTTTATCCGGCGATCAAGATGCACAACGCAGGGGGGGGGGGGGGCAATAGTTTTTATTTTACTAGCATAAAAAGTTGTCCCCACCTAAAGCAACGCGAGAAATGACGCGAAGGAAGGACGTAGGAAACATGAAAGGCGTCGGCAACACTGACACTCCTCCAAACGAGATATCGTCTGCTCTCCGCCGCCGTCTGCAAGCGCGCCGCGCCTTTAAGCAGTAGCTGTCAAAACGATAATTTTTATTTTCAATAAAGCATACCTCAATAAATGATCCAACCCCAAGTAGACATGATCTCATACAAAGTCCAGATGATTATTGATTCAACCATAAGCGTCACAAATTCGACAGAGCTAGCATTTCGAGGAGCTCGCACGATGAAACTGCCGTTTTGTCCGTGCCTTCAGCTACCGATGCTGTGGCTCAGTGGCACGAGGCGTCCTCCTCAGCATCGGGAGGTCGTGAGTTCGCTGCCCGTCGGCGCCCGCGGCGGCCGCACGCGACGCGGCAGGCATCCGGACGACATCGGCCCGCGCTACCCCGACGCGAGTCCTGGCTGACCATGCGACGGTCATGGTCGCCATGACATCTCGGGCACAGTGGCGGGCGCTGCCCAGGCGCCGGGTTGTCGAGCGACCGCCACTGGAAAGGCGAAGGGGGGCACTCGGCCGAGGTTCCCGGCTCATGGGGATTGGGGGGACCCTCCCGGGAAAGGCGTGCCGTGGTGCCGCCGAGGCCGACCTTAGCACCGACTCGCGCCCCCGGATCGATGTGGCCCAGTCTCCGCCAGGATCGACAGTGTGCCCACTCCGGTTGCGGTGCGGAAGGCGTGAAACTCGAGTCTCGCCACCCCTTCCCTTTTTTGTGATTTTCAATAATTCTGTTATTGTCCAGTTTCCTTCCCACACATCGACGACGTTGTTTTCTAAAAAAAAAACTATCAAGAAATTATTTCGCTCTTGTAACGCGAGCACCCATAACCGCTGATGTCTGCCGACACGAAAAAAATATATATCGGAAAACATGAGCCCAGAAAATACACACCCAAAGCCAAAACACAGAATCCCACCACCCTACAGTTGGTGACAGTTGAAGGGGAAACTCCTCCCGCCTCTTTCCACTTTATCGGAGCGGACGCTGGAGAGGAGGCGACCTGTCATTAATTACAAACTGGTGTTTAACGTGCACCACTCAGTAGTGATACACGACCGCACGCCTGTACGATGCTCGTCCAGGCCGAAACGGGCAATGAAGGGGATCGAAGTTCGAACCCTGGGTTACGGTCAAGGTGTCAGGCAACATTATAAAACCGGAGACACGAAAACAAAAAGGACGTACTCAACACCGTATCAGACACAGCTATAAGTTTTATTCCCAGTCACCGCGAAAGACACGTGGTCACCAGCAGTCTTATTTATTCCCGGAAGGGAGAACGAAACGAACCCTCTGCGAACACTGTCTTTTGTTTTGTCTTTTGTTGGGGAGTGTGCCACACTCTCCAACAAAAGACAGAACAATCCCGTGCTAGACAACAATAGTCTGGAAGAAAAAAAAAAACACATCGTGCATTTTTTATTTAACTTACAGGTGAAACTCTCCAACCAAAGACAAGAAAATCTAAAAGAAAAAAAGATACAGTTGCAAAAAAAGTTTGCATTTGTTTGTTCATCACCACGGAGGGAACACCGAGACAAATTCCTGCGGATGTTAAAGGGACACTGACAGGGTATTTATGCTCGCCGAGGTTTTTAGTTGTACGTGTCATATGAGAGCTCAACTACCCAGAACAGAATTTGCGGCTCGAAATTCGGTTTCTTTCCGTCCGAAAACCGCCGATCAAGAACTGGCCGGTTCGAGTCTCGCTCACTCTCTTTTTCGAGGTCACGGGCCGTTTTCTAAGGTATCGATGCGACCACCAAATTTAATCAAAGTCGTGGGTCACTGAAGGCACACACTCAATATTAAAAATAGAAAAAAATATGAAACCCATTTTTTGTGGCTTCTAAAAAGCTGTGAATACGTTGATTGAAAAAAAAAGTTCCACAGACAACCGGAAGCATTCTGTGCGTTCGTCATTTCGCGTATCGTGGGACTCGCGGGGACGGCGATGGCAGCGGACGACGGGCGTGGGGCCTCTATTTCAGAACTGTCGTTCGCGGTACCGGCGAATTCTGTCTACCTTTAAAAGAGAAATTTGGGACTGATCAAAAGAATTGGTATTCATCCCGTACGACACGCCCGGCCACCAAGCCGATTTGCACGAAGACGTCGCCGAGCCGTCGCTCCCTTCTCGTGGCTGAAGACATCGCTCGCGCAAACGTCAAGCACGACGTGTCTACTTCGAGTTGAATATGCACGCGTTCGATTTCTTTACTAGGTGCGAATGTCCCCAAAGCGTGGTGCTTCCCGACTTCGACTCGGGAGTGCTTTTGCTAGAGAAAAATCGACAACAAACTTTCCAACTTACAGTTTACTGGCTTAATTATTATAAAGGAAAGAGATCCACCAGAAAAGAGATCCCCCAGTAGCGCAGTGAGAAAGACGTCCGGTTCACACGCGGAAGGACCGGGTTCGATCCCCCGTGAACCTTTTTTTTTTTTTTTTTTTTTCTAAACATTTCCCGATGTTTACGTATCTTTTTTTCTTCTTTTACAATCATCACTGAAGAAACAAACAAAAAATAACAAACAAATGTTGCGGACGATACTTCGCTGAATTAAATGGTATGTGATTTCCTTTTTGGCACCTGCGAACTCAATGTAATCACTTTCCACAAAATGCAAGGATCAATGCAAGGTAGCGTCCGCATTCCGAGGTGCCCGTATATGTTCTACTGGAATTGCAGCCAGCCAATGGTCCCGATCCGGTTGATCTTTCGGAAACTCTGTCGCACAATGCCACTTTTTTTTCGGACGCAGGACATGTGAGCCAGCTCTTCACGCAACATCTTGGGTGTATTCTTTTCGGAGCCGGTCATGGAAATTCACCACGGGCACTCGCTACTCATCTCCGACTCCTCAATGTACAAAACAACTCATCTTGGAGTACAGAACAACGAGCGTAACAAACATAACTGCAAAAGAATCGCCCGGCGAGCAGTTCCCGCACGCCGCATCGCACGCCGCATGTCGTGTCGTCTGCTACGGAGAGAAGAAAAAAAAAAAAAAGCACGGTCGGGTGTAGCCACGTGACTTCCGCCACTCACTCTCTTCTCTCCACTTCTCCGACCTTCGTCGGGTTTCGGTTTCGGTTTCGAGCAGTTGCGTCTTTCGGCTTTATTAAAAAAATACGCTACTCTGTTGCAAAATATTAATTGGGTAGTCCTCCGACACCATAATGAAGCCCCTGGCAAAAAATGAAAAAAAATTTTTGGGGGGTGTCAGTGTCCCTTTAACGACGCTTTTGAACGAGTTCAACTCTTTGCTAGCAATCACTGCTGAGGTCCACTCGGGACAACAATTATTGCATTCTTCCAAATGCTTCACTATTTTTTAGTTGGCCGCGTTTGACAACACCGCCCTTTTGAGCTCTAGCATTATCTCGTTGACACAGCGTCCAGTCTACGCAATCCACGGCCAGATTTTTTTCCCACATTTTTATTGATTTCCGAGAAAGGTGTCATACGGCTGAGCCTAAAGTCTGAACTGAACGCCTAAAAAACAGGGACAAGCGGAAGAAGAGACAACACGTTAGCGTACTCGCACGTTGCGAGTACGCCAACGTATTGTCGCTTCTTCCTCTTGTCCCTGTTTTTCTAGGTGTTCAGTTCAGATGGAAAACCAGCTAGTTCAACTTAAGTCTCTTCTTCCTCTTGTCCCTGTTTTTCTAGGCGTTCAGTTCAGATGGAAAACCAGCTAGCTCAACTTAATAATTTGGAGCCTAAAGCCATTTCTGAAAACTACTCTGATGCCATACGTCGCCGCCAGGCCCATCAAATTGTGAGAAACGGCATGAAAAAATGGTCGGCTTTCCCACTTTTCTGCCGTCTTCCTAGCTACGGGCTCTCGCCTTTCCGTCTTTGCCTCGCAAGCCACTCGAGGTAACAATACTCTTGCAAATAAAGATTATTACTATTATTATTATTACACCCACGAGAACTTCCAAGGGATATCCCGATAACGAACCGCGAAAACGACACCACACTTCTTTTGACCGTCTTTGGGTGACAACTTCGGTACGGTGAGACCAGTTTTGGGCGCGTCTTTCCAGCGCTACCACAACACTACTTATTTAAAAAAAAAAAAAAAAAAAGTTTAAATTCAGGGACAGAATTGCTCGCAGCCTTTTCGTAAGTGAAAGTTCTCGAGCTTGGCCTTTTATGACAGTCACCCACTCGTTGACATTTAGCCCCTCGAATGCACACACTGAGATCAGTGAATGCGCACATGAAAACATCGTTCTTATGATCGCGCACCCATGGATGACATTGACTGCAATTGCACATGAACCTCTCGATCCAGAGCGCTAAGATTAATCTCAGACAAAACTGGAGCCAACGACGACCGGATGCATACACCTTGTTTTTGTGTACCATAGGTGCCATAGGCGGAAAGTTCTCTTCGGGCTCAATCCACTGGGCGCCAGCTATCAACACATGGGGGCACCGGGGCACACAGATGAGATTAATGAGGTGCACCCAGGGTTTCCGGACGCGATGATGCTTGCTTTTCCAAAGAGCTTGCGAGAGGGGGGGGGGTTCGGTTTCCGTAGTCGGCGCCTATGTACCCTAGCTACGCATGAGGATCGACTTGTCTAAAGAACATATGTTTTATGTCGAGTGACGCCAACTCACAGGGTCTCGATTACATGGCTTTCACGTCACGTCAGCCGCCATTGACCCGTACTTTTGCAGCATACATTAGGCAATTCTGTTCTTCTCCAGAAAGCTTGCCAAGAACAAATTCGATTTTGCGAGATGCATGCTGCAGAAGGTACAGGCTCAGGAGCATGGTACGGAGCTACGGCGGCTGCTACGGTGTCACATGCAAGGCATTTCGGAGTTCCTAAGCGCCAGTGGGTTATCGGTCTCGACTCTTGAGCACATTCACGCTGTTTGGAGGAAATTCGACAGGGCATGCAGCCACGTTCCATTTACCACTATCATAGCCTTCTTTAGTTCAAAAGCCTGTCAATTAAATCGCGAAAGAACGTGGCCGCAGTAAAGAGGAAAGGAAATCAGAGAAGATAAAGTGAGACAGGCAGGCGAGCTGGTTGATGTTACGCTTTGTGTGTTGTCCCCTTTTTCGTCCGTCGTCTCCGGTTTTTTAAAAATGTGGAAAACAGAAGAGGGCGTGTAAAAAAAGCTTGTCAAACAACGCAAAAAACAAAAACAAAAAAAAAACATTGCCGTTATGAATAATCATTTTATGCTTGGGCGATGATCGTCTTGCTCTTCGCTCGACAGCAAAGGCAGAGCATGACACAGCTCTCTCTCTCTCCTCCTCCCCCCAACCCCCTCTCCCCATTCTTCTCGAGCTACTCGACTTCCAGGTGATTCAGCACAATTTCACAGCAATCCGCTTGGAACATCGATGCCCCCAACCCCGTGCCCCGCCAATATTTATCTCCTCGCCATCTGCGATAACTTTTACTTTTCTACTAAGATCGGTTCGAGTAGGACGTGGTCCCCGCTGTCGTAAGTGCCATGTTGCCAATGTCGCGCGGCAAGCAGCAGCCGTCCTCGATGGTTCACCATCGCCCCATACGCGCCCGGCCATCCCCGTATCCGGCTGTACCGCCTAAAGCCCCTGTACCACCGACTCCGTCGGCTCCACCAGCTCTCCAGCCGCCCGAATCACGTGTGACCTACGTCCTCTCACCGAGCGTCCCAGGCGTATTGCTGGTTCCCGCCACCGCATTTAAGCTGGACCAGCACGGGCAATGGACCTTGGGTCAAGGAGTCATCCAGCTTTTCCAGTCACCTGCGGTCATTGTTCCATCGCCAAAACCGCTGCCCGTCGTCGTCTCGAACGTAAAGCCTGGTCCGTTGTCCATCCAGAAGACCGATGTTTCTGTGCCAGCTGCAGTAACTCAACCGTCTGCGCCATCGTCCACGGCAATGAAATCTCTACCTCAAGTAGTCCCTGGTCCGACCGCTCCGACAGTGTCAGCACAAACTAGCCCGTGGCCATCGCTGAAAACGCATCTTCAGCAGACCGCGTTGAAGGGTCGACTTGCGGAAAGACAGCCATACGCTGCCGAAGATTCTGAAACTGATGACGGCAAGATGCTTGCTTTGGCAAGATATCGTAAGAATCATCTGTTGATGAAGATGGTCTTGAGCGCTAGCGTTGTGAGGCCGTCTGAAGGCGGGAGAACCCAGCAACTGACGTCGAAGATCAAGGTCTTCGAAAGGCGTCTCAAAGATCTCGAAGACGAAGCGAAGTCGATGGAGGTTTGTTTCAACCAGAAGGTGAAGGGCATCAGGGCAGCGGCGAGCCTTTTTCAGTACAAACTGAACAGGTTTCAGCAACTGGCGGCTCTGATCAATCGACGAGAGTTTCAGCAAGCCGTACTTGAAGCTGAAATGGAGAACCTGCAAGGTTTCACGAGCGTGAGACCCCGACAGCGTGAGACGGCTTGATACTGGTTTTCTGTATGACCTGGCAGATCTCGAGGTTACATTAAAAACAAATGAAAACTGTGAAAACTATGAAGTAACTACGGCGTTGCAATGCAACCCATCCAGTCGATCGGGCGGTCGGGCTTCCAATATTTTAGAAGTGTTGCTAAGCACAAGAACACATGACAAGGGCGGTTTATGATGGCTGTTAAAAACGTTATTTGGTGTTCATATAATTTAATTCAAAACAAAACGTTACTTGCATGCGTACAACCTAAACCACACGGAAAAAAAAAAAAAAAAGCTTTTCGCGGCTTTTTTTTTTTAGATCTATTTGAGCGCCATCTGTGGAACAGCATTCAATACACTGCATCGCGGCAGTTCGCGGCATCGCTTTCGATCGTTGTAGGTGGCGGGTCAGTTCCTTTGTGTGTTCTAGTACCTAGGTTTGAGGGATAACCACCCCTGTAAAAAAAATAATAATCGCTAAATTCGTTCCATCTCCCGCGGATATGCATCAAAACTATGGCCCACGCAAGCGTCCACACCGGTAAGCTCTAGACTTTATCGTTGCCCTATTACACAGGTTTTCCAACGCGGACTCGGAACAGCCCGCCTAAGCAGACGCAACGCTAGGCTTAAGCCTTAAAAAAAAAAAAAGCGCTGGCATTCTGTCACGTTTTTGTGGCGTTGTCGTTGCACTGAGGCTTAATTATCTCCTTTTTCGAAGCGGAGAAATCTTCAAAGCGCGCTCGAAACACAAAATCAAGTCGTTGGAACCCTAAGTCGACTCTGATTTCCCAATTGCAAGAGTTCTAGCCCGATTCGTCGCGATACATGTGCTGCGCTGCGCCGGCTACGCTAGGCCTATTTTGACGTGTTCACCGATATCTGCCGGAGCTCGCGACAAATTAACAGTTGATTCATCGCCGAAGCGGTGCTGGGATTATCCCCGCGAAACGTTCTGCACGTTTATGGTGTACGGGCGGTGCGTTGAAACGTCGCAGGTCATCTTTCTGCGCATTAATGAGCACACAGGTGACCCGCAGCCGCAGCCGGTCGTCCCACGGCTTCTAACCTTTCGAAACTTATGTGTGCGCTGTGTTCTCGGCTTCTTTTCTTTTCTGCCCGTGCTGGCGGAAAAAAAAACAACGTTTAAACGAGTTTAGAACCTCTGGTAAACTGTTTGCAGGACATACGGGTGCCGTTGGCCCATACCATTTAATCGATCTCCCTTCGAGAACGCGAGGTTGCCGAATTCGGCGCCGAAAGAATACAACAAAGTATAAACAAAAGGCGAAAAGCCATCGAACACTGCGTCGTTTTAAAAGGCTTGTTTTTTCCTTTTTTCCCGTCTCTGCTTTTTGTGTGCGCGCGCGAAGGTAAATTATCGTAACCTTCATTAGTGACGCAGTGATCCGTATATTCAATCGTAGTAAAGCACAATTTCTTCAACCCCCCCCCCCCCCCCCCCGGCCCCCCACTAAAACAAAACAAAACAAAATCTTTAAAATGTTTTTTAGCTTTTAGTGGTGTGCCGAGAAAACTGCGGTTGAAGCCCCTCACTGTAGCAGCTCTGAGCGTTTCGATCGCACTTTTTTCGCACTTCTCTGTTTCGACCAATCTTTAACAGCTAAACGAAGAATAACTCGTCGGAGTATTTTTTTTTTATTTTTTAATCTTCACAATTGGTGTTTTTTGGCTAGCTTTCCTTGTCAGAAACTGTATCGTGTCTGTCCATTTTTTCTCTTCTATTCTTTCTAGGGGGAAGAGGCGAATAACTTGAGATTCTTTTTTTTTTTTTTTTCTTATCGTGGTGAATCATTTTATTTTTTTAATGTGGAGGAGCGTGACCTAGATCACTTTGCGAAACTCGCATGTTTGCTGGTGGTTGTGACGACCTTGGACTGAAGCCAGGAGAACAAGATGGACTGAAGATCTTGTTTGACGTTTTTGTTCGTGGGGGGCAAGAGAGAGGTAGACGGGTAGGTGCTGAAGGAAGGTTACTTCTCACCTTTTTCTCAGCAAAGTTTCCCTCTCTATGCCTTCTCTTTTCAAACACCAAAGGGTTTCCAGGACAGGGTTCCGGCTTCAAAACTGTACAAAAATAACCTCATGCTCGGACAAAGCACAATTTCTGTGAGTTTGAGGGTGAAACTTATTATAACCTGAAGGTTGTTTTTGAAATTTTTTTGCTAGGTTACTTGCATATATGCAACTAGAGGGGCCAGTCTTTGAATGGGCAGAAAAAGCGTGCGTGCATTTCATACCTGCTCAACCTTTCTCTAGTGCGCTTTATGTTTACGGTAGGTCGTCACCTTGAGAACCGTAGTGTAATGAGGCGAGTCACCTTGACTTTTGCTTATTATTGTAATTTTTATTGGTCAACGTTTGGCTTGTCATGGCACATGACTATTATTCCCCCCCTTCCCCCCCCCCCTCCCCATTACATGATACTTTTGTGCACATTTCATATTAGATATTTGCTATTTTTATCAGTGTATACATATTTCAAAATCGAAAGACTTTATGCTGACAACCAAAATTACTTAGGAACACTCTTGCACTGTGTAAAAACTATGCACAAAGCCTGTTTTTTTTTTTTGGAAGCAGCAACGAGTGTAGGATGATGTCTTCCAGATGTCTTCTCAAAAAGCGAGGAATCAATGATAACTGTACCGCGAAATTATGGATAGCGGATGCCAGCAGACACTTCCGGTTTGTCAAAAAGGTCCACAGTACTGGCTGTGCAAGTACTTCTCGGAGTTCAGAGGTGCCATAGCAACAGGACCACCGCAGCAGTGGATTGGCTGTCTTTTCTGACACTGCAGCAAACATTTGTGGTGCATTCTCTCTCTCAGTGAGTAGATTTAAAATCCGAACCATATTCAGTTGCACAGCCATTAACCCCACCGGTTCTGTGTCTGCAAACCGCTGTACTATGCTCGGCGCGCAGGGCTTAGTCGTTCAACTCCCAACTTCTTAGAATCCCAGCCGAGTTGTCCGCAACCTTACGGAGGCTTATATAATGCGGAAAGGACACAATGTGATTGAGCTTTCGGTTGCACGTCGGAAAATTCCCATGTGGTTGAAGTCAGTCTTCCGCCGGGGCGCACAATGCCCTCTGTTTGTTTGGTATGTCCAGTTTTTAGAACGCTTTGTCTAAACTCTATGGAGAGCACAGGTTCATCTGCTTCTTGTGCAGGTGTTGCGGCAACTTCGAAACGCCGAGCTCTCATTGGCTCTCACTGGAAGGAGAGTGGGTAGACCTCAATGCTGGCTACCTTGAGGTCTACCAGCTATCCTAAATGCCAGCTCAGATGTCAGCAGCTTGGATGCCTGTGCGACTGCGAGCGAGCGTGGCGGCTTCCTGTTGACGGAGGGTGATTGTTGCTCTATGACCCCTTGCAGCGGGTTCCCGTGATTCTTCAGCGGCTCCGTAGGAGAAGGCCGGCCCCCAGGATGGCGCAGGACAGCCTGAAGATGATCAGCAGCTCGGTCAGCCTCGGGCTCGGCCGGAGTTCGCTGTCACTGAACCAGCAGGTGAGCTTCCTCGAGCTTCGCATTCTCCGGGCCGGCGGAGATTGAGAAGGGAGCCCACCTGAAGCGGGGTACACACAAGCGACAAAAACGAGCGCCGTGTGACAGCTTCCAGGTCAAGTACTGCAGGCACCATTACGCCAACCTATGCCTGGCCACTACATCGCAGCCTCTGTGGCAATCGCCATAGAAACCGCCTTGCGGCGCCTGGTTTGGTTGCGCATGTGTGCCTAAGAAACAATGTTCCCTTGACCGAAAATTTCAGAGATGTTGATGGCATATGTATGTTTCAGGTGGCTCCCCGGTTCAATATCCGTTTCCAAATGAATTTGCTCAAAGTATGAAGGCCTCGGTTTAAACTCTACGATTGCGGTAGCCATAGCATGCTCCATTTGGGGGGGGCATGGCATGGTGGCCAAACCCTACCTTAGAGGAACTGGTCTTTCATTGATAAATTCGTTAGAGGTTTGCGAGGCGCTCTACTGAGAATGAAAGAGGACTGAGTGCAATGAAGGGTGCCCCTTTGGATCTAGGCTCTTTCAAAATGGCAGGTTTGCAAAACTGCTTCAGTGCTCAGCAAGCAAGTGCACATGGCCATTGGCATTTCTAAAATACCTTATTTCGGAGTAAGTACTTAACTCACACTTTAAAAAATCTCTTTCCCAGCAATGTTCGTGAGTTTTTCAAGCCGATAAAACTATTTTCGAAAAGATCCATAAATAAAAAGGAAAAGTCACAAATTCTGGCGGCAGTTGACCCAGCTGAGGGAATCAGGTTCTAATGCAAAAATCCAGGGTGCCCGTGTTTCGGAATTCTTCGAGCCTGCCTTGGAGTTTGAGCACAATTCAAGCCTAGCTGAGCCATGCGTTTGCACGCGATGCATTTGCACGCGATGCATTTGCACGCGGCTGTGAGTCAAGAGGCCTCGCATTTCTCTCTGGTGGGCTTAATTTTGTTGAGGTGCTTAAGCTTCTGAACCGCTCTGTCACAAACTTGTCGAGAGGCATGTTTTCTCTTTAGGCTTGCATTGAGGTACTTAAGGGTTCTCCGAGATAAAAAAAAAGTTGGGAAACCCATGGGGCTTTGTCTGCAGGCTTTGTTTCCAACACGAAGTGGTACACGAAGTTTGCAATTCTTGTGACAAAAGTGGGAGGTCATCATTGCACTTTCTCTAAATTGCTTCGTGTTGTATGAGTGCAATGCAACATAATGTAATGAGAGGTGCCTCTCTTAAAACAAAACGACTCGGACTTGAGTTGTGTACTAAAGTTTATTCTGTCTCTTTAACTTGCCATTCCTTGAAGGATAATACTTTTTTCTTTCCCGAAAGCCGGTAAGCTTAGCTCTCTTTACAGGCACACGTATAGATCTTAAGAACCGACGCGGACTGACAAGGTGATCTAGCGCCTTCCCCGTTTGCTGATTAGTCTTTTTCCGTGGGTGCTCAGGTCGCAGGTGGCTCAAGGTCGTCTGTTCTTCTTCATCACATCGACTTTGAGTCATGCGACAACGGAGGTGCCAAGCACACGTCGGAGGCGCTGCGCGCCAAGTATGCGCCACTTTCGCCGGCGCCCGTCCACAACGGCACCCTCTCCAAGACGGCTGCGACGGCGCTTCATAAGATTGGTGGGTGGTGCTGCTTTTGGAAAACTTGACCCGGTGAGAGAAGTGCGAGTCTGCGAGCCCTGTGAAACCTTTAAAGGAACCGTGGAATACAAGTTCCATTAGCTCATTAGTTCGGATTCATGTTGTTTAACCTAGAACAGCTGTTTAGTGAAGGTGACTCGATGAAAACTTAAGACGCGAAAGTGAGATGCAGAAGTATGCAAGCGAGGGAACGATGTTATACGTAGTTTGTTTCACCTTCTGACGGAATGCAGCGGATGCTACGAGCCATCGGAGCCAATCCAGGTCCGTGTGAGCATTACGTGACCTTGGAGAAAGTGTGCAGTGACCTGCGGAGAGCGTATAGCATGCTACGTCACAGTCCAGGCTTGACCGAAATGCCTTGTCGCGTCTGCCGCGCTTGATCGTAAGGTGAAACGAAGTCTAGTGTCGCTACCGCAGCAGGACCCTCCGCAGGTGGCACATCACTCCAATTGACTGGTGTAAGCGATCAAGTTGCGGCGTTCTCTTCGTATGTCGTGGTAGGGGTCGCAGTACATAAACAATTGCACCTAGTTTTTCCGACCCGAAGACGTGTCCTGCGTGTGACGATCTCGTCAATTTGGGCCAAAGTATTGCCACATTTTTTTTAAGAGAATGAAACAAGCGTTGGGTTCTTTTTCTTCGGATATTTTCGATTTTGTGCTAACCTAGGCTCGAGGGACTGCGAAATGTCTATTTCAGAGTCCCCTCGGTGATCTCGCTCTGTCCTTTCTTTTTGTTGCTGTTTTATAGACAGGAAGGATCTGATCTGTAAACTAAATAACGCCCAAACAATTTTTTTTTGTTATCTAAAGTGAAGATGTCTGAAGGGTCATTAAAAGTCAGCCACAATGAGAAAAGAATAAATGGAAAATGTACAGAACACAAGCCTCATGTGGGAAGAACAGATACAATAATACCAACGTATGCCAGCACGCAAATTACGAATTTAGTCATTGAAAGAAGGTCCTTTTGTTTTCATTGTGTGGTCTAGTAGGGCTAAACTCTCTGTCCTCACCTAACCGGGCAGGTGGCAAGCCAGCCGCAACTTCAAACGGCACGGTGGTAGCCAACGGCGCCACGTGCAACGGCTCTTCGTCTTCGGACGAAGGCATCCCTGAGCCACGAGTGCGACTCCACTCGCCGGAGGCAGTGTGGCTGGACTGGCGGGAAGTGCGCAAGATCGGCGCAGGCCTGGTGAACCTGGGCAACACGTGCTTCATGAACACTGTGATCCAGTGCCTGACGTATTGCCCGCCCCTGGCCAACTACTTGCTTCACCAGGACAACCACTGTGCCAAGTGTGAGTGACACTGCACCTCCTCTTGCAAGTGTCGGTGTCGCTTTGCGTGAAGGGCTACTCATTTGGGAAAGGCTGTTTTAACGACTGCATGTCTTCAATTTATGCCTTTACGGCATCTATTCCCGTACCGCACACATATTGTTTGACTTTACACCTCAAAGTCCATTCCCAACTGCATGCCTTTCTGTTCAACTTCACACTTTCCCAAAGTCTATTTCCAACTGTAGGCACTTTTGTTCAGCTTTATGCCCTCCCAATATATGTTCCCAACTCCGTGCCTTTTCATTCAACATTACAGCTTCCCAAAGTCCATTCCCAACTGCATGCCTCTCTGTTCAACTCCATGCTTTCCCAGAGTCTATTTCTAACTGCATGCCTTTTTTGCTCAGCTTTATGCCTTCTCAACTACATGCCTTTTCAATGTTACAGCCTTGCAAAGTCTCTTCCAACTACAGGCCTTTTTTTTTTTTAAATTTCACACATTCCCAAAGCCTACTTCCAACTGCATGCCTTTTTGTTTAGCTTTCTGCCTTCCCAACATGTTCCCAACTGCATGCCCTTTTAGTCAACGCTACAGCTTTTCTCAGTCTTCCAAGCCATACTCCTTTCTGTTAAACTCCATTCTTTGCCTAAGTTTTTTCCAGCTGGATGCCTTTTTGTTCAGTGCTATGCCTTCCCAATATATGTTCCCAACTGCATGCCTTTTCACTCAACGTTACAGCTTCCTGAAATTCATTTCCAACTTCACGCCTTCCTGTTCAACTTAACTCATTTCCAATGTCTATCCCCGACCACGTGCCTCTTTGTGCGACTTCACACGAACTTCGTGCCCCTTTGTTCGACTACCTACATCTATATACTAACATTTATAAAGGTCCTCGCACTCTTGTGCAATTGATGTGGTCCTTACGAGCATCCCATTTCCTTCATGTGTGCAGGTAAAACAATCAACTTCTGCATGATGTGCGAGCTGCAGAAGCACATGCGGAGAGCCCTGGACAAGCCCGGGGATGCCATAAAGCCCATCTATATTTATCAGAGGCTCAAAGGTGGGCCCCTCCTTTTTCCTCAACCAATGTCGGTAAAATGTCGGCCATTTCGGTGTCAGAGACACGAGAGAAGATTTTGCGCATTGATTGTCCAACCTCGAGCCCATCTACAATCTGTCCGGGGCCCGGGGGCAGGTCCTGTAGCCAGTGTCGGCAAAACACCGGCCATTAGAGGTCCTGCTTTAATTTTTTGTGCCTCATTAAAAGTAGGGACAATTTTTTGTATTGCCATATTTAAACTTGCAAAGAACAGTGAGAGAATGTTCGGGGGCTGCCGATAGGCCCTTTCACACTCTCGACACCTAGGCACAGCGTTTGTGTCGTATAGTTCTTACCAAAAAAATACGAAGCATGCTCCCAGGTCGCACCGAATGCCCACCCGCTACTTGTGAACCGTTTAAAAACTCGACGTAGGACATATCAGGCACCCACCTCCAGACTTCTTGGCCCACCTAGATAACAGAGACGCTCCTCCACGTCAGCCACTTCTGTGAGCACTCCGGTAATAGGCGGCAATAGGCCCTATCGTTTTTTTGCTTTGGAGCCGCCTAACGAGAGACCATCCTCCAGTTTTTCAAGATCATCTCAATCTTGGCTCGGCACTTGCTCGACATTGTCGCGTACATGACCGAGCAGGAACACTTCTCCGAACTTCTAGAACAGTGGTCTCAAACTCATTTGAGTGTGGGGGCCAGATATCCCACACCTGAAAGGCCGAGGGCCATCGCATGATAGGAAGGGGGGGGGGTTGTTCAGAAGACTTTAAAGAGAACAGACCGCGTGCATTATGCTTTTTTGGAAACTCGCCGTGGTTTGCCAGCGACGTCTTTAGATTTGATTTGTTCATATGACTACTTTGGGCGCTGGTAGGATGTGATAACATGAATTAAGATGACACGCACCGCCAACATGCTGGCGATATTAATAGAACAAGCAAGTACACTGTCGTTCTTGTTGCTCACTTCACTCACGAATTAACCAAGCTCAACATGTCTCTAAAAACGACTTAATTTGACAGTTCTTGCTTTTCTGACGATTTTTATTACATTTATCTTTGGCAGTGCTCGTGCTAATCGAGAGTTTGCGCAGTCGAGATGCATCCTTCAACGAATAGCTCGCGCTTGCGGCCCTGTAGCGGAACTGTTGTGCATTACAAAAAGCTGGGAAGCCAAAAATAAAGCAAAACAAAGAGAAAAATATCACTAATCACCTATTCACATATTCACAGATGTGAATGTGAAAAAAGCAGGGCTACTTTTCGAGCGAAAATGAATCGACGAGATGAAGTCACTATGGCGCATGCCATTTCTAGCGCTCGGGACATGGGAACCGGGACTCGTAGCCGGCTGCGGGCCGCGTCCCAGCAAGTCGCGGGCCGCGTGTTTGAGACCCCTGTTCTAGAAGATTCTAGCTTACTCTTACCCCGAATGTAAAAGATTGGGAGGCCAATATGGACCTTGCCAGGTCAGCGTAGTCTTAGGTGCTCCCAAACATTCTAGGTTGAATGTTCGAGATACGGAGTGTAAGGGAGAAAGAGCTGAGCGTGGCCTTGCCGACTCTTCCGCCATCTCGCTCCGTCAGCCGTAGTGCCGACGCCGCGACGTTTGCTGCTGTCGTTTGGACATTCGTCTTTTCTTTTCTTTCTGGCTCGAGTTCGTCGACTAAGCCTTTATTTTCGGTTTTATGATTGTCAATCCGTGTCAATATTTTATGGTACGCTTTGTTTTGCTTGCTTGTTTACGCTCCCGTGCGTTTTCGTTTGTGACTGTGTTCCCATACGTTCGTCTCGGAGTGACACACCACATCTGTTCCCCGCAGCCATAGCCAAGCACTTCCAGTTCGGCCAGCAGGAGGACGCCCACGAGTTCCTACGCTACGTCGTGGATAACCTGTGGAAGGCCGCCCTCGCAAACCACGATGGGGGACCCAAGTGAGTGGTCAGCCGTCTTGAGTGACTCTGCCATCTCGTTTTTTTCTGTTTGACGGCGCGGAGCTGTCGCGGCCCCACGTCTGGCTCATCTCGTGGGTCACTTGACTTTGGGAGGCCCAAAAAGTAGATCTGTAAGAGGGTTTAAAAGTTGTGGGATACTATAGTCCGTTGCAACCTAAAAACGAAGGGCGAGGGTAAGACGGGCCGGGGAGGAGGAAGCAGACGGAACGCTGGAGAAGAAGGGGGGGGAAACCTCCTTCTCTCTTTAGCGTTTTATCTGCTTCCTCCTCGCCTCTCATTCTTAGGTTGCAACGGTCTATACACGAACTCAACTCTCCTACGTCACGCCGCGGTGGTGGTGCGCCAGACGCACTTCCGGTCTGGGGTGGTGGGCAGAAGTCGCCGTGCCAGACATGCATTCCTGTGTTCCTTTGGAAGAAACGAGACAAAAAAACCTGCCTTCTTGTCAAAATGCTGCGATGGGGGTTGTACCAAGAGAGTCTGGAAAGGTTTGAAGATCAGTTTTTATGTGTTTCTGCCCCCTCCGTTCGTCCGAGAACGTGGATAGTAGCCGTGAGAAGGGCAAACCAGACGCTGTCGAACTACGATTCCGTGTGCGGGCAACGCATTGTGGTCGCCAGATGCATTTGCTTTGTTCCAACATGAACGAGAGAAAACCGCCAAGTTGTCCGAACCACCCACGGGTTCAGTGCGCCTTCAAATTCACACGGCCGCCTGATCGTTCGAACTTTTGTCTGCTCTTTCAAATTTGTCTGCTTTTTGTCGTCTGCTCGTTCAAACAAAAGCGGCCCGTAGACCAAACTTTGACCTGGTGATTGCAAAAAGAAGTAATTGCAGGCCTCAAAAGACTTAAGTAGGCTCGGTGTAAACAGCAGATACAAGATGTTGATCATTGGTACCGGTGGCCATCACCGACTTGTTACGCTTGGTCTGTTCCCGCTTCCGATTTTCAGTATCGACGTCGATCATCGCCGCTACCTTCTACACTTTTGCAGAACGAGCGACGTCGCTACCGAAAATAGCTAGAAGAATCTCATCATGGTTTTGGCGTCCATTCTGCGGCGTTCATGCGAATGAATCGCCGCACGTCAAATTATTTACGGAAAGTTTAGCGGCCTAACGAGCCTTGATAATTTCGCTTAGGCGATTAATGTGGTAAGACATTGCAATGAGGACGTAGAATCCGCAATTTCAACGAAAAGAGTATGCAGACTCACACAGACGCCGACAACGTGACATTGAATGGTTTGTTGACGCGGGACGCGGTGCTTCTTGCCCGTACTCCATTACGCATGCGTTCGAACTGTCGTCTGCTCTTTCAAACTTGTCTGCTTTTTGTCATCAGTTCGTTCAAACGACAGCGGCCCGTAAACCAAACGTTGACCCGGTAATTGCGATACGAACTAAGGTAATTGCGATAAGAACTAAGTGCAGGCCTCAAAACACTTTTGAAGGTTGGTTGGGGTAAGTAGGCTAAAGTGTAAACAGATACGAGATGTTGATTATTGTTACCAGTGGCCATCACCGACTTGTAATGCCCGATTCTACTTGCGGTTTTCAGTATCGAAGTCTACCATCTCAGCTACGGTCCACGCTTTTGCAGTCCGAGCAACGTCGCGGCTGAAAATAGCGAGTAGAATCTCATCGTGGGAGTCAGGCTTTAGCGCCCCTTCTGCGGCGTCCACGTGAAATGAATCGCCACACGTCACATTATTCACGCAAAGTTTTGCCTCGTTAGTTTTGCTGAAGCCGCTTAAGTAGTCGGACATTGTTAGGAGGACGTAGAATCAACAATTCCAACGCGAAAAAGAGCACGGGGACTCCCACCGACGCCGACAACAACGCAATTCAATGGTTTGTTTATGGGCGACGGCGGGCTTCTTGCCCACCATCCACCGCGCATGCGCGGTGCCGGTGGCGTCCGCTAGGGGCGCTCCGGTTTGTTTGTAAACATGAGTTGGTGTATAGGCAGATAGTTACCTATTCTTTCTACTTAGCAGTGCCTCCTCAACCGATACCGCCTAGAATACGAGGCGCGTGCATGACTGCTAGTGATGACATTTGGGGGGAGGGAGGAGGTGCAGGCCATGTCCTCTGTATGGTATTGACTCGGTGTGCTCCGGTAACTGAGCGCTACTTATTAAAACGTTCGGGGGGGGGGGGGGGGGGGGGGGGGGGGCATCGTTCGTAATGGAAGAGAGGCTGTGAAGTTAAATAAAAAAAACCACAAATGCATAAACTTTTTTTTTTTTGTTTTCTGGTGACATGTGCGCTTTTTTGTTTGGAGTTCCCTCACGTGGGCCTCGAAGTAGAGATTATGCAGACGTACGCCAGTACTACTAAGAGCTCTATGGGTTTTTGTGCTTTTTACGGCGATAGCGGCTAAGGGCTCTTCCCACCACTATAAATGACATTCATTGTTGATGTTGCAGTCGTTCTGGTTGGCGTAGTGGGCGTCCGTCATAGATATTGCCAGATCCTGGAAAAAGATTGACGCCGCCCGTGGAAATCGAATTTGGGTCCGCTGCGTGCGAAACGGGGGCGTTACCCACAGAGCTACGCCTCAACGTTGACAATCTGCTTCATATTTGGGGTTTTTGTAGTATCCTATACCCACCGCATGCGCTCTCTGAAAAAAAAAAAAAAGAAAAGAAAAAAGGAAGTTGCCGATAGCGAATTGTCGTCATAGCACTGTAAAATGCCAAGAACTCGTGCCGGGAGATGTGCTTTCGTGCGCTGCGGAACAAAAGAAGGTACAAAAGTGTTTGGAATAAAATGGTCGGATGTCGTTTTTGTTCTGAACGCGATAGGATGCCGATGCCCAACGGCTTTGCCGTGATGCATCGCAGCTGTCGCTGTGACTGTGCTGTCTGTTAACACGGGACTGCTCAGTTTTATATTGCAAGAATGCTGAAAAGTTTCCTTGGCTGTCCTCGTTGGGGACGGGTGTTTTTATTTTAGCATCAAGAGGTTTCTTTTTAACGTAATGTGTCTAATGGGGTGTTTTCTACGAGAAAATTGTCACGAACAAGTGGCACATCAAGAGTTAGACGTTAAGATTTTATATAAACTGAAGGCATACACCTGGAGCTTAGGCGGGGCTCGACCTGTGTTGGTGCAGTGGCACCGTGTATCGTATTGTAGGCGAGAGCGACATGTTTTGGGTGCAAATAGTAACTAAAACAAATGTAAACTCGTAATAACAAAGAAAAGGTAAAACAATAAAAATAAAATAATAAAAAGTACATGAAAGACAAAGAAGTTAAAAATACATGGAAAGTTAAAAAACAATATATAAATATATATTTAATAAAAAGACAAATTTCATGCACAAATCTCAAGTAGAGTGTGGTCTCAATGGGACAGGTTTCATACTCCGCCGTCTTTGTCGGCACAGTCAAGTTCGAACAATTTTGTTTTTACAAATCTTGCTTTACCTTTGTTTAAACCGTTCTGCTCAGCCTCGTATTGGAGGAACAAACATTGATCGTCTCGTTTCCCCCGCAGATTGGATCCCGCCAGCAAGGAGACGACGGTCGTCAACGAGATTTTTGGCGGCTACCACCGCAGTCAAGGTGCGTGTTCTGTGCCGTGCCCGTGTTCCCCGTCCGGTTATGGCACACGGTGGGCCCCGGCTCGACACGCTCATGGCTTGGATCCGAGTTACGAGACATTGTGGTGACGTTGGTGGGGTTTCGGAACATGTGGACGCCCTGCTTATGGCAGTGGGGGGGGGGGGGGGTCAATCTCTCTATCTTGAGTTTGTTTGAAGTACGGTGCCAGGAATGCGTCTCGGACTGGCATCCGACGGCGTGACGCTCCGGCTTTTGCGAGGACATTTGTTGCCACATTGCGACCACTTTCGGTGCACGGGCAGAATAAAACAAACACACGAGTCAGGGACGCATTCCAGGCACTATAGTTCGAAGTCTTTCCGTTAGCCGTTCCTTGTGCGTAGTGTTTACCTCTTTGAAAGTGGTGCGTGTCAAATCATATGAAGAGTCAAAAGACTGATTGTTGGGTCTGGCCTTCTCTTTTTATTTGATGGTGTGTAGATTATTGACAGGAGCCTTAGATGACGGTATAAAGGGAGTCTAAGCAAACTGTGTGTAATGCGGGTGCAAGGGATTTGAACGTGGGAATATGCAAAGCGTAAGTTCTTCCGCTTCTTGCGCAGGGATTGTGGTGACGTCAGAATGAAGGGCTCCGATTGGCTCAGATTGAAGTAATAGTGGGTGTAACTCGAGGAAGCTTGCTGGTCTAACCCACTGTGCTTCAATCAGAGCCAATCGGAGCTTGGCATTCTGACGTCACCACAGCCCCTGCAAAAAGGAGCGGACGAACTTGCGCTCCACATAACCCGGTCCTGAGCGTTAACTGGGTTCCTGGCTGCAGTAGCGAACAGACCTTTCTTCTGTTGGGGAAGTTTGGGTTCAACCTGCTGACGGCTGTTTTATGGTGCTCTATCACGCAGTCATCTGCATGAGGTGCAAGAAGACTAGCAACACGTATGACCACTTCATGGATCTGATCCTCGACATCAAGGTGGGTACCTCGTATAATTAACCCGTCCCGTTCCGTGCGTTTTGTAGACTTCTCATTCTCGGAGAGGTCCCAATTTTTCGCGAGTACCTCGTCGCCTTTTAAAGAAGGGGGAGCGTAATCTGTTTTGTCGCTCCCCGGGTTAACTGTTTAGGAAACTTTCCCCTTTCCTTTGCTCGTGGAAATAGTGTTACAGTATAAACTCGTTACAACGGACCTCGACAGTGACCAAGACTTTGGTTTGTCGTTGAAGAAGTACGTAGGAATGCTGATGCTTTTGTTCCAGACTGACGGGAATTAGGACGAGTCTGTTCTAGCTGGTAAGACTGATGAAGTGTGAATGGATATAAGAAAAGAAATGGTTTATTCAAACTTAGTTATAATAAATGGGTTGAACTGCACCAGTGATAATCATCACTGCGTGCTGTAACCAGCTCTGCCGTAACGAGGTTATACTACGGTAACGGAATGTATTGTGTTGCTCGACCGTGACGCTGCACGGACAAACTTGCTATGTATTTTGTGCCTCGACTGCACGGACATCGTCGTGTGCAGCGTTCTCCTAAAGAAAGACCTGCCAAAGCTAGTGCTCTGGCAGGATTGAAACACAAGGTTAGCATCTCTTGCGGTTGGACGCCCCAGCTTTGACCCTGCTAACACACATCCCCATTTCTTCCAGAGCGTGTCATTGTTCTCTTCCACTCTCCCACCCCAAGTGCAAAAGCGCTGGCCATGGTGTAAGATGAGTACACGTGAGGACACAGCTTCGGCGAATGCTGCGCTGCGGTCAGTCAGATAAAGTCCTCTTGGCACGTGCCTGAGTAACCTCGGCCGACGGCGTCTCCGCCATCCAAACGGTGCAATTGGGGAAACGAGAAACGGTTGAAACCAGCAGGAAATGTCTCATTCTTTTGACACATGGGTGTGCGCACCTTCTGCTTGGAGCGTCTGCCCCGACCTTTGTGTGGTGCACTCTTAAAAGGACTTTAAAAGCAAGCACGTCTCCCATGGAGAAGCATCGGAAACCGGGCCTGGGACAAGCTGCTGTCAGCCGCATGTCGGGCAGCCATCTGGTGGCGCCGCTTGCAACCAAGGCGAGGAGGAGACTTTATTGGCAGCTGCGACACGCGCGGTGTCTACACCTATATGTGTTTCTTTTACACCATGGTTTTGGCTCGGTACTTCCTAGATACCAGAGGCGCAGTCCTGGATTTTTTACGTTATCTAGGAGAGGCCAGTGCAGTACAGTTTGACAGGTTCGAGCCAAGTGCCGACACAGCACTTCCCTGACACTCTTGGTGGGGGTGTTACAGGAAGTGGCCGGGAGACAGCTGTGTGATGCATTCCGGGCTCGAAGTCCCGCTCTGTGGTGTCTGACTGTCGCACTGCCGTTGCACACTAGCACTCTTCAAGAAGACGTTCGGGACAGAAAGACTAGTTAAAAAGCCGGAGAGCGACTTGCAGCAGAACGGGCGTCCACCTCACTAGTTGCACCACAACCAGGATGACTGGCGGCTACGACGCGACTCTCCTATGCCGTCGTCGAACGTAAATCGAGGGACTGCTTTTTTCGACGCGTTATAGGCACTGCTCTGTCGAGATGTGTCGTGACGTAGCGTATTTGTGATTGAGCAATGCGGGTGGCTTGCGCAGAATGCCTCCAGCCTGGAGAAGGCCCTGGAGAAGTTTGTGGAGCCCGAGCTGCTCCAGAACGACAACGCCTACAAGTGCCCCCGGTGCAACGTGAAGGTGGAAGCCCAGAAGCGCTTCACGGTGCACAGGCCGCCGAACGTGGCCACCTTCCAGTTCAAGCGGTGAGCGATGGGCCGCTGCTCGTCCGTGAAGCTATGGAAGGTGCCGCATTTCCCGGCCCGCGCATCTCAGAGCCGTGTATTGGAGTTTGGAGAGTTTGGCCATACATTGGTTTGAATAGGCGAGCATCTTCGGATCAACCACAGGCCGCGAAACAGCCCCTAGTGGTAATCATGAGATCTAAAAACCCGACTCGACTAATCTAAGCGGTTTTAGCGTCGCTCGAGTAAAAATGTATAACTCTTGGGTGACTGAAAACCTGGCGCATGTTATATTTTCGTCACGCCCATATTCAAGGGTAGAATAAACGAACGTGCGCTCCAAACCAGGGCCGACTTACTAGAAAGGGTGTCTCAGCTGAGACGGGGAAAGAAAGCACTGCCGAAGCCAGCGCACGAGCCGAGCGGGACTCCGCATCTCAAGACGCTCGCGCGCCCCACCCTTGCACACTGTTTTCTTTCAGCCAGTCTCAGCTGAGACACTGTTCTAGCAAGCCGGCCCAGAGCTAACTGTCACCGAGAGGCCGAGGCTTCTATTTCACGCTTCAAATGTCGTTTCCAATATTGTGACGTCTCAGTCTGCTGATTGGTCGACGCTGTGTCGCACCTTTAGTTTACGCTCTAACTGCTGGCGGCTCTGGCGCGTCTACGGTGGCCATGCCTTAATTGGCAGCGGCAAAATTGGCCTTATCCGTTAAGTTGTGAAAGTTCTCACATTCCCGGATTGTGCTTTAACCCCTTAAAGGGGCCCTGCAAGGAGTTTTTACTGTTTTTTAATTTGCACCGAACCTGAGCGCACTGAACGTAGTAACTTAATCAAACTTTCCTTTTCGCGAAATTCGCTTTATTTTAAAAGTTGTAGGCAATTTAGAATTACAAAAACAAGCCAAAAATAACCTCCTTCATGACGTCGTAGGTCCTGGCTTGAGTGGCCGTGAACTAGAGCAGGAATAGTGAGCTCATCGAGCGCTCACGGCCGCCGCATTCCGTGTCGACAGCGCCAGAGGGCGCCACTAAAGCATGTTCTGGATGGGCTATATGCGGCGGGCAGCCAAAGCGGCTTTAATTGCATTTGCTGCGTGATTAAACGCTAATTCGGCATGACACTTCATTGGCCACGAACGACAGCAAACACGGGTAAAGATCAGTTCAGAATGGGAGCCACTTCGCGCTGCCATACCGCGAAACGGCCAAACCGCAAGACAAAGCCTCTTGCCGAAGGCCTTCGGAACGCTCGGAGCCGGTCGGATCCTCCTGTCCATACGACTGCAGCGCCACCGCGTACATCCGGGATTTTTCCGTGTCGGCGCCTTATCCCACTACTCCTCTCTAGTATGCGCTGCCTTTTCCACCGCTTGGCGGCGGGGATGTCAACGGGTCATTTCTTGTTTCCGTACTTTATAAACTGCATTTCTTTCTTTTTTTCTTTTATAATAGTGAACAAGAACTACTTTTATAAATAATTGAAACAAATCACGCCACTTATATTTTGTATTTCAACCAAAAAGAAGTTTTTAGCGGCTCTGACCAGTAGTAAGCCCAGGACCAAAGACGTCACATTTTGCGCGCTTTCGGTACCGCAGGTAGTCCTCGTCAGTGGAGGAGGTTTCCGTGTCGTCCGGTTAAAATATGGCGCACTGATATTTAGCTACTCTTTCCGTGCCCGCTGGCTTGCCCGAACTCCAAGAGACGTGGAAACCGCAAAAAAGGTAGACGCTTAAATATGATTTCAGGGCCCCTTTAAAGGTGCAAAGAAAAAAGTGTTTTTTTCTAAACAGCCTAATTTGGACAAGCATGTCACAAAACAGATCTTCTGCGAAAAAACAATTTTTTTCGAGCAATATTTACGCCATAGGACGTAATTTAGTCGGAGTCAGAACTTCTCCACATTTGAAACTCCCGCTCTTTTGAAGCGCACAGAGTGGCCGTTATAAGTCACTTCGTGACGTATAGCAGCCACTACGTGACATATAATACCATCTTTGTGGCGCGCGATTTAAAACGGACGAAATAGCCGCAAACTAAAATCAGTCTCGTGCAATAAATATTGGTGTAAAAAAAATTGTTTTTGGTGGAATAATTGTTTTGTGACATATTTGTCCCAATTAGGATGTCTAAAAATACATTTTTTTTTCTTTGCAGTTGCCCTTTAGCCGATTTTAGTTTTGAAAAATTCATGACCCTGCTCAATTTTGGTCTACACAACTACATTTATTGCCTTCAAAATGAAGCTTCTAACTACAAACAGAATGGGAGAAAAAAAAAAAAATGCATGGCTGCCATCTGTTGGAAGAGCCTTAAACTAAGTCGTGAGTGAGCCTGGTTTTTCCGATACAGTTGAGTGCATGGTTCGGAAAAAGCAGGTGAGCTATACTTGTCCTGATTGGTTTGGGTATTGCTCCTTGTTGACGAGCTAGTGTACCACTCAAACAGTGGTACAGTAGAAAAAGACAAGAAACCCAGAACCTTGTGTGCATTGGTTGTTCTTTACGCGGTCCTTGGTCTCAGATTTCCACGAAGACGAGAGCTCATCAGTTTGCCCGAACCTCCCCCGTTGCTTATTGCAAATACTTCAAAATGCCCACAAGAAGGAGAGAGAAAATCCAATTCTCCTACATCTGTCTTTGCTATAATGTGGTCCTACTGCGGAGTGTTGCTAGCACCCGACCTGAACCACTGTACCTCCGTTGCGGTGCAGGTTCGATTCGAACCGGATGTTTGGGGGCAAGATAACGAAGCACGTGAGCTACCCGGAGCGCCTGGAGATGCGGCCCTTCATGTCGGACAAGCAGGTGAGTCTCGGAATGAACGACGCGCTCGTTTGTGGCATCTGCTGTTGTGCGATGCTTTCTGGCATGGACGAAGGAAGAACAATTAGGCGCGGGGACGGTGGCAGGGACCGGTGGCCCTGGTGCTGCTGTTACCGCACTGTTTCGGTCAGCGTCTTCGTACGTTGTGCAGTTTTAACGAAAAAAAACGGTGCGTTATAATGGCAACTGTTGCGTTCTCTCTCACACATACAATCTGCGAAAAGTTAATTTTTTCCCAAAACTAGAAAAGAGCCGCTTGCTCGAGCGATCGACATTGGTAATGGGTTGGCGTTTTACGCGCCTAAGCACCGTGACAAGGGACGTGACCGTTTGCTCCAAACACTTCCAAAAGACAGAATACGCACACTTGCATTCAAGCTAATTATAGAAGTGAGAAAAAAAAGAAAATGCTCGTAGCATTTTCAAGTGTGTCTGTGTACGCCAGCAATTCGTGACAAGTGGATTAGACCGGGCAGTTCAGATTTCGTAGATCTGGTCCAATTTCTCTCTTGCGGCGAAGTCTTGCGCGTGCCCCGGGCAATTTTGACTTGCACCTCGCATCGTCGGGTGCATAACTGACTGCCCTATCGTTTTAGCTTTACGCGAGATGGTGTAAATAATGACGCTTTTTTCCGACTTATTTTCCTTCTTGTCGAGCGGAATTTGGCACCCACATTCACACATAGTTTATTGTTGCAATTTTTTTTTTTTTTTGCGTTCAAATTATATTTTTTGAAAATATGTTAGCGATTTGGGCGACCGTGATTTTATAGCTGGGAAGACAATCTGAAGAGGGCTTTGAAAGGTTTTGTGACTAATCCCAAGATTATGAATGTGATAGTTCTGCAATTGAGAGTGATTAGGGGAGTCCCCCCACATGGATGCATACCAGAATGCCAGAAGCACCTTGCATTCCAGTGACCCTAGCAACTCTAGTCTGCAGTGCGCGGCCGTAAGGACTACCTAGCACATTTGGCGCAGCTTGCACAACCCGAATTCCAAACATACGTTCCTGAAATTGGGCACTTGAACCAAGTTTCGTAACAAGTTTTATGTCTATCTTTTGGGAGCTACATGCTGAGGTGGTTAAATACTAAAATTCAAGCAAACTCGAGGGCCGTGTATCTCCCATGTCTTAAACCAGCCTGTTTGTCGCCTGCACACTGGTCTATGAGCTTGCTCCCACGTGGTGGTTTGCTGAACGCTAAAACGCTAAAAACCAGTGGCTCCGGGGCAGCGAACAGGAGGTGCTTTGGCCGGCTGCTAGTGAGAGCGGCTGGTGACGAAAATGGGCAACTTCGGGAAGGCCTAACCATTGAACGATCGGACGCAAACTCTGCATCAGACGGCCTTGGGCCGTCTCGTAGTTGCAAACATCCCTCGTAAGACGGCGCCATCTGTCGAACCAAACTTCATTGCCCAAGGTGTACAGCAGAGGCTGGCGATGAGCGAGATAATCACGACGGCCGATACTTTTGACGAAATATGCGTACAACGACCACCTGGGCGCAAGCTCCCAAACCAGTGTGCAGACGATGAACGTCCTGTATGGGGCACAAGAGCATTTTGCCTCCTCCGAATCGGGCTCTGAAAAAAAAACAAAAAAAACGTAAACCTTCTTGCAACACTCCGTCTGTGTGGCCAATTTCAGGTGCGTACGTTTGGGATTCGAATTTCGCGAGGCTCACCGAATCCGTCGGTTTTTAAGGCTGCACCTTGTGCGTGGAAAGTGGACCGCGCGGGGCCGTGTTGTGACCGCTCGGTCATTTTGGGCGTTTCTCCGCCGACCAGGGCGGTGCCGTGACGTACCGGCTGAACGCGGTGCTGGTCCACCTGGGGGCCAGCTGCAACTCCGGCCACTACTTCTGCTTCGTGCGCAACTCCAACGGCATCTGGTACCTCATGGACGACTCTAGGGTGAGTTCGACCCCGGGGACGAATCCTGAGACCTTGGGAAAAATACGTGGAAAACTGCTGGACAATTGTGTTGCATGTGAAACATTCCGGAATCGCTCCGGAATGTTCGCGAGCCCGGCGCCTACCTCGGATTCAGTGTTTGTTACAGTCTTTTTTTTTTGTCGTTAAAAAAAAAGGGTGTTTAGAGGGGGTGGGGGGGGGGAGGTATGTTGAGGAACATGGAACACGGTGGTGGAATTCCTTGACATCTAAGGAATGTAGGCGTGGCCCAAATGGGCCAACAAACAGAAGAGCGGCCTTGGATAGAGTTCACCGTGGATCGTGTTTCAGGTCGACGGGAAATAAGGCCGTGGGTAAACATTTCTTTTTAAGAAGCCTGGGTTTTGCTCGTTCTAAGTTTTTCAAAGTCTTTGCGGTGTTTTCCGATATTTTTATTAATACCCCGGTTGGGAGTTAATTTTGATGGGTTATCAGTATATATAGCGAAAACACGGAACTCTAATTATAAACACGGTATTTAACAAACAAATGCGCTAAAAGGCACCTTTTTTTACGGTTAGATGTGGCAGCAGTTGGATGTTTATTGGCCGACAAAATGTGGCTGGGCTGACATCTGTGCACACGGCGTCTTGGAGCCTTTTGGCTGGTGTAACGACTGCCCGACTTGAAGTTGTCGAGGCGTGCAGACCAATGTGTTAGAAGCGTTCGGGAGGGAGGGCACTGATAAAGGGAGATGTATTTCTTGTTTCCCCGCACTGTATGGAAATCTCTAAGATGTTTACAGGGGCCAGGTGACCCTCCTCCCTGTAAATGAGGGTATTGGATTGTTTGGCTTTGTTTGAAAGCGATTGGTAGAGGAGCCATTTAAGGTAGCAAAAAATTACAAAATTGCTGATTTTTCAGAAATTACAATTTTTCACAACCCAGAGTATCTTTCCACAAAATCTAAAAGCAGCAACTTTCGAGTCTCAAACAGCTGGACTGAAAGTATAGGGAGTATTCACAGGCGGCCATATCCGTGTGCGCTGCTGCTGAGCGCGTGCTGACAGTGTGCTTCCGCAGTCCTTTTGGAGCTTGCATTTAGCACCATCAAGGTTACCGGTCTTAGCAGGCTATTAATGTGAGCTTGTTCTGAGCATGCGCTCTAAACATTGCCCTCAAATATGGCGTCCAGTGAATACCTCCTACAGAAAAGCTTTGAGAGTGATTTTCACAGCTTTGATTTTTTTGTCAAGTGTCATTCATTGCCTTTCAGAAGTTCATTTATTGAATTTCTGAAATTCATCAGCTTTACTTCTTGCCCTATACTTAGTAGGTAAAGAGTAGTTTGCTTCAGCTTAAAGCAATTCTTGTGCGATTTATTTCCTTTTCAAAATTTTATTTTATTTATAATAACAAACGCCCCTTTGTAAATACTATTCTATTAGCTTTAGGATGAATGGTGGACTCTTGGAAATCACCCTATGAGATAGAAGGGAAGCTTTCTAGTGGGACATTGTCCTAACAACCCGTAAGAAGTAAGCTAATGAGGTTAACATATTTTGTTGTATCTTTTGTTTGAGAAAAGAAATTTTAAATCTTAATGCAGCCTCAAAACCGGCTTGAAGAGATACATCTTTTTACAATATTTGAGTGAGATATGTTTACAAAAGGGGAAAACATTTTAAGGTCCCTCATACCCCTTGAAAGGGAGTTTTTTCTTTTCTTCAATGGATTGGCCCTTCTGAAACCACAAGGTGCATTCAGCCATCTCGGTTTTTGTTTTTAAAGCCGGACAGATGCCAATCTGGCCAACTTTGAAAATGCCTGCTCGTAAAAGCCGGCAGGACTGGCACCCGTGTCAGGCTTTGTGGACATGAAGTGTATATTTCAAGCGTTGGTTGGTAAAAGCCAAACGAATCGTCTTGCCGTTTCCTCATGGACGTTTTCGGGGAATGGGTCGCACGCAGGTTCACCAGGTGAGCCTAGGTCAGGTGTTGAACCAGCAAGCCTACGTGTTGTTCTATGTGCGGACGTCGCCACCCAAGGGCTCGCCATCTGTCAAGGTGAGCCTGCTCTTCAATTTAAGTTTGCAATTCGTTGTGTTGTAAGCCTGCCATTTATTTTCTCTCCAATTTGGCGATGTAGGTCGATTTGCATTTGTTTTGCCGGAATCCATGTTGCGAGGGACAGTTCTGACACACTTGGCACGCACAATACATGGGCTGTCCGATGCGAAAGTTCAGTGCTTAGAAGTGTAGAAAAAGCGGACTGACACTGTGCTTTGGTACTTCACTTACTCGCATAATGAACGCATACGCACAACAAGCATAAATATTTTTTTTTTTTTTTCGCTTAATGAACACATTTTTAATTTTCGGCTTCATAAGTCTTGAACTGTATCCAACTTAGCTAGCCGGCTAACCACCAAGCCAATTTTTTTTTTTGCCGCCAAGCGGTCGGGCCAAGTCAAGCCAAGCCAAGCTGTTCTCGTATGGCTGCAATTGCGTGGTTGCGGAAGTGATCAGGCAGTGAAAGTGAGCGGCATGCATGCCTAGTAAAGCTGGGGTCGAGGAATTGCCCAACGCCGGACGTCCTTCGTCCATAGGTTGCATTGATGTCAACAAACACGCCGTCGTCTGTGATCCGCTTTTGAACAGCGATATCGTGAAAGTGGTTAGGCCTAAGAACGGTCGCGTCGCTCTCCGTGCTGAGTGAGCTTCGTAGAGCGCTTTTTCTTGGGCAAAAGGCACGCCAAAGGCGCCCTAAAAAAGGTTTGTAACTTATAGAGCATGGTTACTGTGGCGCACTTGCGACCAGCCGTGGGCGTGCCTTCGTCAGTGGAGACGTCATATTGGCACCTAAAATGACATCTGAAAACGCAAAAATTTTACTCCACATAATGAGTGCACCCCCCCAACTATGTGTCGATATTTTGGGAAAAAAAAAGTGCTTTCATTATGCGAGTGAAGCGCGAAACACACGTACGACGAAACCGTCCGATCCGACGTGCGGACTGCCGGAATGACCTTGAAGGGAGAGGGTTTTCGTAGCATCGGAGAGCGTTGAAAACCCTCGCCTTGACCGTCGTATTGCGCAGTCGGACGTCTGATCGGACGGTTTCGTCGTACATGTGTTTCGCGCTTAAAGGGACCATGAAATGATTTTAAAATCGAGTTTCATCCACCGCACGTCGTAAAAGGTGTGAAAAGAAACACAAAAACACAAAACTAGGGAGCCAAAAAAAATTATTTGCTATAGAACTTTTAAAAGAAAACTGGACTCTTTTGCGCCTTCCTTCCTTCGCCTGTTCACTACGATGCATACGCAGAATCGGTGCACGTCAGCCGAATCCACATCGCCTATTGGGTAAGAGCCTACCTCACCAGCACCGCGATCGTAAACAATAAATAGCCGGCGAATGTTTCCTAAAAGTTTTGTTAAATAATATTCAGATCCACATTTTGTAGCATAATTAGAGATGTGTGGCGAAAATTGCCAAATTTGATAATGCTGAGAGCCAAGCGCCATCTATCGTGTGGTAAACGAAGCAACTACTGCGCGTGCGCAGTAGGGCAGGGCCAAGTTCAGAACGGTTATTTCCTTTGGTTTCCTTCCTCTCAAAACTCTGACTGACTGAACGTTTATTTTTCTACGTGTTCTTCCCGCGCGTGCCGACTTCAAGCAGCAAGAAAACAGTACTTAAAACAGACCACGACGAACAAGAACGCTGGATTCACCGACTCCGACGAAGCGTATAGGCCTAGCAGGCATTCCGACTCGGCGCTGCGTTGCTTCGTCGCAAGACCGTCTGCCTACGACCGGCTGGCGTGCTAAATGGAATATGCCCGCGCGACCCTTGTGGACCCTTCCCGTATTATAGTTTGATCACTGACCTCAATTCTAGATTAAGAGGTGAGGAGGTCAATCTCTTCCCCTTGTTTTCCGAGGCAGCGTTGACGAACACTCGTCGAAAAGGGACTCTCGTCGATTCTATCTTCTTGTTTTGTGTGATATAGAGTTGAAATAAACGCCGTATGGATTGCCTTCGTAACACGGTATGTACACTTTGTTATTGGTATGCCATTTTTATTCTGACAGACTGCACGTCACTGTCGACCCCGGTCCAACCTTTCTTTGCCGAGTGTCGCGTCAGTATCGAGTTGCAATCGTAAAAGAACGGTCCCGAAGCGCTTACCAACAGCGCGAATACAAGACTTCCATCAAGCGCGCGCGTCCGCTCCGAGTGTAAACAGGTATTTACGTGGCTCTTGCTGACACTCGTAGTTCAAACGTATCTTTTTTAACGTCGGCTCGCTCCTGCATCTCCGAGGCCGCGAAAAACGCCATCTACGTCGCTTTGCAAACGACTGACACGGGCCGGCCCTTCTGCCAACAATGACGGGGTGGTGACAAGACTCGCTGCACTTCCCAACAGGCATACCGGCGTATGGGACTAGTCCCATGCTGTCGCTGTAGCGCAACATATCTCATTGAATTTCGCTCAGCTGCGATGCGGCGATGAGAGGCGCCGATTCAGGAAATACGTCGGTGACATCAGCGCAGTAAAACCTACCGGCGCACCCCAACTTGTTGCCGCTAACACTCCCATTCTCCTACTGCCGAGAGAACTTCCGGTTCCGGAAACGGTTTACGTCACGGCTTCTTTTGCGGTCAGTTGGAGAGAATGAAAAAGTCGATATTTCAATAATTTTTTGTGTAAAAGTTAATAAACCGAGACGAAAACGGATGCCTGTTTGGCATTCAGTGAACATTGACGGTTTAATGTAAAAGTTATCTGGAAAAAGTAAAAAGGTCATTTCATGGTCCCTTTAAATACGGTAGTGCCGTCTTTTGCAACACTCGAGTTGCTCCAAAAACATGGCTGGTGTCGCAATTCGGAAACCCCGGATGTCAGTTCGTCGAGTTTGCCGTTACATGAGTTGGGTTACTGCTCAACCGCCGAGCTATAGGTGTAGTGTCGGCTTTCCCGGGCTGGCTTCGCTAAATGCATTTACGAGGCTGACACTCCCTTCTGGAGGAAGCCTTGTTAGCTAAGGTGGCGAAGCGTCTGGGAAGCAGCCCAACAGCGTGTTGAGAAGCTCTCAAGTTTCGCCGTTTGTCTGCTTGTCTTAAATTCATTGTCGTGGGAAAATGGGGAAATGTGATTTGGAGGGTTGTCAACCGCGTCAGTTTTAGAAACCAAACAAATGTGTAACAGAATAACATTTTTTTTTTTGCTTTTATGGTTGCTGTTGTTTTGATCTTGCAACCACTTTGCTTTTTTCTCGTTTTGCAGAAATCGAGCTCGGCGGCCGCCATCGCGGTTCGGAACGTCCCGGAGCCCGTTCGGAACGGACATGTCTGTGAGTAGCTTCTCTGTCCTTGCCTCGTTTTTGTGTGCGACATTTAAACGATTTCGCTCGTCACGGGTCTTTCCAAACTTTCGGCTTGGTTCGTAGGCCCCTGTCTTTCTTGTCTTTTTGATGGTTGGCTGTTGTGCGAGGCAATACTGGGGTTGGATGAGTTCGGTCAATACGAGTGGGTGTGATGGCGTACGGGAAAGCCTGCCTCAATCTCTCGCTCGTTTCGATAATACAAAAGATGCGCGAGGTCATGTCGTGCACCGTCACGTTTCGAAGTTGCTGCAGTTCCCTCGTTCGATCTCGTGCGACCGACCTCTCGTCCCGGTCCGCTTCTCAAATCGCCGTTGCACGTCCTGCGAGACCGGGGCTTTGAATTCGGCAGGATTAAAGGGCGGTTTGGCGAGGTACATTACGCGGTGAATGGCAGGAGGAGGAGGGGGAGGGTGAGACATTGAGAGAGAGAGAGAGAGCCTAGACCCCCCCTTGCTGACAACCTGTGGCGCTCGGCCCCTTGTTGTTGCAGCGGCGGCGGCAGTGGCCACGGTGGCAGAGATGGGGGAGACCACCGCCCAGCGGCTCCGGCAGCCTCCGCCCAAGTCTCCATCCTCCCCGGCGGCCATGACGGCTGCCGGCACCCCCTCCGTCAACGGCCACCCGCCCTCCTCTCCCGCCACCCCCCTCCCTTTGAACCGCGCCAAGGTGGCCTTCGGAATCTCGCGCCCGGCGGCGCTGACGTCTGCTACGAGGACTGAGAGTTTGGCGTCTCCCGCCCCTTCCCCTTCCGTCTCGAAGGCAGTTACCCCTAGGCCTACCCCCATTCCGTCGACCCCGTCCGGCAGCACAACCACGACGGAAGCAAGCCTAGTCCCTTACGCGGGCGACTCTTCGGACTCCGATTCAGATGAGAGGGTACCTCCGTCGTCTGCAGAGAAAAGCCGCGTCGGCGGAAAGGGGTCGGCACTGTCTACGTCGTCGCGGGGAATTGCAAAGGGAGCGTCGTCCTCGTCGTTGCACGTGTCTGGAATGATGTCGCCCTCGCTCGCCTCGGAGTCGAGCACTACGAGCGTCAACTCGACGACAGACTGGAACGTGACTGATCGAGAAGACGTGCAAGCGGACGCGACCTCCACGGTGCCACAGGCGCGCAAGCCCGTGCCCGAGGCATTTCCGGGCTGGACGGTTAAGCCCGACGCAAGTTCGTCCGCCGTCGTCGACGTCGTCGTCGTCCATACGGAGGAAGGAGAGGCCGCCCAGGAGACGGAAGAGACCCGGCTGCAGCCCTTTCGGGGGGAGGCGGGCGTCATCGGTGCGGCGCGGGCTGGGGGCTCTGGTGACGCTCGGAGAGACGCTGGTGCGGTGCGCGGGGCGGTTGGCAGCGGCGCCGGCGTGGCGCCGCAGCCTGTGCCCGTCGCTGGGGCGGCGGTCCAGGCGGTGCCGCTGGCGCCGGGACGGGAGTCCGGCGGGCGTGTGAGTGCGGCGGACACGGACGACAGCAGCGACTCGCACGAGTGGGTCGAGCGGACCAAGGAGACGTTGGCTGCCGAGAAAGCGGGACGGCTCTCGGCCCCTGCGGCGTTGGGCGGCTCAGGTGAGGCCACCGCCGGGACCCGCTCGCGGGAGAAGTTGGCTTAAATTTTACCGCGGAAGGCGGTTTCACCGGAAGGTTGGTTTTGCTGAGGAGGTCGATTTTGCGTCGCGGTTGGGTCTCACAGGCTGCTCTTTAAACACTGACGACGAGTTCGAAGTGTCACGCTTTTGCCGACTTCGAGGTCGGCTTTTGGCCCGTGTTGTACCGTGCAATGTCGACCGTGCAATCGATTAAATCGCTCTTTTCTCTTCGAGGTATCGGTCCATGGTAAGGTGGAGGCGGTGCTAGCTCCCTTAGGATGTCTGGGAGGGAGGAGTCCAATCTCACGGGGTCTTCCAAAAACCAGCCTAATCGACGGGTTCGGCAAACTCGACATTGGACGTTGGTCGTCGAAGTCCGGTGCCCTTCCGCAGCAACGCGTTTTTCACTCCGGGTTCTCTCCGCTCGGTGTAGCCGGGTTCCACGGCGTTCCTCACGCCTCGCTTTCCAATTGGTTGAACCCGTCCCTTGAAACGGTTTGCAAAGTTCGGACCTCCGAGCAGGTTTCGAAACGGTCGAACTTAACCCTCATCCAGATTACGCCGTCCCTGGTCTGGGGCGACACTGTCTGCCGGCAGCGTCAACGACTTGCGTCGCGCCGCTATAGCTGGGACGAAACGGAGACTGGGGAACATTGAGGATTTGCTCCTCGCGACAATTTGAACGCCACAGACGGTATGATTGGCAATCAACTCTCTGTCTATCCCGCACAATGGAGGACTGGTGGCCGACAAAAGAATGGTCTCTTGTGATCCTCTTGCGCTGCCTCCGAAGTTTTTTGTTTTGCAGTTTGTGAAGGGTTTGTGGTGGTGAAAGGCTAAACATTGGGGCGCCTGCCAACCCGTAAAACCTGGAATTAAGAAGGAATTTCGAAGCACCCGGGCAAGTTGGGAAATTGCCGGGAAATTGGTCAAGTCGGGGGGGAAAATGGCCGACGTGCGAAACGGGAGGGTGTGATGTGCGTTGGTGTGGATGGCCCTTTGAGCGCCCAGTGGCAGTTGCCCGAGGCATCGCTGGGGAGCGTAAGCCACCACCCCATTCACCAGTCTAAACGGTAACAACCGCCGAATAGCCGTCACAACCAAGCTTTGAGCGTTTTCTTTTTTTATATGTGTATGGGTCGGGGAATTTAATTGAAATATCTGGAGGAACCTGGAATGGTCGGGGAATATTATAAAAATACTCGGACAAAACCTTGTAGATTTGGGAAATTTAATAAAAATATTCGGGGAAAACCCGGAAGGGTCGGGGAACGTTGGGAAAACGATTTGGCGGACGTCCCGAAGACGCAGACCGGTGGCTGGCAGTCTGCGGTCTGTTGTAAGGTCGCATTCCCCTTCGCTTTGTTTCAGTGCCCGTTCACCGCTGGGATGACCGGCCCGACCGGAACGGCGTTGCCTCCTCGCCGCAGCGGCCCCCTTGGAACGGGAACAACAAGAGGCCCGACGTCGTGAGCTACCTCCAGGACGCCGGTTCCAGGCAGTACGGCTTTGCTGGTAAGCGCCCCGACCTTGACCATGGTGCGAGATAAGACGTGGGCAAGGACGCTCGGCACGGCAAAAGCTGCGACTTGATTGACCGGATAAAGTCCCTTTGGTGCGCGCCCGACTAGCCTCGGCAGACGGCATCCCCGCCGTTCAAAGGTCACAACCAAAAAAAAAAAAAAAAAAAAAGGAGTGAAATTTTTGTTTTGTTTGGAGTGCCTGCTTTGTCCTTGATGGACGCTGGCTCTGGCTCAAATGCCACGCCAGGGATATCTCCGCTTCGACGCCATTGTTGCCGCAGTCGAGGCACGAAGCAAGGGTCGATGACAAAGCAGCTTGTAAGCAACATGCGTAGCACAAGTGCCAAGTGCTACATGATGTGGCACACCTAGAAAATAACTCTAAAAGGGGCTGCCATTAGCCTCGTATTGAAGAGCCACCTAGGGTTGCCGCTTCCAGCCGAGGCAACGAGGGGACTGAGTGAGTGAGTGATTTATTTGCAGTTAAATTAAATCTGGCAGCCGCGTAGTATGCGATGTCCATGCCTACATCTATCTTAAATTCTGACCTTGACCGAGACATCTCCCGATGAATGGATGCTACGATCCAGTCCGACTCGGCAATTGGAATGTCGCTTCCTCTGTCATTTGTTAGAAGGAAAGAGGGTCGTTGCGGGCGGGGCACAAGTTTGCTGTGGCCGGCTGGATGGTGCCACTTTCTGCTCAATTAATTTGTGGGGCAAGAAATGTTTTGCGTGAATTTGGGGTCAGTTTTATTGTCGAGAGTGCTGTACTGCTTGTGCTTCTTACAACCCCTAATTAAGCCGGAAATCGCTTCATGGCCTTTTTAAAAGCCTTTCGGTGTCGCATTAAGTAAGCTGTTTCAGTGTCCCCTTCTCTTTTTTTTTTTGTCGCATTATTTTTAATGTTTCTCTGTTTAGTATTGCTTTAAGTGTAGTACTGTTGAGACTGGTTATAACTAAATCGGTTGTAACGAAAGAGCGGCTACAGCGAAGCGGTCACGATTTCCCATTTCCTTTTGCACTTTGTTGTAACCAGAGTTGGTTATAACGAAATAGCAAATATAGCGAAGTGATTTCCGATTCCCGTTGACTTCGTTATAACGGGTTCCGCGTTTTCGGTTTTTATTTTTTCAAAATTCAGCATGCTTTTTTTTTTTGTGTTTATTTTAAAATTCAATTTTAGTTTTTTTTCTTTTTGGTGTATATTTATTCTTAAAAATGTTTACCGTTTTTATTTTCGTAAATATGAAAGAAACACCATCGAGCACCGGATCAGATGATCCTTGTAGCTGTGATATTTGTGATCACTCAAAGAATAACGGCACATATACATATGTGGTCTTTGCTACAACTTCCGTCAGGACACACCTCAAAATCGCGGGCATAATCTTTAGTGCGCTTCTTTTTCCTTCCCATTCTGACGACGTGACCGTCTGAGATGATAACCATAAAAGAAGCCAAAAAAACTGCAAAATAAAAAAAAAAAATAAAAATTTATTGTAAGTATGTTTCTAACCACAGGGAAGTTTGAGAGGGGGTGTTAAGAAAGTTATTGACTGCTTTCCTCAATGTCCTCTGAAGTGCTTGAAGCGAAAAACCCACATCCCCTCTACTACACACACCCTTATACTAGCCCACATCCGAACTTTTTTTTGGGACCGGGAACTTGACGCACTAAGCCCGATCACAGAAAGGACACATATATTTATTATTTATTTTTATTTATTTATTAAACCTCAAATGCCCCAAGTAAGGGGTATTACACGAGGGTAGTACGAAGCATCAAAAAATTTCTTCGATGAATGCCTTGAAACGGGCCGGGTTGGAGTGGAGCACGCCGTCGGTGGGCAGATCGTTCCAATCCTTTGCTGTCTGGCAGGAAAATGAAAAGAAAAATGCGCAGTGCAGCGGGCATGGGGGGGATAGACAGCTTCCTGATGACTGATGCGGCATGAAACGCGGTGAGCTGGTGCGATAACAGAGCTGCCAAGTGATGAGCGACAAGACTTGTGAAAAAGGCAGAGCCTGGAAATTTTGCGCCGTGATTCCAGGTTAAGAAGATTAGCTTGAGATTTAGGCGCTGTGACACTGCTATGATAAGAGTAGTCCGAGTAGATGAATCTTGCTGCGCGATTTTGCACGGCTTCGAGCGTTTTAGTAAGATCAGATTGATGTGGGTCCCAAACAGCAGATGCATATTCTAGTTTGGGTCGGACTAGTGAGTGGAAAGATGGTAGCTTTACCGATGGAGGGGCTAAGCGTAGGTTGCGACGTAGAAAGCCAAGGACGCGATTCGCGTCATTAGCTATCTCCGTTATGTGAGGTGACCAAGTTAAATCGTTTGAAAAGGTAATGCCTAGGTATTTATATGATGGTACAGGAGATATGAGTGAACCACAAATGACATAGTTAGGAGATGGGTAAAATTGCCTACGATGAAAAGAAACAAGGGATGTTTTGTTAGCATTCAAAGACATTAGCCATCTAGCACACCAGGCCTCAATATGGTGAAGATCAGACTGCAGGGCGTGAACGTCAGTGCTGTTATTTATAGGACGATAAACAACGCAGTCGTCTGCGAATAAGCGTATGTTAGATGAAATATTAGCAGGTAGGTCATTTATGTAAATTAAGAAAAGTAGGGGACCGAGAACAGTGCCCTGGGGCACTCCAGAAGCAACCGGAGATCGGGGCGAAGAGTGGTTAGTAGCATGAACGAATTGTTGTTGGTTTGACAAGAAGTTACGAATCCAGTTACAGACTTGAGGGCCGAGGTTTAAAAGCGAAAGTTTTAATAAGAGACGTTGGTGTGGAACTTTATCCCGCGAAGGCTAATCCAAAACCTCTTTTGTTGGATGTTGAACCTTGGAAGAGGGCAATCACGAAAACATCGCACAATGTTGAACCTTGCAAAGCCCCCTCTCTCTCTCTCTCTCTCTCCCCCCCCCTTTCTCTCACCCACCTCGATGCAGCCCTAAAAAGCTTACCTTTTTCGGTTAAAACCGAATTTTAGAAAACGGATTAGACTTACTTTTATGGGTTTTTATCGGTTTAAACCGAAAACTCCGAACCCTAGTTATAACCGGTCTTGGCAGTAGTCCCTCAATAGTGCTTGTGTTCCTTTACTTTTATGTGAACTTCCACTGCTTCGGTGTCCTCTTAAGTTGCCCCAGTGTTCCTATAAGCTGGCCCCCGTAGGTTTCTTCGATGTTCCTCTGTCTCGCTTTCCGTTTAACTTTGCCTCATGTAGGGGCACGCACATAACGTTGTCATCTTAGTGAGCTGTGTGCTCATGCTCGAAGTGTTTGCCGTCTCGCTGATCGAGGGTGCATCGTCTATCCATTCCAGCGAATGGCTGGAGCAACCGAAGCAATCCTGGCTACAACGGATACGGCGGATACAATGGCGAGCGAGGGGCCGGCGACTATGCGAGGGACAAGCGGAAGTACTATGACGACTACGACAGCTACGACGACGAATATGACAAGGGCAAGGTTGGTGATCGCTCTCGCCTCGATCCGGAGGGTGGCTCTTCGCCATTTAACGGAACCGGGTCGGATGTGCCAACTTATAATTTCAAGAGAAAATGCCCAAGAACAAGCTTGGAGTGGTCAGGAACTCATAAGGGTCATTCTCCCAATGGCTTAATCTTTGAGTCCAAAAAAGATTATTTTGCGGCATTGACCTCAGGTTTGTAAAAGTTTGTAGACTATAAAGTGAATCATTTGTAATTTTGATAGAAAACATGGCTGAGCTCCCAGACACACTTTTTTTTTTTTTTATATATAATTCAATATATTGTAAAATGTACCCCACTAAAGATAAATAATAGACATTTAAACATTTTTTTTCTTGTGCTTATTCCGACATTAATGTTGATGATGGAGTGATTTACATCTGCTATAGGATGCTCTTAATTGATACGGCCAGTTTTTGTTTGCAGTTGAAGAAGTATTTTGGTGAGGGCTGCTGCTACTTTGCAAAAACCTAGAAAGTACCAACTGTTACGTCTGAAAACCAAGAAGATTAATTTTAAAGAACAATGAGATTTCTTTTATCAGTGCATGCACGTTCTGTACAACAAATCGGCATCTTTACGGAAAATTTAAAAAAATATAGTTGCGTAAAAACTGATATACAATCGCTACATTTTTTCGCATCTCAAAAAGCCCCGTGGCGTTCTTAAATTTTTTTTTGGGCGCGGGTGCGGAGAGAACGTCATCTATTGCATTCAGGGAGTTCTCATTAAAAAAAGACCATCTCCGAAGTGGCAAGCTGAAAGGTCAATCTCGCAGAAAGAAGCTGAAAATAATTTAAGAAAATGAAAGCCGTTTACAATTATCTGTAATGCCGAATAGAGCGCAACTCTTGAGGAGACGGTACGGAGGGGAGGGTAGACCCCTCCGTACCCTTCCCTCCTCCTCTCCCACTCCCCTCCCATTTCGAGGTAAATATTCCCCGCTGTATGTAACGGAAAAATTTCTCCGCTAAGTGTAGTGGGGAAATTTTCCCACAATGCAGAGCGCGGTCACGCTTGGTTGCATTATTCCCGTAATACAACGCGCACGGTTACGCTGACGCCACTCAGGTCCGAAACGGGTGCCTAAGAGCTGCGCTCTAAAAAATTAAAGACATTAACAATTTTCTGTAATGCGAAATTAGAGCACAGCTCTTGAGGAGGAGGAATAGGAGGGGAGGTTATGCCTCCCTTCCGTACCCTCCCCTTAGCGAAAATTTCCCCGTTAAATTTAGCGGGTTAAGTTCCCTGCTAAAGTTAGCGGGAAATTTAACGAAAAATTCCCCACTGTATTTAGCGCGTAAAGTTTCCCCGCTAATTTTAGCGGGGAATTGGACATCGCGTGACCTCAACACCAATTCAGCTTTTCCGCTAAATTTAGTGGGGAAGCTGTGACGTCCCATAATGAAACATGCGCAGTTTACGCCAATGGTGACTCCGATTAACCCAGAAACGGGTGCCTAAGAGCTGCGTGCTAAAAGACGAGAGACAGTTGCAAAATAAGAAACAAAAAACGGCTCTGTGCTCAGTGCACGTCATGGCATTTTATTCACGTCTATGATGATCGATGCTCAAACTTTTATCCTTTGCAGCTGGAGAAGCACAAAATTCGGGAACTTGCAAAAGCAGCTTACGTCTCGGTAGAAAATCTTACCGAGCATCTGTCTCCCTAGTTGATGAGAGGCCATTGTGCTGGCAAATGTCCGTAGACCTTTTGGCAACCATCCCTCAGCTGCGCTGATGTCACGTTCCTCGGTAAATCACAACGCAGTGGTTGACGCTTCACTTTTCGTCTTTTAGTATAAATCCCTCGCGTCAACTATGCCATTCCTCGTCGAACGAGCTGGTGAGCCTTTCGCTTTATTGAACCTCCTCCCACCCCACCAGAAGCTCCCTTCCCATTGCCGGGCTCAAAAACGTTGCAGGTCACTTCTGAGAATCCCGCTTCAAAAGAGGTTGCGGAAAAGTTCCTCTTTTGCTTATACTGTGCGGCAGGTCCATCTCTAAAGGAATTAAGGTATTTAACCTCGGGTGCTTTCCTCGTGATGCCGTGGAGCGCAGGCCTGAGGTGCTCCCAGATGGCTGAGGAGTTTGATATCGCATAAAACGTTATCCCCTTCAGCCAAGTGGAAGACTCCGGCGCGGAGCGTAACGTGTTGAAGAGACGAACCGGAGGGAACAGCTCGAATTTCTGATCCGTGTTTGCGCCGATAATTCTCGCAGAAGTCGACAAGTGCGTTCGTTGTTAATCTTCTTCTTTTTTTTTTTTTTGTCATTTCTCGAGGCGTTTTACTGGTGGCGTGTGCTGAAGATATGCTTACAAAAGGTATTCAGCATCCTCTGAACATCCTTCAAGAACTTGTCGTCCCTGGCCATAGTAAGGTTGACATTTGGGCTAATTGGTAGTCGTAACGTGTTGAGGTACTTTTTGCGCCAAATACCTCCACATCTTCTTTGACCAGTCGGAACTTCCTTGAGGTGACCTGTGCCATTCTTTCTTCAGATTCTGTTTTTTTTTTGCGACCGCTTTTAACCCACTGAAAGAGGTTCACATCACACAACTCACTCACTGTTTTTAGAGGAAAAAAACCCTCCTCCCTCCTCGTCATCCTCTCCTCTTTCTCCCGGAAACGGGCGCCTAAGAGCAGCGCTCTAAAAATGATCACAGCTAACAATGCATGAAGCCATAGATCAGTTACACCATTGTTTTACTTTTTGGGAGGATGACTCATAAACTCTATTCCAACTGGGCACGTCTTGCCTAAAAAAAGTTCCGAAACGGAAAATCGGCAAGATTCTCGTGGCATAAATGAGCTGGCTGGTCTCGGTTTGTGCACGCAAGACGGGGCTTCGAGTGCACATAACCAATATTATAACTGCTGTTAGTCAGTTGAGACCTCTAAAAGGGTATGTATTGACAAATGCGTGTATTTTTTATTGTTATTGCTAGCTTAAGGGCCCTAGAACAGCCTACCATACGTGGAAGGGGGATTGTTGTTGAAATTACTTTATTAAGGGGGGACACTGGCTAGAGGTTGAACTTCTGAACCACTCAAGTGATTGGAATGAAATTTGCTGGGGAGATTTAACATTGGATGTAGGTGTACTGTGCAAACTTGCAGCTCTCTAGGACAACTTTACATGCCTGCATAAGAAGATGTGTCATTCTTTGTTTAGAAATCAATGATATGCAAATAAAGCTATTAAGCATCATTTTGACAGCTTGAAAATAACATGGAGGATGTGGGACTTTGGGCTATCTAGTTTTGATAACTCAAATGTGCATATTTCAGGAAGAGTTATTACCTCAAAATATGAGATGCATATTTGTCCTATGTCAATTTTTCAAAACATACCGTAACATACCGGGCAAGCGCCCACTCAAACTTTGGAGATAATCGCAAACAAAATGGGGGATGGGCCCTTCTCCTGTCATCAATTTTACATATAAATGTACTGTGTGTATTTTCTCAGATTCTGCAAATTTGGGAATGGGCACTTTGTGTGTTGTGGGCGGATGCACGGTATTCTACGGTAGCTATTTCCCATTGAAGACTTCAAATAAAAAAAAAAATACAGTAGATAGCCCGATTCCCCGGTACATTTCAATTACAGAGAGAAGACACTCAATAATTGTAAAAATTTAAATAATGATAAAAAAAGAAAACTCAAAATAAGGTAGGCTATTCTAAAAAGGCTGGGCGAAACAATAACGATCATGTACCATATTTTTCTATCTGTAAGTCACACACCCCTTATAAACGATTGTTTTCAGAAAAAAAAATGAAAGCCGTTTACAACTCCCTGTAACGCCGAATTGGAGCGCAGCTCTTGAGGAGGAGGAGGGAAAAGTACTGAGGGAAGAGTAGACCCCTCCTCCTCCTCCCCTCATTCTTTAATATGCTCCGGGGGGGTCACCTGACCTCGGGGGGAAGGGGGGGTGTCACGTGACTTCGGGGAAGGGGGGAGGGGGGTCACGTGACCTCGGGGAGGGGGGGGGCCACGTGACCTTGGGGGGGGTCACGTGGGGGTAACCTTGGGGGGTCACGTGACCTTGAGGGGACCTTGGCAGTCGCGTCACCTTGGGAGGTCCCGTGACCTGGGGGGGGGGGGGGGGTGGGTCTCGTGACTTTGGAATGACCTTGGGGGTCACGTGACTTTGAGGTGACCTTGGTGACGCCGACGCCGATCAAGCCGGAAACGGGCGCCTAAAGGTTATACAAGTCTCAGCTTTGCGTAAACCGCACCTAATATATATTTGTATGGTTGACGCAGCAAAACTGCAATGAAAACCTGCATGTGTGTATCACAATCGCAATATCTGCGCAAGCGAGAGCAAGCTTCAATACTCTCGTCAACAAATCGAAGAACTGTGATTCCCTTTGCAAATTTTCGCAGTTAAACTCCACACTTAATAGCAAGAAATACATACAGTCGCGCCGTAGAAGACGCACCGACGAAAAGTATGGTAATGATGACCGAATGATGTCCTTATTACTCTCTAATTGCTGCTCATGTTTGTTTCAAGCGAGCCAGCCACGATGCTGCTGCACACTGCAAAATTTGTTATAAAATTTTTTTCTAAAGGGTCGCCCGGAGTGTGGCGAAGTTGAGGAGAATTTGGAAATACAGCTTTGGTGGGGTCTCTCAAGTACTTCGTTCTCGTCTCGTCTTTTCCAACAGAAGCGGAAGAACGGCGGCTTTGGGCCACCTCCGTTCCAGCGGCAGTACAGGGGCAACCCCTTTCAGGACGCGCAGAACTTCAGGAACCAGCAAGGTCGCTTTCAGCCGCAGGTAAGACGTTGCACCAGGTTGCACTGGCGTCGCCTGTGACTTGCGTTGCGTGCATATCTCTTTGGTGGTTCTGGCAGGAATGTAGCTACCGATTCTCGTGGCAAGCAGGTACCTTTGTGCGGTGAAGATGCCCCAAACTGTGAACATTGCCACAGCCGTTTAACTATGCTTCATATTTTACTTGAATGCATTGCGTAGGGCCCAGAACGCTGGAATCACTTTCCTGAGCTTTACAAAAGGCATGCTTCTCTAAATCCCACGATTTTACTCTGTGACAAACATCTCATACCACGCTCTTGTGTTTTTAACTTCCTCAGAGCTGTCGGCCTTCTTCACAGGCTGTGATTATTTTTGTGTTTCGAACTCGTATTCATACCTTTTACACCTGTACACAGATCATGCTCATGGCATTATCGTATCACCTGCTACTACAGCTTCATCTTAATCCTTTCGCAGCAATAGTGTATTATGTACCAGTCATATTATAGCCTTTGTACCAGTCATATCATAGCTTTTGCACCAGTAAAACCAAATTAAAACCCAATTAATTGATCAATCAATCGTGGCAAGCAAGTGATGCACGGTCTTGGGCGGGGCAGCATGGAACGATTGCGGAATGTGCTTTGTGGGGTGCAGGTTCCGGATTTTTGGGCCTTGGGGATTCCTAACAATTTCTGCCCTCATTTTGAGGCATTCTTTGCTGGCTGTGACATGTAAACCTTCTTTGTATTGTTCCGGCAACTACCACACCTCAGTTAGCCGAAGACATTGCTTCAAACTGCAACAAACAACTCCCCCCCCCAAAAAAAAAAAAACTTATCAGAGAGTAAAAAAGAAAAGAAAATCAATTTGGTCATGGTGGTTGGGTTAATGGAGTCTTGACTTTCTTTCTGAAATGGTAGAGCTGCTGATATTCTATCCTTATTCAAAATAAAATTCATACCTGCTCATGTGAAGTAAAAAAAAAAAAAAAAAAAAAAAGCAGCAGTGTGGCTGGATTGATGCATCTTCCTTTTTGAGTTTTTTGAAATGTCTCAAAAGCTTCCTTGTTTTTTTGTTTTTTTCTCTTGCACAGTTTGACAGGTTTCAGAAGACCGGTGGCCCGCCGTTTTACCAGCGCCATCATGAACGCCGTCACACGGACTACGGCAGAGGACCGCGTCGCAAGCACCACTTCTACGGGCGGACCAGGTAGCACGACGGAGGCACGGCACGGAACCCGTCGTAGTTCGGCGGGGTGAATAAAAACACTGCGTTCTGGCCCCCAAGGAAGAATTCGCCTCTCACCGATTGCGGGACGCACTACCGTCGAGACGGGTGGATCCGTCGGAACGCTCGGATCGCTGCATCGGGAAGTCGTACTTCGGAAGAAGCGTGCGTAGAGAAAATCTTCCAAAGAGACGAACAGCCTCAATTTTACGACGAACGTAACTCGACGGAAACGCCGTGCTGCAACTTCACGATCGCCGCGTTGTCATTTTACGCAAAATGTGCGTGGATTCGCGGGACTACGGGGAAGAGACGGAGACGCAGCGGCTGAAACCCGACGGATCTCCGCGGTTGGAACGACCGGAACTGGCTCGGGCTTGGAAGGGCATTAGTGCATACGCCAAGCGTTCGTGACTGCTCCGGACGGAGGAGCAAGAGGCCCGTGGTTTGCAGACGTACGTTGGGTTGGACTTCGTGCTAGCTAGGATTGGATTGGATCCCGGCTTTGAAGAGCGGCGCTTGGCTGCGCCCTGGTGGACTTTGGCGGCTCGTCGTTGTGGGAGCTGCGATCAACGCAGGAATTCCTTCCAGTTTTTTTTTTTTTCTTATCTGTTTGTTTGGTGGAGCGAGGTGCTGAGTGAAGCATGCTCACTTGTTTTAATGAGTTTTTTTTTTGTGTGAGTAAGAGTGACTTGATATGAGCTACACTGAAAAACTGCAAATGAAAGTGTTTTTGGGAATGTGCTTTTTTTTTGGCTAGTTTTTCTTCGGAAAGGGATTGTATTGATGTATTGTTGCCGCTGCATGGGTGTGCTTGTCAATATGTTCTTCATTTGGTAAAAGACCCTCTGCCCCCTTGCCTATTTTTTTTTTAATTTTTAGCAGCATTTCAAGTACAGACGTAATGACATCACCTAGTCTGACCTTTTGTTTTTTTATTGACTCGCTGACCGATAGGACACTACTTGTAAATAACTTTCAGAATGGAGTGCGTTCTAACCTTCTTGGCAGTCAAAGAATCTAAAAAAGAAACGCGTGCACCCGGTGTGCATAGTTCCCGATTGCTTTTTCATGTGATGTTTTACATTTGGGAAATGGGATGATTGTGTGTTCCTGTAAATAACGTTGACTTGGCACAGAAAGAATAAAACAAGCTCCAAACAAAGAACAACAAATTTATATTTCATTTCGGGGCTGGTACAAAACAGTCTCTAAAAAGCATATTTTGGGTCATGGACAAAACCTAGGGTCTAAAAATCTTTATTTTGCCCAAGCCCCCATTTTCCCGAGTTTGTTTGAGTTTGTGTTTATCTTTCTGGTTGAAGTCGACTTTACCTACATGCTCTAGTGTTCATTTGTAAATAACGCTCCCCCCCTCTCTTTTTCGTTTTTTTTAAAGGGGAAAAAAAAAAAGGGGGGGGGGGGGGGGGTGTTGCGTGCGTAATTTCTAAAATGCAGTGAAAAAAAAAAAAAAAAAGGGGGGGGGGGGGGGCTTGGGGTTAAGTTACACTGTCGCAAATGTTCAAATTCATCGTCCCTTTCATGTCAAGACCTTGAAAAGGGTGAGTGAAAACAAAGCCAAGTAAAGTGATGGATAACTATTCATTCGTGCCATTGGTATTTATTTGCGACAGCGGTTATATCGACGCCCGAAAGCTGCAGTTTTAAATATATCCCGTGGCAGCTTGACAATATCGGCCTCTAATAATAGAGGCCACTAATTCTGAGACTTGACTGCTGCCATATTTTCGGGGATTCCTTATTGTTGCTGCGGGGTTCTTGTTTTCAAAAAGGAAAAAAGAAAGAAAAAGGAAAGCGAAAGTTGGCAGACGGGTCGGTCGTCGTCTGCGAGTGGCCGGCTGTGTCGTCTGCTCTATTCTATCGTCTACGGAAACTACCACCAGTCTCGGCATTGCGGCGTTAAACATTTTTTTAATTTCCTTTGCGATTTCGACCCTAAAAGATGACTTTTCCGTGCGAGCAGACGCGGATCACGAGTTGCACGTCGGGTGAGCCGCGAAACCTCAAAGAACACCGTCGAAATTCGGAAATGGAATGATAGACACGAGAGGTGCCGTCCGGCGCAAACAACGCTGGGAGCGAAGTGACGATGCCGCCACATTACACAGGTAGGTGGATCTTTTCTTTCGGTAAAGCGACGAGAACGGGGAAACCTTCGGGTACGACGCAAAAAACCTGGGCATCCGCGTACTACGAGCGACACTGACGGACCGACCCCCTCGAAAGCGTGGTGCGTGAATTTGTTGCACTAGGCGTGCTCGCCGAGTTCGCGGCGACGTAGCCTCGCCTCGTTTTGTTATCGGGTAGGGTCGTTCAGCTTGGAGTCCGCCGCGAACAGCATAAAAATTCAAAACTTACTTTAATATAAGTGATTCGAACGACGCCCAAAGAAAGTCAATATTCGGTTCTTTCATGGGATCGCTTTTGAAAACAACCCGAGTCAATTCTTGTGCGGCGCAGCACGATAGACTGCTTCCGCAGGGAACTATTTTTTCATTAAAAAAATTGCTTTAGCGAGAAAACCTAACTGCTGAACTTTTGGCCAAGTTCTGAGAGTTTCTACAGAAGCTAAAATTATTAAAACGTTCGTTTTAGCTCCTACGCAGAGCCTAATATTTCGCTTTCAGCGTTTAGTCGGCGGATGAATACATAGTCCGGCTGCGCTGCAAGTAATAAGCAGATGGTAGCCATTTTGGTTGTGAACAAAGATATTGGCAATCTTTTTTGGGATTAAATTTTCTTAAAGTGCTCACTCTGCAGTTAATTCCCACCACGCATTACTATGCTCCAGCAACTTTTTTATGTGTATTCGTAGCCATGGCCGATAGAAGGAAACTACAAGGTAAGCACTGAACGCCTGTCAAAAAATCGCGAGTCCGTCGCCTAAACGCAGGGACGACTGTCTACTGCTTGAACCCAACTATCGCTCTCTTGGGGGGACCTCCTGAGAGCACTGAGCGTTAAGCCTAAAGATGCCCCCTCTCAAATACGGTGAGTCCGAGCTTTTTGAGCTCGCCTGCGGGCATCGCGTCGCCGACGGACCCGTCGACGAGGCCCTGCTGCCCGCGCCCGTGCCTCGGAATGGACCCTAGCGTCCCGAACGACGGCACGGACGTGGTCTCAAAATCAGATGGTCGCTCGGGTCCCCGTCGGCGAATCCGAGCCGTTCGGGCTCGTTTTGACAGCAACCGACGATGTTTGAAGCGCTTACTTTTCGCGTTGAGGACAGGGAAATGCGTCGGTGGGGGTTGCGGAACCTGCGAGGAGCGTGTGTGACGACGCGACCGGTTGTACGCCGTTTTGTTTAGGGGATCTCATCCTCGTCATCGGCCAACATGCCACTGAACCTCGGTGTGTGCGGGACCCCTTCACTGAATACTTCCTACTTTTGCCCTTTTTCGGCTGGTTACACCGCCGATTTAGGGGATTCGAGCCGTCCGAAAACGTGCCCCGAATCGACGAGTACCTCCCGCGAGTGCGCATTACCCGTCGCGAAGAAAAACGTAGACAAGTACGGTGCTTTTGTTGAACGGGTACTCAACCAGACGTTCCCCCGTTCGGTCGCGCCTTTATCGAATGTTCTTTATTGCTTGTCCGTCCGTTGCGGGCCCGTGTCTGACCACGAGCTCCGACCACGGATGACTCGGGACGCCGTTCGCAACGACGAACGTCGCGTTATGAGATGGTCCGTGGTCGGATTTGGCGGTGCCGTAGGCCTAACCCCCCTCCTCTGCTACTCCCGTCACACAGGTGAAGCGGTCGGAAGAACACGGTTTGTTGTTTTATCTTTATTTTATTTAGGAAGTCCACCGTGTGTTTGTTCTGGGGTCAGCGGGTGTGTGCGCTGACGCGTTTGGACGAAAACACAGAAAGTCGACCTGCATGTAAATCAAACCGCGGAGTTATCACCGGCTGTGTCCTGTGTGGGACTGGCGAGTATGTTTTTGTTTTGACACGTGCATGTTGGTTGAGAAAGATTCAATTGATTGAATTTTTTTCCTCTTTATACCGACATCTGTTTTGGCTGCTTCCAGTGAAAAGACCTTTTTGTTGCTGGTTGATATTTGAAAGAAAGAGAGAGAGAGAGAAAAGTCTCCAGTCATGGCTGTGAAGTTGTCTGCTAGTTACAGCTAGGAGGGAGTGAAAGATCTTTGGCCATCTTTGTTCGAATTTAACTTTTTAGTTACCGACTTCCAGTAACGCCCAGTCTAACCACGCTGACTTGTGTGTTTTCCCCATCATGCATGTTGGAATATTCTTCGTTGGTGCCATGTTGGAGGCATCTTTAACTTTTAGCACGTCTGCAAGGTTTGGAGGTGTATCCTTACAGTGGTTCGCTTGATCTCTACATCATGTTTTCCAGGAAACTACTCTCCATGAAGCACTGGGCAGATTATGAGCATGATTATGCACAAATAGCTATGAACCTTTTACACAGTACAGTATGAACATCCTTATACAGGACAAGTAATAGACATGTTTAAGGTTATAGACACCGGCAACCTGGCATCACTTTGGGCCTTTGACCTTCTAGTTGCCTTGTAGATTGTACATCTGTACGTAGTCTGCAGTTCTCAAACAAATGAATGTATATTTTTCTTCTTGGGTCCGCTTTGTGCTTTGTGATTAAGGGTTGCATCTGTGTAGCTCAAGCGTACGAAGGTGCACTTTCCGAACACGCATGTCTAGCATGGTTTGCTTCCGCATACATAAAGGAAGCTTTTCTTTTTCTTGTTAGTGTGACATTCACTATTGGCACTCTTTGAAACTGAAATTCCTAAAATCTCTCTTCGATGCAAAATGTTAATCACTCTAATTGCAAAATGTTGCAATCTTTTTCCGCCTTTGTTTGCGGCAACGATATGGGCGTAATAAGCAATTATAGATTTTATTTTAGAAGAACAGCGAGTATGCTTTCTGGTTTGTCAACAGACAGTGTGAGACATTTGCGGAAATGGCCCATTAGTGACGTTACAGTTCTGCTTGGTATCCATTTTGCAGGCGTCTCTTGGAGCATCCCCATTTAGCAGTACTGGTTTGCAGCGATAGTTGCGGGGTGTATTTAGCGACAACTGGGGAAAATGAGGGCAGCAGTGATTAGTGCCGATTTTTAATGTGACTTGGTGTCGTGTTTACACGGTTATTACCAACAAGCGGTTGCTGGCTATCGTCATCTTTCTCTCCTGAGTGAAATGCCGGCGTCAAAACTTCTAGCGTGGTTGAACATGCTCCGCTCCCCCAGGCATGAGCTTTTGGGAAGGGGGGGGGGGGAGGAGCGAGCGATCAAGAGCAGCTTTAGCGTTCATCCGTGATCTCAGTATAATCCTGAAGGGATTATACTGTGAAAGTGTTTTCCCTCCCCCCTTTGGACTGTTGCTGCTTTTGTGCCTATTGTATCATATCTTGTCCCCCAAACCCTTTGCACTATTGACTTACGAGATGGGAATCTGAAAGATTCTCGGCCTCTTTTGGATAGAGCTGTTCTGGGACCCTAATCTGGACACTTGGAGAAAAAGTCGGCGAGGAATCGAGAGCCTGCGATTGGCCGGCACCGCACTTGACCTTCAAGCGTCCAATCGAGGCGGTCGAATTCTTTGCCGACTTCTTCGCCGAGTGTGTAGGTTAGAGCCCCTGGAGGGTCGACGTTGTATCAGTTGCCCTCGGGAGCCGATTTTTTAAGGTACAGGGCTGCTTGGTCGTCGTTTATGTAGTTTTGGTGCTCCGATGCTCAAAGGGCAGTTAGTGTGTTTACGGCGGAAATGCCGTAAGCACCAGTAAAATTGGGAGCCAGGCATGTTTGTACCAGAAATGGCTGGCAGACACGTCGCTGTGCAAGTTGAAAGGAATACAAAAGTTGTTTTCGGAGTGCCACAATTTTTTTTTTTTTTTTTTTTCCCCTTTGGGAAGAGTGTTTGTTTGACTAGAGTTGACACTCTTCAATTTCGACTCTGGAATGCTCCCCTCTGTGTCAGCACTTCTGAAGTTGAAAATGTACCTAAATATAATTTGTGCCAGTATCCCGTCAAAGTTTGCTGACTGATGGTGTCCAGTATGTTTGTTGAAGCATTGGTTTGTGGTGCCTATCTTGATGACACTTGTTTTCTGTCCTTTTCTTTGTGCAGGAGAAATAGAAAGGTGTTTAAAGAAAGTAAGCGAAGGCGTGGAGCAGTTCGAGGACATTTGGCAAAAGGTGAGTCTTGCCGTCTACTACGTACACCCTTCCAGTGCTTGTTGCCCGGGCAAAAAAATGCAGCCACTGGGACGCAGTCGTGTGCGCAATATTGTCTGATGTTTATTTAGAAAGAGCTATTGTGCGTGCTCCAAATGTGTTTTTACATCCTAGTGGACAAAGATGTGCACAGAAGTGAATTGTTAAAATGGTCTATTAAAGGGCCTATATGGCCAGTGAAATGTCTATAGCATCATAAAAATGCTGTTGGCCATCGATAGTCCCTGGCCGCCAGCCCTACTGCCACCGAAACGAGCATATTTAGCATTGAAATGCCCATGTTTGCCATGGAAATGTTTACATTTGCCATTGAAATGTTTACATTTGCCATTGAAATGCATACATTGGCATTGAAATTTCTATTGGCACTGTATATACATGAGAATTTCTGTTGTTACTGAAACGCCTCTATCTGCCATAGAGAGATTTAGTTTTGATGCAGAAATTTCTATATATTGCCAGAGGGGCATTCCAGTGGCCTTGAAAAAAGTCTCGGCGGTGTCTTCGGCGATGTGTGGCATCTAGTATTTGTTCTTTACAAAGTTTCTAAAAACAATGTGCAAGGTAATTTTGTGATATGTTTTGATCTGATTCTCGCTTGAATCTTTGTTGAACTGTGCAAAGACTGTCAAAGCTGGAAAATCATATAATGCGATGGAGAAGGGTCAATGTACTTGTGGATCGATCTAGGGCGGTGCCTGCGAATACTGGTTACAGGGATAATTTGCAACTGCTCTTAAATGCAGCAGTCCAAATAAAATCGTATACTGCACGACACCAACTAAACGTAAACAAAGTCACCATTTTTTTAAAATTAATGGGCTGTTATAAAAGCTACTATGGTGGTGGAAAGGGCTTACTTTGTGCACTAATCTAAAAGGCTAAAATTTGGTTCCTAACAATGCCCTTTAGGAAGGAGATAAAAAAAGAAATTGCCGATGTCACGTTTTAATTAAAATAAGGACCGACGTGACACAACAGAAGAAACAATTTTATTAGACATTTCGCCTCCCATATGGGAAGCATCTTCAGTAGTTACAAAGCAAATGCAAGGTTCAACTTGTAGTTAACGCTATTTATGAGGAATGTCCGTATAAGCTTTGTTCAGAGGGCCACGGTTTTTTGTTGCACAGAAATGTGTCCCTTTCATAAAATAAGTAGGAAAAACTAATATATGTATGCTTCAGCGTGAAATTGAGGGCTGTGCAAAAGTATCATAGCAAAAACTTGGCAATATCCATACCTCGAACTTCGTAATTTTATGTCTCTGGAAGAAAAATAGCTGCTGCGTTTGCATATAGCTGAATAATCCTATCAAGAACATGGCTTTAAAAAAAAAATTTTACCTCAATATATAAAATGTGACTCTAGACACTGCAAGTAGTGGTACTGGCTATATAATTTTAATATTTTCTTCTTGGTGCCTGTTGGTCTTCGATTAATATACGCTTATTTTCCTAAAGGAAATAACAAAATTTTGTATCAATATAATAATAATCCTACTCCTTTGAGTGCCAAGTGTTCTTTTCCCACATGCAAAGCGCAAATTTTGAAAGCAGTAACGCTGCAGCATGCTCTGTGGGGACCATTTATTTATCAAGGATGCACTGTTTTATGGGGAAAACGTTAATTGACTCCCCATGCCTCCGACCTACGACATACAGGTGTTCCATGTAACTTAAGCCAAGGTTTAAAAATAGTTTGGTACATTTTAGGAAGCTGAAACCAGAGGATTAACAAGTTAGTTCATTGTTTGGAGCAAGTCGGGCTTTTTTCAATATTTTGCCCAACGAAATAATTAAATTGAATGCATGAACTTTTGAGATATTTTGTATGGAGCAAAAGTTTCAATATGAGGTTGTACAGCGTCCTTGGAAACATACTGTTCAGTAGTGATGGGACGAATCACCGGAGATTTTGATTCGGGCAGATTCAGAAATTTCCAAACATCCCGCGACGAATATTTGGCAGATTTGTCGCTGGTTGCAGACGGCAGCGTGAACCTTGTCGTAAGCCTTGCGAATGCGGTCAGTTGTGTTTTCTTTTTAGGTACTGTTACTGCACATAACCAGATTTCGTCATGTTTATTTCAACGTACGGTATGTACTGTACTGTCGTTCTAAACCCTGGCACGCGCCCAGGTCCAGCTGAGCTGATCGGTGTGGTTGACGTAGGCCTAACCAATGTACGGTCTCGGTTTCTGTGCGGTTTCGCGGTGATCGATAAAATGTAGCGAAGTGCTGTGTATAATGTGTTGCAACGCACAATAAATATATTCAGGCAAGGAAATGATTTGTCTCCTTCTCTAGAGCTGCGTGTGTCTGTACCTGTAAGGCGTCAGAGCGAGATGAATGTTGCTCGTCCCAACTTCGACCGCTTACCAATGGCGTTTCTCCGTTCTCGGCAGCAAGTCGGTCGTGAAACGTTATGCGTGTTGCATTTCATGAAAAAGAAACAACATAGGGGTGTCCAACGTAACTTTATTGTTCCGAAACGAATGCTGTAACTAAATCGGATGTCAGTAACAGAAAGGTACAAATGCAGCACAGGAGGCTGTAATACTACGGCGCAAGGAGTTTCAGTTGTTTCCCGTGCTCCGATAACAATACAATACCTCAGTGGACACACGTTGAAGATAATCCAATAGAACATACTCACTTGCGTGGTGTGTGCCACTATGACCGTAATTATGGGCACGAAATCTGTCTGTACCGAACAGCACGTACGGCATCGATCTCTTGCGGCGATGAAAACATGCGCTTGTATTTCCACATGCACCAAGCTTGCCTATTTTGGTTGTAATCCGGAACCGAAACCAAATTTCCTGCGATGCCGTTCTCGACAAACATCCAAAATAATGTAAACAAAGCAGAAAATTTTATTTATTACAATGATATTGTATTACATTATTTTGTGCACTTTGTAGAATTTAGTGAATTTAATATCATGAAAAGTTGAAACACTCGTTAACTTGATCTGGCAACTATGGCAGCGCTCCGAACTTTCCGAATCTTTTGAGATTCGGCTACTCTTCCGAATCTTTCCGAATCTTCAGATACGGCTCCGAATTTTCAGATTCGGATAAGGGTTTGTCCCATCACTACTGTTTTGTAGTTTTGATTAAGAAACCTCTTACACGGTTAGTTTTTCCAGGCTTCAAAGAAACCCAATGAATTACAAAAAAGAATGCGCGACTTGTACTGTAGCGTTCATAAACATGATTTAAAGGGGCACTGACACATCAAAATCATATTTTTTTTTTATTATCCGAAACGATTGAAAACGATGCCGGCTCTCCAGCTCTCATGGACTATTTTAAATACCTGCATAAAATGTGTCACTCTTTGTTAAGTATATCTATGATATGCAAATGAAGCTATTAAGTATCATTTTGACTGCTTGAGTATAAAGCGGGCGATGTGGGACTTCGTGCTATCTAGTTTTTATAACTCAAATGTAAATATTTCAGGAAGAGTTATTACCTCAAAATGTGAGCTGCATATCTTTCCTATGTCTTTTTGAAAACATGGCTTTTTCTCAATGAGAACTCTAACTTAAAACAAAATTAAGTAGATAGCCCGACTCCCCAGTAAATTTCAGTTTAGAGACATCTTGATTGTGGTATCGGAATACTTTTTACCTTCAAGCAAAAGATTCCTTCACAGGAAGTTTGCAGCAAAAAGTGGAACTGAAAAAAAAAATGCATTCAAACATTGAATTCCTTTGCTTTGTTACTTACTGCCTCACAATGTGTTGAAAATATTTGATATCAATGTAACTATTTGGTATATGGTTGTCAAATTTAGTGTAACGGTGTATAATTAGTTCCTAAAACCAATAACCTCAATTTGAAAAATTAATAACAAAAAAAAAAATTAGGCTTATGTTTTTCTTTAAAAACCAGTCTTGTCTCACTTGGTTGTACTCAGTTGCAAGCGTGTAAACAAGCCTCTAGAAGCCTGGAAAAACAAGTCGTGCTTGAGGTTTCTTGTTAAAAACCCCTGAATTGGATGTTTCCGAGGGCGCTGTATAACTTTATTATTGGAACATTCGCTCTAAACAGAACAGTTTAAAAGTTTATTTTATTGGGCAGAATACAAAAGCTAGCCTAAATTGCTTCAAATAATGGACAAACTTATTCCCCCGGTTCTGTCTTCCTAAAATTCACCGAAATATTTTAAAACCTTGGCTCGGGTTACGTGGATCACCCTGTATATCTAGCCTTGGGCTTCTCGAGACTGGATACTGTGCCGCGGCTACCTTGACTTCGCAACCTGAGGTCGCTCTTGAACGTCCCGACGCGGCCTTTGTTTATTCGGAACTGTAACTTCCTCGCTTTCACAGCTGTCGAATACCGAATTCATATGTAATTTCTAGATCTCGGCGTTTGCCGTGAGGCACGAGGTCGAACGCCATGGGTTCGCCGGCCTGTAACAGCGAGGGAGCGCACCACAAGAGGGGTTGTCTAAACAAAAGAAATAGTGGACCATCGGAGAGTGACACCACACAATGACACATAGTTTTCATCGCCTGCTCCGTTTGTTATGGCTACACATAAAAAGTATTGACACCCCGGATGGGAGGGACAGGGAGCAGACTGAAACTATGCTAGAAGGCAACCGAGCATACCCGGGCATGGTACTGGAAGGGTTAGACAGACGCGAGAGATTTCTTATAAGAAATTTTGTGAGGAGTAGCATTAGAAACTAACTTGTGAGATCTGGAACAGAAAATGAAGCATAGAGTGCCTTCTTTTTTTACAGCGGAGCTGTTAAGGGCTAGGTTCCCCAGGATTGTGTCTGTGTATGTCGACACAAACCTACCTGGACAGCTACCGCCATCTATAAGCGACGGCGGCAAGCACACAACCAGCATGGTTTCCGCCGTCGCTCGTAGATGGTGGCAACCTTTCCAGCTATAATAGAAGAATGGATAGTTGGGCGCGTTGGTGGCAACTCATCGTAGAAAACGGCGCGAAAAACGGACGACAACGAAGAAGCACACGTAACGAGCGCAGCACTCGTCACGTTTGTTTCTTCGTCCTCGTCTGTTTTGCGCGCTGTTTCCTACGCTCCTACGCTCTTATCAGTTTTGGTTTGGACTCGCGATGGGTTGGCCACGCGCCCTCTTGGGGAAAGGAAAGTACAGCTCTGCTGGTCTTCCTTCTTCACGAGAGTGGAAACGCTGAACGTTTTTTCTGTCCTCCTTTTTAGGTCTACAATGCAACCAACACAAATCAGAAAGAAAAATATGAGGCTGACCTTAAGAAAGAGATTAAAAAGCTCCAGGTAAGATCTTTTTGTTTTCTTTTTGTTATGGGAACTTATTTTTTTAATGTTCTCTTCTGTTGATGGTGTGGGCCTGTTTTTGTTGGATTGTTTGTCAGTTCGACATTTGCGTCTGTTGAATTTGACGAGTTTTCGGTTGGGCGCAGTGATCCGTTTTGTCCCTGCTCGTCGGAGCCAGAAATATTCCTAAGTATGCATGGCCTTAGCAAGCTTTTTGCAGTTTTGTATCCTGCAGGCTCTGCAAATATGAGGCACAATGAAGAGCAAGTTCTGGAACTTTAAATGAACTTAATGGATCAGTCTTGTGATGTTTGTTTGTTATAGATATGATTACATGATGAAAACAGGCTTTTAATTTGGGCCATTCAGACAACCAAAATTCTGGGAAAACCAAGGGCACCCATTTCTGTTCCTAGATGAAAAAAAAAAAAAAAAAAAAATCTGGGCACTTTGTTGCCAGGTTATTTCATTATTGTTTTAGTTTGTCACGCATTATTGGCATTCAGTAGGGTTGTGCGAATGTTCAAAACTTCCGAATGTAGAAGCGAATAATGGTTACATTTGATTCGAATTGAATAGGGCTATTTGGTGACTTAAAATATTTCCAGAGTATTTCTAATTTTAGAATGCTGCAGAGTTTGCCTTAATTCAGACTTAAAAAAAGATGAAAGAAAACAGTGCTTTTGTGTCGCCCGTCATCATTCGCTTGCTTTCTTTTCCTTTGAACACTGCCAGATAAATAGTGTCTTTAGTGGCCACGCATCTCATTAATTATTTTTGATCTTGAGCTTGATTCACTATTATGGACAATTCACATCATGGATGATTTTTCTGGGAAACGGAAGCGTCCATATTGATGAGACACGTCTCTATTGAAATAAGAGTAATTGCGCAGGCGAGCTGGTGAACGATCACGGTAGTGAACCCTTCAGACCTTGGGCCCTATTCTAGACACTTGGCGAAAAAGTCTGAGAAATCTGGCGGCCGGGATTGGACAACGCCGCACTTAACCTTGGCGCCGGCCAGTCATAACCGCCGAATTTCTCGCCAATTTTTTCGCCATTGTTCAGATTAGAGCGTTCCCTAGTTTCCAGGGTCCTCTACCATGACTGTATTGACGGCTGCAGACTATTCGCTTTGCTTCGAAATCATTCGATTCAATTCACAATTATTTGTTCAAAAGAGCTAATCACCTCGTATTTGCTTCGAAACGAAAAATCGCTATTCGCACATCTGTAGCATTCAGTGCCTGAAGGTCGAAATTGAAAATCTGTGGCAACTATATAAAAGCATAAAAAAACCTCGCAAGAAATTCCTTCCGTGAAACAAATTCCCCTCGTTGCCGTCCCTTGCCCAGAGGTTACGAGACCAAATTAAAACGTGGATGGCGTCGAGCGAAATCAAGGACAAGAGGATCCTTATGGACAACCGGAAGTTGATAGAGACGGTGAGTGCCCTTCCTCCGTCTGGGAACAGCCCCGAGCTTGCGGGAAGAATGAATAAATGGACCGGCACGACGATAGTCTTGTGACGCAGTCAGCCACCGTTTGGTCTGCCAACAGAAGTCAGATTCATGCCGTTCACTAAGAAAGGACGAAACAGTAATCGCTCCCTACATTCATTAAAAAGTGCATAAAAGTACTTTTCATTTAAGACCCGATCGACGACTCTGGTGCGTTTGTAAGGTCCATGGTGGAGCGGCAAATTTCGAAGTCTGCCCCTGGGGTGCCTCACACGCGCTCCTCGCTGCCATCCCGTCTTCCCTCCTACCCCCGGAGCAGCAAATGGAGCGGTTCAAGGTGGTGGAGCGCGAGACGAAGACCAAAGCGTACTCGAAGGAGGGACTGGGCGGAGCGCAGAAGGTGGACCCCGCCCAGAAGGAGAAGGAGGACATCACCAACTGGCTGTCGGTGAGTGCCCTTTCGCTCTGCTCTGCTCGGCGCTGACTCGGTGCCCCCCAGATTCGCGCCACAACTGGCCCGGTGACACCGGCCGACGTCAGTATGTGCACCCGCTGTCTGATTTCAGTCCCTGGCGAGATGAGAGCTTTGTGGGTGCCGATTGGACAGGGTGTCACCGCTTTTCTGATGGAGAGCCTTGTCGGCCTGCAGAAAATTTTGATCTGTTCATGAACCCTCAATTGGGCAGTATCTTTTTAGAACGCAGCTCTTAGCTGCCCGTTTCCAGCTTGAGCGGCGTCGCCATCACCGCGCGGTGCATTATGGGTACATTTCCTCGCTAAATTTAACGGAAAAATTTCCCCGCTAAATCTAGCAGAAAAATTCCCTCGGGGGGTCACGTGATCCCCACATAGTTTCCCTTCCCCCGGGGTCACATGACCCCTTCCCCTATGTCACGTGACCCCTCCACCCCCGAGAACACATGACCCTCAGTACCCTTCCCTCCTCCTCAAGAGCTGCGCTCTAATTCGGCGTTACAGGGAGCTGTAAATGGCTTTCACTTTTTTTTTTCAAGAACTTCTCGCTCACTCACGGATGGCGAGAGAGGTCTCTTGACTTCTGGTGTGCCTGTCCCAAGTGCTCTTTCATCCAACGGGGGATTTTAGCCTGCGTACTGCAGAAGAAAAGCGAGCTATGGAAGGCAGAGGTTGTTGATTGCTTCCGGCGTGAAAGAGCAGGCGATCACAAGTTAGGCCCGCGTCCAATATCACTTTGCCGCAGCTCTCGGTTTGTAGCAGACGGCTACCTTTTTTCGGTTTCATAAGGAGATGGTGTGAAGGTGTTCTGTGAATAGCACTTCGTGGCAGGCGAACCTCCGTTGTTTGCTCGAGTTGTCAGAATGGAAAGTTGACCTTGGTAGGCCTAATTCTATGCCAATTGCTGTTTTCTCTTTTGGCCGTTTTTTTTATCGCTGAATGCGCGAGAAGTCCGACTTTTCACCAGCTGTGCTGGCCGCCCCTGTTGAATGCTCGCTTCTCTCTTGCGTGCAGAATTCGATAGCGATCCTCAACATCCACGTCGACCAGTTCGAGAGTGAAGTCGAGTCCCTAATGATCGGAGTCAAGAAAAAAAAGAATGACAACCAGGTGGGTCTTAACTTTTCTTTTTCTCCCCCTCTTTTCACTCCTTTTCCTTCCATCACCTTTACTCCTGTCTTCGGTTTGTGGATCCCGCAAAGGATTGGACGAGGACGGTGGCCCTGTTTGCTGCGTGGCAGAGAGGGGATAGCACAGATTTTTGGAGATTGGCTTATGGCCGTACAAACATGTACAATGTCCAACTTGCTTTGCTTTCTCCCGAGGCGTAACTCCTCGGTGAGCTTAGCGCCTCGAAGTAAGTATAGCGACAAGCACTACATCTTTTGTCAACCGACGACGCAAAATAAGTTTTATTTGTGCTCCCAAACAAGCTGTATTTTTGTGTGACGACGCTACTCAACAAGATTCTAAAGCTGTGGCCCACCCCGGTGGCGAATCGGAGTGTCGAAGCGAGACGCATGACCATGTTACATTGACACACACTCTTCTTGTGGAGAACGCTCATGTGCTTTGCTTCCTCGCTAACTGCCTCACGGCCACTGCAGCCTTCGTCGTTTGCCAAGTTGTGGTGAAACAGAGTGCCACCAGTGTCAATAAACAAAGCAGTTTAGATGTTAAGCGTTCAAAAAGCAGGAGACTGGGCTGGAAACAAAAATTCACAAGGTAGATGAGAAATTTAAGCAGCGCCATACAAGTGCTAATCTTGGGTCTTTAATGTAGTACTATGCGTGACACTCTTGATAGCAAGCAATGCCTGTTATTTTTTTTGTTTTAAGAATGGAAGGCCTGTTATTAAAACCACTGGTGCGGTGTAAAGTGTCCATTTGGGCCACTAACCCGAGAGGCAGTTTGGTGCTTGCCATTAGCGTTTCAGAGTAAAAAGCAAAAAGGGTCCGAGATCCTATTTGCGTCCACTGCGTCGCCAACGGTACATCACGCTAGTACGACGCATACCCGGATTGAACCCGGAGCCTACGGCGCAAGCTTGCGTTCCACGTGTGGCTAGCCGCACCCATGCCGACACACCCCGCCGTAATCTCCCTTGTGACCTCTGTCGATCGCATTCGCCTTCGCCAGGACCGTCTGGAGGAGCTGAAGCTGCTGCTGGAGCGGCACCGGTACCACATCGTGCAGCTGGAGACGCTGATGCGGATGCTGGACAACGGCACGGTGGAGGTGTACAAGATCCGCAAGATCAAGGAGGACATAGAGTACTACATCGAGTCGTGCCAGGACCCGGACTTTGAGGAGAACGAGTTCCTGTACGACGACCTGGACCTGCGGGACATGGCCCCGCTGGACTACCTGTCCAAAGGGGCCGAGCTGCTGCCCGCCGAGAACTGCCTGCTGCCCCCGGGCGGGGGCTCCGGGGACGGCAGCGCCACGGGCCTGCCCGCCGAGGAGTGTGGGTCGTCGGCCCAGTCGGACACGCCGGCATCGACCAACTCGAGCTCGCCCGTGCCCAGCCCGGGCCTCACCAATCATTCCAGGCCCTGCGAGGTGGGTGCCTCCTTCTCTGCGTCGCTTCGGTTCGTTTTACGGAGTCGGCCGTTACGACGAGCCATTCCCCACCCCTGGAAGAGTGACGTCCGTCGTTGATGTTTTAGTGGGCGATGTATGCGTCCGTTGTCAGCGTTTCAAAATCTTCAAAAAAGATTGCCGTGCCGCCTACGGGAATCGAACCTGGGTCCACTCAGTGCAAAGTGGAGGCGTTGCTGCTGAGCTATGCCACGCCGTTAAAGGGAAGCTGAACCACTTCTCGAGAAAGCTGAGTTAGGAGTGGACTTCTATAGCTTTTTAGGGGCAAAGCTCCTTAGGGTCTAGCCTTGTCCATCCGTCCGGTGTCCGTGCTCACATCGATTGCACTGCCTCCGGGATCGGCCCATTTTTAAAAAAACAATTTACGCGCGCATGGGGCTTTGGGTACTACAAAACTTGTGAGTTTTCTTAGTGCCCACTGCACGCGCTCTAAAAAAAAATAGCAGGTAACAATTTTTTGTAGTAGCTCTATCAATGCCAAGAGCTCGTGCTGGGAGAGGTACTTTCACACACTCTGGAACAAAAAGAAACAAAAGCGTTTGAAGTAAAATGGAACAAAACAAAAGCGTTCCGAACAAAACGAATGTCTATTTTGTTCATGTGCTCCACAGTACGTGAATGCGGCGCTTATGGCCGACGACTTCGCCGAGACGTGTCGCAGCTCTCGCTGTGACAGTACTCTGAATTAACTTGGAACTGCTCAATTTTTTGTTGGTGATGCAAGAGAGGCATTGAATTGGGGGAAGGTCTCCGACATTGACTCGGTCACTCAGTAACTTGTACCCACTTGCTCGTGTGCACACGATCACTGACACTCACTAATGGCGAATTCGGGTGGTCAGTCGCCGGCGAGAACGAGCCGGCAAAACCGGCAACCAAAAACGCGCCGGCGGCACACCACGTGACCCTCACCACCCGAACACTAAACGCCAGACGGTGGCAGTTTACTTCGCCTCTTGCCCGTGCGACACCGCTAGTGAGAGCCTGTCGCCGCCGTCACTCACGTCCAAACGACTTGGATTGACTATCGTGGCGGCTGCTAAAGTTACTTCAGATCAGTTTCGTTCTTTCGTTCATTTTTTTTCTCTATGACCTTCTCTCTCATTTCGGAAGTGACGACACCGGATACAGTCTGGCACCTACTCGCCCGGCCGTTCGGAGCTCGGGCGGAAAAAGCGCCAGAAAGTTGGCGGTGCTTGCCGGTGAACCACCACCCGAACGGTGCGCGCCGGCGGGAAACTGACCACGCGAACACTATTGCCGGTTTTCCGGCAAAATAAGTTGCCGACAATTGACCACCCGAATTCGCCATTACTGATGCACTGACTCGTGCTCGCTGAGAGGTTCACTACCCCATCCACTGACTCTCGCTCATGCACACCCATTCACTGGCTTACCTGCTCACTGACCCACCAACTCATGTCCACTCACTAACTCGCGCATACCCACTGTCACTCGCTCACTTACATTCGCTCACGCATGCTCTCTACACTCACAAACTCGCACATACACTCACTAGCACACAGATTCACTGACACTAGCATTCACTTCTGCGCACTTGCTGACTAATTCACTTTCCCACTGACACCCTAGCTCGTGCACTGACTCACTGCCACACTAATTCACTGACATTCATATGCACACTTGCTCACACTTACTGACCCACAAGGAAATAGTTTGCCTGTCATTCTGTCTTCTTTTTTTTATTTTTTGAACAGTGTGGAATGTCTGATTGACAATGCTTGAACCTAAGTCCTCTTAATTTGTAGCACAGAGATAAGCGTTGTTGGGGCTTTTATGAGACCAGCTTTATGTTAATGAAGTGGGGGATAGTGTTGCCTTACCAAAATCAAATCAATAAAGTGGTCCAAGTAAGGTTGTAATAATTAAAAAAAAATAATGCGTAAATAATTATGCTGTGCACTGTTTACCACCAAAAGTCGCGGGTTGTACGACCATTTATTTAGTGAAAACCGCATTACCTTATCCAGCTGAGCGAAATTTAAGCGTCGCAGACACAGTTTCTGTCAAGTTAACGGTTTGGTCGCAAGTAATGTCAAGTGCTGCGTGGTACCAAGCGTGAAGCAAATGGCTTGCCTTTTCTAATATTTCTCCTTCTGAAAAATAGTTCAGCGACTGTATTATAGTTTTCAACGAAACAAACTTTTTGTTTCTGGCCAATGTTTTTTTTTTTTTTTTTTTGACAATATTCATTAAAAATATGGCACAAAGCACCCTATGTTGGCGTGTACTACAAACACTAGAAGGTGCAAGAGATCCACTCTTACAATTTTATCATAATTCCAGAAAAAGGTATCGCAAGTTAAAATGTTTTTTCCCGATAATTAAAATAAATTGTTAAAGTGTTTGGCAATTAAAATTTTTTATAGTTGATGTTTTTCAGAAATAGTGGTGTTGCTGCACTGTCTAATTTATGAGGTATTAAACCCTCGAAAAAAAGCATTCAGGTCCAAGTTCTGAATCCAAAGGTACCAATGGGCAAACTCGTTGTTGTGACGAAAAAATGAATTCTAAAGAAAACCAGTAAAAGCTTTTCAAAACATGCCTACAAACAGCCTGGATATAAAACTTTGAGTTGATGTAACTATATAATTGTGCATTTCTCGAGTGTAGTACTTACAATATATGTTTTTTGTGGCTTGTAAATCATGAAATAAAATGTAAAAAAAAAAAAAAAATGTTCTCTAATTTTTGTGTTTCAAGACCAGAGTATTTTCTTAATCCCCTAATAAGCACAGAAAGCCTTTGCAATCTGGGGATGCTGATACCTTCTCCCTTATTTTCGGCTCTGCAGAGCGGTCAGGCAGGGAAGCCGGTCACGGTTCGGAGTCACGTGCCCAACTCGTCAGGGAATGCAGCCACACAGAACAGCAGGGGGCCCGCACCCATCACGTCACGGAACAACAGGTGAGCGGGACGATGCGGCCACTGCCAGAACCTTGTAAATCGTCCGATTCCGCTCTATTCCGTCGGCTGATTTCGATGTGTCTTTTGGGCCGCGTCGTTGCATTTGCAAGTTTCCCGTCGGGCGGGGATTCTGTTGGCAAAATCGGCCACCCGAAAGCCGGAACGAGCGGTTGGCACATTGATGTCGTGCGATGTTTCGTCACTGGCGCGAGTTCTTGCGAGTTGGCTCGACAAAACTTACACATTTCTGTCGGAGTCTGTTTTTGATTGAGAATAGGGTGTTTGTTGGAATTTTAAAGCCTTTGCAAAACCCAGAGTTTAATTTTTATCTCATTCCAATTTCTCCCAAATTCAAAATGAAGATAAAGCATACCCTTCAGTTAGGGGTAAAAGGACTCTCCCCTCTCTAGACTGGGTGTCTTCGGCTGCATCGCCAACTGTCAGGTGGTCGAACTTGTGCTACAGGGTTGACTCTCCGTACGTCGATTATTTCAAAATCAATAGACTTCCTGACGTGTTTGCTGGGTAGCACTTATTCTTTTTTTTGCCATATAGCCAAAACAATTGTTTCGTCTTTTTATTGTGTAAGAGGGGGGGGGCACATAGGTAATCTAGTTCCGGGGAACTCGCTTGTGGTGACCGTCGCGTATTTTCTCCAATTAAATCGTTGCGCTCTTCCGGGAAGGGCGTTTTCTGTGGGATCATAAAATGGAGCTTTGCATTACCAGTATATTTCACTAAACCCTGAAAAATAGCCTCCGAACCGCTTTCGGCAAAGTCTGTGCGAGTCGCAGAACCCTGCATCGAAACTGTCCCAAGCTCCACGGGAAGAAATGTCCGTCTACAGCCTCATTCCTTGTTTACCCGGAACGCAGTCCCCACGGTATTCCGGGGAACGCAGCCCACGAGGCTGCTGCTTGCTCGGGGAACCCACATTTTGACAGTAGGCTTTGCAAGCAGGGGCAGAAAGTGCAACACACAACACAGAGCGCTTTGTGTTGCGTCTTTCACTCTCTGTCCCTGTCTTGCGGCGCTTATTGTCAGGAGGTACTGTGTACCGAATTGCCCATCTCTCACTATTGAACCAACCCCTTATTTCATTCTTCTTCCTTATCGGTGCCGGAACGTTTTCCAAGTACAGAAGTCGTGCGCGTGTTCGCCGCAGGTTTTGGAATCCTATGCCCGTGTCCAGTTTTCCTCAACATAAGCCCTGACATTCGCCGATTTTTTCTGTTTGTTTCCGAAAATAGACTCCGAATTCAACAAGAAGAACCAAAAAACGAGCCCTTTTCAAAAAAAAAAATTCCCGAATTGCCAGAAAAAAAATTTCACAAATGCGGAACCCTTGTTTTAAGTATACTGTCTCGATTTTTTGCCAGTTTACGCATTGTTTCCTTTCTTTTTTTCTCTGCCTGGCCACTGCCCCACAGCACATCGTCCCAAAGCAGTAGCAACAGTTCTCCGTCAGTCAACTCTCACCAGAACCACGCCGTGGCTTCGCCGCCGTCGACACCTTACGCCGTTGCGGCAGCGGCCAACACCAAAGGTCGGTGGACGGCGGCTTTTTTCTTGAGCCAGTTCTTCTCTTTCGTTTTGATGGGGGAGCTTGTCTGTTGCGTACATCTCTAGGATTGGATATCTCGAGAGGCGTACAAACATTTTCGTAGCTTGGTGCAAGGAGGTTTGTGCCGGGTGTTTTAGGCAGTGCGTCGAGTCGTTTTTGGCGAGAAACAATGAAACAGCACAAGCCTGAGGTGTGAAAGTTACTCTTTGAATGTAGTCGAGTTGGTTACACAGTGAGATGTGAACAAATTACGGATAGTTGCGTAGGTTGGTTCAGACGTTTGCGTTTACGCGAGACGGACTGCGTTGTAGATCTTCGGGTTCCCCTGCAACGTGCTGTGTGGACCTCGGTAGCGGTAGCAAGCGTCTCGTCACGAGCAGGGATAAGCAGTTGTAACACAGGCACGTTCACATTCTGAACCAACCTTTAAAGTTGAGCACAAAAAATGAAGAAGGTGAGGTTTGTCGCTTATACTTCTGAAATGTCTCGCTATGTTTGTATGCACCGCGGTTGCCGGCAAAAAGTTTAGTTTCTTTACTGCGGAGTTCAAGAAAGTGGCAACAATTAGCACTGATGTTGGGCCCAAGTCAACGTGAAGCTGTGCAATTTGTCGACAACGCAACTTTTAGAAGTAACTCCGATATAGGTTACTAAAAAAAAAAAACTAGGGCTATAGTTTGCTTGAATTTTATTGTTATATTAGCTAAAAAATAACTTAATTTATTAAAGTTCAACTAGCTGCAAGAACTTTAGGGAGGATACTACCGAAGAGGGTCAACTTTTGAGTCTTTGGCTTAATATGAATGAAACTTGCAGTATATACTGGCAGTTGTGAGGCAGAATGCGGTGCAAAGTTTCATCTTGCATGAATTGGGAAAGAAATTGTAATAGTTTTATTGGGAACACACTGACATGTCTAGGAAAACTATTGTTAGAAAACTAATGTAATGGCCAATATTTTTCTTCTCTAGATATGCAGCAGAATGCCTGGAGAGTGCAACTGTGAAAACAAAATTTCCAAAAAGTAATTTATTTTATGCTAACATCGTGCTGAAAAACCAGATAAATTTTTTGTCTTTTATATTGTCGGCAAAATCTTAAAATCTTTTATAAAAGTCATTCACAAAGGGAAAAAACTATGCCACAATTGTATTGCCCATTAAATTCCAGTCAGGGAAAAAACTATGCCACAATTGTATTGCCCATTAAATTCCAGTCAGGGAAAACAAAAAGTGAGCCTTACCTTTTTGTCCCGTTAGCAAACAAAAGTTTTCCTAAAATGAAATTTATGCCAGAAAGGTAGAACAGAGAAAAATGTGTTCAAAGTGCTCAAACCTCTACCTTTTCTTTAGCATTGGTGGACCGAAAATAACTTATAAATGACTATGCAGTGTAAACAAATGAAACTTTCTAGGAATACTCTCTAGATGTTGGTGCATGGAAATATGGCATTCTTCAAGCTCAACTTTTTTTGGCAGAAATTGTTTTTCTGGGTGGTGTCCCCCCTCAAACAATGTCAAATGTGGCCGGTTGGGGTATGAGGTCTGCGGAAAAGGCTCTGCCCCCCACCCCCAATTTCTGGGACAAAATGCTCCATAAAAGCTCGCCAGTTCTCTAGCAACCCAGAATGGGACACTACAAAATATGCGCCTCTGTAACCACATGCTGTTACTTGGAAATTAATGTAATCTATGACTCGTCAGAATGAATGGACACCTGCCATCTTTCGTGTGGGCAGAGTGTCATGCCTGATGCTGCAGCAGCCCATAGTTACTTTTGTTGAATCTGTCTCTCCCTGGGCGTGCAGCGGACATGTCGTGCCTGGTGGACGGGGGCCTGATGATGCCGTGCTCAGGAACGCCGTCCCCTCCCCCGTCTTCCGGGATGCAGTCGTGCATCGGGATGCAGGACCAGTACCACCGGACACTCTCTTCCTCGCCCGTGCAGCACAACAACAACAACAGCAGGTGGGCCACATTCCGCTCTGGACGTACCTCTGCGGTCCACAGCTCAAGATGGGCCGTCGCCTGCCTGTGGGAAGCATGTAGGTAAACGGCCAGGGCTGATGGGGAAGGTTTCGGCTATCTTGAGGAAAAGTGGTCTTCGACCCAAATTTTGAGGGCATCTTCAGAGGTATGGGTGTAGGGAAAGTGCCTAGGCTGCCTGGGGAGTTTTAGGGAATCTTGGGGGGAAAGGGGTTATCGGCTCAAACTTTGAGTGCATCATCCTGTGGGAAGCATGCAGCAAAAGAGCCAGAGCTGCCTGAGAAGTTTTAGGAAATCTTGGGGGGGGGGGGGGGGAAAGTGGTCCTTGACACAAAGTTTTAGTGTGTCTGTGGGAAGGCTGTAGGTAGGGGAAGTGCCTGAGCTGCCAGGGAAGTTCTACTGCATTTGAAAAAAGAAAACACATTTGAATTGCGTTCATTTGGCCTGTAGAATAACAAATATCACAATTCTGTTCAAATGCGACATGCCGGAGAGTCATGAGAGGCAATTTCAATATAGGGCTGAAGCCCCGCCTCCCTAGCCTTGGGCAGCCGAAAGGTTCGTCGATGACGTCACGTACAGCGACTGTCTTTCGCATTTGACAATGCTTGCGCAGCCAATGGTTCGGGTATTTGGGTCCATGGGGTAAAAATACACTAGAATTCACTTCCAACTAATTTTTTTCAAGAACCTTTGTAGCTTCCCTTTAAGGGGAATATGGTCATTGGCCTTAACATTGTGTGCATCAGCCATTTAGAAGGATGTGAGGAAACAGCCTGAGCCATTAAGGATGTTTTGTGGAATCTTGGCGGAAGCGTTCCTTATTCCAAGCCTGGACGGCGGGGAAACATTCCAGAAAAAGTCCTGGACAACGTAGGGAAAGTGGGCAAATATTGGACTGCTCTTCAACTTCTCGACGCGAAGTTGCATGCAAGCGCGTCTCGTCCCGCAGTTCGTCGTCCTCAACGACGTCCACGTCGTCCTCCTGCCTGAGCGGCGGCTCCCAGCTGCTGCACAGCGGGAGCAACAACAGCGGAGCCGACCTGGGCAACAGCGGGATGGGCTCGCTGTACGGCCTGGTAGGCTCGCAGCAGGGGGGCACGGGGAGGCCCAGCTCTCCCACGGCGCCCTCGCCCCACCTCATGAACGGTCCCCTCCAGGACAAGGTGAGGGGGGAACCCTGAAAAGCACGGAATGCCCTTTGGGGAGTTCCCCTAGACCTGCTTCAGACAAAAGAATTTTCCCCGACATCTCATTCGTCGAGCAGCTGCGTTGGCAGCAGCCTCAAGAATGCTTAATTGTCAGTGCGGACGGGGCGTCGGGACCGCTGTGCCACGGCGACGCTGCACTGCGCAACCTGCGGCGGTACCGTGGTGCGAACTAGCTCTAGTCAGTGGTGTGGGAAGCGAAGGATTTGAGAAAGGGGTAGCAAAATTTGGACGGGCTGCTTAAGGGAGGACACTACCCGAAAGGGTCAACCTTCGAACCTTTGGCTGAATATGAGAATGAAATTTGCAGCGTACTGTAAACTACTTAATTTTCGCAAGAACCTAATTTTTGTGATTTTCGCGAATCGCTTACAATTTGAGGAAAATAGCTCCCGCCAACAATTCCGGTAAAATGTAAACACATTGGAGTCCTTATTGAGATCCCACTGCGTCGCGAAAATTCGAACCCACCGATTATTCCAAGACTTCAGCTTTTGACATAAATCGCGAAATATTGAGGCCACGAAAAATAAGTCGTTTACAGTAAACTGGCTAATGGCTGTCCGTGTACGTGAATAGCGAAAGAAATTATACAGTCGTTTTTATAGAGAACACAGAGACGTTGATTAGGAAATTTGTCGTTAGAAAACTAATATAGTCGAACTTGGATATATTGAATTCAAAAAGGACCGAAACCTGACCGCGGGAGAAGCAACGGGGGGGGGGGGGGGGGGGGGGGGGGGTATCGAGTGTTTCCGCCTTGGGAGTTCGGTATTGGTACAGAAAAACAACGCTCCTATGCTATTACATGTTATTTTCAAGGGGATGTTTCAACTGTTCGATATAAACAATAATTCGAAATACCCGGGTGTGATATGACCGGGCTAAACTTTAAAATGCACAACAGTTTTTTTTCGCTACTGCAAAGTTCTGAAAAATCGCCCACCTAGAATGAAGAGATAAATGGTGAAAAATATAGGGTAGGCTATCTTTGGAAATGCCACAGCAACTTTATCAAAAATTAATCATAAACTCCGGGGCTCATGTTACAAATCACGTGACGCGGTAACTGATACTTCAGATCACGGACTCCGAAATTCGTGTTTTACGATGCGACAAACGCGCAGTAATTTGCTACAAACTCCTGCGACACAGAAAAGGATACCGCAGGTTGTGGATGCAGCAGATTTGTGTTTTACCGTGCGAAGGACCTGCGGAAACCCGCAGAGAAGTCTCATCTCAAGAGAATGGGTACCTTAAATCGCGGACGCAGCAGATACAAGTTTTATGGTGCAATAAACACTCGGCAACCCGCTACAGACCTGCCAGTCACGGGAACCAATATTGCGTGAGCGTACCGTGGACAAAAACGTGGGAATCCGCTACAAACTCGTTATGTCAGGGGAACGAATACTGCAGATCGCGGATGCAGCAGAATCGTATTTCACAGTGCAATACAGTGCAGTCCACTTATAACGATACCACTTATAACAATATATCGGTTATAACGATCGATTTTATAGAAGCATCAATTTTTGCATTGGTTCTATGTACAAATAAACCATATATAGCGATGCATTTTTCCCGGTATATCGGATATAACGATCAATAAATGATCGCATAGAATGTGTTTACTACGAAAATTCAACAGAAAATAAGATAAAAATTGTGAAATTCCGCAAAGAAACGACAGAGATCGGCGGACGCGATCATCGCCGACGGGCCCCGACCGAATACTCCGTGAGTAGGCGCTGCACGCGGCCTTAAAACCTCGACGCTATCATCATCATCCTACCCGTAACCTTGTAACCCCTCCCCGCCCTCCTCTTCCCCGCGTCGCTGGCGTGAAAGATGGCTCCGACGAAGCAAAAAGCTATCTCCTTCTAGGAGAAAAAGCAAATCCTACGTGATTGGTGGCAAGGATTCAAGGTCGGAAGTCTCGTCCGGAAGTATGAGCACTCTCAGTCGACGATATCGACCATCTTGAAATCCGGGGACGTCGTAATGAAGAAGGCTGGAACAAGCGGCTTTGACGACCAGCGGTTGTACGAGCTGTATGCACACCGCGATAGTCAAGCTCCAGCTGCCGCACAAGCAAGCGGAGATCTTGGATTTTTTTTAGCGTGTTTGACACCATTTCATTGCGTGCTTGCTAATGACCCTACAATAAAACTTTGATATATTGCGGCACTTCTTCTATGGTGTGATTCAGTGAACACTGGTGAGTAACCTTCTGCTTGGGGGAACTATTTTTGGGCAGTTTCCAGGGTCAGTCCGGATACAACGATAATCGGTTATAACGATCGGATTTTCCGCATTTAATAATATCGTTATAAGTGGACTGCACTGTATATACGCGGGACCGACTCGTGTGTTACGGGAATCAATATCGCACGCGCAGGTCACTGACAGAAACGCGGGATTTTGCTACGAACTCTCGTGTCACGGGAACGGATACCGCAGATTGCGGACGCTGCAGATTCGCATTTCGCGACACAATATGCACGCAGAAACAACTTGAGTCTTACGGGTGCCGATATCATGCGTGCAAATCGGGGACAGAAACGCGAGAGCCCACTACGAACTTGCTTATCAGACATACTGGTACAGCAGATCGCGCGACGGATGCGATTCCCCGAAACATCGCCCACCTACCGATTCCCGACATCGCATGACGTCCGATGGGAATCCGTAGGTGGGCGATGTTTCGGGGAATTGTGTTACGGGTATTTAGCCAGAAGAACGGAATGGGCGATCTCTTAGGGGCGGGCATCCTCTCGGAACTTTACGGTAGATAAGCAGCAGGATGACTGAAGAGTGCAGGTGTGAAAGAAAAAATTTTCAAAAAGTAATTTATTTGATGTCAACATCACGCTGAAAAATCAAAATAAATGTTTTGCATTTTATGTTGTCGACAAAATCTTGACATCTTTTATAAAAGGCATGCGCAAAGTAAAAAAAGATGCGATGCCACAGTTGCATTGCCCATTAAATTCAAGTTAGGAAAAACAGTGAGCGAGCCTTTCCTTTTGTCCCGTTACCAAACAGTAGTCTTCCTAACGTGAAATTTATGCCAAAAAGTGGAACGGAGAAAAACGCATTCAAGCGCTCGAACCTCCGCGTTTTCTTTACCATCGGTGGAGTTTCAATAGTTCATAAATAAAATAACTATGCAGTGTAAACAAATGAAACATTCTGGGAATACTCTTTAGATGTTGGTTAATGTAAATGTGGCATTTTTCAAAATTAACTTTTTTTTTTGCAGATTTTTTTTTTTTTGGTAGTGTCCTTTTTTAGAGGTTGTCTGTTTCTCTTTTCCTGCCTTCCACCTTCCACTTTACAGGTTTTCTTAACATGCAGGTTATTTTTTCACTAGCTTACTTTTTTGTCCATCGGGATGGGGACCCTCTTTAGAGAGTTTCACCACGCCGGTATCTTCACCCTGTCACTGCCTCAAATGTTTGTACCAGTAGTGCCAGCATACTTTAGCTATGAATCACTTTTTGCGTATCTCTACTCCATAAATCTTTGCTTTAGAGAGGTTCACCTGTATTCTAGTGGTACATCTTGATATATCTTCTAAAGATTAGTCTCAAAGAAAAAATTTCCTCACCGCAATGAGTGTTTAGCATGCAAAACTGTTTGCTCTCAACCGTAATGAAATGTTATCTTATTGGATTGTTAGTTTTTTCTTGCAATTTGTCTTTCGTATAGCGCTTGCCCTTGGGAGTATTTAAGTAGCGAGCCTGCAAACGGGGAAGTTTATTACTGCGGTTTGTCGGGCGTATTTGCTTACCTTCATTCGCATGGTCGAGCCTCGAATAGCAAAGATGCGTTTGTTGTAGGGGCACATGGTGACTTGGAAGCACACATGTCTAGAATTTAAAAAAACATTATTCAGAATGCACAAATTTTGATGGTAATCAAACATTGATACAAAGAGCCACCAATTAGCGAGGGTTTCAACAAGAACAATATAGACTGCCTATCTCTTTGCTATGCCCCAAAAGCGCTCTAAATGCACAGCACAAGTCCTCCGTGACGACCTGGTATAGTTTGATGTCACATTGTCATGTGGGCACCGGGAAAACACGGTGCCCACATGACACTTTATGTCGCATGACCACATGGTGTCGCAATGACATGTGATGTCATGTCGCCTGACGTCACGTTGTCGCCCGCCATCATGATGTCGCCGTGCCGTGTGGCGTCATGGCGTCAACCAGCCGCAGTTGCGCCGTTGACATCACAGGGAACTTTTTAGAGTACCGACGGTGTCGCACGAACGCGGCGACATCATCATTGCCGAGGCTAGATCCCACGAGCGTGAAGGCGGCAAAAGCTGGTGCAATAATTGCTACGCATCCTAAAACCAACTCTTCATAACCCGCGAAGAGGGTAGAAATATTAGAGGGTGCCCCTCTCCCACAAATACTACGATTGGGCAAGGGTCATTGGTCTCCTTCCCAAGTGTGCCACATCTTAACCGGTGCTGCATGCGTCTGGTGCAGATGGGAGATTCGTTGTCATCGCTGAAGTCTATAGCGCAGCAGGCAGTCCTCAACGCGGGCCTCGAGAGTCACCTCCAGTCACCTCAACATCAGCAGCAACATCATCAGCAGCAACAGCAACAGCAGCAACAACAGCAACAGCAGCAGCAGCAGCAGCAGCAGCAGCAGCAGCAGCAGCAACAACAGCAGCAGCAGCAGCAGCAGCAACAGCAACAGCAGCAGCAGCAGCAACAACAGCAGCATCAGCAACATCAGCAGCAGCAGCAACAGCAGTCACATGCGGCAGCTTGCGAGCGAGGTGAGTGCACAAACTCCTCTTTACTTGTTATACAGTGGAATCTCGTTGATTTGAACTCGAGGGGGACCAGAACTTTGTTTGAGTGATGCAAAGTTTGAATTACTGGGACTTTCTCAACAGGACGGGATCTGCGTGTTAGCTTGAATTATTCGCGAGCTTGAATTGACGAGATTCCACTGTACACACAATGGCTGTTTAGCTTCTTCGTTCAATGATTGCCCCGCAGTGCCCGAAGGCGTCGTAGCACTGGGGTCAGTGTCGAAGAGGGCCGTCTTCGTCGGGACGGGGCACTGACACTTCCCATGGGCGATTCCGTCGTGCAATAGTTCTAAAGTCTTTATTGTGGAGTAGTTCTAGAGGGAGATCGTTCCAGGTAACATAACTTGGGGATTGCAGCAAATGCTGTCTAGAGGCGTTTTTAAGGCGTCCTCGTAGCTTGCTCGTTCATTCTAGTAATTGCAGGGCCCTGGTCAATGGCGACCTCGGCAGAAAGGGTGTTACTCGGCCACGGCGGGAGATGCGCGAACATTGCCGACTGGGAAGGACTGTCGTCTTTGGTACGTCGCCTCTCCCTGCAGTCGCAACTTTCGCGGGTCACAAAATCTAAAACGAGAATTCTTTCAACTTCTTTTCTTATCGCCCACCGAAAGTTAGCCCAATCCTCATTTTCACCACATCTGCTTTCGATGTAGGGTGGGCCATCTCAGGATATTACAGTAACGTAAAAGTGTGTGGGTGCACACGGTTTGCATTACAGTGCGGTTTAACATAGCCTTTCCGCTTATAATATACAAACTATCGACACTGTTCAAACTCTAACCTGCATTCGTCAAACTGCCGAAACAACAAAATCAATTGTACGAGTTTGCTGCGGACGCCTTGCACCGTATTGCTGCGGGATTAAAACGGCATAAATGTGCAAAGACGTGGCTCTAGTTTGAAATTTAAGCGCTTCCCGTCGATGCACATTGACAGTTCAGCGGTCGACCGGCGTTAGCAATGGCTTGCAAGCATGGAACTTTCATTTATAGGCCCAGAAGAAGCCATTTGGTAGGACAACCTTGATCGCTTGCTCACTTTCGAGATCAAGGGTTCTCAGCTTTTTAGAATGTATATTTCTCTGAATGGCTGAGCTGATCTCAGCGTTGTTGTTGTAAAGTAATTGGCGAGCCTACAGGCGTTGTACAGAATGGTGGACATCCTGGTTGGTACTATTTGGCGCATTACTACGCATTATTAAATGGCTCGGATCTGTTAATATAGCGCTTGAACTGAAAAAAACACTTTACCCTGGGGTAGGGGCGGTCAAGGAATTAGGGGAGTTTGGGGAACCTCTGGGGAGCCCAGTTTAAAGGGGGCACTAAACCACACTTCTTGCAACAGTCTATCTACGGTCGTAACTCCTTGTGCAGCGCTATGCTTTGTTCACCCCCAAGCTAAATGTGCGATGAGAGCTAAGCACTCGCCGGACCAATCGGCTGTCTCCTCCCTTTCATCACCTGAGCCCATTCTTCCAGGGTCGGTACGTGTGAAAATGTAATCACGCGGCGAAACTTAGACACACAACCACTTCGACAAGCCTGTGGCTTCCATCGCTCTGTAAGCTTAGGGCTGAATGGAGCAGAGCACCTTTGAGGGAAAATGCTCGTGCTCCTATTCACACTTCATTTTGGATTAAAGAGACCATGAAATGACTTTTGTGCTTTTGCCAAACAACTTCTACATTAAACCTTCAATGTTCGCTGAACGCCGAACAGGCATCCCTTTTCGTTTCAGTTTATTCGCTTCTATGCGAAAAATTAATGAAATGTTGAGTTTTTCTTTCCCTTGCACTCGCTGCAAAACAAGCCGCGGTGTAATTTTGACGGTCACGACATGCTCTAGCACCGGAACCGAAAGTTCTCTCGGCAGTATGAGAATGGGAGTGTGAGGGTGAGCTGGCAGTGAGCTGGGAGGTTTTACCACAGGGTTTTACTGCACTGATGGCGTCGATGCATTGACACGTTTTGTGAATCGGCATCTCTGATACCGCAATAGCCATGGACACGTCGCAGTGGAGCGAAATTCAATTGGATATGTTGCGCTATAGCGGCGGCATGGGACTGGTCCCACACGCCGGTATGCCTATTGGAAAGTGCGGCAAGTCTTCGACGAAGACTCCAGTTCCCCGTCCGAATCGGACGACAAGGAGTGGTGGCGACCCCCATGTACGGAATGTTCTGAGCATACACGGATGACATTAGGCCTGGAGTCTCTTAAACCAATGAGCCTTCACCAAGTGCTTCGACGTGGTTCGAGTGGCTAGTGGTGAAACTGCAGCCGATTCTTTTTAAGCACCAAACTGCAGAAACTATGATTCGGACACTTGCAACGAGTGTGTTAACTATGACTGCGTCCATTGCGACCGGAGCGACCGGAACAACCGATTTGCGCCGTGCATACACACTCCTGCAATCACTGCAACAAGCGCAGCAGGTTGGCGGCTTTTTCCATAGTGCCTCTAAAAAAAAGACGACACAGTGCCACTCGCTGGCGTAGCAGAAAAGGGATCGAGTTTTCTATGGGCTGAAGCTTTAGTAATTTTTATTTTGTCAGGATAGGCTCACAGGGCAGAGTGGATGAAAAGGGAAAAAATGCGGTACGCCGTCTTGGACGATCACAACTTTAACACACAACTTTACCGATAGTGCAAATCTCGCCACACGCCTTTTAGACGATTGCAAAAGACAATGTAATCTTAGCAGCGATATAGCAACATAGAAATATTATTTCGTGATCACATAGACGTTGCGAGAGTTCAGGAATGCTAACACTTGTCACTTTTCTCGGGTGATAAAAATGCGTCGAAGTTTGTACCCTTCATACACGCCTTTAAATAGAGTACGCACCAGTAATACCTATAACTGGAGCACACGCATGGAATGCGCAAAATAATCTAGGCGATGTTCGGGGAAACATACTAAGAGAGCACCATTATTGTTGAAGTAAAAAAACATGACGGAACAAGGGTTTCTACTGTCTCAAGGGTGCCACCACAAATTTGCTGCATGAGTAGATGGATCTTCCTTTCTTAGACGTGCTGGGCCATCATCGCTGAGCTTCCACCACGTCGATTCAGAAATGAGCTTTCATCATGCCGACCACGTTGATGATCAGCACCGCTATCTATCTGTTTTTTCAGCAGATAGCAGGAACAGCGCAGGGGCAGTCTTATCTTTTTCTTGCTTCGTTTACCACACGACAGATGGCGCGAGGCTCCGAGCATTATAAAATTCGTCAATTTTCGTCACATCGCTAATTATGCTACAAAATGTAGATCAGAATATTCTTTAACAAAACATTTAAGAAACAAAACAAAAAGAAACAACTAATGTGACATGTTATAAAGGGGATTCATGAACAATGAAAACGGGCACTGCGCGACAGTTTTCACAGCTACTTGCACGGACGCTGTGGCATAGACCTATGCCACGCCGCCATGTCACTGCGTCCGTGCAAGTTGCTATGGAAATTTCCATCCGGTGCCCTATTTCATAGCTCACGGTGCCCTGCTTGAGCCCCGTTGACTGCACTTTCACCGAGCGCCGTTGCACTGCGGAGAAGCAACACCTGCAAAAGCATGCTCCGCGTGGGTTCCCTCTCTGGAGTGCCCCAACGATTGCAAAGAAGCACGCTCATTGGTACCGTGAGAACAAAAAGTATAAACCGCTTGAAAACACCGATCAAATTAGGGGCTTGTGAATGGCATAAAAAAAAAAAATAACGGGACAATCAAAATTTTGAAATTTGCTTGAATTAAGTGGAAGTGTGAAATGGGTCAGAGTTTGAATTACCGCTAGGCTACCGTAGCATACTGGAAAGGATAAAGGCCGGCGATTCCAAATATGTAGTTAGTTGGGGTAGCTGAAAAAATCGGCCTTTATTTGTTTTTAAAAGAATTGCCTTTTGGCCCAGACGCAGCTGATGGGGCCTATCGGACAATGTTAATTAAAAGGTCACCATCCTGGTGTTCGTCCCATTTCTTTGCGTGTTTATTGTCGCTGAACCAACCAAACAGAAAAGGCCCAGTGACTTGCGCTTTTGACACCGCTTGGTTGGTTCCTTAGCTCTTGGCGTCGGCTGCGTCTGGACTTGAGCCGAAACGAAGCACGTTTTCGGCTTCGCCCGCGCATTAAGCGAACCGTAGATGTCATTGCTTCGTCTTTTTTCTGTTTTCTGCAGCGTTGTTCGAGGGTCTCTCCCAGCACATGGTGCCCCCCAAGGGCCCGTCTCAAGCCCCGCCCTCGGCCACGCCCCCGTTACTGGGAGGCTCCGCCCCCTCGGGGGTGGTGGCCACCCAGCAGTCGTGCGGGGCGCCCACGGCGGAGGCGCACATCCCTCCCCTCCTGGGCGTGGCCCCGCTGGGGCCCGCCCCCCTGTCCAAGGAGTGCTTCTACCACCTCCACCTGCTGGAGGCGGCCGCGCTGCACATGCCCCATCCGTCGGACTCTGAGCGCTTACGGTGGGCAGCGGCTTCTCTTTTTGCTCGTTTTAGTCGTCGCATTTCTGCTTTTCCACCGGCATGCGAGGCCTTTCTGGAACGGGCCCGTTTCGCGACGCGCTGCCGTCTGTCGGCGACGTGGTCGGCCTTTCGGGACGGGCCAAACGTTCGCTGCGACGTCTCGAGTGTGGCGCGTTCTGCTTTCATCGAGGGAGATGGGAGGAGCGTCGCGACTGCCAATTTTGACATTTAAGGGGAGGCGCGGGTCTTGAAATGGCCAAAAGACATGAAATATGGCATTTTCCGAAAACCTTACATTTGGGCTGAATGTAGTCTAAAGTACCTGCCTACGAAGTTTGAGTTTCTAATGCGACCTCCAAGTACTCAAAAAATAATAATTACGGTGCCTCCGCAGTGCTGAAATCGCGACTTTCAAGCAAAGCTTTGTCAAACTTCGTGCCTCCATTGTTCCACTATCGATCGCTTGATCGCCGCCATCTTGGTCTTGTTGCATAGCTGGTCGTCTCCCCAACATTTCCATATCATTCACTATCCTGGCAACCTTGGAGTACGCCCACATCGCTAGTTTCCGAGGATCGAATAGCAATCGCTCATTGGCCGGCGCGCGTACGGTACAGTCGTGCCGGGCCACGTGCTTCTGCCATTGGCAAGACGTGCCCCCCCCCCCCCACACTTTTACTCCTTCCCTCCTCTCGCTGCGCCTGTCGCGGGAAATGTCGAGTTGTAAGCGTCGACGGTGTCATCTGGTCCACCTCGGCTCGTTTCCTTTGTTCGCTCGGCGGCCGAGTGCAGGTATCGGTTGCCGTTTGCGCTTGACATCGTTTGTTTCCCTTGCTACAAGGCTGTGGGAATTGCTTGGAGTGATCAAAATGCCGGGGGACGCTCGGTTGGAAAAAAGCATGCGGCAGACGGTTCGACGAAAGAGACGAAATGCCTGGAACAAAGAAAAACGAAGACGTCGTCCGCACATGTGCTGTGACAATCTTCGGCAGTGTCGGACTCGCTGGACCCGCCGGGAACATCGGTGAGTGTACCCGGTAAAGTATATAAGGCACAAACTCCTCAAGTTTTGCTAGCGCAGTTCGCGTCGATGCCGCATACTATCCTGCTGAGCAGGTGCAATGTGCCTGCCGATCGGAGCAAAGCAAGCGTGTCTTGTCAAAAAAGTCGGCGACCCAGTGGAACTTTGATCTTCTTGGAACCAACGCATCATGCCATACAAGCGATACTGGGCTCCAGTTCATTGTCGTCGACAGGAAAGTCCCGAAAGACCTTGTTGCCCAAGCGAAGTGTGGATGGGACTTCCTGAAAAAGCAGTTCTCGTCTCCTAGAGCTGCGGGAACGGCCACAATCGTTTTGTTAGAAGTCAACATGAGGGCCATGAGAGGAATACAATCGATAGGTAAAGGGGTGACAGCCCTTGTGGACTTACGTGCCTGCATGAAATTATTCCATCTGGGCTGGCATCACAAGACTTACCAGGGGCACCTGAAAATGTTTGTGCGAGCTTGTGAGAGCACAACGACAGCAAGTGAAGCCACGAGTGTTGCAGTGGTGAAGGAGCTGTACGCAGACTTCATGAACCCCATCGGCAGCATCAACGTCGTCTTGGATGGATCCTGGATGACCCAAGGACGCAGCTCGCACATCGGTGTAGGCTGCATCATTGATCTGTACACCGGCCTCGTCATCGATCACATTGTCTATTCAAACTTTTGCCTCGGATGCGCCCTGGGACGGAATCCAGAAGACGAAGGCTGCAGTGACTGGTACGCAAGCCACGACTGCCAGAGGAACATTGAATGTAACGCTGGCCGAAGGGAGGCGGAGGCTGCGCTAACAATGTTCCAGAGGTCCGTAGCCTAGGATGGACTATGGTACACCGCCGTCCTTTCGGATGGAGACAGTCGGCCATTTCATGCTTTGTCCGAAGCCAAGGTGTACGGTTTTATCAAGATTGACAAAAAGGATTGTATCAACCACGTCCAGAAGCGGATGGGGGCTGCCTTGTGCGCCCTCGTTGGAGGAGAGATAAGCTCAAGGCGAAACACTAGGAAGGATCAAGCTGACGTGGGATAAGATCAAGAGGATACAAAAACTACTATGGCTGTACCCTCAGGAGCAACAGCCATGATGTTCCAAGAACGAAAAAAGCAGTGGAATCCACCCTCCTCCAGGTGACAAAAACTGACAGTACCCCCAAACGACGGGAAGTCCCCTGATGGAGCCGTGTCTTGGACAAGGCCTTGGCAAACTGTCAGCGCCCTCCACCAAACAAGGATCCTCTTCCGGACTGTGTCCAAGCTGCACTTGAGCCAGTGTTGGAGAGGCTGAGCAACGAAGACCTGCTGGCACGGTGCAGTGAGGGCAAGACACAAAATACCAGCGAGAGCTTGCGCTCAGTGACCTGGACACAGATAGAGTCGCCAACCGTTTTTTCGGACTCCGATAATTTGGACTTGTTCTATATTTTGGACGTAAAGGTGGAACCGTGACTTACCCCATAGAAATAGTGTATATTCATGACCAATGTTTCGGACAGCTTGAAGTCGGAAAGTTCAATTATTCGGACAAAATCGTCGCGAGCGATCAGCGGAAAACACCATCGAGAAGCGGCCATTTTGAATTTTATTTTGGCTGCCAAGGGATTGGCTTGGTTTGGCAGTGCTACTTGAGCACTCCTGAGTCCTACCGCTGGGTGACGCTATCTGAGCCCTTTTTTTCCCATTTAGTTGCACGTCATCAGCATCATCATTATTATCATTTTGCTTTGTTTTTCGTTCCTTCGCGTCGCCAGTCGCCATTTTGCGCTCGTGGATTTGCGCCTCTAATCTCGTTCGAACAATGCTGGCTTGGACGTCATGGCCCCATTTGTTCTTCTGCTACTCGACCGTAACGCTAGAAAAGAAGGCAGCGATTCTCAAGCTAACAGAAAGCTGTCGAACGGAAACGGAGGCGTAACCTAAAACAAGGCACGCAGGCGTAACCTGAACCAAGGCACTATTTATGGCTTTTTTAAGCCCACTTGGAAGTAATAAAGGCAAGTTTTTCAATCTGCTGATTTTTCGGACTGCTCTATTATTCGGACGTTTTTTTCGGTCCCAGCGAAGTCCGAATAATCGGTCGGCGACTATACCGCAGAACGCGAATCCATCCCTGGACAGTGTGAAGATGGCTGCGGCTATTGCCATCTACAATTGGGGAAGGAGGGCAACCAAGTGCTTTAATGCTGCAAGCTTGGGCTATGCCACCGGTGACTGCCTCGTGTGCCAGAGCATCGAAAAGGACGGCCTTCGGTTGCGCAAGGTGAACGCCGCACACCGGAGCAGCAGCAGCACAAAGGAGAGTTTCTTCAAGCGACACAAGGCAGCCTCGGACAGCTCTAGGGCGCTGTCCAGTGCCAAACAGAACAAGGGTCTCTTTTAGGGCCTAACAAAATCGCATCCGTAGAGTTAAGTTCTTGCTGACACCTCCCGTTGTCCAAGGTTGTCGATTCGTCACTTTACAAGCAATTTTTTAGCAGTTTGGTCATCCTTTACAATTTTTTGTAATGTTCCTATGAACAGATTATTACACTTTTTGTCTTAATTTGTTTAGACAGAACTACACTACTTCTTGTTACAATTCTTGCATAGAGTTCTTTGTGTAATTTTCTGCAGTCGATGTAAAAAAGAAAAGGATTTTCTCAACATTTCATTAATTCCTCTCATCTTTCGTGTTTTTAAGGCGAAAGCCTTACTTGTCCCGTTGAGCGAAAAAGCATTGAAAAAGCCTATAAAAACACGATTGCGCGCCATGCGCTGCTGAATGGGCGACCATACTTGTCCCATTACCTTGGCGTCATCCTTGCTGTCGTCCTAGAACTCATCCTGGACCTCTAGGACGACCGCATCTTGTCACAATATGTGAAAAGCAAGTGGCGTTGGCGTTGTGCCCTAGAGATGGCCATAAAAAAATGCCATCCATCGTCATCAGCATCATGTCATCGTACGTCACCGGCGTGATATCACCGCCGGAGTGCCGTGTGCAAAAAATGCGCTTTGGACTTCATCTCTCCTCGTTGTGTGCTTCGTGCGATGGACTGTGAGGGACTGTGTCTACATCTATGGCCTTGACATCGGCACCAGCATCTACATCTACGGTGGCTTCCCCCGGCAAACGTGGCCACCCTCGCAAATAAGCAACAGCCTCCTTAAGTGTTCTCCTCTAGGCTTCGTTCTCGACGTTGTCCTTTATGTTGTCCTAGAAGTCTTCCTAGACTTCGTTTTTGATGTCGTCCTAGAGGTCATCCTAGACATCCTCCTAGACAATGTCCTAGACGTCATTCTTGACGTCGTTCTCTAGGCATTGTTCTCGCCGTCGTCCTAGGGGTCGTCCTTGACTGGCTTTCGCCTTCCTACATGTAAGCGTGTACTCGTGTAATTTTGTTTTGTAATGTTCCCCTGAACAGAATATGTACCTTTTTATCTCAATTTATTCAAGAAGGGGGCTACCCTACATTGTGGTAGCAATTACTATATGGGATTTCTTATACAATTTTCTGCCTCTAGTGTCAAAACTTCAGCAGCCATTCTTTCAGCTTCCTGGTTTTTGTCAATACGCTTAACCTTTATGGGGCCTTTCATGGACTTTTTATTACGGGATATGGATGAATATTATAGTGTTAAATTCAGGAAGAGCTGAACTATGGGAGTAAAGCTATTTGTTAATGGCTGAGGGCATCCTACCAAATTTTATAGGTGATAATGTGACGTCATTAAGGTTTGTATTTCACATAATTAGATTATTTAATCAGATGAACTAGCTTTACAGAAATATACATAGCTGGATGGTTTCATCTCAAATCGGGTAGGCTAAAAGAATCTAATTTCTAATTTTGCCCCCCAAAAAAAAAATATATATTTCGGGGGCATTTCTCAAATGAAGGAGGGCGCAAACCTGCCCAGATTTTTTGTTCTCGAGTTGAAGCGTAGAAGCCGCAGTGGCAGAAACTAGTGTTTTCGCCTGCCGTCGGAGGTCGCGTGTTTGACACCCTCTGCTGACGCTAGTGTTTTTTCTACACCCTTTTAACTTTTCCCGCTCATTTAATAGGTACTATAAAGATACCTTGATGTATTCAAATATTTTTAGGAATTTGATTGTTTTCTAAAAAAAATGTCGAATTCGTCCCTCCGGTCGCTTTTTGATCAACTTTGACAGGTAATTGCTTTGTACTTCAGGTAAATTTTCTTTCTTTGGCTCTACAGAAAGCCCAAAGCAAGCCCATTATAGATATGATAATATCATTATGATCTGTAGACTAGCCGCTCCGCTACCTTCACGTAAACGTTGTAGGAAATAACAAATGTTGAAAGTTTGAAGTCGATTTTCTCAAAAACCCCATTTTTGTAAATTTTTATTTTTTAAATTCTTTTAGAAATATTAGTCGGCTACAAGAAAAAACGATCTAGAAATGTAATACTGTGGTTGTATGTCCTCTATTTGAGCCGCAATGACGTGAAATGTGTGAACATTTGTTATTGCAACCGCGTCGGTGATGACAACAAAAGACTTGGTTCTGGTTTGAAATAAATCGTTTTTCGGGAATAAACTGTTTCGGAAATGTGAGTTAGTTTTCTCATTGCCATTTAAAGTTACAAAACACGTTCGCAGCGCGTATTCACGTGTCTAAATAGTGCAAGAAAAATAAAAATCAATGATGATGATGGCAAATCACAGCGATTGGTTGCTGCGTGTGAACGCGGGTGGTCCGTATCGCTGGTGTTGCTGCGTCGAGTTTCCGGGAGAAATTGCCCCATCCGAAGCGGGCCTAAACAGTGCTATAGTGGCTGCGTGTTAAAGTGTCTGCGAAACGGTGAAAAACGTTGTTGTAGGGCTCCCGCAGTAATGCCGCATCTCGTGCTGCTTAAGGGGAGACACTGCCCAGAAAAACAAAATTCTGCAAAAAAAGTTGATTTTGAAAAAAGGACATATTTACATCCACCAACATCTAGAGAGTATTCCCAAAAAATTTAATTAATTTTCAGTGCATAGTTAATTTTTTTATAAATTATTTTCTGTCCGCCAAAGCTAAAGAAAAGGTAGTGTTTGGAGCACTTTGAATGCATTTTTCTCCGTTCCACTTTTTGGTATAATTTCCCTTTTAGTCAATCTATCGTTTGATAATTGCAAAACAGGGAAGGCTCATTCTTCCCTTTTCCTGACTCAAATTTAATGACGAATGCGGCTATGGAACTTTTTTGTCACTTTATGGATGTCTTTTATAGAAAGTGTTGACATTTTGTTGAAGACACAGAAGTCCAAAGAGTTGACCAATTTTGCAGAAGAGAAAATTTATAGAAATAAATGACTTTTTTAAAAAAAAATGTTCCATAGCCGCACCCTCTAGGCATTCTGCTACATAGCTAGCAAATAAAAATCTTGAATATCGTGATAGTTTTCTGATGATAAATTAACTAAACAGTGTAGGCGTGTTGTTGATAGAAGCTACTCTTAATTTCCTTCTCATATAACCGACAAACCTGAAATTTTGTTATACACCCTCTAGCATAACCACCAGCCTACCCTGTAAATTTCATTAATTTTAAGACAAGGGTTCAAAAGTTGACCCCCCTAGGGGGTGTGTCCCCTTAAAAGAAATTCTGGCCGCCGTTTTAAGTTTACAATATTTTTGGGGCAAAATACAGACACCATAGCCAGGCGAAACGGTCGAAGCCGCCTCCCACGCGAATTTCAGCACAGCTTGTTCTCATACTTTCACTCGAAGCCTTTGGCTTGTGCCCTTTTGCCGTTTCCACGCCTACGCTGTCCAGAGTTTGGATGTCCCCTGAGAGTTGACGTTACTCGCGTAGCTTGCAATCGGACCGTCCCCTGATGTGTGTGTGCCCCCCTTCCCCCCCGGTGCCTTCCAGACCGTACCTGCCGAGGAACCCGAGCCTGGTGCCCAACTTCTACCCGCAGAGCCTGCCCCACTGCGACACGGTGGACTTCTTCCAGAAGCTCTCCACCGAGACACTCTTTTTTGTATTCTACTATATGGAGGTGAGCCTCTTCCGTCTGCCACCCCCGTCCCGTACAAGCAGAACGTGGGCTAGTTCAGTCGTCAAAAGGATCGTGACACAATTTGTGGAGAAGGAAAGCGATTGGCAGTACGGTAGAGCTTCTTTATTGTGAAGGCTGGCGTAGAGCAAAGGTGTGGAAATGGCGCAACAATGCTCAAGTTTGCCAGTGATGGCGATACTGGCGTACGGGTTACCAGCGTTTTCAAGATACAGTCAACCGCCTTTGTAACGAACGGCTCTATTATGAAAGCGCCGGTTTAACAAAGAATAAAGCGCTGTTCACATATATCTGAATTATCCGCATCCAGAAAGTCAGTCGGCGATGGTATTCATAAGCTTCTTAATTCGATTTTCGTGTAGTTCATACATTTTTGTTCTCGCGGCCCCGTTGAGTGCCCTTCTTTCCGAGTACCAATGCACTGCAAAGAAGAGACGCCCGCAAAGCTTGTTTCCACGGGTGTTGCTTCTCCGCAGTGCACCGATGCTCGGTGAGAAGCGCACTCATGGGGGCTCAAGTGGGCACCATGAGCTCGGAAAACGGGCACCACACGAAAATTTCCATAGCAACTTGCGCGGACGCTGTGACGTGTCAGCATGGCATAGGTCCATGTCACAGCGTCGATGCAAGTCGCTATAAAAATTACCGCGCGGTGCCCATCTTTATCACCCACGAGTCCCCTGCTTGTCGGCCATTAGACAACTTCTCGGCCTGATAAACAAATTTAATATTGTTTTAAGTTGTCATGTGCTCTCTAAACTGTCCACGATAAAGAACATTTTTGAGGGATAAATAAATTTTTTGTGCATCTCACAATTGTTTCATGTGTGGCATATACCTGCTTATGATTAGCGGGCCTATGTAGAGGAAAACATATCTGCTTAGTTTTCATAGCGATTTGCATGGACGTCGTGACATGGACCTAGGTATATGCCATGCCGACACATCACAGCGTCCGCGCAAGTTGCTATGGAAATTTTCGCGTGGTGCCCGCTCATATGGCAAATCATCTTTTTGTTTTGCATTATATTTAGATGAATTTCTGACAATTCCAATGAAACTCGTGGCTTCCTGGATTTTGAATTAATTACAGTCTACTGTATTCAGATAATTCAGTTAAGTTTGCTGTGTGGAAGTTTGGACAGAGGGAAATTAGTTCGCAGCAAGGAATAAACTTTGCCAGTGGCGGCACTGGCAATATGACCGCTAGTCTGGCTACTTAAAATTTCGTCACGCAGTGGTGACTACCGTAATTACCCGATTCTAACGCGCACATTTTTTCGAGAAAAATACAGCTAGAAATGGCATGCACGTTACAGTCGGATACGAAACCAAAACAAAAACCGAAATCACGGTACTGGCAGTCTCACTGTCATCGCTATTACAAGATGGCGGCGTAGCCTCTGTGCCCTCTGCACAACAGTTCAACAGACATGGTCTTGTGGTCATCGTGGTCGCAATCTCTTGAATTTCGCAACCTGAGGAGCTGCTCTAGCGATTTGCTTTGTTGTCAGTTGTCAGCGTCGTCGAGACAGACAACTCATACTTGCGGAGCTGAAATAGGCGCTGCACCAGCTAAGGCACGGCGTTCTCATTACGAGGCCGTCCTTAAGAAGAAAGTTTGTTTATTTGCCGAGACGAACGGCAAGACAGCCGCTTCGTACACCTTTGGTGTGCCCGAAACTTGTGTTCGTGACTGGCGAGAGCAAAGAGAAAAGATCTTCGCAAGCAAGTCGACCCGGAAAGGATTCAGTGGGCCACGGTGTGGTTCTCTTGGGGGCCACTGCCTTTGGGAGTACCACGTTCGCGGCGAGACGCTCTACCGCGAAGCGGGTTCGTGCTCGCGTGGCATGCTGCTCGTTGAGCGCAGAGACACCAGTCACGTTGGTAACGGTGATAAACTGTTTATTAACAACGAACAAACAACAAGAACACAGCGGCTATAAGCTGGTGAACGCCGTCGGTGTGGGGATCGCCCACGGCCGAATGGTCGTTCACAAAGATACAAAGGACGGGGTAAACGCTCACCGGTGCGCCGGATGGTTCTCCGTTGTCGCCGCCGCCGAATCCCAGGAAGAAGAGAGAAACGAGATCCTGCTGTCCGCTGGTTTTAAGATAACGGCGGGGCGAAGTGGCCAATCAAGGTGCGACACGTCGATCTCCTTTGTGCGGGGGTTCGTTACGGAAATCGCCCCAAAGGGGGAGAGGAGGAAGTCACTCACAGTGGTAAGCAGCGCCACCTCTCGCTACGCCAGCGCGGCCGCCACGGCGCGCCAAAACACTGACGCGACAGAATGTTGAGGGATCACAATCCCCACAACGGACAGGACGGTTTCCCGGCGTCGAAGATGCCCTGGCCGACTACGTGAAGGAGCTGAGAATCGACCAGATGCCGGTGACAACTGAGATAGTGAAAATCAAGGGTCTCGGACTAGCTCGCCACCAAGGCATACCCAGAAGCACCTTCAAGGCCAGCAGAAACTGGATAACAAAGTTCATGAAAAGGAAAAGGTTTTCTCTTCGGAGGCGGGCTGGAATCTGCCAGAAGCTGCCTGAAGCTTACGAAGAGAATCTTGTAGCCTTCCAACGGTTTGTAATATCAGTGCACCAGAAGCATGGGTATCTGCTGGGACAAATCGGAAATGCAGACCAGACACCGATGACCTCGACATGCCCGCCAACACTACAGTGGAGGTGAAGGGAGCTAAACAAGTTTGTGTGCTGTCCTCTGGACACCAGAAGACGTGGGTGACGACAATGCTCTGTTGCACTGCGGACGGACACAAGTTGCCTCAACATTTGATCTTTAAGCGGTAGACGCTTCCGAAAGAGGTGACATTTCCCCGAAACGTCATTGTGCGACCCAACGAAAAAGGGTGGATGGGCGCCAATCTGGTCATCGATTGGATAAACTGTGTGTGACGGGAAAGGCCCGGCGCCGACCTAGGAGTGCGTGCGATGCTTGTTCTCGACGCATTCAAGTGCCACCTCGACCAGTGCGTGAAGGATAAACTTGCCGCATGCAACACTGACCTTGTCGTCATCCCAGGCGGCATGACCTCCCAGCTTCAGCCACTGGATGTGTGCCTCAACAAACCCGTGAAGGACCGGGTGCGGGTACTCTACAAGTGTCTGATTAATGGCCCTCACACGTTCACGCCCGCCAAAAGACTGAAGCGCGTGTCTCTAGAAGAGATGGCTGGATGACTTTCCGAGGCGTGGAGCACAATCCCATCTGCTATGGTTGAGTGCTCGTTCAAGAAGTGTGGAATTTCGAACGCGATGGACGGCACCGAGGACGACATGCTGTGGCACGTGGAGAGCGACAGAGAGCTGTCCGAGAGTGAGGACGAGTGATATGCTTACGAGCACAGTGCTTACATGTAAATAAACTTTGCTTGTTCTTTGTGCACAAACAGCGATTTTTTTTTGCGCATGAAAACCAGGTGCGCGTTAAAATCGTAGGCACATTAGAATCGGGTAATTACGGTATGTGAACATCTTCCAATACTATTTTCATTCAGGAAAACTGAAAAAAAAAAAAAAAAAAAGTGGTCATTGAGCTTAAGATGCCTGGATTCTGCAGTGTGAGGTTTTTCCCCATGTGCTCCGAGCTGCTACGCGCTAGCAGACTCGATTACTGTTCCCCCTTTTGATACCAAGTCGATTGTCAACATACGAAGCCTCGTTTCTGATGTCGCTCATAGTATATTCCGCGCTATACCCTCAAATGGCGCGCAATTACGATAATACGCGATAGTATAGATTCGGTTTTGCGGGATCTATTTTTCGCGCTCAACTACTACAACGAAGTTTGCTGTATTGGAGGAATTTTCCCAGCCCCGCAAAATTTGTTATAAAGGAGTTTGACTGTACAAGCTTGCTGGGTCAGAGGACTGAGGTCTTGCTGTTGCTAGCATGATGGTTCCGCTTAAAACAGCAGAAACATGTAGCGCATTCAGTCATATTGGAGTGCCTTGCAGGCATTCTTTTGTGCTGCCTGTGAAAGTGCAAGTTCGTGCGAGGTTGCTCCGAACCTCCGACCAGTTGAATGAGCCGCAACGCATGTCGGCTGCTTGCCGGTGGCCAATGAGTACCCGACGTATGTTGTCATGGGTTTGCTGACGGGTTGCCGGTATATCGGTTTTGTCAATGGCTGCCAATGTAACGCCGGTTGGTAGTTTATCTTCGCATTGTTGGTCGACTGTGCATTGATATGTTAGGGTGGCTTTCGTGTAGTTTTCAACTGAGGTGCTATGGTTTGAGGCCAAGTGAAATGTTTTGGTCGCCGGTGGGGCATGGCGAACTGACCGTCTGCCTTCTTGCCTGCAGGGATCAAAGGCGCAGTACCTGGCAGCGAAGGCCTTAAAGAAGCAGTCGTGGAGGTTCCACACAAAGTACATGATGTGGTTCCAGAGGCACGAGGAGCCCAAGACCATCACGGACGAGTACGAACAGGTGACCACCCAGGTGTCTCTGCTCTAGGAATGGCTGGTGGGCTAAGAGGCATTGCAGCATTTGAAAAAAAAAACACCTAAACTACAAAAAGAAAAAGTGTGTGGTTAAGGCATTCATGGGACCAAATGAACTTCCCCTGAAGAGAAAAATATTTAGCACAATGTTTATGCCACCAGGTTCGATTGTGTGATTCCCACACATGCTTCTGTTTCGGGATTGACGTCTCAAAATGAAGGTGTTTCGGATTTGCTCCTAACTGAAGCGAGTCTTGATGTTTGTCTTCCTCGCGGAAAGTAAATTTCTTGAAGGCACAGTTTAGGCAAGGTTGCTCCGCAGCTCCAACCAGTTGCTTAACGAGCCGCAACATGGGTCGGCAACTGGCCGGTGGCCGACAGGTAGCCGGCATACAAAGCGATTCGGTATTTGCCGACCAGTTGGTACTTCAGCAGAAAAAGATTTTCTTCCGAATTTATTGTTCTCTGAATGTTGCTTGGGGAATTGAATTTTTCTTGGTGTTTCACCACCTCTAAGTGAACCTATTGGGCCTGGAAGGTCAGAGTCCTCTGCCACCCGTGTATCGAAGTGTTCGCTGGACTGCAACAGTGTGTCGTCGGACGTAGCAAAAGTTTTTGTAAATTGACCTTAGTATTTTCCTTGTGGGAAATTGGCTCCATTTTGTGTTCCTCCAGTTTGGCAGGTGGCCTCCGAGGGCCGTCTTCCAAACTGCGTGCTGTCTGCGTTTGCGGGTTTCTCGGTTGCATTTTGGGGGTCAAACGCTGACCGTCGCATTTTCGTCGTCTTTCTCGCTGTGCAGGGGACGTACATCTACTTCGACTACGAGAAGTGGAGTCAAAGGCGCAAGGAGGGCTTCACGTTCGAGTATAGGTACTTAGAAGACAGAGATCTGAACTGAGTGGGCGTGGTTGGGTCGCTGCCGTTTTTGCCTCTCTCCGAGGAGGGTCGTCGTCGCTCTTCAGTTCGTTTCTTTTTTTCGTCTCGGTCCGACACTTCCGTTGATTTTTTTTTTCTTCGCGGGAACCACAATTGGCGGAGGCGACTGAGAACCGAAATCTGCCATTCGACCCATCGTCGTCCTCGTCGCTTCAGCGTCACGGCAAACTGAGAAGACGAGAAGACCTCCGCCCTCAAAAAAGCAGCAGAGAGAGAGAAAAAAAAAAAAAGAAAAGACATCATCACGCCGCCATGCTTCGCGTGTTGTACAAAGCATCAGAAACAAGACATGGGAGGGAGCGAAGAAAAATATTAGTTTTGGATTTTCGACGCCGACCGGCCGAAAGCGTAGCCCCGTTGCTGCCGCGAACGTCGTGCCATTTAGTCACGGTCGTGGCGGGCCGATCTTGCGGATAGCCCGCGAGACTAGCCCACCGGATTAATCCTGGAAGCAAAAGCGAGAGAGCGCCGGAAATGCGGGCATCTAGACGTCGTCGTCGTCGCCGCCGCCGCCGCAGTTGCCTCCGTTTCTTACTGCCTCCATTTTTCGACTGAGCGTTTTTTTTTCTCGTTCTTTTTTTGTGTGTTTTCGTTTTTTGTAGATGTTATTCTTTCGTTGTAGTAGTGGTCGTTGTCTGGGTCGCGCGCCATCACACATACATGCACATGTGTACATACATGAGGATGATGAAATGGGAGAGATGTATAAAAGAAAATCAATCGTCCCTCTCGCCGTTTTCGCGAAGGGAGGCCCCTTGTGGCGGCGGCGGCGGGTGTCGACGGTCTGTCTCGTGCGTCGTTTGGGAGGCTTCCTTGCTCCGTAACCTTCACAGGGAAAGTCGTAATTTTCGCGGGGAGTTCCGTAATTTTCTCAGGAGTTCCCGCACTTCTCATTATTTTCACAATTCCTGCCGACTCGGGCCTAAGACCCATGCCGGAGCAGCCCAGTCATTACTTGCAGTAACCCAACACGACTTCTAACTTCCCGGTTACACTGCGGTTACTCCAAGGGGAGGGGGAGACTAAAATGGCCTATAAAATCTCCGTAAAGGGTGTCAGCGGGCCAAGGAGCTATTACTATTGGGAAGGGTGTAAAACGAGAGTTCACGAAACCAGTGTTTTCAAATTGCGTGGTGATTATTCCGTTGCAGCGCGCATCGGTTATCTTGTCAGTTCAGGCGTTGGCGAGGTGCGTTTCGGTTTCGTCGGCGTGCCGGAGGTGGAACGCCCGGGATTGCTAGAAATTTGAGAGGGTTAAGTGTAAATAATGTGCGTGGTCATGTATATATATATATTATACACGTGTGATGATATATATATCGAGAGTTGCGATTCGGAGGCGGCACCAGTGGAACGCTTCTCGGCAAATCTGCGGTTTGAGCGACTTTTCACTTTTGTTCGGAGGGTGGGAAAGGGACCTGGTTTCTTGTTAACGACCGACGGCAGCGTCATATTTTGTTTGAATTACGTCGTAGTTTCCCAGACAAAACAGTGCTTTAGATTTCATTGTTTAATTTGTTTCCAGTGCCTTATTATTTCTGGGAGGAGGGACTTTACGGTTTCGATAACTATTCTCGTGAACGAGCCGTTCGCATTTTTTTTTTTGGCACTTATTTTCAGCTGGAATGGTACCAGTACATTGAAAAATTTATGTATTTTGTTATTCGCTTTAATTTTTTAGACCTTGTAGGGGAGCTTGCATTTTGTGGAAAGTGTTCAGTACGCCCTCTGCCGAGACGCGTTCTTCGAGCCGCCGCACCTGAAAAACCCCGGTTTCCGGCACGTCACGACGGACTGGAACTCCGCCGCTCGCAACGTCTGCGGTCGTACCTGCAATAATCCTTTTTGTTCGGTTCCATTTGAGAGGGGGGGGGTCGTCGTCAGTACGGCCAATAAAAATTTGCAGAGGGTTTTTTAGAGACGGCAGGGTGGCACGTGGCTACAGCTTTTTCGGCGCAAAGTTGGCACATAGCCGGCCGTGTGTCGGCCTATAGCCGGCATTCGGTCGGCATTTGACCGGCTGTTGGTCGGCTCTTTGTATCTTGTTTTCCTGGGTTGCGGTTCATCGACCCAAGGAGCGAGTTGTCCATTCTGCCAAAAGGAAGACTGCGAGAAGAAAGAAGCCAGGAAGTGGAGGGAGAAGGAAGGAAGGAATGGGGAGGGAGAGGAAAACGGACCACAAGGTTGGATCTCTTCTTGCGGGAGGGGGCACGTGTACATATTTTCCCGAGGACGGAGGGGGGGACGGAACCCTCCGAAGTTTGGACTTTAAAAGTCCCGCCGCCACCGCAAAGTGGAAGAAGCAAAAATAAAAAGAAAACTTTTCCGTTCGTGAAGACCCAATGCGTGTCTTGCCCGCCAGGGCCACATTGTCCTTTCTTTCACCCTGCAAACTTTTTTTTTCTTTTGCTCGGGCATGCCATAGCTATAGAATAAGCTATGCCTACACTATCGACGCTCCATTTCCCCCATTGTTTCGTGGGTGTTGTTATCTTGTTGCCCGGTGCAGATCGGGTGTAATCGGCCATAGTTGCAGTTAAAAAAGGCAACTTTCTGAGCTTTAACTATAGCGTCGGCAAGTTTTGGGCAGTAATGTTTTTGCTCTGCAAGCGACTGTTTTAACGTTTCTGGCAACAGAAAAGCCTTTCCTGCGATTTTGGATGACTGGCAACGATGTGTTTAAAGGGACGGGTTTCCTTGCTCTGAAATGTAGCTTGTTCAGTAGCTCTGGAGCATACATTTTTGAGACATAAACTTCAAATCAGCTTGCACACCTCACGAACCAAAGGGGGCCACCGAAATTTCTTGGACGTACTTGGTGTCGTGAGCAAGCTTGGCTAACCCACAACCATTTACACTACTCACACTTTTATGAAAGCTGCAAGTTTCATCTTTTATTTATTTTTCCTTAAGGGCCCCGTGGGGCATTACATAAAAGGGGGAAGCTGGTGGGGTAATGCAGAACATATAAACACAAAAATAGAACAAAAACCAAAAAAAAGTAGATGTAAGATCAATTGTCGCTGTATTGCATTTACTTGTTAAAATTTATTGGATATGTGGAATCGCTGATTGGCAAAGAGTGAATGGGTCAGTAATGATTTCTTCAGGAATAGAGTTTGAGATAGTTATAGCACGAGCAAAGATTGACATATTAAAGGCTAGCGTTTTGCCCGTTATGCGTTTGATGCAATGGCTGTGATTGAGGGGTGACGAGATTTCTGTCGGGGCGTGATATCGGGGAGTCTGATAGGTTGGTGCTGGTGTGGTAAAATTTATGTAGGGGACATAATTGAGAGATTACTCTGCGGTCAGAGAGCAATGGAAGTTCGAGAGTAAGTTTAAACTGCGTCACACTGGTGTCGCGGGAGAATGCTGATGAAATGAATCGGGGCTGCACGATTTTGAATTCCTTCCAGACTCGCTGCTGTAAGCTTGTGATGGATGCCAGATGGACGAGGCATACTCGAGCTCGGGGCAGACGGGTGTAGTGTACGCTAGTTGCTTTAGGTGAGAAGGTGCCGATTTTGGATTCCGCTTTAAGTAGCCGAGTCTGTGAAGCATCAGCAGTAGTGACATCGATATGTTGAATCCAAGAAAGTGGAAGTTAGGTGGATACTGAGGTACTTGTATGAGGGAGTAGAGCCAATTTAGATGCCGTCAAGCAAGTATGAGTAAGAAAGAGTAGATTTTTTCCGCGTGGATGATACAGGTTCGCACTTTTAGTAAAGAGGCATAAGCCATTGATTGCACCAAGTGTTAATTCATGTTAGATCCCTCTGCAGGGTGATATGATCCGAGCAGTTTTGCGAGTGGACGGTAAACAGCACAATCGTCTGCGAACATATATGAGAAATAGGAGTGGGGTATTACCTCTTCTAACTGCGGCCGACATCCAACAATCCCGAAGATTATTGGGTATCGAGTACGTCGCCATGTTGTGTGTCTAATGCACCATGTTTTTCTACAGTGAAGCTGTTTATGGCTAGGGTTCCGTGGATTTTTCGTGTGTAGCGACTAAACACACTGCGCTTGCACTGGTGCACGCCTTTTCCATATAAAAGATTCAAAGTAAATAACCAAAATAAAGCGTTGACGAACGCACAGGCAAGATGCCATTTGTTTTAGGCTTTTGCGTTAAAACAGTTAGTGCAACGCCATTCCCTGGATTATCTTTGAGGCTTGGGTAATTTAGTAATAGGTCTGTTTAGTAGAGTAGTTTTCAATAGGCACTATTTTCAAGATCAGTAGACTCTCGGGTAAATAATAAAGGCTTTTCGAAGATTTGCCGCTGTGCGACCCCCCCGTCGGCCACGTCTACGCTTGCACCGCTCTCTCTGTCGTCGTTTCAAGCGCTTGCGTGCCTAGTTTCCTTCCGCTATCCCAGGGTGGCGGTCCCGTTGCGCGTGTCTACTTTCTACCAGGTGGTATTCCTGTCGCGCGTGTAGTTTTCTCCGACTCTTCGGGGTGGGTCTGTGTCGTGTGCTAAACAGCTTCGCTGGTCATCCATCGTGACAAAGTAAAATGGCTCATGATTTTTTTTAGGCAACCACAAGTTTTGTAGGTGAAGGGTACAGAGAAATTGGTTTAACTGCTTGTTTACATGAGCATTATTATGCAGCGAAAGCACATCATCCACATTTGTGCTTGTAGTGTTGCACAAGCTTGTCATGTCAGCAGAGCGGAATATGTGATGTTACCATATCTGTTGTCGGATGGTGTGGTAGAGCGGGGTCGAAGCGAAAAGGGGCATGTTACACAGGTAGAACAAGTGCCATCTATGGGGGAAGGCAATTACCAGCTTTAGACATGGTGGCCAAAGGATCTGGAGTGCCATCTGGAGGTTTGAATCCCTGCCGAGGTGCCTGCTCATGGTGGCTTATTGCGGAGAAAGCGCTGCATAACGGATTTCGGTTGAACATCAAAAGATCCTTGGGTGTTTTAAATTAATATTGTTTCCTTCGCTAGGAATGGCTTGGCCCACAAAAGTGCCAAATTTGACTTTTGCCATCAACTAGATTTCTAGGTTCTGAGGAAAGGTTGCATTAAATCTGCGAAACCAAGGGTATGCATGCCTGCTTCCAGTCGGATTAACTTTGTCCGCTATATTGACCATTCTGTTCCAACTTTAACAGCCATTCTAGGCCCATTCGACCTTGGACGGTACGATGGACTGGCTCGAGAACCGTCCACATGGTGACTGCAGGAAACCTTACAAATAGTCTAGAGGGCTCATGTTTTTTGTTGGCAAACTTCGCTGGATTTTGTAAATTCTCACTTGTTCTAAACGGGAGACTGCTACTGAAGAATGAAAGAAAAGAAAAATGAATTCGGGATGTTGATAATGTTTAGGAGGAAATCTGATCTTCACCCGAGATTTGACTCTTGTGAGGAACTTTAGCCATTGCAGGAGGGCTGGTAACTTGGCGTTTTTATCACTCCTCATCTCCGCCTGTTTTGATCTCTGCACTGGAGGAATTCCTTGCCTACAGCAAAGATTTATTGCACAGTAGTGATTGGTTACTTTACTGGATGGCTCCCAGTAGAGTCTGAAGCACCACGAGCTGAATTTTTCTCCAACGACCCGTAACAAATGACAATCAATTTAAGACCGATCATCCATAACTTTGGTTCTAGTAAAGATATTCAATATCCAATCGCATATTTGGAAAAGGTGCGAGATGTGTTATATCAGTGTAGTTTATTATAAGCATTCTTTTATAAATTAGAAAATTACTCTGAGCACCACATAACTGCCCAAAAAGTCCCAGCAAAGACAAACCTTGCACAAAGGCTCGAAAAGACTGCATGGCAATGGCAAACAAGAATCCACTCGTGATGCTTAGAATGTGAAACAGGTTTTATTTTCGTTCTTCCGTGAGGTGATAGTTCTGTAGCAAGATGCTTGTTCAACGCTGTGGCATAGTAACAAGTACGGCCGGGAAACTTTTTATACATAACCGTCGTACATTCGTGCAGATTTTGATCTCTTGAAAAATACCTTGGAGGTTCAAAATTGTCCTGGGGCATTTCAGACTAGGGAATGTGCTTGCTCAAACTGGATCGGCACGTGTTCGGGAAAAGGTAGGCAAGTGAACAAAAGGGAATGGTAACGTTCTGGTCTAACCGTACACCAAAAATCTGAAATAACCCAATAAAAACTTCATTCCTGTTCATTGCTTATTCACACAATCTACCGGCGCAAAAACCGCGAGCACGAGCCAACATTTTTGGAAGGTGGTCCCTCCAAAGATATTTCACGTCTAAAATATATGAGCTTTCGTTCTTAGGTTTCGCACCAATAAGGAATGAAATATAGCTCTAAATGATACGCCGTACAACCCCAAAAAATAGTGTCTTGGCTGTTCAGAGAGGTATATAATACTTAGTCTCTATGACAAACGCATAAAAAGGTAACGGGCACTAGAAACTGGAACGTGCTAATCCGTTTGTCTTGCTTCTTTGTACTGCCTTATGTGTTGGTGAGTCTGCCCCACTTGGTGGTACAGTAGTGCTACCTGGTGGTGATGGGGGGGATCCACTGGCCCCTCTGAGAAAGTCGTGCCTCCGTAACGCTTGCATGCACACATTAGACAGGCTGCAAAAGTATGGTATGTGCAAGACATGCTTCTTTTTTTGCACCTCATATGGTGTGCCAACGAATTTGCCTTGCTTGCTGGTAGCATGGTAGCACTACCTGGTGGTGACTGGGGGAACCACTGTCCTGTCTCAGAAAGTTTTCTTCATAATGGTTCCATGCACAAATTACACATACTGCCAAAATATGTGCAAGATGCGAGCGACAAATCATGTTTGCACATTCTAGTTCCTAATGTCCTGTACTCTACAAAAAAAAATAACGGCAACATATTTTCAAGTGTAAAAGAGCAACAATGCGGCTATAATACAGGAAATAACGAGGGGAGGTGGGCACAATTTGGCTAATACTTCGAGCATGCCACAAGCGAGTGCGTGCGGACGGCACTGTTGGCGAACGTCGGCCGTGGTATGGCAACTGAATGGGCCGGCATTGGCCCGACGTCGACATTCAGTCGGTGAGCCAGCAGCAGAACCATGTGAGGCAACAGGTGCCGAGGCAGCACTTGGCGAGGTCGTCGACGCGGTTCGAGCTTTGGGGCTGTTCTCGGACCACCCTGCGACGACGAGAATGACGGTTACGTACCGAGACGGCAGAGCTCTTGAGACACGCCTGTCTGTTTTCGAAAAAAGGGCATATCGATTGACAGTTTTCTAGATGCAGGCGCAATGGGCCGACATTTTTGGTAAGAACTGAATGGGTGTCAAATTTTTATTTAAATCTTTTTTTGCTCTGTGGCAGTTTTAAAGTTGAGCCATCTGCGGAAGTTGCACTATTTCTGGCAAGTAGGCTTACCTGCACCTACACTTGTACTCAACTTTTGCTCTAAATTTTTAATGCTCTTTAAAGAGAAACAAAAACATTTCATAATTGTGACCTTGACACAGATTCAATGTCACCTTTTGGTAAATACAAAGTTTGTCGCATAGTTTTACCTACTTGCTTACATGCACATCAGCATTAAAGAGTAATAAATTCTGCCAAGTATTAAAAAAATCTTTGCGGTGGATGTTCGATTTTGTCACGAATGACAACTGATGAGGCGGTAAATAACGAAACTAAATGTTTAAGGGGGGGGGGGGGGGTCAACCTGGGAATGTCAACATTTAAACTGCTCACTCATTCAGCACGATATCTGCAGGTGATGGCAACGTTTGTAGCAAAGTTTCAGCCCTGTGAACCAAGTTTATGAGGTACTATACCCCCAGAACGAAGTAAAGCACAGCTTCCAATGGAATCTGCTTAATGAATCTATCGTTGAGAAATGGTGTTGATAACCATATAATTTTCTGGTGGAATGCATGCTGAAATACCTGTTGTTGATTACACTAAAAATATGCATTTTTAAAGTAAAAAAAAAAATGCACGAAAAAAAAAAAAATTTTTTTTTCACATTTATGAAGTTTTGCAAATTACAATTTTTCATAAGAAGAGAACACGAAAATGTGAAATCTAAGTTCATAGTAACCGGATCCACAAAATGTTCGCACTTCAACATGTCAACATGCATGCATGTCAACAATCAAAATAACCTTAGGCTCACCTGACCTCTCCGTCAGTAGAAAAATTGCTTGTCTGTGTTTGTTTCACAAGATATATCATCATAACCCAACACTACGTCAGCACCTGTTAACAGAACCATCTTATGTCTCATCTCATGTCGATCACCAAAGTAGGCATCCCTCATTGTCAGACATCAACCTTTAAAGGGACCATGAAGGCAGTTTCGAAGTTTTATTCAACGATTTAAATGGATGTCAGGCACGTCTCGGATACTGTTGACCAAGTTCTAGCCCGAACAGAAGTTTGGGTGCCGCACCAATCGAGCAAACAGGCGCGGTAATAATAGCGCCGGGAACGATGCCCGAGACCCCACCGAGGCGGCGGCAGAAAGGTAAACTAAATTGCGCCGTAGAAGCGTGACGACAACGGGCTCCTCGTCTGGCGGTTGGTTCAAACGATAGACGCGCTCTTGGTTTCGATTTCGGTGGTGAGATGTGATGAAAAAAGTTTATTTGAACGTTGGATAATCTTTTGAAGTTGTAGTTGGGAATTAATAGGTTTCATACCGTGTATAAAAGCATAATCTGAAGCGACCCCTCCGTTTGTCACTGGTTGAACGCATCCCGCGCTACTACCTCGGGCGCGTAACAAGCATCGAGCAACCATGGACAAAAAAAAAGAAAAAGAGGTACGAGCGCCGGGGGCGGCGGACTCTTGGTTTTGGTTTCGTGCGTCGTCTCGAGTTCGCTTTGCGAACTGGTGTCTCACCAATCATGCCGCGTTTATGTGCAGTAGTAGGTTGCGCGAAAGGTCGGCTAAAGACGTGCGGTCGATCGCGTGACGTTAGTTTGCATAAACTGCCGACCGATGCAGCAATGCGCAGCATTTGGTTGCGCGCCGTCGTCTTGCGTAGAGCTGTGGACAGCGGTGTCAGGATTTGTTCGTTGCATTTCCGACCAGAAGACTTTGAGCAGCACCTTCACGTCAGCCGGAGTCTGGGTAAAAACATGAAGTTCCCGCGTCTGAGGAAAGCGCGGCGTTGTCGTCCATTTCTTCCAGGTTTTCTTCACAGACCACCGTGCGCTAGAGCGAACCACGGGAACCACACTGAGTGTGCACTAAATCCTACCGATGCCGACAGTGCTCCCTGACGTCACTTCTCTTTCCAGAGGCGAAAAAGGGAAGAAATCTGAATGTTTGTTTCGGTTTAGGAAATTTATTTATTTGCAGGTACAGAAATAAGAGTCACAACGTTCTAGAAAAAATTGTATGGCATGCCAGGACCCCAATGCTTCCGAAAACACCTTCTTTTTTTAAGAAAATTAAATTGCCTTCACGGTCCCTTTAATCAGTCTTTCATACCTACATCATCACTGGAATGGAATCGCCTTCCCGCACTTGTCGCCGGCTTAACTGAGAGCGCCAATTTTAAAAATGCCGTTCCTGATTATATTTGTTTTTTGTTGCATTAAACTGCCATATTTCATAATATATATGTTCTACTTTGGTCCACTTCCCTATGTAATGCCTTCGGGCCCCGAGGGACTCAATAATCAAATAAATAAATAAGCCGCAAAAATTGAGTCTCGATAGTTTCATACTGGAACTATAGATTTATTTAGCGATATTTATGCCAAAATGTGGAACTGAGAAAAACACATTCAAAATATTCGAACCTCTACCTTTTCTTCAGCATCAATAAACTAAACATAGTGTATAAAAAAAAATTGGAGTCTAAACAAATGACATTTTCTGGGAATACCCTTTAGATGTTGGCAGATGTAACCAACACTTTTACAAATTTTTTTGCAGAAATGTGTTTTTCTCGGTAGTACCCCCCCCCCCCCCCCCCCCCTTTTAATGTGGTGAACTTGCGCCAAAACAAAAAAAAATAAACTTTCACCCTTTCCACCCTTGTGAAGAAGGAACAGCAGCGGAGCTGTACTATGTGCTGCCATCTATGAGCGACGGCGGCAACCAGACAACCGGCAAGTGGATTGTCTGGTTGCTGCCGTCGCTCGTAGATGGCGGTAGCTGTTCAGAAGGCTGTGTCGAGATTTATTTGTCCATGGACACAAAACTGGGGAAACTAGCCCTTAGCAGCTCCGCTGTAAAATAACAGAAGGCATCAGCACAGCGTCGCATGCGTCGAGTGTCAGCGTGAACGCAGTGTCGAGCGCTGCTGAAAAATTGACTCCATACGGCGCGGCTTCTCTCGAGCCTTCCCTGGGAGCCTAGAACACTCTACCTAGTTCGTACTGGAACTACACATTCCGAGCATGAACAAACTATGTGTCTCTCCATCCAATGTCCTAGAATTTTCTACTTACATAAAGAAAAACGACAAACGATGGTGGAATTTATACCCCGGCCACCTGCGTGGGAGCTAAGACCGCTGCCCACTTAAATTGCTGTGCACGCGGCAATATAAGAACAAAAATTGAAGGACGTTTACAACACCCTGTAACGCTGAATAAGAGCGCAGCTCTTGAGGAGGAGGAGGAGGGGAAAGTATGCCCCTCCTCCTCTCCTACTCCCCTCTCATTTTGCGTAAAATTGTTGCTTCATTTCCTGCGAAATTCCGTGGAAAAATTGTGGGGAAATTGTTCTGCTAAACTTCGCAGGGAAATATTTCCACTAACTTTAGCGGGAAAATTTTTCTGCTAAATTTAGCGGGAAATTTTTTTGCTAAATTTAGTGAAGAATTTTTTTTCGCTAAATTTAGTGAGGAAATTTTCCACTAAATTTAGTGGGTAATGATTTCTGCTAAATTTAGCAGGGAAATTTTTCAGCTATTTTTAATGGTTTTTTTTTTTTACCTAAATTTAGTCAATTTTTTTTCGCTAAATTTAGTGGGGAATTTTTCAGCTAAATTTAGTGAGGAAATGTTTCCGCTAAATTTAGTGGGAAATTTTTCTCATGAATTCAGTGAGGAAATTTTTCTGCTAAATTTAGTTAGGAAACTTGTTGATTAAATTTAGCAGGAATTTTTTATGCTAAGTTTAGTTGGGAACTTTTTCTACTAAATTTAGCGGGGAAATTTTTTCACTAAATTTGGCGGGAAAATTTTCTTGCTAAATGCGGCAGGACATTTTTCCAGCTAAATTTGGTGGAGAGCTTTTTCTGTTAGCGGAAACATTTTTCGAGGAAATTTAGCGGAAAAATTTCCCCACTATATTTAGCGGAGAATTTTTTCCGCTTAATTTAGTAAGAAATTTTCCCCCTAAATTTAGGAGGAAATTTTTTCCGCTCAGTTTAGCAGAAAAAATTCCCTCCTTCTCCTCCCTCGTGACCTTTGTGCATTATGGGAAATGTCCCATAATGCAACGCACGGTTATGCCGACAGCATCGCCACTCAAGCCGAAAACGGGTGCCTAAGAGTTGCGCTCTAAAATGGTGAAGAAAATTATGTTGACTTTGCTCTCGTTCCATTTCGTCCGACAAATCCCCCAACAATTCCACAAGAACACTTTTTTTTTACACTTTTATTCTATGAAGTTTTTATATCTATGAAAACAATAGGAAAACTTTGGTTTTCATTTTTGTAGTTCTTGATCAAAGCAAGGTTTTTCTTCAACATTCTTGCAAGCCAAATGCAACTCGCAGCAGTAGTGCCTTCACGCTAAGTTACACCGTCGTAGCTTGCAAAACATATTTTCAAAATTGATTAAAGGCAGCTAAATGTATGTTAAATGCTTACACAGTGTTGCCTGCAGGGTAGCCGCCGGCGGCACCATAGTACCCCTGGGCGGCGCCACCGCTGGGCACCGGCTGTCCGGCGTAGTACCCGGCCGGGTTGGGTCCCTGTCCCTGGCTGTAGAACCCGGGCGCCTGCTGGCCGCCGGGCACCGGATAGTACCCCGCGGGGGGCACCACGCCCTGCTGCTGGCCGGCCGGGTAGTACGTCGATCCCTGCTTCACGTAACCCTGCACGAAAGAACAAAGGAGTTTTAGCTAGGGTTCTTGGTTCCCGTGATAAAGCTGAGACGCACAGAATGCGAGGTGACATTTGTTTACGCTCGTTACCTTTCCGTTTATTACTAACGCTAAAAATTTAGCGGGAAGTGTTCCACCACTAAATTTGTTGGGGGAAAGCCTGAATCAGTGCAGGATTATGTGCCGAATCAATTTCCCTGCCGAATTAAGCGAAAAAACCTGAAATGGTGCGTAATTATACACCGATTCGATTTCCAAGCTGAATAAAGTGGGAAAACCTGAACTGGTGGATAATTACACACCAATTGCAATCTTTGCATTGAAAAGTCCTTTGTGAATTGTGGCTGCGTGTATTTAGATTTTAGATCGATATTCCCATAAATTGTGAGCTTCTTAAAACTTTTACGTTGTTATATAGGCTCCCTATGGATTCATGCTTAGTTATTTTCTTACGTTTTTCACTTTTTATGTATAAATATTGCGGTTAGGTACTCGCTAACCGTGTTTATTTGACTTGGAAGGTTGTTTCTGTATTTGCTGTCACTGCAATTCTGAAGCTTTAAAAATCGCAAAACTTGGTGTATATACCAAGTACCCTATGGGCGTTCCATTTCAAGAATAACCTACCCGATTAATTTCCGCGTACCAACCCCTCTAAGTGGGAAAACCTGAATTGGTCTACAATTATGCACCAATTGTTGGTGCAATAGAGTCCTACAAAATGACTCTTCTGCCGGTTGACAAACAACGCCACCTGTGCGGAAGGGTTGAACACTGCTGCCCCCTGGTGTTGCTGTGGCACCGGAGGCGCCCAACCCCCGGTCTGCTGAAATCCTTCCCCTGTAGCGCCAGGGTTGTAGGGAGGCGGGGGTTCGTAGGCTCCCTGCGGATACGATGTTGGCGCCTGTGGGTACGATGGCGCCTGTGGGTATGACGGTGCCTGTGGGTACGATGGCGCCTGCTGTGGATACGCCATCTGGAAACCAAGAATGTGCCTTATTTCTCATTTCTGGCACAACTTTGCCAGGAGCACTTTTGCATTCACCTTCGAGGAGCAATGTAAAGCTACACTGATTTAAAGAGACACTCAATTCTCCAAGAGGTTTTCTTTTTTAACCAGGGTGTCTAGCAAATTACTATTTTTAAATTCCCTGACTTTGCCAGGTTTTCCCTGACAATTTCAGATGAAATTCCCTGACCACTGTAGAGGCGGTTAGGTATATAAGAGCATTACAACACAAGGCACTGAGCATTGAGCGCTGTGAGGATCATTTTGCACGGGCTTAATAAAACTTGCATATTCCGAAATATTTGGGTTTGTCCACCACGTAGAAACAAGCACTTTCTTGCCGCCGACATCGTCAGCAAAGAGGCCACTTCTGGAAACGCGAAGAAAACACAACGCTCAACCGTGCACGTCAATAACCGAAGGGCAGCATGGCCGCATGGCCGCCAGATGCACACTTTCGGCTTAAGGTTTGGGTTAAATTACGGTCTGCGACCTTCCCATTTGTTACTAAATCTAGTAGCTCTAACTGAATCTAGCCTAGTGTCGTGCCCTCAATCCAATTCAAGGCTTGGACTGGATTTGTCGGCTCCCCCTTCGGCATCGGGTAGCATATTCTACATCAGGTAAGCAGAGCCAGCGCTCCGCTCTAAGCAGAATTTATTGCCTCTTTTTCTGCCCCCAAGTTGTTGAGCCTTTGCTCATGGAACTCAATGGCGTTTCCAGCTCATTTTCCCTGACAGGGCTCACTTTTTAACAATATCCCTGACAATTCCCCAATTTTTCCCGGTAATTAAAATTTCCCTGACAATTCCCGGTTTTCCCGGTCGCTAGACACCCTGTTAACTTTCATAACTTTTCTTAACCCAACTCAAAGTCTGTCTTGCGATGCACGCTAGATTTAATGCTTTTAAAAATGCTTAGTAGTACAACATTTATGCTGAAACATGTTTCCATTTCAAGGTCAATGTAGCGGAATGGAAGTATGTTTGGAATCACTCCCGACTTGAAGTCTGTCTTGCGACAGAGATATTATGCTAGATTTAATGCTTTTGTTTAAGGAAAGCTTGATGTTATGATATACGGGTCCGACCCGTGTAATTAATTAAAACAGCATTGTAAACAGAATGTTCTCACCAACTGCTTGTTACACAGGGTGTGCAGAGGTAAACAAAAAATACCCAAACTTCAGGGGGAGTATGTTACTTCCGGTTGGCTATTGTTTTTGCCTGTTTTTGAGGACCTTCAGTGAGTAGCACATACCTTAAGAATCTCACCACCGAAGACTAACTGCGGTACCTCCCAAAATGTACTTTTACTTGATCGACAACCTTTCCTGTTTCCTTGGGTGAAAAGAAAAAACACTTATTTCTTGAGGAAATGGCGACAAATTTGCCGAAAGTATCGTGGGTGCATCTTCAAGGCTTCTTATTCGAATAGCCTGGTTTATATACCCAAGAATGACTTAATATCTACAAATCCCTAAACGCGCTCAACTACTTCGTGAACAACACAGCATCGGTGATTGGCACCAACCTCTTCCAGGCACCGAAGATTTGCGCCGAAGATTTGCACAGAGCTTACCCACAAAGGTTGCCAAGCTGGGCCTTGGTTTAAGCAGGCAATCTTCGAAAGTATTTATTACGCTTCCTTTAGTGCAATGTGAGCCTCTGTAATACACCCTTTTCTGGTGTTTTGGCTTTGGTAGTCAAGGTTTCTCTCCCAGAGCACCGTGCACATTGCATTTGTATGTGCCGTAATGGCCCATCGTTGTAAGGAGGTGGTCGGTCGAGGTGCCGCGGTGCCAGCGCCTCTTTCTCGCGTTCTGCTGTCAGTTCGCAGCACATTGAAGTAGGCTAGCACCATCTACCAATGCCATCGCCCTGCGATCGCCCAGGTTCGGTGACGTCCCTCGTCTCGAGCTAGTCAAAATAACTCACTTGTGACGTTTTGTTTGTGCCGGCACACATTGGCAACTTAAAAGCACGACACTGGGGAATTTCCAGAGCATAGCTCACACGCACTTCCTCGTTGGAGAACCAAGACTCGGAATTACTCCTCTTTCCGTTATGGCGGTCGGAAGTGGTGCAAACACACCCTGTGTATGGCAATGATTGTAGCTCCCAAGGAAGGCTACATGATTTGCAGATACGTAACAACCCTTACGCTTGTGCGCCTGCTAGCCGGTCGCCACATATATCGCGGAGGAGTGGAAAAGGGGAAAAACAATTTGGGGTAAGAGGTGCGCTGGCAACAAAAACAAAAAACAAAAAATGAAAGTTCTATTTGCAACGAAGCTCATTTCAGAAGAAGCAGCTTCTGAAATCAATGATTTCGAGTAACTGTGCATACGCAGGAGGTCGCAACTTCGCAGGATTTCATTAGGAGCTGTATCCTTCGTACAAACAGAAAAAAAGAAAGAAAAGTTTCTGCGGATCCTTCGTACAAACAGAAAAAAAGAAAGAAAAGTTTCTGCGGATTCCCTTGGCTTCGAATTTTCATTGGCAAGCTTGCGTTCTTTTTCACAATCCCGCGTCAGTCTAGATCTAAAGACGGACAAGAGACAACAGCGCCCAAGATAAGCGCGCAACAAAATCGCGAGTCGAGGCCGCACACTGCCGTTAATTGTCCACTTAATGATTGACAGGCATTGAATGTAACCAGTGCGCAAGTGCGCGGTTTCGGAATTGGAACAAAGCGGTTCTGATCGGTGCCTCGTTTGTGCACGTTTGAATCGCAGTATCCGTTTCAAGGAATGAACCCAGTCTGCCACGTACTTGACAGCGGCACCGCACAACTCAAAGGTCAGAGGACTTACCAACTGTCAAGCGCTGCTCGACCGAGCAAGAACATCTACATGGACATTGATCGAGTGATAAGAGCAGCGTTGACCAACAAATAAAAGTGCGTTTACACCGACGTACTTCTGAATAGCGAGACACTGGGTACTCACCGTTTGTTGCCGCGATGCTATCGAGCGGTAACCTTGAGAATCCGCTCGTCGAAAAACAAGTATTCTCGGCTCAAAGCTAAATTCCTGCCAAAGCGTCTGCCATAATGCGATAATTCGTTCCCGAGTTGCCCTCGAAAAAAAATGACGTCAGATTTGAATGGTGCGTTCATTTGATGAATCCGTGTTGGACGAGTAATAAGAGTGCATTGTTTTTGACTGAAAATTAGTGTACACCAATCATTTTTAAAGCTGGGTTATGACGTAGAAGAGTGAGTAGAGGTTGCTTCCACCAGCTTGTGCTAAATCGAACACTCACGTTTTAGACGTTCGCGATTGGCCGTTTGTTTCGCAAGTTTCGGTTTCTTCAGCTAATCGCGTGCAAGAATTAGATTTTGAGGATGATGATGATAACGTGTTTTTTTTTCTTTTTTTAAAGCGCCAACTAGTCGCTGCGTTTCGTTAAACCTAGACTACTAAAACAACTGAAAAATTTGGTTTATATTGTTTTCTAAATAATATCATGTTATTAATAATTAAAGGTTTGTAATATGTCACTGTTTATTGACAATTAGTTTATTGGCTTTTATTTAGTCTGCGAGATCTCCGCCAAGTTGTGCCGCGATCGGGCAAATCCCCTGTGTGTTGTTGTTTATCTTGTAAAAGGCTAAGAAAAAAAAAATTTTGTTTTTGCCGTTTGTGTGTATGCTGTGGTCTGCTGTTTCTCTCGGCGCAAAGTATCACCACAGACCAGCGGACCCCATCGTTATGTGAAACGTAAGGCCTTAACGTTTGTCGACAACGCTACCCAAAAAGTCTTCGCAGTCTTCGCGGGTTGCCCTACGTCTGAGCAACCGCATCAAAAATCGCAGCTCACAGGCCACGCTGAGGCACAAAAGAATGGAGCCTGATTTGGTCGAGTTTTTGTGGGCTTTGTCCGAATCACGGTCGCGTGATATTTTTCCTCAAGTTGCTCGGTTACGGTTCGAAGACCACTGAACAGTCTTAGAGTTTGACAGGGGTGCGTTTTTCTCCCGTGGACTGTGTAGGAATAGGATGTTGTTTGGGACAAGTCTCGACATGTGACGTATGCTCGTTTTCGGTGGCTGCGTCTGTAGATGTAACTATGAAGGTATGCTTTCGCGTGAGGGATCGTGGGTTTAATGTAACATTGCGAGGAGAGGGAAAGATTACGATTTTGAAGCGTTGAAAGATGCTACGAAGATCCATATGTGCTTTAGTTTTTCAGACGCCGTCGATTAGACTTCGTTCTGTCGGGAGTTTGACGCTGTCCCAAGCACGCGTCTTTTTTATAAATGGAAAAGAAAAGAAAAAAAGGCCTTAAGTTGTTATGCTTTTGATCTTTTAGCTATCGTTTTTCTGAAATTTGTGTCTAGATTCACATTTTTCTGGCGTATACCGCGAGCAGCATGCTTTAAAGTCGCCTGGTCAGCCATATTGTCATTCGCTGCTGCCTTGTTCGTGTTTAGGAATTAAAAATGATGCTTTGTTTGTTGGTTTTTACAGCCAACAGAGCGCACGGCGTGCGATTATAATAGTCATGCATCATGTGTCCTCTGCCAAGTGACTAAAAAGCTTTCCGCAAGAGATTTTTTTTTTCGTAGTATGAACGGCCCAAACATTAAATGTAATGAAGCCATGGTGAAGGTGCAGGCTAGCTGGTGTAAATTGAGCATAGTTGTAAACTCGAGACTGGGGATACGGACAAGGGACAAACACAGAACGACACGACAGCCGCTTAAAATATTATCTTGAACTCAAGACTGTTGCGCGAAAATAGGTTACATTGGAGTCATTGTTTCTTCCCTCAGAGTCTTTACTTCTCTTAGATAACGACTCATGCTGTCAGAAAAACTGCTCACAAAAGCAGAATGGGTGGCTATTGAATAAGGTAGAGTAAGTCTCATCTATTCGGCAAATTGATTCTTTGGCTCATTGATGTTTTCTCATTTAAACAAAGCTTACATACAAGAAACAGTGCAATCTCAGTGTTTCACGGCTTAAGAGGATATTTCGATGGTACGAAAAGCACGCCCGGCCTTTTACGCAGTGTTTGGCGCTCACCCTATCAAGCTGCAGCTGTGCTCTCACAAAAAGTGAGTCACAGCGAAAGAATTTTGCATCTTATCAGAGCAGATTTCTTTCGTTAATCACATAACCTTGAAATAATCTTGCATGTTTACCTTTGTGTCATCTTTCGAGCTCATCTAGCCGTGATAAAACTCTCAAGTAACAAAATCAACACCTGGAACGTATGAGTGCACTCTGGCTGTCCTGTTGGCTCTCTGCTGGCATTGTTGATTTCAAAAATCCCCAGATTCACCAAATTTTTGTTTGTGTGCTTGATTCAGTATCGCTTTCAGTGAGAGATTTGTTGTAGATCCCATACCTTCCAACAAATGGACATAGCACAAGAGAGCTGACTGACATAAACATTTTTTTTTTTATGCCTTTGTTGTGAGGAATCAAACTGACTGCGGGGAAGGGGGGAATGTTTTCTGTATGCACACTGGTGAATAGGACAGTCAACACTTCGGTTTTTACCAGTGTGCAACAAATATGGTTATTCATAAATACAAAAAATAGATTTGGTGGCAAACAATAAAATAAGTAATTCCGTGACAACACTGGAAATGAATGCCTGGACACGGAACTCTGTGATGATGTGATGGTAAAGGTCATACATTATTGTAATTCTGGGTTTTCTAGAATGCTTAGGGTGTGTAGATAAAGTTTACATCATGAAAAGATGATTTCAGCATCCGCTTTTGTGCCCGTTGACGCCATGCTTTTAAAGTGTGTAAGTCGTTGTGGCAGATGGCCTCTCTTCTGCTTTGCTAAGTCAGTGCCATTTGGGTTATGTTATACAAAAACTTGGTGAGGAAAGCCCATTTGTTCTTATGGGCAAGCCTCTACAGAAGGGTGGGGTTAAGGAATGACGCCAGCCGTTCTGAACGTTTCCTTGTTAAACACAGTCCTCTACTTGGTTGCTATAGCAATCATGTTCCCGAGAGAAAGAATGAGAAAAGAGAGAAGAAAAAGAAAGCTTACGACGCTCCAAACGTGTTTGTTCTGCTGCGACATGCCGAATTTATGCAGTTGGTTTTGAACTTAAGTTCATCTTTATAAAATGCTCGACGCCTGTGTTTTCATGAAAAAAATAAAGCTAAAACGACAGTGTACCAACCTTGCAAGCAATATTTTGCTTCCGCTTTGTGTTCACGAAAGCCCCTGCTGTTTTGAGGCGACTGAATTGCGTGTGAATGCGGCGGACCTTTTTCCCCAACAGTCACCAACGGCTCGAAAAATGCGGGGCGCAGAGAGTGCCAAGCATGTTGTAGCTCCACAGACTAATGAGAAGCCGATAAGCATGTCGAGGAATGAATTGCGATGTGGGAGGTGTCGACGTGACGAGCCATGATTCACATTTTTTGAGCTATTGGTAAACAAGACGTTTGTCAGTGCTGCCTCTGTGTACCACCATCTCTACCCCCACCCCACTCTCATTGAAAAATTGGTTCGTCTAGACATGGGTGCTTGTTCGGTAAAAACCAAGATGGCAGCGGCGTGCACGAGAAGTGAGGGAACTACGGCAGCTTGCACACTTTATCGAGATGTGTCTCACAAAAGCCCTGGGACAACTGGTTTTGTTTTCAAGAAGTGTTCATTGTGACGCCGCATTATCTTCACCCCCCCCCGGTCCTGACATGGCTACAACTGGGCTGCTGACTTCCAGCATCGTAGGGACTTCTCACTGTACATAAGTGACCTGGATAATACAGTTAATGGTTTCTCCTGCCCAAGAGGTCTTTCCCTTTCCATTGCAAGGAAGCGGATATCCCTGCTGGTGTTCTAGTAGCTGCCACAGTATAATGAATATTTGCGGCGCTTTGGAGGAGGTGGGTGCTTAACATATGATCAGAATTTGGAAGTTTTGGAAATGTTAATAGTGGGCGCTTTCCCGGTACTTTACGGGATGCCGGCGTGTGTAGGTCGTCTGATAGTCGAGCCTTGCTATCCGATGGCTTTGCTGCGGCGCATGCCCATGGTTGCTACACTGGCGCTTAAACGAGGGATTTTTCATCCCTTGGGGCCAGACTAGCTTTTGAAGTGTGGCTGCTTGCAAATGTGTGTTGATTCATTGAAGGAATTCGTATGCTGCAGAGCCATGGTCAGTGACCAGGGCACCGCCCTGCACCGATGGGGAACGCGCTGTGCTGCTGCCCGGACCCCGACCCCGGCCCAGCGTCGGCCGACCGCCCACTGAAGTTCCTCGACTCGGCCGGCGGCAAGTCCAACACGGGTGGCGGCAGCAGCGCCCCGTCGGCGGCAGCCACGCCCGACTGGCCCGCCCCCGACTCTGCCCCCCAGCCCCCCGACTCTGCCCCCAACAGCCAGGGGGCCGTCACAACCACCCTGGGCGAGCGCCTCATGCTCTACCCGCGCTACTCGGAGGCGCGCGCCGCGGCGCTCTTCGAGAAGTACCGGGACGCGGAGGACGACGCGGTGCTCGCAGAAGGGATCGTGCGGATGTGCCGCGACCTTGGGGTGCGGCCCGAGGAGTTCCGCGTGCTCCTGCTCGCGTGGAAGTTCGGGGCGCGCCAGATGTGCCGCTTCAGCCGCGAGGAGTTCCTCTCGGGTTGCCGCGCGCTCCGCGCAGACTCGACGCTGGCGCTCCGCGCCCGGTTTCCCGACATGCGGGAGGAGGCGCGGGACCCCGCGCGCTTCCGCGACCTCTACCGGTTCACGTTCAAGTTTGGGCTGGAGGCGGGGCAGCGGGTGCTGCCGACGGAGATGGCGGCGCAGCTTTGGCGGCTGGTGTTCTCGGAGGCGCCGCCGGCGGTGCTGGAGCGCTGGCTGGCGTTCTTGGAGGCGCATCCAGAGGTGCGCGGAATCACGGGGGACACGTGGAACATGTTCCTGCACTTTGCGGACACAGCTGGGCGGGACCTGAGCACCTACGACGACGCCGAGGCCTGGCCGAGCCTCTTTGACGACTTTGTGGAGTTTGAGAACGACCAGACGAACCAGAATGTGCCGCCGCACCCACTCAAGGGACCGCCCGACGAGGTCAAGGCGGACTGAAGGCGTTGCGGCAGGTTAGGACCGCTCCATTGCCTTTGTTTTCTTTTTTTTCTTGTTTTGTTATTTGTGTTTGAGCTCACCCTATAATGAAATCAAGCTCTGAACCTTGTTCTTTCGGTTTCAGTTACAGGCCATATAATGCTTGTTCAGACATTTTGCTTTTGAGAGTCGCTGGCTGCATCACGACTCGTTGCATTTCACTGCGTTACGTTGCATGGACCTCGGTTGCCGTAGCAACCATCGCATCTGAAGCAACCGAAGGTGGGCATAATGCATCCGGTTAAGGCTCGTTCACACACTTGCGTTTGACTCCGATCGACTCTGACTGACACAAGAGTGCTTTTTAAGCCTCTATTGACGGCGTACGACCGGCTACATTGCTGCACAGCCGGTCATAAGCCGTCCCAAGAAGATGAAAAAACGGTCTTATCTCGGTCGCTTGTAGTCAGATGCAAGTGTGTGAACGGGCCATTACGCTTGGGCGCAGATGTCTGAATCAGCCCTAACCTTTGTTTTTGGAGAATTTCGACCCTCACCTGCTCGATTGTTGTCTTCAATATCAAATTTGTTGCCTTCAAAATAACATTTCTATAATAACAAAAAACGAAAACAGAACCCCAAAAATAACAATAAAAAAATTATTGCTGTTATCTCTTGGCAGAGCCGCAAACTAAGCTATGAGCAAGCCTGGTTCGTCCGAAATGGTTGGGTGCGTAAACCGGGGAAAGCATACGAGCTATACTCATCCTGAAAGGTTTGGACAGGAGGGCTCCACGTTGACAAGCTAGGCTTGCCCCAAACAGTTAGGGTGCTGGAGTGCAATTTACGCGCAAGAGAAGTGCACAGACAGATGAGCATGATGCCGGCAGCGGACGCAACTTCCTCCTTGTCTTTGTCGTTCACACGGTCAAAGTGCAAGTGGGAAAGATGGCAGCATTAGCAGTCGTAGTTGGCGGTTTCCATACCCAATGCCACACCACAGCTGAGTTTAGCAGTTTCTGCTCTTGACCCAACAAGAAAATATGGCAAAACATGAACCTATCTGCCACTGAACTGAGATTGTATGTACCTCTCGAGCCACCCCTCAACCTCTCAGTTGACGTTGTCACCATGTCGCAAAAGCGAGGTGCCTTTGTTGCACATTGCTTGTTACCCCCCCCCCCCCCCCCCCCCCCCCCAAAAAAAAGAAAAAAAATCTTAAGAATAATAATTTAATAGATCATGCTTATTTGGTTTAAACATTTGTAGTTAGGAAATAGCAATCTTTTAACACAATACATATTTTTAAATGTAGCAGATTGATTGATCAGTTTGTCCAATCACTGATAACACCACAGAAGAAAGAATTACTGCAATTTTAAAGTCCAGGTTAAGGAACAACATTTTCTGAATGTAATCTTGCTATAGTGCATCATGTAAACCATTGGTTTCTCAATGTATCGCACTGCAATTTACTATGGAGGTGCAAGCAGGTAATAAAAGTTTACGGTGAAAAAGAAAAAAATAGCTTACCTTGTTTAAAAGAAGAAAAATACGACAGAAAGCTGTTCTGGGTAACGTACGCTTCCATTTGCACACAATGCACACTTAGTGAGGAGTGCTGCCAACAGATGGGGTACGCCGCGTCGATGGAGCGCCGGCCAATTTGAGTTATGATAGCAGACAATCTTGCAGAAGAACCCAAATCTGTCGGCAGCACTTCTCAATGTGCGTGCGTCGTCTGCGAAGCGGCAGAACAGCATTAATTGCTCAGAACAGTTTTCTTTTTTCTGTTGAACGAGGTAAGCTTATTACTTGATTTTTTTCACTGTAAACTTCAGCCACCTGCTTGCACCTCTGCAGTAAGTTTCAGCGCAATACGTTGGGAAGCCAATTTTTGTGGGCCGTCTAAAAATTGCGTCTGTGTATGTTTTAGATGGCGGGAGGTTGGTCACCCTGGGGTCTTTGGCGTGCGTCGCATGACCGCATCCTGGTATGATCCTTGTTCAGTTTGAAACGACGGGTGGGGATTGAATCCAGGGTCTCTGGGTTCCGCAGTGCAAGCTTTCGCTCTACACACTTCGATCTGCGGCGTGTTGATACGCTCGATCACCGATCAACCGAAATCGGCCTGCTCTCATCCTGCATTTTCGTATTAGACTTCGTCCCATAACTCAAAAGCTTGCGCTAAAATGTCTAGGGTTAAGGTGCGTTTGACGAGTTTTTTTAGGGCGCCTCGTTGCTTTCTGGTCTTCACCGCGTGTGAACTTTATCTGCCTGAAAATTTAAATTTCAGAAATCGCAATTGCACAACTGTTTTAAAGTCACCAGTTACACCACCATCCCTGTGTCTTCCAGGTGTGTGCCTGCAGTTTCATAACAAGGAAAAAAACTAAACGCCGCCTCCTGCCGGTATTGTGACAAGGAGGTGGGACTAGCCGGACCGTGTGGCAGAAAAAGACTGCTTGCCTAAGCTACGACGAAACTTCCGTCATCCGCACAAAGACAGCCGGTCCGTGGCCAGGAAGTTACGGGCGTCGCCCCTACGACCCGTCGATCTCGGCTCTGGGAGAGCCGAACAAGCAATGGCTGAAGCGCTCCGTCGAAAGAAGCAACATCCACTGCGTAGGCGACCTCCGGATTTGCAGTGGGTGGTTTTAGCTGTGAGCTCGTTGTAGCCGGCCCAAATCTACAGCTCTCTGCTGCGCAATGCACTCTTTCAAACCCCATCACGCAGTCTGCAGTGCATTAGGCTTTTATAACCCATCGAACAACATTGGCAGTCACCCTGAAGGATGGTTTACATTTGTGACTGCTTTGCTTCTGCTTGTGACTGCTTATGGCGATAGAACACACTGACGCTATTTATTGGGTTACATTGGAAGACTTCCGACCTACATATATTTTATGCACCATTCCTTCACTGCCTGCTTGAAATGATAGTAGCATTGTTGGAAGAGACCATTTTTCGTAGATAATGCATTAGCTTGATCTCTCAACTACTGCAAGCCCTTCAGCCTTGTTATAGGAAGATTGGAAAGCTTCCAGGGCTGCCAATGAGTAGCGCCAGTGTACTAGTGTGTTCTCTCCTAAGTAATTGCAACACAGTTGACCGCGTATGTGTGAACTAGCCTTAAAGTCGCTTTCGGCACGTCGCAGGCGTGTAGATTCGAAGCCTAGCGTCTGCCGACACAATTATTGAATTGCAGAACACTGACACCAAACTCACATTAAATGCACACCGAGAGCGGATGAGTAAAATATGCCAACCTTCGACAACTGTCGTGGCGGCTACTAGATGGCGCAGTGCCTAGTAGCGGCGTTATTCGTATGATTTAGTTTTCGGAGAATGCAATTTATTGACGCCAACATTCTTGAATCAATGTAGTTGCGACACTCCTGATCGAGTCTAGTAATTTATTGAGTTGTATCGAATTTTAAGGGGAAGCTGAAGTGCTTCTGTATTTGAGCAAATAACAACAACACTTAAAGGGGCCCTCCAACAGTATTTGAGCGTCGACTTCTTTTTGCGGTTTTTACACGCTAGTGGTCCCGGAAACCCAGTGGACAACGAAAGAGTTTGAAAATATTAGCGCATCATATTTTAATTTGACAGCTCGGAAACACCTCCTCCGACGGTGGCGCCGCGAGGTGCCGAATGCGCGCGCATAACGGCGCTCCCTTTCACTATACGTCACGTATACGTCACATTTTTTGGGTTTCGTGATTGGCGAGAGCCGTCCCAGGAATTTTGAAGCGAAATAAAGTATACGAAATAAAGTATATCACACGTTAACCGTCATTGTTTCTCTAACAAGTAATTTTTATAGATCTAATAAAGTTGCAAAGTAAAGTTCAAAAAGGGCGAAAACAACGCCTTGTCGCTCATGCGCGCCTCCCAGCGGCGTCCGCGACGTACCATCGCGAGCAGACGACAAGTGATCCGTGCACTCAACGCGCATCGTTTTTCACTTGTCCACCCCCGGTCCCGGTCAACTAAAAGCAGTAAGAGGAGCCAGGGGAATCCTTATTTTCTTTTAGTGCTGTGCCAGACTTTTCACTGTTCGAGTGAAGTGCGTCGACGGGACCGGTGCCCAACGGGACCGCTCACCAGTTTCTCCCTCCTACTCGCCGAGGTGGCTCCGGTGGCGGAGTTGCGGGAGACGAGTGTTCCGCGGCTGTCGAAGCGGACTGAGGCAGAGACGCGGCGCTAGCGTCGAGTGTCCTCGTACGGCGCGACGCCCAGATCCGCACTAAAAATCCGATAAGCCCGGTAAATTCATCGATGATGGCAACCCGATCGCAAAGCTACGACGATGGTTGCAGCTAGGCCTAATGGCCGACGAGCCGACCGGGCCGACGGGCTATCAACCAAACTCGCGTCCAATTGGCCAACCGCTTTGCTCCAATCGCTAAACTGTTTCATTTTACGTCATGAAGCGCTATGTTTTGCTTATTTAAAGTTGTTTTCTGCAATATTTAGTTTGCTAATAACTCACAAAATATTGCGAATTTGTGTAATATTTTTTTTCCTCGGTGTTCCTGCTTTCATGGAGCTCCGTTTCAGCGCGAACTTCAAACCGGTCAAAAAATTGTTGGTGGGCCCCTTTAAAGGTGTACTCCGCCGATTTCTTCATGGTCCCCGATTTGCTTTAAATTTTGCTAAACTCGCCAAACAACATCGCCAAAATAGTATCCCAAATATTAGGTCAAAATAATTTTTTTTCACGAAGTTATTGAATTTACAATTTCGGTCCTCACCGTGTTTTTCAAACTGAAAGTCTCTACTGGCAACAATGGAAAAGTGACGTCATTGGAAGTGCAGGGGTTCACTCTTTGGACTGTAGAATCTGTTCCCAACTGATTTGAAGCAGTTTCATGGTGTCAAATGAATGCCTTGGAAGCTCGCTCCAGTCCCCGCGCTCCAGCACGGAACAAATAATTGGCATATTCTATTTTTTAGACTACTCGCCCGACTGGCAAGCTGAACTTCCACTGACGTCACGGCCCTGAAAAGGGCGGGTATACTTGAATGTCTGTTTTTGCATCATTTTCATTTGCCGATTTCGCAATAACTATTATGAATTTCACAATATTAAATAGCATTCCAGAAAGGGTAAAGGCCTGGGAGTCAGAAAATATAGTTAGTTGAGGTAGCTCAAAAATCGGCGGAGTACACCTTTAAATCATCTCTATTAGGCCTCCAGAATTATGATTATCAAAATTACATTTCGGATTGATGCGCCAAGCAGCCACAATAGCGCTTCCAACATGGCGCTGAAGCCCTACCTTCCGGTCGCGTTTGGTGCGAGGTGGGAATCATGACGTATTATATGGAGATCTCAACGTTTCCACGCTTTCCGCAAGCCTTACCCAAACAGTGAAAAGCGCTGCACGCGTTCCCTCACAACCGACACGTGCAAGGCAGCTAAAACCTCTGGGTATGACGGCACACCCAGCGGTTTGTTTTTCCTTTTTTCTCGCGTCTACTGATACGTTCAGGTCAAATGCTCGTGATATTTTCATTCACGGGACAAAGGTGCTCTGAAATTCACCTCTAACTCAATTTCTTTTTTTTTTTTTTCCCAGTAACCTCTTTAGCTTCTTTTTAAATATCGCCACAGCTGGAAACGCAGAAGCAATTAAATTTGCAACGCAGTCGCGACGACGCGCTTTATTTGTCGAACAAGGAAATTTGTTGAGGATTTGTGTCGCACTGCGATTGGGCGTAGAGACAAAACGTACACAGCGAACCCACAGTAGACCTTTTTTAAAACCCCGTCAAGCAACACTGGTTGAGAACGAAGCCTGTGGTTAGATCCGAGTCCTCGCGGAGAACGAGCGCAACACTCGTTCTCGGTACGAGATGAGCAGAGTGGAGGCCGATCGTCCAATGTTCAATACATGCCCAGAGTTTGTGCTCAAGAAATGGGCGACTCAGATAATTGGTGCAGCTGCTACTAGATGGTACTCCCTTTTGAAAAGTGTATTGTCCAGTCGTGCCGAAGTCGTGCCACGACGGCCCGTGCCGGGATCACTGTTTTAGAGTTCGTTGCACATAATGTCTGCACTTTCGAGCAGCGCCGGGCCACCCGGTCGACATCAACCGAGATGCCCGATCGCTCGTGCGTTTAGCCCGGTTGTTGCGACGGATGCACTAGTCAGCGTAAAAGAGGCCGTCAGTGCAGGTTGCGACGGGCGGTGAGCGTTCGCCCCCGAAATTTTGGGGCTGCCTACGGAAGTGCCGGCCCGGAGCCGAGAAACTAACTTATTCAACACGAGCAACGGATGCAAGGAATCTTCTTCGGGAAGGTGTGTGTGTGTGTCTGTGGAAAACACTGGAGGGCTCCCTCCTTTAGTTCTTAATTTATTTGTTTCAGAGTTTTGAATTTGTGTCTCTGTCGACTACAATCCCCAGTGCGGCACATGAGACAAAACGCACGTGGTGCACGAATGCGCCACACGTCTCGTGGCGTCGCCACAGATTCAACTGCCGGTCTGGCGACTGACCAATTGCCGCCCGTAGCTCGGTATAATGGGTTGTCCGTCATGTTACTGTGTTCACCGACTATGGACTTGGCACGCCACTTTGGTCTTTGTTGTGTTTTTGGCTAGTTTCGTTGGGGTGACATCGTCTGCTCAACTTTGTCTGCTCAACGGCGGGCTCGGACGTGTTGCTTTCGTTTTTCAAGACGGAGTTGGTTAACATTCCTTTCGCTATCGACGCGTGCAAACAGGTACGGTCGTCTCGAGGGACTAATCGTCTTTTGTACGTAGGCATGCTGTAGAGGTTTTTTTGTACATAGAAACAAAAGAATGCTTGGGTTTTTTTAACTTGAAGCATAGGCTTTCGAGGATGATGCGCATCATACTGTCACCGACGGGACGAGAGTGATGTCTTTCAGTCGTTCTGCCTTGACCGCGAGCTTCCTGTCTTCGACAACGCTTTAACGTCTCGTGGGCTTCGAGCATGCACGCACACTAAAGCGCGGTGAAAGGCAGTGAGCATGTGGTGGGGCGTCCGAAAGAGACGCCCTGTCGTTTTCATCCCGTCGGCGACCGTGGCGTGACTGGGTCTCGTGTGCTGCGAGGCACGGGAAATCTGAATCCGAGCGCTTCCAGACCATTGTGTGTTGTCGTCTCGGACTCAACGCGAAGAAAAAAAGGTTGTTTGCACTGCACTATCTTGGCACCAATGATGACGAGTGAGCGTGGCGGGAGACGGTCATCGATGGTGGCATCCATTTCTCTCCCCTCACCACGCTGGCGGGGGTCACATGTTTGGTTATGTCCGAGCGTGCGTCTCTGCTGCCAATAAAATATTTTCTATGCAAATGACACTTCGTCTTGTGTAGATTCTGAGCTTCTAGTTATGCAAGATTGTGCCTCCTGTTACCGGATAATTAATATGTTGCGGTAGATGTCGTGGACTTTTTCACGCATTTCTTCGTCTGCCCAGCGGTGTGGATTATGTTGAACATGAACAACATTTCATCGCCTTGGACTAGTTGGTTTGCTAACTGCGCAGCTTGTTAAATACACAATGTAGCTTTGTGGTGCTATTGAAGTTTGAGCGAGTTGTTAGTGATATGATCACACCAAACTTGCATCATTATATTTTTCTCAGTATGCCATGGCGATCCCATCCATTTTACTGTAAACAGCAACACCTGAACAACGATGCCCAGTGCCCCTCCTAATCTAATTTGGTACACTTATTGGGTGGCTGCATTTAGCGAATGAAGTCGCAGCGCTCGCGTTGCATCTTTTAACACAATGTGTTTTATCAGCCAATTTTTATGTAGTTAAGTTTGGCTATGACAGCAGGGTGTAACAGCCGGCTGTTACACCCTGCTGACGAAAAACATGCTGAAAAGCGTTGCGCCCACAGCGAACCGCAAAAGCGAAGGCGCGGTTGCGTGCTCCGCGGGCCTCACTGTGCTGCAGATGGATGGATGGATGAATCCGGCTGAGCCCTTTGGATCGGGCGGTAGCTTACGCCACCTAGCCATTTTGTTTTACCATTTAAGCTTAGAATATTTAAATGGGAAATCTATATTCACTGTGCACTGCAAAGAAAGAGAGGCTAGGAAACCCCTTGCCATCAGTTAATAAGAAAATACCTAGCTTTCTCTCACTTTCTGCCACCATTCACTTAATCATTGCTTGGTAATCTCAACAGTCTTGAAATCCACTCTCCCTTCGCTGTCTGAAACCCAATGACTTTATTAAATCTATGTTCTCTTCGGTTGGCATAGGGTGAAGCCCTTTACAGTAGAGTATCAAGTGCTCAGCCGTCTCATCCTCCTCTCCACAAGCAGTGCACACTGTATCCATTTCCTGGTACTTCGCTCTGTATGTTCTGGTTCGCAGAACACCCATCCTCGTCTCAAACGACAATGAGCTTCCCCTAGAATTGTCATAAATGCTTTCTTTGGCAATAACTGTTTTGTTTAATCTATAGCTTTCCATAGCCGTCTTAGCA